GTATATAGGTATATCCTTAATACCAGGATACTGTATTCAGTATTCAGTTACAATCAAGCCTTCCCCACCTGGGAACTTGCAACGTAATTTGAATCTGCAAGTTAATACTGGGCATGATGAAAAAAAAAAAAAAAAAGTATTCATTTTTAATTCAGAATGCTTATTAATCTCATTTAAAATAAATAAAATGTCTTTTAATCCATTGAATATTAATTATATTCACTTGTCGGTTTTTTTTTTTTTTTTGATCTCTAAATACTTACATGTGAAATCATTATCTCTTTTGAAACCATTCTTTCTTTTTTATTTTTTATTTTTTATTTTTCATTTTTTATTATCATTTTATTATTTATATAAATATTCTAAAATCAAACTGCCTTTTTTTTTTTTTTTTTTTTTTTATCCAAATCAAACTTCCAATATGCAATTTTTAGCGAAGCTCAGAAAAAAAAAAAAAAAAAAAAAAAAATAAAGGATTGGCCGATTAGAAATTGGCTTTAGAAATATAGTGCGGCTCACGCCTATTTAGGCAGTTTAAGTGTTTGTAAAATGTCCACGTTTTTTTTTTCCTGGGCCCTGATGAAAAAAAAAAAAAAAAAAACAAAAAAAAAACAACAACAACAAATTGAAAAAAAAAAAAAAAAAAATTCAATAACGTAAAAAAAAAAATGGTTTTATAAAAAATATCAATAAAAAAAATTAAATTATTTTATATTATATAGTCATTATTACAGATAAAAAGTTAAATAGTTTGTTAATGGTAAACATAAAGTTATCTTATCAAATATATACAATTTAATTACTAATTATATCTATGTGTAAGATTAATAAAAATACCCGTAATAATTAGGTAATGGTCTCAAAATAAATTACTTCTTTTGTCAAACCAATAATAGTCAACAGAAAAAAGTTTCTAAAAAATATAAATCAAAAAAATTTGATTCTTTACTATGAGAAAAAAAAACAAAATTATAGTAGATGTATTTAAAGTAAAAATAAAATTAAAAAAAATTATTACGATATTTAAAATAAAACTAACTATAAATATATATATATATATATATATTCCTTTTAATAAAATCACAACAAAAAAAAAAAAAACTCTTGCATAATATTTATACAATTGGCCTAGATAAAATGATTAAAATAGTTTCTTATAAGAAACTAATAATTATTAATTAATTTACAAATTTTTTTTTTTTTTGATCTCTTTTAACTGTTAATATACAAATTTTTTCTTTTAAATAAAAAGCACTAAAGAAACTAAGCGTTTCATAAAAAGCACTAAAGAAACCAAAAAAAAAAAAAATTTTTTTTATGAAAAGCACTAACGGGACCAAAAAGGTTTATAAAAAAAAACACTAACAGGATATTGCTAACAAAATAATAGTTTATTTTTTTTTCTTTCATACTTTGAAATAATATCTCATGTAATGTATCTTTAATTAAGGGGTGAATCTATCTAAAAAATGAGATTACCTGTAGTGACTTTCCTCGATTTAAAGTTCTTTCAGAACTGCCATTTAAAAAAAAAAAAAAATTCATTGAAGTTTGGTTAGATAGAAAATGTATTCAGTTTGAAAAAAAAAAAAAAATAATAAATACAATTCTTTCTGTTCTTTTGGGTAATTCTAGTAGTTGATAATAAGCAAAAAAAAAAAAGGAGTACTTGCATTTTTATAGCTAACCATATAAATATTTCAGGTTTTGTAAAAAAAAAATAACCACAGTTAGTTATAATGATTTCTTTAGTGATTTACCTCCCCCCAAAAAATCAAAGTACTTATAAAGAAATTTAAATATTTTTACATCAACTCTTTTTACCATGATCAAAACTTCTTTTTTTTTTTTTTTTAAATTTTTTTTTTTCTTAAATGGGTATGATTGGAAATTATCAAAACAATCTTAACAAGAAAACATAACACGGATATTGATTAAGCAATTGAAAAATTAAAGTATTACATTACTTTCTATCAATACAGTTTGAGTAACATAAGGGTTCCACGTTATCAAGTTTTTAAAAAAATCGGTATTATAAAGGCATATTGATAAAAAAAAAAAACACAAGAATTCCTATAAAAAAGTTTCAAAAAACCAATTTGTGGTATTTTTTTAAAGATCTTTTTAATTTTTTAATTGGCATTTGATTTTTTTTTTTTCTTTAGAGCAACAGAATAATTTTTAGATAAAATGCTCAGGGTATGATGAACTTCCATTTCTTTTTCAGCTTATAGTTGGTTAAAACTTTTAGTTAAATCGTAGATTGTATTTGGAAATTAACTTATATAGATTCTTATTACAATCAGTATTTCTTTCCAAGTTGATCTGAATATTAGAAAAATGATAAGCCGTTTATTTTTTTTAAAAAAAAATTCTGATTTAAAAATAAAAAAAAAAAAACAAACCATGACAAGAAAAAAAAAAACCTCGTTTAAAGTGTAGGGTAAATTTTTTATTTCGCAAAAAAACATGGGGTAGTTTGTTTAAATTAAACAAAGTGTATAATTATTAGTACCAGAGATTTTTTTTCTTTATTTTTTAATCTGAAATCCATGCTAGCCACTTTATTTTTTTTTTTTTAAAAAAAAAAATTCACGAGGGTGAAATCTGGTTCATTATATTCTAGAATAATAAGAATAACTTTGTATGAATGAATTAACAAGGGTATTTACATTTTATTTTATTTTATTTTATTTAGGGGGGTTCAAAAAAAAAAAACAATCTTTCAACATTCTGCGGGTAGTTTTTTTTGGAGAATTCTTAATAACTTATTATTGGGATAGGTTTGATAAAAAGGGACAAAGTTTTTAAGAAATGAAAAAGACTGGTATATACATACTAAAATATCAAGTAACATGAAGTAGAAATATCAATTTCTTGAAATGAAATAAAATAAAAATAAACATGAGCGCAATTATCTTCTAAATAATCAAAAAGAAAAAACAAAATACAGTAACCAGAGAAAACCTTTATGATTTATGCGTGTTGTTAAAAAAGCATTTTGGAAGAAAATGATAATGATGCTGCTTTTTTTTTTTTTTTTTTTATTTTTTTTATTTTATTTTATTTTATTTTCTAACCCTAACCTGAGGATGTGTTTTTTTATGCAACACCATTTAAAATAAGCATCCTTTCTGTCTTTACAATATTTTTTTTTTTTTTTTTTCACTTCTTCCTTCCCTTTCTCTCCAAAAATAAAAAAATCAAAGCTGTCATTTACAATAAAAACCTATCTACATCATGGTTCTTCTTACAGTTACTCCTGCAATTAAAACAGCTTTGGAGCTTTATCATTCACAAAACAATGATAACAACACTTCAGATCAAATCTCTCCAGACCTTTCCAATGACCAAAACCCCACCATCAAAACAAAGCCCACCCACAATGTCTCTTCCACTACAACCCTGGACACAACTTCAGAAAAGATTTCTGCTAACATCAAACAACAATCTTCCACTACTCTTTTACCACCCACTTCATCGCCTTCTATCTCACATGCACAGCTCATAACCCTTGCCAGCAAAACATGTACTCCTCTCGTGTCACTGGTCAGAAACTCAGCCGTGTACACGCCGCCACCACCTCCGCCGCCTGCCAAATCACCCGAATACATTGCATTGATGTCCCGGCTGAGGCGCGAGGCCGAGGAGGCCGAGTATATGGAGATGGTAGGTGGAGCGGCACCTGCTTCTTCTTTACAAGAAGTTTTGACTCCAGGCCAGGAAATTAAGGCGGTGCGCGAGCAGCTAACAGCCATTGTTAATGTGGGTATTTCGGTGGCATCGGTGGCTTACGCGCTATGGTACTGCTCGGGAAATTACTTTCATTGGGACTTGCCGGCACGTACATTGCTGGCACTATTTGGCGCCATTGTGGTGCTTGTTGCGGAAACAGTAGTGTACCTGCGCTACCATATGCGTGTTGACGATGCGCGTGCGGTTGAGCAGGCCAAGGTGGAAAAGAAGACATTTTTACAAGCTCTTACGGGACCAGAAGGTGTCCTTGCATTACCCTCCGATGATATTGATTTATTACCCGCAGTCTCAACAACCACTTCTACATCTACACCCAAGCCTTCGACCAGGAAACGTCGCGTAGCTTCAAAGAAACAATAATACTGCTTAAATAATTAAATTACATTACATTACATTACATTACTATACTATACTACTACTACTACCTTTTTTTTTTTGTTGTAAATATTGATTCCCATTCGCACAGCAGATACTATAAAGCAAAAAACAACCATTCAGGCATTGGCAAGTAGCACGTCGTTGCGCGCAACTTCAGTAACAGATACCTTGGGAGGAACTTTACTCTTGGAAGACCCGGTAGGGGTGGAAGCGGCTGCAGGACCACCCTTGAACACTTTGGTAGGCAAAGACGTGGGGTTGAAAGCATCGGCCATGTATTGTTTAGGGAGATTAAGCTTGCGTGAGCCAGAGAGGGACTTGATGACATCGGCACGCTTGGATTGCTTGATTTCTTCCTTTTCAAAATACTTTGTTGATTTGTAACTCCATTTGAAGAGAATCTTAAACATGTTCCAAGCATTGATGTCTGGCCAAAGGGTATCGATGAACTCGAGAGTGCAGTTATCACAGCCTTGCCAAATCATAAAGTCGGAGAAGCGGGTTTCACCCGAGGTGCGTACCATAATATCAAGGTCAGGGCTTTGACCCGTGTACATTGCTTTTTCAAACTTGACAATGTCGATATCTTTTGCCTCGATCTGGCCCTTTTCAACAGAGGTGGCGATATTGCGGATGGCGGCAGCAATGTCATCGCGAGAGGTGTATGGGAAGGCAATATTCAAGATACCTCTATATGAGATTGTGGTGGTTAGAGATGGGAAGTTTCATTGCGATGGTAGAACATACCTAGTCATATCTTTTGTTGCTTCCTCTAGCTCTTCAATGAGAACCATGATATCTTCAGGGATCAAGTCGCGATTGCCAATAAATTTAACTTTGATTCCATATCGGGAAGGCACTTGGCTTTTGGAGTTGTGTTAGATTTTGGATGTTTTTTTTTTTTTTTTTTTATTTTTTATTTTTATTTCTTTAAAATAACTTACTCTTTATCCTTAATCAGGACAAGTTTGCTGCGGATAATGTTGAAGAGGGAATCAATTTCGTGTTTTGGGCGGTTAAAGTTTTCAATTGAAAAGGCATAGACGGTTATAGTATTGACACCAGCACTGTAGAGAACTTCAAGAATCTAAATTTTGATTAGAATGTAATTGGGATGTATTTAAGGTAAGGAAGGAAAAAATGACGTACAGTACCAAGACTTTCAAAGCCTGCAACGTGGCCCTCTCCAAGCTCGAGGCCATTTTTTTTGGCGAAGCGACGATTGCCATCCATGATAAAAGCAATATGTTCTGGGATGGGTCCAGTTTTTAAGATACTAGTCAAGATATCTTGGGAAAAGCCAGTGACGAGGCCCATGAGGGGGAAGGAAGAGATCCAGCTTCTCAAAGACATTGTTAGTTAAGAGAGAAGGTGTATGATGTTTTTTGTAAGGAAAGAAAGAAAGAAGAAGAGGGAGTTTTTTGTTTTTTGATTTTTTTTTTTTAAGAAAAAGAGAGGAATTTTCATTTCTTTTATATGCGAATGGAGGTGGTTATAATATATATAACAATTGTTGTTTCTAATGAGAATTTCAACATGATGAGAATTTCAACATGGCTTGTGAATAATTTAATTAAGGTTTGAGTTTTTTTTTATCAAAGTGCTTTTAAAGATATAAGTGCGGCTGAGTATGAGGATGAGAGTGTTTGATAGGGTAACACTTTTTTTAGTTTTTAAGTCATGTGAAATAGGAAATAAACATTTTCCCGGATAGTGTAATATATATATATATATATATATATGTACGTATTCCAAGTCACGTGAAAATTGCAACTTAGGTTGATAAATGAAATGCACAGTAGGTTGGTTAATGGCAATTTCTCCACTCAGGGATAAAAAAAAAAAAAAAAAAAAAAAAAGAGAGAAAAAAAAACGGTTTTTTGATCCAAAGTAAAAAATGTTGAAAAAAAAAAACAATATGATGAAAACCAAAAGATTTGGTTTAAAAAGGAGAATATATATGTAGTTTTTTTTTTTTTTTGATAAGTAGAATGGTTAACTTTTTATTTTAAAAAATTTCAAATGAAATTTTTTTAATTTAAATTTTTTTATCTTTTTTTGGTGGGAATAAAATAGCTTTATTTTCCCATGAATAGAGATTTAGTGCGGAACAAAAAAAGTTTTTTTTTTTCATTTATTTCTTTATTTCCCAAGAAATTTGATCAAAAGTCATTAAACAGATGATGATAAGGGTCATTTTTAGGGTAAATGGACTAGTGCCAAATATTATCTATAGAAAAAGAACAATGGATTGTGAGGGGTGGCGATGGGGAGAGAGGAATAATTGAGTCGAGATTTTGGTAAACAATAATAAACTAACAGGGTAGTTATGAAAAAATAAAAATAAAAAAAAGAAAAAGAAAAAAAAACAATAAGAGGGATAAGGGATAAAAAAAAATTTGATCCAGGGATTTTAATATTTATGGTAATTGATGAAGATTAAATTAAAAAAAAAAAAAAGGAAGAAATGATATGAGCTTGATAATTAACTAAATATAGGGATAATTGTTTATTTAGAACCAAATATTTAAAGCTCATTACCAAGAAATGTTGATTTATTTATTTTTTTTTTTTAAAAAAAATTCTTTTCATCCACATTATTATTATATGTATTAGAAATTAAACTGTTAAAAATTGAGTATCCTAAACTAAAGATTAGTTTCATTTAGTTTTAAAGGTAAAATAAATATTTGAAATATTGATGGAATTTGGTTTAAAAACAAAGTACTAGTTTCAAATATGGTGGAGAGGAAAAGGGTATATATATATATATATATATATATATTCTTTCTTTCTTTCTTTCTTTCTATTTACTCCAAAATATCCAAAGTGAATTTTTTTTTTTTTTTGAGATGTTTACACTGTTTGAAATATTTTTTAAACTCAATCTGATTATGTTTGACCCGATAAATGACATCCAAAGAGCCGGGTATTTAGAGATGAATGGTGATTAATGTGCATAAAATAAATGAAGATGAGGAGAATCAAAAGAAGGATAATTAAAAGTTAAAGAAGAATAGTAAGAAAGAAAAAAAGAGAAAAAGAGAAATAAAAAAAAAAAAAGGATCCTCAAATGAGATAGATTGTTATGGCAACATGTTGAAAAAAGAGGCTTTGAAAATGAATGAAAGAGAGAAAGAAAAAAAGAAGCCATTTAATATTAGAATTATTTTGAAAAAAAAAAGACATTTTCAAAAAAGATTTTAATAAATCAAAAAAAATATGAAAATAATTATGATATATATTTCATTTCATTTCATTTCATTTTTATCTTTTAAGTTTTTTTTAAGTTTTTTTTTTAAATGACATGAAAACCTTGGAATTAAAAAGAGTTATTTGTCCATTTCTGCCTAAACAATGTTTTTTAGTTTTGAATCTCCCGGTAATTATGATGATGACTATGACGATGACGAAGATGACAATTAAAATGATAGTTAATATTATCCATTTGTGTTCATTACCCATTTTACATATTGGAAGATATAGTTTCTGGCCTTTTTTTTTGTTTTTTTTTGGATGAATCGTGAAATTTTTTTTTTTTTTTAAAATTATTTAAATATATTTTTATAAATATATATACAATTTCCAAGGGAATTATAAATAGATGATAAATTTCCTTAGATGAAGGAAAAAAAAAGAAAGAAAGAAAGAAAGAAAAAGATATTAAGAGTTGAAGACAATAATAAAAAAAACAAGTTGAACATTTCAAAGCTCACTCAACATTTACGTGTTATTTTATTATCATTATTATTATTATTATTATTATTATTAAACAATATTTCGAATTGTTATCTAGAATACCAATTAAATTAATTTTTGTTTCTTTTCTTTTTTTATATTCTTTTTTTGAACTACAATTAATATCATTTACAATAAAGGTCAATAACCAAATAAGAAAGAGTGAATATAAATTTTTATTTTTAATTTTGATTTTCTAGTTTTGATTTGTTATTATAAGAGAAGAAGATGATGACTTCTTAATAATCAGCTCGGTTATTAAAAAAAAAAAATAAAATACGAGGATTCTAATTTTTTTTTTTTTTTTTTTTTTTTTTTTTCTTTCTTTCTTTCTTTCTTTCTTTCTTTCTTTCTTTATTTTTTTTTTGTTTTGTTTTAATGACCAAAAATCATTCCATAAAAAAAAATTCAAAAAAGGGGGAAATACTAAATGAAGGCTTTTTTTTATATACAAATTTTTTTTTCTTCATGATTTCTTGTCCAAGGCGGATTTTTATTTTTATTTTTATTTAATTTTTTTTTTTTGTATATCCAAATATGCGGTTTTTTTTTTTAGCAGTAAAAGAATTTTTTTTTTTTTTATTTTTATTTTTTTTTACAATTGTAAAATTGCAGCAGAAGCGAGAAGCGAGAAGCAGCACCAACAACAGCAGCAACAGTAACAGCAACAGCAATAGCATCAACAAGAGAAAAAAAAATAAAAAAATAAAAAGGAATGCCGATCACAAGATGATTATTTGCCCAACTAAGTATATTTATCTGTTGAGTATATATATTTTATTTTTTTTATTTTTTTTGGTTTTGGTTTTGCTCTTGGTTAGTTCTAATTCAAAAAAATAAAAAAAAAGTCCAAAACAACCCAAACAAATGTGCATTTTAATTAAGTAATTACTTATTTAATATATTATAATATTATAATATTACTGCATGTTGTTGTTGGATAAAAAAAAAAAAAAAAACCAACGATGGCAGCCATGTGGGAATTTTTTTATTGTTTTTTATTGTTTTTTATTGTTTATTTTGTTTATTATTGTTAAGTACTAATGAGTATAATAGTAATGCAATACTACTACTACTACTACTACTACTACTACTACTACTACTACTACAAATAATAATAATAATAATAATAATAATAATAATAATAATAATAATAATAATAATAATAATAATAATAATAATAATAATAATAATAATAATAATAATAATAATAATAATAATAATAATAATAATAATAATAATATTCGGGTAAGTATTATTGTTATTCATGATGATATAATAAAAACATTGAAAAGAGCAAAAAAGATGGTTTTAAAATAGTTCAAAAGCATTAATTGATTTCTTGGACCAAATCCAGTACTAAATTTGCAACAAAGAAAAAATTTTTTTTTTAATCTTTTTTGGTATTATTATTATTATTATTATTATTATTATTATTATTATTATTATTATTATTATTATTATTATTATTATACTTTGGGTCTTGAATATTAATATTTTAGTATTTTTTTATTTTAAGGCTATTGCTAGAGAAAGAAGAGGAGGAGGTAGGTGTGATGATGATGATGATGATTATGATGATCATTTGTTTCTTCTAAATGGTAAGTTGAGGAGGGCGATTTATTTATTATAATAATAATAAATATCATACAAATTATAAAAAAAAAAAAAATAAAATTTGTTTTATATAGTGCGCAATAAAGCCTATTGGTCAAGATAACAAAGGGGTGAGGAAGAAGAAAAAAAAAAATAAAATAAAAAATTAAATAATTAAAAAAAAAAGGACAGCGTTTGAAAAGAAAATTGTTTATTGGCAGTTTTCTTTCTTTCTTTCTTTCTTTTTTTTTTAATTTAATTTAAAATTTTTAAAATTTTTAAAAATTTAAAAAATTTAAAAATAAAAATTGTGATAATGGATGAGTGCAGGTTTATAGATTTAGAATTTGTTTTTCTTTTTTTTTTTTAAAAAAAAAAAAAAAAAAGGGAGAGAGATAGAAGGAGGGGAATAAAGGATTGCTCAGGTATTATTATAATTGATTATAATCAATTATTTAGCTGGTCAAAAAAAAAAACCCTCCATAAAGAAAGAAATATACAAACTTTTGGCCATATTTGAATTCTTTTTTTTTTTTTTGTTCAAAATTGATGGATTCTTTATTATTATTATTTTTTTTTTCAAAAGTATGCTGCTACGTGTAGTAAACCCTTAACAAACTTGAAAACTTCTTTTTTATTTTTTTTTATTTTTATTTTTATTTTTGCTTCTATTTTTCTATTTCAGTTTCTTCCATTTCGCCAGATTAAAGTTTTTTTTTTGTCATTATTTAAAATTTGATTTTTTTTTTATATATAAATATATATAAAACTGTTGAAAAAAAAAAAAAAATTATTTTTGAAAAAGGGATCCGCATTAAAAAAAAAAAATAAAAAAGTTTAAAATTTTGTGTAAATTTATTTTACACAAATAAATATTAATTTATTATATATTGTTAAAAAGTAAATCAAAAGTTTTTTTTTTATTTTAAATTTTACACTTTACACTTTACATTTTACACTTTACATTTTAACATTGACTAAATGTTTTTGATTTTTTTTTTTTTTTCACAATATACATATATACAAAATAAAAACATGGTTTTTTTTTTTAAAAAATTGACACCATTTGGAAAATGATAAAATTACACACACACAAAAAAAAAATTATTATTATTATTATTATTATTATTGGCAGCTTTGAATATTTCTTTAAAAATATATACTGGCGTGCATTTGTATGAGGCGGCCCCTTTTATTACAACAATCATTATTATCAATCAATCTATCAATTAATCAAAAATAATAAAATAGTTAAAAAAAATTAAGTATAAAAAATAAAATATCTGTTTCTCTTAGTTTTCATTTTTTTTTTAATTCTAAAGGATAAATAAAAAAAAAAACTCGGAATACCTGGTGATAATTTTCCTTTTACTTAGGTGACAAACATAAATAAAGAAAAAAAAATATATATATAGATTTTTATTTATTTATTTATTTTCGATTCCGATCAAACTAGTTTTGGAGAATTGTAGAGTTGAAGTTCAAAAACTGGTTGCTTAATTTTGAATTGAATAAATAAAAAAAAAACCCCGAAATTCTTTTACAATATTTGAAATATCTTTGTTTTTATTTCATTTACAATATACAATCATCACTATCATTTAAGATCATCACCATCATCATCATCAATTAATTAGTTGATGATAAATAAATTCTTCTTCTCCACCTTAAACAGAGTTTTTTTTTTTTTTTTTTCCCCCTCCTCTCTTTCTTTTTTTTTTATCAAAATTGGTTTGTTTCTTTTACTTTTCGTGGGCATTATATGAAACTTTTTAATTGGATCAAGGTTTGTCTTCTTTTGTTTTTTTTTTCCTTACATAGGCTAATCTTCCCTTTTTTTTTTTCTTTCTTTCATAACCTATAGGCTAATCTTACCCCCTCCCCTTAATTTTGTTTTTTTTTTTCTTTCATAGGCTAATCTTCCCTTTATTTTCTTAAATGAATCTAACATAGAAATGAAAGAAACGAAGAAACATGCAAATGAAAAATGAAAAATGAAAAATGAAAAATAAAACTTGATGATATTAAATCTCGCATAATATAATTTCTTAAATTTCTTAAAATTTTTTTGTTCAAAACATGATAAAAAAAACTCACATGTTTATAAACATGTATTCTCAATCTAATTATTATTGACTAAAAGACCCTCAATAATTAATTCTAAGGCAAGATCAAGCGGACAATAAAAATAAAAAGAAAAAGCATCACTTGATGAAATACATGACCAATTTAACAACCATAATTTATTATAATTTATTAGTAGTCGTAAAAATTGTTAGGATTTACGTGGGCTCTAAATGGAATTCTGTGTTAGCTATTATAGTCGATTAGAGTACAGCAGTAAAAGGGCACAGCCAATTTAATAACAATAATATGGATCTTTATTTAATAATATAAACTATATAAACGTACCTAAATGGAATTCTGTGTTAGCTATTATAGTCGATTAGAGTACAGCAGTAAAAGGGCACAGCCAATTTAATAACAATAATATGGATAAGGAAAGAAAACAAATAAAATTTTCACTTTATTTTTGGTGTCCTTTTCCAAACCCTAACCTGTTATTTCTGTATCCCAACACTCCTCCATTCTGGTGTCCAGCTAATGGGCATCAGAACCTCAATTCAACTTTGCCATCACCATATCCAATTTCAGTCGCTTCATCTCATGCAGCCAGCCATCATAGCCATCACCAACTTGAATCCTAGTAATTGCCTTCATGAAGCCATCATTCGTAAAAGCCTTAGTCAGAAAGTCTGCCAACTGATCATCAGTTCTCACTGGTTGAATCGTAATGGTCTTATCAGCAATTGAGGCTCGGATTTGATCGTAGTTTTCTTTCAAATACATTGTCTCAATTTCCTTTTGCCCAGTCAGATTCTGCACCAGTGCACTATTGTCTTCACGAATCTCCACAGGTCTTCGGTAAGAATTCTTCAATGCATGCAAGTACATGCGAGTATTAATGACCTTAGGTAAACAGTCAATCACTGCAGTCAACTCAGCATCCCGAATGCTTCTAATGATGATATCAATTCGCTTTGACAGCCAACAGATTGGAGCACCACCATACAGGATCACAAATGCTTTCACGCCGACCACATCTTTTCCAACTGTTGTCCTACTCGCATCAGTGTAACACACAAGATTATCCATTTCCCGTCTAAAAATCAAACCACGCTTCGGCGTACTGACCACATACCCAACAAGCTTCTTGACAGCCTCAAAGTGCTCCATGGTTGCTTCATTCAGAAAATGACTCACTTTCCGAACTGCATCAACAATGTCCACACGACAAACAGTTGCATAATAGCGCAGTCTTCCAACCATATGACGATAGTCAGCAACCATTGGGGCTGACAACAACTCACCGATTTCCCGTTTTTCTTGGCCAGGCTTTGTTCCAGGACGATCCCGAAAGCTCAAGACCATGGGAGATCTGCTCGGCTTGATGTTGTACTTACGCACCATGCTATTCAATTCTGCAATCTTCTCATGCAAGTCCAATGTCACCACACCTTGCTCAAGATCGTAAGTCACATTCATGTTCAAGAATTTGCTGATTCTGCCAAAATCCTTTCCTTCATAAACTGACAAGATCTCCGTTTTAGTGCTGCCAATCACCTCTTCATCTTCTCCCATCACCAGAATGTCATCAACATAGACCAAAACAATCACCAAATTTGCATCATACCCACGTGTAAATGTGTTTGGGCATTCAGCTGACTCCCTAAATCCAAGTGACTCAAGAGTACCTTTCAGATGATTGTACCAGTTTAACGGCGCTTGACGAAGTCCATACAGATTCTTAATCAACCTAAAAATCTTCCGGCCCTCACCAGGAATATCAACTTTGACGTAGATTTCTTCATCAACATCCGCATTTAAATACGCAGACTTGATATCAAGTTGGTGTATGTGATAACCTCTAACAGCTGCTGTTGCAAACACCATTCTAAGCTTCTCAACACCCAATGTTGGAGACGAGATAATATTAAAGTCAATGCCATCAACTTGCTTATCGCCACGCGCAACAAGTCTAGCCTTAAATAAAATGACTTTCCCTTCTTTAGTCTTCAATGAGTAAACCCACATAGTATCAATCACCGTTTTCCCAGTCATGTCAAAACCTTCTTCAACACCCATAAAAGTACCTTTCTGGTAAAGCGCCATAATTTCAGTTTTTCTAGCCCAAAGCCAATGCTCTTTGTATTTGCCTTTTTCATCATACACAGCAATGGGTATCGGTACCATTTCAGCATCAAGATCTCCAATTTCTGGAAGACATGATTCTCTGAACTGCTCGTACAGCTCACCACCAGCCACATCCTGAATAAAAGGCTTTGCCATTCGCACTTTTTCAACACCTTGAGCCAGAGGCTTCCTACCACGCTTTTCCTTCAACGGCTTCTTCGGGTCCTTAATCCAACCTTTCCCTTCAATTTTCTTCACCCTTTCAATCCAAGCACTAAAATTTCCTACTCTCTCAAATTCCTTTCTCTTTCTTTCCTTTTCTTCCTCCTCTTTCTCTTTCTCAATTTCTTTATGCAGTGCCACAATCTCTCGCATCTCTCTTTTTATTCTTTCATCATCAGTCTCATCATCATACACAAAGTCCGGTCTTCGTGCACTTTTCTCTAACCTCGACGATCTTCGCAGCACTCTCGCAGCTTCACCAGTTTCTTTTCCAATTCTTGCTGCTTCTTCGATTTTATCCAACACAGTCTTTTTAGTACTTCCTTTGGGCCTACCACGACCTCTCTTTACCTTTGGCACATCTTCTCCTTCCTCACCACTGTCCTCCTTTCTTTCAGACTCCTGTTTTCCTTTTTCTTCAGACTCTTGCCTACCTTTTTCTTTAGACTCGTGTTTTTCTTTTTCTCTAGACTCTTGCTCTTTGATCTCATTAGTGACTCTTTTTCTTTTGAGAATACTTTTAGTCCTCTCTTCTACTTCTTCCTTCTTCATTTCTTGCTCAGCCAACGGATTCTCTTCAACTTCAGCATAAATGTTGGCCTCATTCTCATCACTTCTTTGTTCATCCAGCTCCATCACTAACTTCGGCAACAAGTCTATATCCTCCTCCATACCTTCATCCTCATCACCTTCAACCGCACTTTCAAATAAATCATCATCAGACTCTGAATCAGCAGAAGCATTCACACTCAACGCAGGAGACCCATTTATTACACCATTACTCAAACTCGCCTGAACACCTTCACCTCCTCCAACAGCAGCATTAGCAACAAGCTGATCGCTACTGTTCATCAACGGCGATAAAATCTGTTCAGCCATGTTCGACGATAACGGCGCAACCTCGTCACCCACATCCACGCTACCACTACCTTCTGTTTCACCAGCTGGCAAAACCATAACTGGAGCAGAAAAATTACTCACACCATCACCAATATCAGCATCTGCTCCAACAACGACACCATCAACAATACCACTAATAGTACTATCAACTGCCTTACCATGCTTCCTCTGCACCAAATCCTCAGTATTTGCCACCTCTTGCACATGAGTTTGAGGCATCGCCAGCAATGCTGACTCTCGCTTTTTACTCACTTCAGATGGAAATGACAATGTTTCCGGATCAAATGCATGAAACACAGATGGAACACCAATATCAGTAACGGCATTAGCAACGTTACCAAGCACACGAGTTGTATCATTAACAGCAACATCAGGAATATCCTTCTGCACTGCTCTTAGCTCATTGGAGCCAGGAAGACGCACAAACTCAATCTGCTTAAATGGATTTTCAGCAACAGGCTTTGAAGTCTTTAGCACCGCAGGGAAATCACTCACCAATGGATCTGGCTTTTTAGTAGTTTCTTGACTCTGTTGAGCATTGTCAATTAGTGCTCCTCCAGACCCTCCAACTACACCATCTCCTCCACGCTGCTTCAGCACAGTATCTCCTCCAGGCCTCCTAGAAACAGGATTGCTTCCAAAGAAACTCGACGATGGCAACTGCGACGACGACTTTATGCCCATACCAATAAGACTTCTCTTAGGCTGCTTGTAACTGGCTGGCGCAGAAGGGATGACTACAGGAACTGGCATTGGATCTGCCATCCTCACATCTGGAACTGACATTGGATCTGTCATTTCTACATCAGAAACCAACTGCGACTCAGGCTCAAAAACCACATCACAATCAACTTCATCCATAAAATTCCCAATATGGTCATCCAACTTATATGTACCATTTTTGCACAATGCCATCTGAGAGAAACTCTCACGATAAACCTTGAACGACTGAGCAACCACAACACGGTTTCTGCTTGGGCAAAAGAACAAGCCACCAGGGCGGCCCTGTGGATGTCCCAAAAATATACCAGAAACAGCACGTGGCTCCAGCGTTGTACCCGGCTTACGCTGATCTGTTGGAATCCAAATAGAAGCATCACAACCAAAAGGAGGACAAGCATCTGTCCTTACCCTTCTGCCACTCAATACTTGTTCTGCAACCATGACTTTACGCGTAACAACCTCATTACCGTCAACATCAACAGAGTAAATGAGAATATTTCTAGGAATCAGATTGTTCATAGCAAAAGCTACATACTGCATGCAGTACGGCCAAAACGCATGATGACCACCACACGCATGAAGCGCAGCTCTCACATAAGAGAAAACAACTCTGATATTAGCCTCAGCAATACCATTATGTTGATGCACATACGGAACTGAGTACTGATGAATAATCCCTTTTCCTTTCAGAAAAGCTTCAAACTGGTTTGAAGTAAATTCACCACCATTGTCAGTACGCAAAACCTTTGGCTTCCACCCCAACTGATTTTCCAGAAGACTTACCAAGTAACCAATCTCTAACACTGCAGCGCTCTTCTGCTTCAATGGAAACGTCCAAACATAGTGCGAGAACTTGTCAACAATGATCAATGCGTTTTCTTCACCGTACAAACCTTTTGGCAACTTCACCTTTAAATCAGCAGACAGCTGATCACCAGGCTTCTTCACCACTTTTGCACTTAATGGGTGATACACATCTTTCATCTTGCTCATATGACAAGTGGTACAATGCGGCAACATTGGTAAAATACCTTCCAGCAAACTAGGGTCTTTAGAATAATCATAAGACACTTGATAAAGCCCATTCTTCAGCCCATCAATAATAGCTCCATAATTAATATGCGCTATATCATGAATGCTCATAATGTCAGAAATCACACGTTCAGTACGGCGCAGTTCAGTCGCAAGTGAAACCCGAGCAAACTTGACTGTCTCAAGCATGCCCTCTTTTGCAACAAAGTCTTCCACGCTCTTATAACTAACCATGTACCTCTTCATAAACTCTGGATCTTCAAACTGACGCTCAGTAAACGACTCATCAAGATACGCATATGACATATCCTGAACAATAACGGTTCTGAAAACTTTTGCCCGCGGTTTGTTCGTAAGCAATCCCGTTATTAGCCACATAGATGAGTCTGCATCACTGCAAATCTTGTTTTCTCTGGCAACCTTTGACGTTACTATAGCAGCGTCCTTACCAGAGGTTCTGGTGAGGTAAATGGGTGCAACCACGATATGCTCAAACCCAGGAATCAGCAGAACATTGCGCAACATCACTCCATTATCCTTATCTAACCAGATATCACCTGCTTTTGATGCATGTATCTTCGTCACATCATCACCCAGAATCACATTCACATTGGTAGGTCTTATACTTCCTTGAATGAACAGTCTGTCATCACCACAAATATGACGACCACTGCCAGAATCAATAAGAAGTAAACGGCTCTTCAAATAGTCCATTCCACTTTTTTCCTTGTTATCATAGCTCAGCTTTGTGTATTTAGTTTTGATGATATCACTTTCAGTATTCACTCTCGATTTAAGTCCAGCAGACAATAATACAGTCTCAGGAATCTCGACTGATGTCTTAGTTGGAGCACTAAACCCTGATGCTAAAAGATCATCCATTGAATCCACAAATGACACTTTTTCGGAGATAAAAGCTGGCTTCGTTACCATCTTTTTATATGCTATTTTCTCTGCAGGACCAGATGTCTCTGTACTGACTGCCTTTGAGTATCGTGATTTGCGGCCAAACTTCGGGTAGCCGATCTTCTCAAAAACTTTGTCACTCCCTGCCCTACTAGTAACAGTAAATTCTCCTCTCTTCAGTATCTTGCGTACTTCATCAAGCTCAGCACAATCTTTGCCATGCATTCTAACCAGGAAATCTACTTGAGGTTTAAACAATGGCATAAGAAACTTATCCACTGGAAACGCATCAAGTAATTTTTCAAAACCATCAAACATCTGCTCTTCAGTCCACTTGGCCATGTCAGTTGGTAAATCACCATACACTTCACTGAACGGTTTCTTTTCTGACTTCTGCTCATCTATCTTCACTTGGAAGACAGCTGAGACATACTGAATATTGTTTACCTTCTTTGTTGACTCATTTTCGGACTTTGGTCGAACTTCTGCAGCTGGTCGCTTTTCCACCATTAATGCTCTTGGGCCCACTGGCAATGAACTACCAACTTGTAGCTTCTTGCACACCACATATTCCCCATTAGTTGAATCCTGGCGCACTTGAGCATCATTCCTCACTACAATGCCAGCACTCACAGTATCAGGCACATCATAGTAAGGAGATGGATAATCTCTGAGGGCTTCAAAACCCTCACTTTCTTTCTTTTCAAAAATCTTAGTCAGTTCCTTGAGAAACGCAATATATGGGTTTGGATAATTCTCTGGTAAATTACCTTCTTCACAAAACTTCCTGTACTTTGGATGAAACTCTCGATAAAATGTTGCAGTACTTTTTGTCCTCTCAAACTTCTCTCGAAACTCTTTCAACTCAGGCTGATAAACCTCATTCATAGATAAACATAAATGATACGCAGCCAAATGCTGAGTATAGAGAACATTCATCATTAAAGAATCTGGGAACATCTCAGTATTCTGTTTATGATCCTTCTCATAGTTCCGAACTGCTCGCTTTAAGTTTTCAACAACTGCTGACACTCTTGTTGGTCTTGTCTCTGGTGTGAACCACTCAGATACTGGATACTCTTGTAACGACGAAAATCCAACACCCATCAGACGATTATTAGCACAATCAAGCCCATGATCAACCCTTTGCTCCAGTGCATGCTGAAGTTCAGTCATGATTGTTCTAATTGACTTTGAGTCTGTTGCAGTCACCAATCCTGAGAATTCCTTCAACATCAATTGAGTCACATAATTTGCTAGTTTCACACGTAACACTTGTCGCACAACTTCACACACTAAGAAAATACCAGCTTCATCTCCTTTATTTATATCTGCATCAAAAACTTCAAGAACACATTTGATATATGGATCATCCACCCTCAAAACCTGTACTCTCAAATCCTTTGCCATGTTATAAATCTCAGATTCTGGTGTTTCTGTTGTTGGTGATTGTTCATACAACATTTCGAGCCTTTTTTGCATTGAAATCTTGTTACAATAGAAACCTCTCTCGTCAGATCCTTTCAGTTTCACACGAAAGTAATAACTCAATTCTAAATTCAGCAATTTCTCAGTCGACTGATAGTCTTCAATTACTTTGCTTTTAAAGGTGTCTGGAACCTGTTCCTCAGTCCAGTCCAACACCTTTTGTAATTCTTGGTATCTCAATTGTCCATTGCATTCAATTTTTAGTCGTCGAATTTCATCAAGAATCATTCTGCCTGATTTAGTTTCACTAATTGGTCTCATAAAGACATCACCAGTTTTATCATTTACTCCCACTAATTCACTGTTCAAGTAATAGTCTCCAGTTTTCAGTTCACGACTAAACCTTCCTCTAAAGGGACCATTATCCACTCCTTCAAATTGGAGTCGCTTTCCTGACTCTTCACCTTGAAAATTTTTATTGTTGCCATCATTTTTTATTGACGAATCGTTGTTATCAGTTTTACTTCCAACTTGCCCAACTTTATCAGCTGAACCTTTTGTCGCTGTAGCTATTCCTGGCTGAACCATCTTAAATTAAATTAATGACTTTTATTGAACCAAATTATTTTACTGAAAAAAAAACTTGCTTAAAGTTACTGCTTGCTTGCACTCTAACCTAATACCTAAACAAATACTATCTCTTAAGTTTAAAACTCGTAGTCAATGAGACTCTTAATCTGTTAGGATTTACGTGGGCTCTAAATGGAATTCTGTGTTAGCTATTATAGTCGATTAGAGTACAGCAGTAAAAGGGCACAGCCAATTTAATAACAATAATATGGATCTTTATTTAATAATATAAACTATATAAACGTACCTAAATGGAATTCTGTGTTAGCTATTATAGTCGATTAGAGTACAGCAGTAAAAGGGCACAGCCAATTTAATAACAATAATATGGATAAGGAAAGAAAACAAATAAAATTTTCACTTTATTTTTGGTGTCCTTTTCCAAACCCTAACCTGTTATTTCTGTATCCCAACAAAAATGAGAGAATACGAATAACTCTTCTTCTTCATCATTATAATGAAAAAAAAACGGAAGCAGAGGAAGAAAAATCAAAATAATACTTGCACTTTTCTGAACTACTTTCAGAACGCCTTAAACCATCCCAATAAGCGAGAATATTTTCATTTAGTTTGATAAAAAGGGTAAAGGATATATAGATTTATATATATATATATATATATTATTTTTAATTTGTTTATAATATTTTTTCAAACATTTCAAACAAATTTTTTTTTTTTTTTTTTTTTTTTTATAATAATCAGCTTGTGTGATGTGATGTGATGAAAATACATTTTTGCATATTTACGTAATTATAATAATAGAGAGAGATAAAAAAAAAAAAAATCAGTTACTAGTGCAGACACCCAATGTAGATTTAATTGTTACTTGTTGCTTTTCAACACCACTTGGTACCATATGATGAAGATGACTTTTTTTTTTTTTTTTTTTTTTTTTACCAACAAAAATACGGTGCGCTAACATTTGCCTAACTTCTATATATAAATGATTATTATTATTATTATTATTATTTAGTTATATAATTAGGAATCGAGACTTTGAGATTTCTTGCTCAGATATTTTTTTTAATTCGACAACAACAACAACATAAGGACCCACTTGGTATTAATATTAGTAGTAGCATACATAATAATGTATATACTTTTGTATAGTATCGTCATCAAGACTGTTTGAATCGTGATTACGATACGATTGTTACATATATATATACATATATTAAAAAAAGAAAACAAAGCTCATTCTGGTTAAAATAGACCCTACGACTAGTTTTCATCTTAAGAAGAAAAAGAAGAAGAAAACTAGTGGTAGTAGTGTTTACAAGCTTATAAACATTTACATCCCATTGTTTCCTTTTTTTTTTTTTTTTTTTTTTTAAGGCTTTTCACCTCCACCCTCATGGTTACTGGAAAAATTACGGCTTTTCTATTGTTTTTTTTTCTTATTTCATTGTACAAATATAACAATAACAATAACAATAATACTACTTACCACTATGTTAATTAACATTAAAAAAATTAACTTTCTTTTTTTTTTTTTTTTTTTTAAATTCAATTATATCTAGATACATATTGACTTTATTTTTTTTTTTAGAAACAATTGTGTAACTTGAAAACTTTTAACTGAAATTTCAACATCTCTTATAATTATTATAATAATAATAATAATAATAAAACAAGAAATGTCTTTAATGCCTTGAATGCGTTTCAGCGATTTTTATTTTTTATTTTTTATTTTTATTAATAATTTCTTCCATTTCTTCCTCTTCCTAAACGCATCATCATCACACTATATTTCCTGTTACTAATAATCTTTCATCACTTATAAAGAACGCCCATTATTATCATTATTATCATTATTATTATTATTATTATCACCAATATTTATAATTTTTTTTTTTTCCCTTTTCCCTTTTACCTTTTTTGGCTATTTTCTCGCTAGTAAAATTTGAACCCCGTTTGCCTTATAAGACTTGATAATTATCAATTTTTTTTTTATTTTTACATTTAATTGTTTTTTTTTTTAGCATATCTTGGATCTTTCAATATGGAGTAAATAAAAATTTCCCCTTGTTTTTTTTTTTTTTGCTAATTGTTATAATTGTTATAATTACTATAATATATATATATATATACTACAACTATTATACAAAATTTTTTTTTTTTTAAAGCTAATTACTAAAAACTATCCTTTCTTATTGTTCAAATAAACTAAATGCAGGAACACCCTCGGTGCATCTAATACTCTAAAATTTAAACCCGAGTACCGACCTTCTATTTTACCTCTTCCCCTCTAAATCGGTCACGGAACTTGAATCCTTAAAAAAAAAAAAACCAACCCCTAAAACCAACCCTAAAAACACTCATACAAAATCTCCATCCTTATCCCCACCTCCACCTTCATCTTCATCTTCATCTTCATCTTCATCTTCATCTCCACCTCCATTTCTATCCCCACCCAACCCCCGCAATGCTTATTATTTGCTACACAATTATGTAAATTATTATTACCAAATCACAAAAAAAAATATATATATATATATATATGTAACAAAAATTTAATGTAATGTAATACAAAATAATAGAACCGAGGTCTAAAATTTCAACATACTCATCTCTCTCCATCCCCCCCCCCATTATGGACAACCCGCCACTCACCACCCCACCCCACCTTCACTCCACCCCCACCCATTTTCGATTCCAATATAAAAAGGTTTATTCAACACCTCTAATTTTTTCTCTTCTTTACAATTTAACATATCTCCCTCTCTCTTCTTTCTTAAAGAAAATATCTTCCTACTAAACCTATTAAACCTACTTATTCATTTATCAACTATATTAAAAAAGAATGACTCATCTTAATACCTGGCTAACTAAAGCAACCGGTGTTAGAATTCCCATCATCCAAGGAGGCATGATGTGGGTTGGTAAAGCCGAATTGACTTCGGCTGTCGCCAATGCTGGTGCACTCGGATTCATAACAGCTTTTGCACAGCCGTCTCCTGAGGCTCTAAGCTTGGAAATCCGCAAATGCAAAAAACTCACAGACAAACCCTTTGGAGTTAACCTTACCCTATTACCTTCTATCAACCCGCCAGACTATAAGGCATATGCACAGGCCGCTTTGGACGAAGGAATCCGCATCTTTGAAACTGCAGGAAACCCTCTCCCGGTTTTTAAGCTACTTAAGGACAATGGAGCTGTGGTAATTCACAAGTGCATCAGTATTCGTCATGCCCTTCGTGCCGAAGCCCTTGGTGCCGATGCAATTAGCATTGACGGCTATGAATGTGCCGGGCACCCTGGTGAGGACGATGTGACAAGTTTGATTCTGTTGGCTAAGGCAGCCCGAGTGCTTAAGATTCCATACATTGCATCCGGTGGGTTTGCAGATGCACGCGCATGCGCCGCGGCTTTTTCCATGGGTGCTTCCGGGGTTAATATGGGCACACGTTGGTTGTGCACCGTGGAAGCACCCGTTCACATGGCAGTCAAGGAGCAAATCACCAAAGCCAAGGAGACGGACACACAGCTGATTCTGCGGGCATTCCGTAACACATCGCGTGTGTATAAGAATGACGTGTCAGTGGAGACTGCCCGCATTGAGCGGGAGAAGCCTGGCGTCAAGTTTGAGGACGTGCGTGAGCTGGTGGCTGGTGCTCGTGGATCCACAGTATACTCGACGGGTAATGTGGAAGCTGGTGTGTGGTCTGTAGGACAATGTATTGGAGTTATTGATGACATTCCTACCTGTGCAGAGCTTGCTTCTCGTCTAGAGCGTGAGATTATAGAGATTTTGACTGAGACTCCAAAACGGATTATTGTGGAGGACCGTGATAATAGTTCGAAGCTTTAAAGTAAATTTATTTTTTGTATGTATGTATTTTATTGATTAATGAGAAGAATTTTTTTTTTTTTTGTCTATTGAATGAAATTAAATTAAATTAAATTAAATTAAAGTAAATGAAATTGAATTGAGTTGAATTTTTCTTCTTTTGAGAGAAGATTTGCTGAGTAAAACAGATTCTTTTTTATTTTTTTTTATTGTGTAAAAAGTATTGAATTATTATATAATTATTATATTATATAATATAGATTTTAAATGAATAATTTAAAGTTTGTTTTTTACATTACAGTTTTTTTTTTTTAATTTTTACATTTGAGTAAAACTAAAAAAATAAAATAACCTATAAAAGTATTTTATAAATATTATTACATCAATGAATCAATTAACACGTATATAAATATAAATATATATATATATATATATATAAATGTATTTTATTTTATTTTTTTATTTTTTTATTTTATTGTATTTTATTGTATTTTAATGTTATTTTCTTTTCTTTTTTTTAAAAAGAAATGACGGAGGAGATCGCCGCAGCCTCCGCCTAATATCAAGCCATGAAATGGGTAAGCACTGGGCGGTCAATAGAACGTTTTTATAAAAACAAACAAACAAACAAACAAAAAAAGATATATGTCTATATAAAGAAAAAGAAAAAGAAAAAGAAAAAGGGGAAGAGAAGAGAAGAGAAGAGAAGAGAAGAGAAGAGAAGAGAAGAAAAAAGACCAAAGGAATACAAGCGGAGTTTTATTTTATTTTTTTGGCATCATCTTTCAAATGGTAGTAGAAGCAGCAGCAGATGTAGCAGCAACAGCAGATGTAGCAGCAGCAGCAGAAGTAGCAGCAGCAGCAGAAATAGCAGCAGAAGTAGCAGAAATGGTAGCAAAATAATAAAAAAAAAATAGCAGCAGAAGCAGCAAAAAAACATCAGAAGCAGCAGCAGCAGCAGAAGCAGCAGAAGCAGCAGTAAAGGCAAAGAGCAAAGGGCAAAGGACAAAAGACGAAAGGTAAAATGTAAAATGTAAAAGACAAAAGATAAAATTTTAAAGAGGCAGGGAATGATTGAAAAGTAAAAAATAAAATAATATAAATAAAAAATAAAAAAATAAAAAAAAAAAAAAAAAAAAAAAAAGGGCCAAAAGTCACAGAATTCATAAAAGTCATAAAAGTCATAAAAGTCAAGTATTATAATTAAAGTATATAACGTTTAATCGTGTATGCCTGTCTGTCTGTCTGTCTGTCTGTCTCTCGAAATGTGAATATGTGGTGTGCGAGAAGAAGACACAAATAAAAAAAAAAAAAAAAAGAAAAAAAAAATTTGGATATATTAAGGCTGGCTTTTCTCCCGGTTTTAATCTTTTTTTTTTTTTTTTTTTTTTTTTTTTTTTTTTTTACTTTTATCAATAATAATAATAATAATAATAATAATAATAATAATAATAATAATAATAATAATAATAATAATAATAATAATAATAATAATAACATCAACAACAATCAATAAAAATCAATAAAATCAATAAAAAAAATTAACAAAAATTAACAAAAATTAACAAAACCACTCAAATCTCTTCTTTCTCTTTTTATTTTTATTTTTATTTTTTTTTAAAACTTTTGATTGTTGTTTCTCTTCTCTTCTTATTTTTTATTTATTTATTAAATTCATGTCCTATCATATCCCTTCAGCAGACTTGGCTGTTTTTGAACCAACATCTACAGCTCCTCCTGCTTTCTCCCAAATGCCTTCAGTCTCAGCTCCAAGTCATGGCCCTCATGGTGCATACCCAAATCATTCGCCCATGGGATTTGCATACCATCCAACTACATCTAACTCTACTGCTACTACTACCTCTACGGTCCCAATGACCTTTTCGGGTTCTACCGCGTCATCATCATCATCATCGTCATCATCATCGTCATCATCGTCGTCAATGAATGGACATCCTCATATTTCTCCTGCTCTTCCATCCTCTCAAACTTTCTCTTCTCAATCATCTCAATCATCCCAATCTTCTCAATCACCTACTCCACATATTCAAAACCCAAACTACAGTTATGCAGGATACCCAAGCACATCTGCCTCACTCGGCTCTGCTCCAATCGTGGTTACACCTACCACCAACTCTGCGGGGCCACATCCACAAATGTACATGTCTCATCATCATCATAATTCCCAAGCTTCATACGTTACAACCTCAGGCCCCACAGTTCCCACTTATGATGCATTTGCGCCGCCGCCACAACATCAACAACAACAACAGCAGCAACAGCAACATCAAAATAATAATTACCCTCATTATCATGCCGCCAATTCTGCTCCAGCCACTATTGATCTTAGTAGTCCCCCAATTTCTGCTCTTACTTATGAAGCTGCTGCTACTGCCACCTCTTCGTCTACACCGCATCCGTTTGACCCTAGCCTTACACGTCAACAGCAGCCGTATTCTAGCGAGCTCAAGTTAACTCAACCGGTTTATACCCCAACCACGGCCCCATCGTCTACTGGAGAAACTTTTGCGTTTGGAGCATATTCTACTTCGGCATCTATGGGGGATATCAACAATAGTAACAGTAACAGTAACAGTAATCACAATCGTAATCATAGTCGTCATAATCGCCATCATTCTCATTCTCATTCTCATTCTCATTCTCATTCTCATTCTCATTCTCATTCTCATTCTCATTCTCATTCTCATCATCATAATAACAATAACAATAGTTTTAGTCATAATCATAATAGTAATAGTAATAATAATAGTAGTAGTAGCAACCCAGTCACAGGCGCTCCAACCTTTTTAGCATCGACACCTGCAAATCCATTGACTTTACCTGCAACTACTGGTCTTACAAGTCACCATGATCACACCAACATGTTTGGTGCTCAAAATTCGCTACAACAAATATCCACAGTTACATCATCGGCAGGGTTTGCTGCAATTCCGGCCCATGCTCAGCCACAGCAGCATTATACGCATTCTCCACAGCAGCAGCAACAACAACAGCATTACCAATATTATACTCAATATCCAGGAGTACCTTCTGGAATTGCGCCTAATGATCCTCAGCAACAGCAACAGCAACAGCAACAACAACAACAACAACAAGCCCAATCTTTCATATCATATTACGGGGCTCCGATGTCAGTTCCAGGGCTTGGAGCACCCATGGCTCCAACATTAAGTTTAAGCAGCAGTGCACCTGGGCTTGTTGGAGTTTCCAGCAGTGGCACGAGCTCTTGTGGTAGCTCACCTGGTTCTAGCCACAGCCATGGGAAAAAATCTAGTTCTAGTCGGCGCAAAAAGACAAGCAGCAGCGGCAGCGGCAGCGGCAGCGGCAGCAATGGCAGTAATACGGCGGGCGGGAGCGGGAATACGGCACCGGCTCCAAGGAAACGTACGACTAGGGCGTGTGATCAGTGTAACCATTTGCGGACCAAGTGCGATGGAAAGCAGCCTTGTGCACACTGTATTGGTAAGTTTTTTTTTTTCTTTTTTTCTTTTTTCCTCGATTTCTATTGTGTGTGTGTGGATTTTTGTTGAAAGGTTTGTTTGTTTATTTGTTTGGCTATCTGTTTGTTTGTTTGTGCATATATATATGTACATGCGTGCCTTGTTTTTTTTATTATTATTATTATTATTATTATTTTTTAGCGAGCCGTATTGGGATGACAAAAAAAAAAATAAAAATAAATAAAAATTGTGTGGGCGCAGGTAACGAAACAGAAAATTTTTTATTAAGAAAAAAAAAAAGAAAAGTTTTTTTTTTTTTTTAATTTTTTTTATTTTTTACCCTTTAACCTTTGTTTAAATACAAAAGAAGAAACACCATATTTACTTTTATTTTAGAAATAGAAGAAGAAGAAGAAGAAGAAGAAGTTTTTTTTTTTTTTTTTGGTAATTAATAATAACTAACATTGATATTTCTAGAGTTCCATTTGGAATGCCAGTACCTGCGAGTCCCACTAAAACGTGGTAAAGCCAGTATCACCTATATTGAATCTCAACGTGAAAAGATGCGCCAACAACAATTATTGGCTAACAAGCAACAGTAATTATATATATATATATATATATATATATATATATATGTAAAAGAGATTTTAAAGAGATGATAAGTTATAATGATGATTTCATGAATGAATAAATAATTTGTGTATTTTATTTTATTTTATTGTTTTTTTTTTAATAAAGTTGAATTATTGAAGGGGTTTCTATTGAAGCTGGAATTACTCTTCCGGAGTATAAATTCCAGGTTTTAAATTTTCTTTTTTTTTAAAAAAAAAAAAAAGAAATTATCATTTTAAAACAATTGTGAAGTTAAAGTGGAATTTATTAAATAATTTATATAAAGAAGAAGAAGAAGAAGAAGAAGAAAAAAAAAAGTTCAGGGCAGCAGTATTTTACGAGGTTAAAAAAATTAAAATAAAATAAAATAAAGAAAAAGAAAAAGAAATCATTCATTAATTATATATAATTAATAAGCTGATCACTTAAGTGATCACTAATGATGATAAATGTACTCCTTTGATTCGTATTCAACCTAATATTATATTTTTGTGGGTTTATTAAAGTGAGATATTTTTTTAATTATCACTACAACAATTCTAACTAAAGGGGGTTTCTTTTTTATTATTATTATTTTATTATTATTTTTAAATTAAATTATATTTAAAGTGGGTTCGACTACGCCAGATAAATAAAATAAATTTAACCGCTAATTTTGATTATAATTTACCTTAATTAAGTTAAATTAACAAACTTTCTTTCCTTCGTTTTATTTTATTTTTTTTTTAATGTCAAATTTTTTTATTTTTTTCCTCTTCTGGATACGGCTCTATCAGATTTATATGATTGAATGACATCAGTATAAAACATTATTTAATCTATAAAGATATAATGATTCTTTCAAAGAAAAAAAAAAAGAAAAAGAAAAAGAAATTGTAAATTGTAAATTCTTCACGAAAAAAAGTTTTTAAAACAATAAAAAAAAAGATACATCATCATTTTCCTTATTATCAATATTTATTTTTTATTTTTTATTTTTTATTTTTTTATTCTTTCAAAAACAGATTCGCACTTAAGCGAAATCAAAGATTTTTTAATTTATAAATTATCATATGCTTAAAAGCATACAAAAAATAAAGAAATGTGGAGACTATTAGATCAAAAAAAAAAAATTAAATTAAATTAAATTAAAAACAAAATTCCCGCTTTATTTCCCGGGAAACACGGGCAACAATGATTGATGCCTTGCCAGGTAAGGCATCATTGTGCTTTTTAGAAATATTATAATCATCAACTTAATATATATATAATTATATAAGTTGTACCTCGAAAATTCCTACAGCTTTTTTCCATGACGCAAAATTAAGAAATAGAAAATAAAAATGGAAATTGAAAATAGAAAATTGAAAAATAGAAAATAGAAAATAGAAACAAAGATAAAGATAAAGATAAAAAATGACACCAAAAAAAAAAAAAAAAAAAGCTTCAATTTAAGCAGGGTATATCAGTACATTCATGGGAACACCGAGCGAAGCAACGGCATCAGGATCTAACAACGTAAACAAATTGTTGTTGCTGTTATTATTATTGTTGTTGTTATTGGTAATGTTTTAAGCAATCAAAGGACAAGTACTAATGGATCATCATATCCATGAGTCCAGCCCTTTGTCCCTTTTTTCTTAGACACCCTTCCCCCAAGTAATGACCAATGTTTGTTTGAGCGCGCGCGCGCGCATGCTCAAATAACTAGTTAGTACTACCAGGTGCGCATTATTATCAATAAACAATGTAATAATATCAACCCTTAAAGGTTTAGTGGGGAGAGAAAAAAATTTTTTTTTTTTATTTTGTTCAATGTAGTAGCAGTAGCAATAGCAGTAGCAATAGCAGTAGCAATAACAGTTGCAGTTGCAGTTGTAGTTGTAGTTGTAGTTGTAGTTGTAGTTGTAGTTGTAGTTGTAGTTGCAGCAGCAGTAATAAACAAAACCTTTTTGAACTCATTTCAAGGTTGTTTTGTAATTTCCTACCATTCTAACAATGCAAGTAAATGAACAGATTGTTTAAGTCAGTTTTCATATTAGGAAATAAACCCACATTGAATAGAAAATATAGAAAAAAATATATATTTTTTTTTTATATTTTCCCTATATTTTCTATTTTTCATATATATAAAATAATAATAATTTCAAAAATTCTTTCTCCCTTTCTTACCCGTTTAAAAACATTTGTAGCTGCATGCGCGCACACCTGCTCCCATACTTTTTTTTTTTTTTTTTTATTTTTCATAGACGCAGGGAAGGTACAGACGACAATAATAACAATGCTCTTCTAATTTGTTTGTTTTTGGCGAAATATTTTTCTGTTGCTGCTGCTGTTTTTAGTATGAAGGCTTATTTCCTGTCGCGGTCGGTTGCTGGTTACTTTACTTTACTTTACTTTACTTTACTTTACTTTACTTTACTTTATTTTACTTTATTGTTGTCCAAAAAAAGGTTTATTTTTATTTTCTTTTAATTGTAAAGACCTATAAAAAAAAAAAGAGGTCATTTTTACTGGCCAAAATGGAAAGAAACACCAGAGTTAAAAAAAAAAAAATTAAAAAAATTAAAAATTATTTTTCAAAAAATAAAAAAAATAAATGGGGTTTAAACTTGAAATAACTTATCTGAACTTTTTGTATATATATATATATTTTTTTATTGGGATTTTTCTTTGCAACTGCCTACCAAGGATTAATATCTGTTGCTTTTGCTCTCAGGTTTTAAAGTATATAAAAACTTGTAATTTGTGACTTTTTGGCTTCTTCTTCTTCTTCTTCTTCTTCTTCTGTTATTGTTAGTACTTCATCTCTTCATCTGCCTGTGTCTCTACTGCTACTAATACAGTATTATTTAACATCGATGATTGAACGTCTTGCATACCAAAGCACCCAACCGCCCAACTTTTGATAAATGCAAAAGGGTCTAGACCCGTAAAAAAAAAAAAAACTTTTCCTAAAGCGCACTTAAGAAATCACAACTTAAATATGTCTCTGGTGTAGAAGTTTCTTTTTTTTTTTTTTTTTTTTTTTTTTCAAAGAAAATGTTAATTGGAAAATACGCGAGATGTAAAAAAATAAAAAAACAAATAATAAAAAAATAATATTTTTTTTTTTTTTTTTTTGGTATAGTAGTAATCTAACAAAATCAAAAAAAAAAAAATAAAATAAAAAATTCACCGATTGTATGATTGACGATAATTATTATAATAATTATGATTGACCATGATCATGATAAGAAAAGGGCAAAATTACTAAACCATGCAGAATGTTTCGGCTAAGTTTTAACCATGAAGAAAAATACTCGGTTTTAATTTTTTTGATCAAAAATCAATTTAAAGTAAAACATAAAAAAAAATTTAAAGACCTAAATAAACAAATAAGGAAAATAGTTTTTTCTTTTTGTTTATTTTTTTTTTTTCAACAAAGAAATCTCTTTCAATGAAAAAATGAAAAAATGAAAATAAAAATTTCAATCAAGATGAAAAGAATTAAAAAATTAAAAAAATTAAAAAATTAAAAAAATTTGTGGAATTAAAAATTTTTTTTTTTAGAAAATCCAATCATCTTATTATGCTACAATAAAAAAAATTACACAAAAATTACACAAAAAACAAAAACTATCCAGCCGTACACCACATGCATAAAGTCTAAATTATATTTATCCAAATATTCTAAGTTTCAAGTTATATCTTTAACTGTTATTTTTCATTATAAACCTAAACCTTTATTTCTCAAGTTTCATATCACATGACAAATTATATTACCCTAAACCTAGTGAAATTTTTCACTTGTTCTCTTTTCTTGCACGGCCGTTGACGATTTTCTCAGGAAAAAAAAAAAAAAAAAAAAAAAATAAGCACAAAACCTTCAATTTTTTTTTTTTTCCTAACCACCACCACCATTTAATCTATTATCACCATCACCATCACCATCACCATCATCATCAACCACAGACCATGTATGTATTTTTTTAAAAAAAAAAAAAAAGGCCAAAACCTCCTATCTAACTATTACCTTTCTTTCTATTTTGCATCTAATTTTTCTTCTAGGTCAGATAATCCCCCTGAGCAGGTCCCGTCACAGGACAACACTACCATCCAACAACAACCCCCACAGAGCAACCCCAGCGACGACCAACAACAGCAACAACAGCAACAACAGCAACAACCCTCAGAATCATCTCTTGCTGATTTAACAATAACAACAACTGCAGATAACAGTCCGTCAACCCTCTCTTCAGAAAAACCTATTCCTACCGGCCCAGCTAGCTTCAACAATGCCTCTACAACAAACCCCCCGGCATCCAATGGTAACAACTCTAACGGCCGTCGCGGCCGATCTCGCTCTCGCTCAATGTCCCGCTCTCTCTCCCAATCCCGCTCTCGCTCTCGCTCTCGCTCTCGATCGTGGTCTCGTTCACCTTCATATACCCCTCGCTCCCAACGTCACTCATCTCACTCCCCAGCAGGCCGCTCCCCCTCATATTCTCGCTCCCGCTCCCGCTCCAGATCTTGGTCTCGTTCCCACTCACCTTCATACTCTAGATCTCCCTCAAGATCCCTCTCTCACTCTCCTGCTCGCGGAACTAAAACAGACAATGGCGGCCGTGAACGCGAACGCGACCGTGAACGTGAACGCGACCGTGAACGTGAACGCGACCGTGAACGTGAACGCGACCGTGGTGGCCGTGGCCGTGACCGCGAACGCGAACGTGAACGCGAACGCGACCGTAGACAACCCTACCGCGAAAACCTCGTTAAGGTTGTTGTCGATAACCTGACCATGAGTATCAAGGAAGAACATATTCGCGAGATTTTTGGCGGTTATGGGCGCATTGAAAACGTCTGGTTTATCAATTCGCGAGCTCGTCGTCTCCGCAATTTGCGTGGATACTCTTGCTACATTGTCTACCAAACTCCGGCAGAAGTCACCCGTGCCATTGCAAGCATGGATGGCGGTATGATTGATAATAATACCATCACTGTGGCCCGTTTCTTGGGCTCCACCAGTAATGGTGGCAGCTCTTCAAAGGGAAATAACGAAGGCAAAGATAATAATAATAATATTATTAATAATAATGATGACCAGCAGGCTGCTGGAGGTTCAAAGAGAAACCGCAGAGGCAGAAGACGCAAAAATCGCAGAGACCGCAGAGATCGTAAAAGCAAAGTCGACACTTACAGACCTAAACGTGATGGCAATGGAGCCCCCACTGGTGGAAATGGTGCACCCAATGACGCTTCTAGATCTCCCTCGCCAAACCGTGATTACTCTCCGGCAGATCGCAGTCGTTCGCGCGATCGCAGACGTCGTCGCGAAAGCCCGAGCCCTGGAGGATATAGTCGTAGCCGTTCCTATACCCCACCACCTCGCCGTTCATCTAAATTTTAACAATAAAGATGATTATAATGATATATTTACAAAACAAGTCTTTTAAAAAAAAATAAATTAAAAATAAAATAAGTTTTCATATATATATGCATATATACATATAAATAAAATTAATAAATGTTGGGTTTATTCTTTTTTTCTAACTATTTACAAAAAGGACTGCTGCTTGGCCCCAATCTTGGCCATCGAAACAGCCAACAACATACGGTAGCGCATGTCACTCGTCTCATCAATCGTGGAAATTACCACAAACTTGCCCTGTGCCCGATCCTCTGGTGCCCGCCAAAACTCGTGCCCTGGAACGGCCTTATTACGCTCAGACGCTGGTGCTGCACGACAGCGGCCTGCAACAGACAAATAAGTTTTCGACGACAACAAACTGTCCCAGCCCAGCGCATAGATCCGGTCAAGCCCGGGCCAGTCAAGACCGGCCACAGCCCGAGCGCGCACCAAAACTACCTGTGGCAAATCTTTACCCTCTTCACCCTTGTCTTGGTCCAAAAACAGCGTATTGGTATCATCTTTAACCATGGAAGAGTCTCCTGAATACACACCACTCGAATTGCCAACAGTCGCCAGGGTCGCACCTGGAATCTGGTAACGCGATTCAAGAATCTGGACAAGATTGCTAATCGAAAAGGCTTCAGGAACAACCACAAGAGCTCGCCGGAGCTTCCCACCTTGTGCATCCACTTTCATGGCCTTCACAAGCCCTGCAGCATAAACACCAAGAAGTTTTTCTCGCTGAGGTTTACTAAGAGCTGCATATTCCTGAACATGTTTTTTAACACGCTCATCATTCACCTCACCTACAACGTCAAAAGCGTTCTGCGTCATTTCCGGCAAAATGCTACTCACATCGTAATCAGTATTCTCCAGGGTATCCAAAAAAGGGTTATAAGTAACAAAGTAACTGCACACATCTCGTGGAACTTGACTCTTCACTTGTAAACTCTTGTTGCCGCTGTTACCACCGTGATCATCCAGCCCCAATCGCAACATGGGTCTTCCAGAAATCCACCCTCGTTTCGCCGCCTCCGCTTTGAGCCGGCTCGATGCTGTTGACGACTCCAACAGAACCTTCAGAGGAATAAATGCTGGCGCCGTTTTCTGCACCCATGCGTTGCGCCACGCCACAACGTGGTCCAGTAGCAGCTGCGCCGGTGGCTTGGCCAACGAAACTGGCCGATGTCGTGCAACCTTCCGCGTCTGTTTCACCCGACTGTGCACCGACTCCACTGGCAATAGCGTGTCTGCCTCATCTACAGCTATCGCGTATACCCCATGCAACGGAACACACGCACGGGCTCCAGACGAAAGCAGGTCCAGAAGTCGCGCAGGCGTCCCCACCAATATGTGAGGCCCCGGGTGTTCCCGTAGCTTGTCCTCCTGTGCCTTCTCCCCAGCCTTGTCTGTGCGAAACACAGCCTGCACCACCTGTGCAGGTTCCAGTCCAGCCCCGTCAATTAACTTCTCAAACACCACCCGGTACTGTTCCGCCAGCGCCGCCGTCGGAACAACCAACAGATTCGTAACTGATGATAAACCGTTATTTTCTCCCTGTTGTCTTAACGCGGGTGGGGCCGTTGTGTTGAGCATGTATAACGCTGTTGCTAGTGTTTTGCCCGTTCCAGCCGGCGACTTGACGAGCAACGACATATCCGAGTTGAGTAGTGCAAGCATATTTCGCTGAACTGTGGTCGGCCGAGAGACTTCAGGGAATGCTCGCTTTAATGCATCCACAATGGCAGGTCGGATTTGCAGGTCTTCAAACGTCTTTGCTTCTTTAGGATCGATCTTGATGGATATCCCGTCCTCATTAGCCTTGGCCTGCTCCATGTCCTGGTCCAGTTCGCCTTGAACTCGCTGAACTATCTTTTCTTTGCGTGTTGAAAATGCCCGCCGCATGCACCCGCAGGCTGAAACCGGACTCCTCAGTCTAGATAGCAGCATGGTTATGGTATTGTTATTGCAGCGTGATTTAAAATACTGGTTTATTTGGAGTAACCAAAATCTCCAGTGAAAACTTGATGAAAAAAAAAAAAAAAAAGAAAAAAAAAAAAATTGACAAAAAACCCCAACCCTGATTTCCTTAATTAAATTTAAATTTAGCTCCCATAACTATTTGGTGCTGGTCCACCCCGCCGCTACAATTAAAAAACGTGTACGCTGGGACACTCCAATTTTCTTTCTCTATTCCTTTTACTATCCACAACCTTATCCTTCCCCCTCCAAAAAAACTAGCAATGTCGGAACTTTCACAAGTCTCGGACCCAGAACCTTCACATAACTTTCTTGCTAGCTGTGTCTGGTTCTTGTGGCGCCTGGTCGTGCGTCTCATTAGTTCTATCACCTACTACTTCTTTTCTCTCTTGAGTAAGCGGCTTAACGTCACACTCAAGGTATCTTCTCTGTAAGTTTGTTCCAAATTATACTTTGCTCAATTGCTGACTTTTTAAGACTCTTTATCTTTATCCTCTTTGCTCTAGTAATATGGGCCATTATTCGCTACCGTTACTTGACTACTTACTCCCGGCTTCCACCAGAAGTCCTGCGGCAAGAACCTAAAATTGATCTTTTCATGGACTCAAGCCCAGACCAAGACTCCAAGTCGGGCTTTTCCACTTATCTGGAAGACTTCTTCAGTGCAATCAAAATTTTTGGATACCTTGAGCGTTCTGTTTTTCACGAACTAACCCGCCAAATGCAAACTTACAAGCTTGAGCCCGGCGAGGTTTTCCCCATGAATGGCGAAAATGACTTCTCTGTCGTTGTTGATGGTACCCTTCAAATCTTTACAAAGTCAAAGAACCCTGACCTTGCAAGGCATTCGTCGACCGGGTCCACCACCATAAATGGAGAATCATATGAACTCGTCAATGAAGTGAAACGAGGAGCTCCAGTCTCTTCTCTTTTCACTGTCTTGCTTTTGTTTACAGATAGCCTTAAAGCATCGTCAAATGACCCTGCCCGCACTCAGCAATTTAATGCGTCCGCAACCACTCTTAACCAAAATTTGTCACAAGATTTCATCTCAGATACATCTTCGTCCTCAGACGGGTTGCTATCGTCGCCTTCTAGAATGAACCTTTCCGACGCCCAAATCCCCATGGATGCTGGTGACGCCGCACGCTTCCGGTTCCACCTGGCTGGTACGGTTGCACGCGCCGTTGAGGAAACCACAATTGCAATGATACCCAAGCGCACATTCCATAAACTTGTCTCAAAGTACCCCAAATCTACAACCCATATTGTTCAAGTTATATTGACGCGCCTTTCTCGTGTCACATTTCAAACAGGTCACAACTACCTGGGCTTGACTCCGGAAATTTTCGAAACTGAAATTATCTTAAATAACCGCGCAACATATGAGCTTCCACCTTACCTTCGTGACCTTGCAGTTAAGGGTATTAATGAGTACCTGGAGGCACATCCAGATAGCAAGGAAGAAAGTTTTGTTTATCTTGCTAAGGACAAGTCTTCACGATACAACATTCCAAACTATTCCAATGCTCAATCGCGTCAAGTCAGCTTACAACTTAATCGATCGCATCCAGGTGACTTACTGAGCAATGTTCCACTCTCTCGTACAGATTCTTCTTATCTTCAACCTGAAAATTTTGGTATTCCTTCCAAAAGAATCCCCTTTTCTGCTGATGAAGAAACTGAAGACTCGGCTCTTCGTGTGGCCGTCACGGAGTGCATTTTTAAAGTTCTTGGTTTAGACAACCAGGGATTAAAAACTGAAGATTACACTTCTGTTGCAGCTAGCCCAATGATGTCGGCTGTTGATGATCGCAATATTAGACATCACCGCAATTCTTTTAGTAACGTTATTACCAATCTTTCCAAAATTGAGGACTTGAGATCGGTTAATGATGACGAATCTGTTTCTTCTGTTAATCTTTCTTCACATGAAAATGCTCAGATTGAAGCTGCAAAGGATTTGGAAATCATCTATTACAAACCTGACAGCATTCTTGTTGAGCAGAATGGTGAGTCCCATGGTCTTTTCTTTGTCATTGACGGTATTCTCGATGTCGGCTACCGCGATAAACACAACAAATATCATGAATTATACACTGTAAAGCCCGGAGGACTTGCTGGCTTTATTGCATCCGTTTTATCTTCCAGGTCCTTTGTCGAGGTACGTGCCAAAACTGGAGCTTATGTTGGCTTTTTGCCTCAATCTACCATTGACCGCATTTGCGAAAAATACCCATTGATTTTATTGGGTATGGCCTATATGCTCACCTCAAGTTTGTCAGATTTGATGATTCTTCTTGACTTTGCTCTGGAATGGGTCCAAATCCCCGGCGGCCACATGTTGTTTAATGAGGGCGACCCGGCGGATTCAATATACATTGTACTCAATGGTCGGTTAAGATCTTTTGTGCGCGAGGGAACTAATTTGAAGGTTCATAGTGAATATGGTCAAGGTGAATCTATTGGTGAACTTGAGGTCTTGACGGCCTCCAAAAGACCTTACAGCTTGCATGCTATTCGTGAAACAGAGCTTGCCAAGTTCCCACTTACTCTTTTTGAAAATCTTGCAAAGCGGCATCCATCTACTACTATTGAGATTTCCCGAATTGTGGCATCTCGAGTGCTTAATAGACTAGGTGCTCCGTCACTTGAAGGCTACGAGGCTCCACCTTCAACCAATTTCCGTACTGTTTCTATTATCCCCATTACTGAAGGACTACCAGTTTCCGAGTTTGCCACCAAACTGTTTACTTCATACAAGGATATTGGCCACCAGGTATTTTCACTAAACATCGCCACAGTGCTTCACAAACTAGGTCGTAACGCATTCAACAAGATTGGTGGCCTCAAACTATCAGGATATTTGGCAGATCTGGAAGAACGGTACCAAACAGTCATGTATGTTGCAGATGTGTCAGTCTCCTCACCTTGGACTCACACATGCATTGCGCAAGCTGACTGCATCTTATTGCTCGCAGATGCATCTGCCCAACCTGATGTGGGCGAATTTGAAAGGTTGCTGGTAACGATGAAGACCACAGCTAAGACAGAGCTCATCTTTTTGCACCATGACCGATATGTTGTACCTGGCTCAACGGCCAAGTGGCTGAAAAACCGCATTTGGGTTAATTCGCATCATCATGTGCAAATGGATTTTGCACGAAATATGGATGACAATGAGAGCCAGCAGGTATATGGACGTCTTTCTGTGATCCGCAGCAAGGTCAAGCATATACAATCGGAGCTTATTACTAAATATCGCCGGCGAGGAATGCCAGTGTATGCAAATAATTATGTACACAAGAGCGATTTTGCGCGGTTGGCACGTATTTTATCAGGCCAAGCTGTAGGACTTGTGCTTGGAGGTGGTGGTGCGCGAGGAATCTCGCACATTGGTGTGATTCGGGCGCTTGAGGAAAGTGGAATACCCATTGACTATGTTGGAGGAACTTCGATTGGATCGTTTGTGGGCGGACTTTATGCTCGGGACTACGACATGGTTCCAATCTACGGGCGGGCCAAGCAATTCGCAAGCCGTATTTCGAGCTTGTGGCGCATGGTGTTTGATCTTACATACCCGGCAACATCCTACACTACGGGACACGAGTTTAACCGAGGCATTTGGAAAGCGTTTGGCGAGTCGCAGATTGAGGATTTTTGGCTGCGGTACTTTACTAACACTACCAACATTACCCACTCGCGCATGGAGATCCACCAGTCCGGATACGCCTGGCGCTATATTCGAGCGTCCATGTCGCTGGCCGGGCTGTTACCACCATTGACCGACAAGGGCAGCATGTTGCTGGACGGTGGGTACGTTGACAACTTGCCTGTGGAGCAGATGCGGTCCTGGGGTGCCAAGTATATATTTGCGGTGGACGTTGGATCGATTGACGACACGACGCCCATGACATATGGCGACACCTTGTCAGGGTTATGGGTTTTGATGAACCGATGGAACTTTTTCTCACGACACCCCAACGTGCCTAACCTTGCGGAAATCCAACAACGGTTGGCGTATGTGTCATCTGTGGGGGCACTGGAAAAGGCCAAGGCAGCACCAGGGGTGTATTATTTGCGACCTCCGATTGACAACTATGCGACTTTAGATTTTGGCAAGTTTGATGAAATTTACCGAGTAGGCACGCTCTACGGACACCAGTATTTGTACGATCTGAAACGTCAGGACAAGTTTCCACAGATTCCAGGAGCAGGGCTTTCTAAGGGGAAGCCAAGAAAGACGTTGAATCGTCGTAATTCTATTTAGAAAGTTGGGGGAAAAAAAAAAAAAAAAGTTGTTGTTTAGAAGGGGAGGGGGGGGGGGGTCATAACATCATCTATTTTAGAGCTAAAAAAAAAAAGTATTTCAAATAATAATAATAAAAAAAAAAGAATATCATTATCTTCGTGTTGGCGGGCTGATTAAAATAACGGAATCGCCACGAACAAACATCATTTCACTGTGTTTTTTTATAGACTAGATAAAACGTTAACAAAAAAAAAAATTGTATCTGCGCCACTCACCTTGGGCTCTTCATCACCGTCCTCAAAATATGTGATTGTCTCTTCAACGTTGCTCATGATGAGATTACAGTGAGAATCATATGCCTGAAATAAATAAATAATAAAATAAGAAAGGTTTGTGTTAGTTTAGTATATTAGACAAATAAAAAAAAAAGTTTCATTGTTTAAAGCATCAAAATCAACGTACGTGGAGTCTACCTTTCAGAACACGGCCAACACGTAACTTGACGGTGACTATTTCGTCGAGTGACAGACGGACCAAGTCAAAAGGTTCAGAAACTGTAGTTGTGGAAGGTTCTGGTTGGGTACTCAGTGTGGTGCTGCTCATTATGATATGAATATTTTTAATTGATGGTATTTATGGGTGGGTATGGTATATATATATATCACGGCTTTTGCATTTTGGTGCCCTTTTTTTTTTCTGCCATAAAGTTTTGGAGGTTTTGTTTTTTTTTTTTCCACCACCATTTTCATTTCATTTCTGTAAGCCTTAAATTTTTTTTTGTTTTTTTTTTTGGACTTTTTAAAAAAATAAAATAAAATATAAAAAATTACGTCCGGGTAACTTCACGTGATCTTTACATAGATGATTGGTTTCTAACTGTGATATGTGATGTGATGTGTGTGTATTTGTGTGTATCTGAAAGTTTCCACCACCACCACCAACCAAAAAATACGCTTTGAAAATTTTCAATCACTGCTGTTACCACCCAAGTAAGGCATTTTGTTTCTTCACCACAACCAATTTATCTCCCCATTTCTAGAGATCCAAAAGAAAAAAAAAAAAAAAAAAACCATATCTTCTCTCTAAAATGGCTTCGAGAACATCATCATCCTGTAAGATTCTCAGCAGAGGATTCCATGTGTCTTCGGTTGCGGCGCGCCGGTTACGTCCCGAAATCAAGCTGCAACCCCCCATTGTGCCCAGCATTGCCAGCATAGGTGTTAAGGATGACCACCCTCTGTGGCAGTTTTTCAGCGACAAGAAGTTTATTCGATCCAGTGAAGATGTTGAAAAATCAGGTGTGTACGGAAATTTTTATTTATTTATTTTTTTTTTTTTTTTTTTCAAAATAAAAAAAAAAAAACAATTAATTAATTAATTAATTAAAAAAAAAAAACAAATAAAACTAACTTAAACAGGCCGACCATGGACTATTCAGGAACTGCGACGAAAATCATTTGAAGACCTTCACACGATCTGGTACACTTGTGTCAAGGAGCGAAACGTGCTTGAGCGCGAGAGCCGCATCTACGCTACCTACGACCAGTCTGGTGACAGCAACCCCTTTGCGCAACAGAGTGCGCGTGTGCGCGATTCCATGTGGCGCATCCGTCATGTCTTGTCTGAGCGTCAAACAGCTTGGGAAAATGGACTGGCTGAATTTGCTGCCGAGCAGGAAGCAATCATTGCCCGATTTGAGGAGGATTATCTGGAGGCTGATGACTCACAAGATGCTGAGATGGAGGCCCGTCTCGAGAGATTTCAACTTGCATTTTACGGCATTGGCAACTCGCTTGAGCCTGCCGATGTTAATGAAAATGTGGTACGCGGTATTAAAAAGGTTGCTCAGCTCAAGTTTCTGCGCTTCCAATCGACATTAAAGGAGCAATCCCAGACTGCCATTGAGGGCCCCCGTGACATCAAGGAAGCCTACCTGCTGTTTTTGGCTTCCCATTCACCTGAGGGTGTCCAGGAAGCTGTTGACAGTATTGTTGAGCAGCGTAATAGCACTGAGGCTATTCCTGAAGCTAAGGACCAAGAAACTCTTGTTACTCTTCTTGAGCAATACAACCATTTGGAAGATGAGCAACAACAGCAGTAAATATAAAAAAATTGGTTGTTTTTTCTCTTTCTCTCTCTCTCCCTCACACACCCTTCTGTATATTTTGTTTGTAAATAATCCTTTTTTTGAAGAATAAAAAAAAAAAAAAAACATATCAACTCTAAATCAATCTATAAATCTTCTTCTGTTTGATTTCGCTTTAACTCGTCGATGCGAGCCTCACGTGCCGCCGTTTTGCTAATGGGTCCAAACCTCGACGGGGGGAACACGACATAGGTAGCCTTGGCAATGACGAGCCCTGTAGACACCGGGCCAAAAGTGTTTGAGTCTATAGAATGAAAGGTATTATCACCCTCGACCCACAGGTGGTTTGGGGGGATGACAGTTGTTGGTTTCGGGTAAGGTGCACGGGTAAGAACACGGTCACCTTGTGTAGCTAAAATGCGTTTGATGAGGACTTTTTCCGGGTCCTGGGGTGAGCGAAGCAAGACAACATCACCGACGCGCAAGTTTGGTGTTGCTGTATGAGGAGAAGAAGAGGAAGAAATTGAAGATGGAGATGGAGATGGAGATGGAGATGGAGATGAGGACGGGGTTGATACTGGTACTGGGGTAGTGCCACGAAGCCGAAACTTCCAGAGGAAAACGTAGTCGGACCAGCCAAGCGACGAGTCTGGATTAAGCGTAGGTTTCATTGAAATTCCTTCGATGCGGCCAATATGAGCTACGTGCTCTGTAAAAGTGATGGCGACTGGGATCCACGAGAGTCCCACCAAGACGACTTTGGCCGAGTACCTGAGCATTGTGTGGGGGTGTAAATGAAATAATGAAATAGAAAAGAATGGGAAAGTTGAGAAGAAAGGAAGAAAGAAAGAAAGAAAGTAAATAAAACAAACAAACAAACAAATATATATATATCTAAAGTGATTACTAGAATTAGAAAAAACTTTTTTATTGTTACGGCATTTCAGAAAGATAGAAAAAAAAAATCCTTGCGATAATACAAGGATATGATGGTTGTTGAAGATAATTGTTGATGGTGGTATGGAAGACAAAAAAAAAAAATGATGTGAGTAATAAAAAAATAAAACGGAGATCCGAGTCGGAATATAATTAACATGAATTTTTCAAAGTTACCCAAATTCGGTTAATTTTTTTAATATATAAAAAAAAAAGTTATTCTAATTAATTAAGGTTACCCAGTGTAACAAACAAACACCTATATATAGACATTACATATATATTATTAAATTATGATTTTTTGCATTTCAATCTTGTTTTCTGTTGTTTTCTGTTGTCTGTTGTCTGTATTCTGTTTTTCTGTTTTTCTGTTGTTTTAATTTTTTTTATTTGGCCTTTTTATCATCATCAGCATGGAGATAGACTCTGTTGTCACCTCCTTCGACCTCCTTGACAATTTCTTCCATCTTCTTGGACTGCTTCTTCCAAGTGTTCCGGTCATTCTTAAGACCGTCATTGAAAAGCTCTTCGTCAGGCCGTCTGTATGAGTTGCCAACACGGTCCCATAGAGTTGTGTACTGACCATAATTGTAGTTGAAATAGAGATGGTGGATGGTATGGCAAGCAGTACCATTTACAAATATATTGTTCATGATAAAGTAACCGTCATGAATCATGACGGTCCACATATTGACAAACACGAAAAGCAAAAGATATGAGATCTTGTGAAGGGGGAAGATGAAAGGGAAAAGGTGGTAAGGCACGGATTGAACAAAGCCATCAATGGGGTGGAAAGCATGGGAAGCAAATGGAGTGGAAACGATCCATTTGTGGTGAGGCTTGTGGAAGCGCTTATAAAAAAGTGGGTGGTGAAGACCTCTATGGGCAATATAGACACCAAAATCTGTAAAGAAGATAAAAAGAGGGAATTGTAAAATCAGGTACCAAAACGGGTAGTCCGAAGTTCGGAAATAAAGTTTTGAGTATCCATGAAGTTCGAGGGCAAAGAAAAGAGCAGTAAGGAAGGACATGACAGGGATAGCAGAGACAGCTTGGTAAACCTCCATGTATATTTGGTTCTTGAGGTATTTGGGGTGGTTAAAGGTTTCTTTATCAAAGACAGTAACATAGGCGAGCAAGGCAGTAAAAAAGTAAAGGATAAAGCCAAAGACGGATATGATAGTGGTCATAGAAAGGATCTGGCGGAACACATTGTCACGCAAAAAGAGAGACTGGGACACGTATTGTGAGGCTTCCATGAGGAAAGGTGCTTTGCCGTAGATTTCCGGAGATGATTCCTGAAAAAGTGTTGCCAGAGTGTGTGTTTGTAGCAGAGCTGATGACGAAGCATTGGCCCAGACTGTGTCGATAATGGAGTTGTCCACAACGGCCGGCGCCACGGACTTGACTTGCAGAAGGGTTTGAAGGAAAGGTGGTAGCTGAATTGTGTTGGGGAAGATGTTTGCATAAACTTTGTCGAAGACAAAGCTGTCGACGACTTCCAGGATAAGATCCATGATGGTGATTTGTAATGTGGGTAAATAAGAATAAACTTTTGTTTTTGTTTTTTGTAAAAAAAAGAAAGTAAAGGGTATTAATGTATGTATATATATATATATATAAAAAGGGTATTACCTGATATTTATATTCATCTAAAGAATATAAATATTAAAAGAAAAAAAAAAAAAAAAGGGGGTGGATGGTGATGAATCCAAGTTAAAAAATTAAAAAAAAAAAAAATTATATTAAACAACCTGGTGATGTGGGATGGTTTATATACAAAAATGGCTTTACTATGATGGTGTGTTTTTTTTTTTTTTTGTGTTGTGTTGTGTTGTGTTTTGTTATGTTATATTATATGCTGTGCCATAAAAAAAAAAAAAAAACCTCTCTGAGGGAAGATGTGGGCAGATCTGTTCAGAATAGCCGTGTCAGCGCTTACGTCAGCCTCGCTTCTAGCACGAAGACTTTCTTTCAAGGCTCGTTGCAAGCCGCCGTCGCATAGCTCGTATGTATCACGTGTGCTTAGTCATTAACTATTAATATGTTACTTAGATTAAAAAAAAAAAAAAAAAAAAAAAAAAGAGACTGAAAAATAAAACCGCCTGTTTTTTTTAAGTTGGCTGTAACAAATAAATAATAAATAAATATAAATTTAACATCAAAACGACAACGACATACACAAATGGCTTATATAACATGGATGAGATCCGGGAATTGAGGGAAGGACGGAAGAGAAAGAAAAAAGGCAATCAATCCATCTCAGATAACCAAAAAAAAAAATTGTATCCCAAAAAACTATGAACCCAAATTGTGGGGAATAACAGAATTTAACATAGACTATTATAATAATAATAATATAATAAGATTTTCAAGAAATGGATTTTAATTGCATGTCGTTTTCTTTTTTTTTTTTGTTTTTTTTTTAGCGGCCGTCGTGTTGAGAGCGACAGTCATGGCGTATTCAGAACGATCATCAATCAAAGATAAACCCTCTTTTGTCTTCTTTAAATATCAGAAACAAAAAGGTCTCTTGAAATTTTGTATCTTATATATATAGAAAGGGATTTTATGCTAGCTAATATTTATTGTGATACAGTATGTTCATATCTTGTTATTGATAATAATGTTTTTTTAATCTAATTTTTTTTTTCTTTCATTCTTTCATTTATAAAAAAAAACCCCTCCCTTTTGATATCCAGTTTCTAAATCAATTGCTTTTAGTCAATACGTTTATACATATTTTTGTTAACTCTTTTTATCTGGCTAAAAAAATAAAAATCAAAATTGAACAAACCCCCCACCCCTGAAACCAAAGTCAAGATTGGTTGGTTTCAGTTCCCACTATATATATATATATATATATTTGGGACTGCGTGGACGTAGTGGCGGAACAATGTTGAGAAATAATAGCCTGCGGGAATACTAACGATTAGCCATTATCACTATCATTAAAAGAATATGAGTCAAACATTAATTTTAAAACAATTTAATTGAAAAGAAAAAAAAAAAAAATTTTTTTTCTCATATATATGACTACTACGGATCAAACTTTTAAGAACCATCAATTGAGTTCCACATTCCTTGTTCTTCAGCTCAGCAACGTTGCTTGGTTTCTTTAAGAACCGCACATAATTATGTAGCTGAGCTAGGGGTCCAGCCGCTCTTTCTATCTCAACAACAGTCCCAAATATACCATTATATACCCTTATATAAATGTGGATTTGGCGTATATCTCCGTCTGAAGCTTTTTAATATGGTAAACCTGTTTTTACCAAGTAACTTTAAATCTACAAGTTATTTTCTAGTAACCAAATATACATTCCCCCCATATCTATCAAAATACAAGCAACTCTTGCTCATCTGGCTTGTGTCCCTCCCATCCAAACTCCATATAATCCCGATGGACGCCACTAAAGATCCCTCTTCCTCTTCTTCCTCACCCACCCTCTTCACCATCCTCTTTTACGCCCTCCCATTGTTTATGGTTCTCAAATCCTTATACACATACTTCTTTTCTTCTCCCAAGATGGTTTCCCCCGCTGCTCTTTCTAAAGCTCAAGCCCTCATTGACTCAAACAAGGTCTTTGTCGCTTCAAAGTCTTACTGCCCTTACTGCAAGGCTACTAAAAACCTTCTCAATCAGGTCGGAGTCCGCACCGCCACCATCATTGAGCTCAATGAAACTGAGGATGGCGCTGAAATCCAGGATGCTCTCGAACAAATCACTGGCCAAAGAACAGTCCCCAATATCTTCATTTCTGGCAAACACATTGGTGGCAATTCCGATATTCAGTCCCTCAACTCTAGAGACCAACTCGTCCCTGCTCTTCAAGCTGCTGGTGCCCTTTAAATAAAATAAAAATATTTAAATAGACGTTTTTTTTTTCTTTTTCTTTTTAGTTTTTTTTTTATTTAATTATTACTATTCAAACTTTGTGATACTATACGTTTATATATAAATATAGTTATATATATAAAAAGAAAATGGTAGTGAAATATATATATTTACATCACTTTTTTTTTCTGCTTTTTTCAATTATTAAAAAGTAACTTTTTTTTTTAAAAAAAAATCATTTTGTGGTTAAAAAATCATCCCCTTTTTTTTGTTAACATCTTATTCTTCTTTAAATCTGCCAAAACTTAAATGTAGTCGGGCCATCAAGACTAATAGGCTTCATATTAGCTTTAAGTACATCCCCACCATCTCCAACATAAGGTCCAGCCCCACTACCAACATCACTCGCATTCGCAGGTGCCAGCCGGCGCAGAGGCTGTTCCGCAAGTCGCGTTGCACTCGCTGCAAGCTCAGCAGCCTCCTGCGGTGTCTCAGCCGCAACCGCTGCCTGCAGCCGTCCAAGCACAAGCTCTGACTGGCGCTTCAACGCAAGCCGATCAAGAACCATCTGTTGTCGTTCAGCCTCAATTTCTTGTCGCTCAAGCGCAAGAACCTTTTCAAGGTGAGCAAACTGTGCAAGCTTATCCTCAAGCTTCTGAAGCTGTGCATCAACAACAAGCGAAAGATTGGCAGATTGATGCGCCTTTTCCCCCTCAACAAGAAGAGCTGCCCGTTCAGCAATCTTTTGTGTCAGCTCCTTTGTCTCCCCATTTGTATCAGGTAGCTTGGCCTCCTTCACAAATTCCTTCAAGGCTTTATACAGTTCTGATCCTTCTCGCTTCTTGTTCCCACCCTTAAGGCCTTCATCATTTCCATCGCGTTTTCTCTTCAGTGTATCTTTATAGCCTTGAACCAAATATGGATCCTCTATCGGTAGCTGAATAAACTTGACAATACAACTTTCCTTGTCTCGAGTACCCACATGATAAGCAATAGCCTCCCAATCGTCTTCAAACATCTCCACACCTTCCATCAACAGCAACACTTCCTGATCCGTCCACTCTGTTGCCGATGACTGTGCCTTGATGATCTTAATGAAATCAGCGCTGCTAAAGTTCGAAGGGAAAAACCCATTCTTAAAACACAGAGGGCTCAGCGTCTGCTTTGATCGTAAATTGTGATATCGTATTTTGGTAGTGTCGTCACCACATGTATAACAATTGTATGTACGAGTGTTGAGTGCACTCAGCTGGCGTTGAGATTCATCATGTAGCGCAATCGCGTCAGCCGTGGAGTCGTACAAGTTACGTCGAATATTCAGATTTGAAGACAAGTGCAATGAATTCGTCTCATCATTATCTTCCTTTTTAATTTGTACAGACGATTGTGTAGATCCGTTTGTCTTAATAAGAGCGGTGGAAGAAGATGATGAAGAAGGCGGGGATATTATTTCTCCCACTGCTGTTTCTGCTGGTGACGTGGATGTCGATGTTGTGACCGAAGTGGGATCTTCGTATACCTTTATGGGGCTTTCAGGTTCCTTACCGGATGTCTCAATGTTTTCCTTCGTTGGAATAAATGGAACAAGACCCTGTGGTGCGTCAAGTAAAATTTGAAAGTGACCTGTAAATTGTGGGCCAATTGTCGATGGTCTTGTCTCAGGATCAATCTGGTAGTTAATCAAACCCCATTGCTCCAAAAATGTGAATACTCGCATAATGGCAGCAACATCACCAGCTAAATTACGGCGACAAGCAGTGAACGTCAGGTACTCAATAGGATTGAGTCTGTAAGCATCAATCATAAAGTTGCGGTATTCAAGGTATATCTCAGGTGTCTTTGTACGGTGCTTGTCGTTAAAAAATTCGGGCAGAGACCGCTTCTCAATTTCATGTGTTTTCGAGCGATCAAACCAGGCGGCAAATGAAGGAATAATGACGCGGTACGTTTGTTTCGCAAGATATTTGCGAGCTTTATCCTCAATCTCGGCCTTGGTGTCTTGAGCCTTAACAACACGCTTGGAAATGGGCTCAAGATTAGTTTCCTCAACCTCAACATTTTCAGCTGGCTCTTCCGTGTGTTCCTTAGGCTCCTCAGATTTATCAGTCATTTCAACATCACCATCACCATCACCATCAGTAGACTTTGAAGAATTTTGAGTCGATTCCAAAGCTTCCGATTCTTTGGGTTTGTCGGTATCATTATCCTCAGTTTTGTCGGTATCATTATCCTCAGTTTTGTCGGTATCATTATCCTCAGTTTTGTCGGCTAGGTCCTCCTCAGTATTGTTATTAGTCTTTTCTTCGGTCGTTCCATTGACCTTATCATTAGCCTCATCTTCAGCCGAGTCTTCGGTTTTGTCTTCGATTTTGTCATCGGACTGTTTATCAGTCTTTTCTTCAGCTGATTCTTCAGTCGATTCTTCAATGGAATCGTTAGTCTTTTCTTCAGTCTTATCGTTTACATTGGCGGCAGTCACCTCCGCCTTATCATCTGAATTTTCATCATCCTCATTCTTAGACTTCTCTTTAAGACTTTCTTTAGAGTTCTCTTCAACCTCGTCTTCAACTTTATCATCAGACTTTTCTTCGAGTTTATCTTCAGACTTGTCCTCAGGTTTGTCCTCAGACTTGTCCTCAGACTTGTCCTCAGACTTTTCCTCGGGCTTGTCTTCAGACTTGTCTGCAATCGTATCTTCAGTAGCCTTATCTTCAGTAGGTTTATCGGCATCAGTGGATTGTTCTGATGCTTTGACTGTTGTTTCCTCAGGCTTCTTTGTTGAATCCGCTAATGGGACCTCCGACTGAGACTGTGTGGACTTTTCAGGAACTGAAGTCCCATCATTGGTCGATGATGTAGTAGTTTTGGAATCGTTCTCGTCAGCGGACATGGTTATGTATTATGTGATCGAAATGTGTGTACGTGTAATATTGGTGAACGCGCGTTTTTAATTCCAAAAAATAAAAAGTTGATTAACAAAAATAAATTTCAACCAAAAAAACAATAAAATTTAAGTAAAAAAAAAATGAAGAAAGAATGGTGAAGCCTCTGAAAGTGGATAGGCAATATAAGTGAATGAATGTTAATTTTGGACGCGACTGAAAAAAAAAAAGTAGTCAAATTTAATCTGTTAAACTCTCTGTAAAAATTTTTTTTGAGAAATTCCGAGAGGCACAAACGTGTAAAGTACAGTGCCACCGATGAAAATATTTCAAAAAAAAAAAAAAATGAAATAAAAGGAAAAACGATAACAGCCACTCACAAAAAGAATGAGTGGAAAATGTGAGTAAATACCGTGTGTTGTGGTGAAAAATAAAAAATATATAAGGTAAATAAAGAGAAAAAAAAAAGCTGTTTTGGTGATTTCCCAGTGGTGGTTTGGGATCTTTTTTTTTTTTTTGCGTTGTTGTTGTTGTTATTATTATTATTGTTTATGCTAATATATACGCATTTTCATAGTAAATTTCAGAACTCAACTCTGGACTATTTTTGTTATGCATGATATGGGAACGCGCAGTGATTAAACCATCAAATAGACTTGAAAGGCTTTATATTGAAAAGGAATCATTTTATGAATCATTTTGCATTATTTTGAATAATTTATTTTTATTAATTTTAGCTTGACTATTTCGAGTCTTTTTTGTTGAAAACCTTGAATCTATAGTTTATTTGAGCCAACTTTCTCCTCACAACCCCAACCCACATAGAGTTTTTAAAATACCATCATCTTTAAAAACTCCCAAAATCGCTTGGATTTTGTTTTTATATATTTATTCTCCGTAATATTTGTTAATTTTTTGTTTAGTTTTTATCTTTTTGATCGTTTTCTTTACCAATGTAGTATGTCTATTACGAGAAATATTAGCCACTACCTCTGCGTATACGCAAATTGGCCTATGGTGTTTTCTACCTTTGTTGGTTTTCCCCTCTCCTTTTTCTTTCACACCATAATCAAAAAAAAAAAAAAGATCCCCATCAATGTCCTTCCTCGATACAATTATTGCAAATCTACCATCTACCAACGGTCTGCTTCCCAGTTGGCTTCTGTTTGTATGTTGAATTTTTTGTATACATTGCAAACACTTGACCAATCCCTGCCCTTGTTCTCGCTCTCCATCTCACACCTTTGCATTAGATCTCTGCCGTATCCGTTTTCAACTCTGCGCAGACTTATGTCGCCGATACCAAGCTCACCAAGCGCGTGTACGAAGCTGCGCCTGAACAGGTAACTCCGCTGAGTGCACGCACGTTTGGCACATGGACCATGATGGCCTCCATGATCCGTTTCTTTGGTGCATACTATATCTCCAATCCAGCCATCTATAACATGACTATTTGGACTTTTGTCCTGGCTGGTTTCCATTTCGGCACTGAATGGCTGGTTTTTGGTACTGCAAAGCTCGGAAAGGGATTGGCAGGTCCGCTCTTCACCGTTGCCTTGACCCTTCCTTGGATGATTTTGCAAAGAGACTTTTATGTTCAGTAAATGTCAAAATAATAAACGTAAAAAATGCTTTAATTTGTCTGTAAATACTGGTCATTTTCTCTTTATATATATAAGCCGCATGTATTTTTAATACATATGATAAATATAGCCTGTACAATCATATGGCTGCTTTTTTTGTTTGTTAGGGTTGTTACCAGAGTCTACCACCTGATGTAACCTCCAGAAATCTCCGCGCTGGCCTTTAGATAAACGTTGGAATATGCCAAAAAAAAAAATGTCTGGGGATATTTCTTTATTGTACAAGGAATAAAAAAAAAAAAGCCGTTGTGAAATCTAATCAATGGCAGAAAACGACTTTTTTTTATGTTCAAAAGATGATGATTTTAATTTTTTAGGTCTTGGGCTCAATCAAAAATTTATTATTTTTTTTTTTGACTGATATGATATTGATAAAATTTGTTACTTTAGTAATTTTCGATAAGATGCCATTAACAATAAAAAATATATAAGCATGTAACATTAGGCTTTTAAATTAAAAAAAAAAGATATACTCAATATGGTGTCGCAATTTATATTGATTAATTAGTAAAAAAAATAAAAAAAAATTCATATAATCATCATATCAGTGTCATCACGCGTTGCCCTATTTTATTATTACTATTATTATTATCATCGTTGTTTTTTTTTTTAATGCTGGGTAGGATCATGGGCCTTAAGAACATCTACAACGGACCCCAATAATCTTTGGAATCCAGCCTTATCCAAGCATACAACACGAAGCTTTGTTTCAGCAGTAACAGTAGCCTGACGGGGAAGATCATTAAGCAAAGCCACCTCACCAAAGTAAGAGCCTTTGGTCAAATCCTGTACCTTACCCTCACCATTCTTTGTGACAGAAGCATTGCCATTTTCCACAATGTAAAATTTGTCACCAACATCGCCCTCCTTAATGACAACTTGGCCAGTTTCATATGTCTCTGATGACAATGCATCGGCAAGTTTGCTAAGCTGATAAGTATCCAGTGTGCTCAGAATTGGCACATCCTTAAGAAACTCGCCATACATTTTGCGTTTGGACGCCGTCTTGTCCAGCAAAATTCGGCGGAACGTCACACGGTCAAGTGCCCACAAAACACTGTCCTCAAGAGCAGTTACAGTAGCAGCACGGGGGGCATTATACATGAGCGCAAGTTCGCCAAAGGACGCACCAGGACCAGCCTTGCCCACCACCTCGTCATTGACAATGTACTGCACAGAGCCCTTTTCCACCACATAAAAATAATCACCTTCGTCACCCTGCTTGATAATGACCTCGCCCTTCTTAACACGTTTTTCATGAAGCGCGCCCAACACTCGGTGGAGCGAGTCTTCATCCAGATTATTAAACAAAAAGTTCTTAGCCACACTCTTGTTGAGACGTTCCAACTGCTCGGGGGTCAAGTTGCATGTAGGCGCCTCAATGGACGCACCCGAGAAATTGGCCGGGTTCAGAGACTCTGCAGAAACAGAAGTGCGTCGATTGGCATTGTACTGGCGCGCAGCATCAATTCCAGGACTGCCTGCCCCGCCATAAGAGCCACTAAAAAGTGATGAACCCCCGCCACTGTGAGGAGGCCGTGACGACCGTGCTGCAGAGCCAGAGCCAGAGCCACTGTCCAAGCCTCCAAAGCTAGACTTAAAGCCGGAAAAAGGACTGCTGGAAGGAGCTGCCTTGTTTTCATCTGAAGAGGTATGCAATGATTGAGCATTTGCAAGAGGTGGTGCAGTCGTAGTAGATGAGGGCGAGGCGTCGACGTGGGTGGGGTCTTCGGGGTGTTTTTCAAGGGCCATTGCAGAAAGTCAGTATATTTTGTTATAATAATTGAAGGAAGAGAGATTTGATAAAGGAAACACGAGCAATTGAAAGTAAAAAATAGAAAAGTAGAATAGAAGAGAAGAACGTATTAAATAAATAAAGTCAAGACCAAGCGTTGGATGGATAAATAAAAAGAAGGGGGAAAAAAAAGGGAAGAAGAAAGAAGCAGAAGGAGGGAGACAGGAAAAGAAGCAGCACGAGGGAATTAAGCTTTTGAGGGGTGATAATAATGGTGGCGGTGGTGGTGGTGAGATACTCACTCAGCTAACGATACTTCACAATTATCCTAAAAAAACAAATATGACTTGTTACATAAGACCTATTACTTAATATTTACAACAAACTACTTAAATTACCTTATAGTATACCTAACAATATTATAATTAAGAGCAGCATGTTGCTTCCTTCATCAAATCCTGCGTCAAGTCGCGCTTGCACAAAGGACAAATGCCCTGGCACTTCATCAGCCATTCTGAAATACAAAGATCATGAAACACATGATTGCATGGTAGCACCCGAACCCGGATATTTAGCCGGTCTTGAAAAGGCCTTACTCCAAACTCTGAAAGCCCTGTCTCAACTTTGTCCTTTCTAATATGTCGCTCCCAATCATCCTCCATTCCCAACTCTTCCTGGCAAATGGCACACACCACGCTACTACTTGAAGCCTTTATTATTTCTTCACCGTTTTTATTTTCTTTGGTGTCTTTATTTTTAGACCCAGCGGTTGTTGCTAGTATTTCTGACGTTGCGGTTTCTGTAGATAAAATGCTCGGTAACCGCCAAAGAAACCCTAACCGGGTACTAATACTACTGGCACTAGATATGTCCTCCACCACATCTCGTTGATCCCGCGGACTTTTGTCACCTTCCCGCTCACAGTCCCTCCAAAAATCACTGTCCGAAACTCCAGAACAATGCCGTGATGAATGTCCATCAGGACGTTCTTGAATTGGAGGCTGATGAATATCTTTGATGAAATTATTGGTGCTATTCGTTGCTGTTGATTTGACACCTTTATTTCCAATAAGCTCGTTAGAAGCAGGCTTTGAGATGTCACATGGTACTTCCAAAATTTCTTGAGCACCGCAATGGGCAACCACATAGTTAGGGCTTAGATTGAGCTCTGAAGGTATTGAGCTAAAAGATAGTGAACGTCTTAAATACTGTGAGCTTAATTGGAATTCATCTTGGGACAAGGTGCGTTCTTGTCTTTCCAAAATTGTGGTACTAGTGCTATCATGGGATATACTGGGTGGTCTGACCGTCATCATTTCACATGGTGATTGTGTGTCAACAAGATCATAGCTCTCATTATCACTTTGATCTCTAACTAACTCTTGCCTTTTTTTATTAATTTGTGCGTTAGTAACTTTATCTGTTGGTGCTGAAAATGCCGCTAATTCACATGTCATCGAGTTAGGGTGTTTTTTATGCAAATCGTCTTTGTTGAGCTCATTGTATTCTTCTATTTTATATTCCTCAAGACTGACTTGAGTAATGTCTTTTTCATCATCGCAATTTGTACCCTTCAATGTCTGATTCACCATTGATTTTATTTTTTTGTCTTCTTTTTTCTTTTCCATCAATTGTATTTGTAAACTTTTAAAGCTTTGCACAGGGAAATTTTCATCCATTTCCTCCAGGGTCAACTTGCGTACCTGATAATCAGGGTGGGGCTCTGTCTCTCGTACCGATTGAATCAAATATGGAAGAACGTCCAGTGGAAATTGTGAGATGTCATCAATTACTCTTTCTTCTTCCCGAGCATCTCGGTACAGAGTCTCACGAGTACTTAAGCATAAAAGAAAGCACGGATAAAAAAATGCAAATATAACCAACGAAATCAAAGATCCAATAAAGTAAAAAAGCAATTCAAAAAGGCTTATCAAAAAGGATTCAATCATTTTGTAAATTATCAAGATAAAAGATGGGACTTTAAGAAAAAATTAACTAGCAGAAATAAAATATATTACTGAAAATTATATTATTATAATTATATCTTTCATAAAATGAAAGTATCTTTGGTGATTTGGCAAGAAAAATCTTTAGTGTCTTAGATATTTTGTTTAAAGATGAAATGAGGTAAGAATTAAAAGTTAAGTTTTTTTTTTCTTCTTTATTCCAAAAAAATTTATTTTAGTTCCTTTACAATATTTAATCACTTCTTTATCAATATATTTTTTTAAATAGAATTAAATATATATATATACCCCACAAATACCTTGATAAAAAACATAGAGTAGATTAAGAACAAAATTTAAATAGCTGAAGATATTAAATAGGATAAATTGGCCTTTTTCGCTAAGCGAGAATAGATTTACATTTAATTTTTTTTCCTTATTTTTCTTACATATATGTACTTTTTTAATTTTTTTGAAACATTTTAACATCCTCTTCTTCATCACTATCATCATCGGAAGTTCCTTCCGTTTCTGTCTCTGTTTCTTGCTTTGTTAAATCAATAGCTTCCTCTTCTGGTAAATCAGGTGTTAGATCATGAACAATATCAGGATTACCGTCAGCATCATCTAAATTAACTGGTCCAAAGGACGACTGTGACAACCGTGCACTTAAACTAGTTAAATCATGCGCTTGGCTTGATCGTCTTCGTAAAGCTTGTCTTGCACGCATCTCAGCAAGACGACCAGCAGCAGGCGAAGTTCCTCGGCTTGAACTATATTCACCACTACCGCTTCTCAGTTCTTGCAGCAATTGACGAGCTCTACCACCAACATCATCAGTAACTGATGCATCTGTAGAGATGGATACATCACCGCTAGAAGTAGGAGTTGAAGAAAGATTTATGGAATCTGTACCACTATCGCTGGTGATAGATGATCTTTTTACAGGCTTTCCCTCAGTAGATAATGAGTGCTCTAAAACTTCTTCTCTATCAACTTCTGGATTGTCAAGTGTGGACTCATGCTCACCTAAGAATTGTTCAGCAACATCAAGGCTCACCACAGAATCATGTTTTTGAGATTCATCTTCTTCATCGTCCTGATGTGATATAGAAATACTCAGGGATCGTCTTTGGTCTGCAAGCGATCTTCTCGCTGCTGCACGACGTCGGGCTGATCGGGCATCACCAGAAGGCCCTGCAGCTCTAAGCTTTTCTAATAAAGTATCCATGACTTTTGTGGGCTTACCTCCAGTTGGAGAAACAGCACCAGATTCAAGTTGCTCTGATTTCTTTGGTGCTTCCGCCAGACGTTTACGAGCTTCGTAAGCCCGATTCTCTTCTTCACGCAAAATATTTTCTTTCTTGGCTTTCTTATATTCATTGACAAAAGTAGAAAACTTGGAAAAGAAAGTGGAAACAGACTGGGTATCATCAGGATCTTCACCAAAATATTTCATAAGCTTTGAAAATTCAGTGAGTGTAGATTGCAGTTGATCATTGAGTGCCTCTCTCTTTTTCCGTGCTTCTGGAAGCGCAGCAAGGACGTATGATAAAACTTGATCTTTCGGGTGAAATTTTGAAGGATCACTGAGGTTGCCAATATCAATAGACGTTTGACAATTTTTAATGGTATTCATAAACTCATTTGAATCAGCACGAAGCTGGTCAATTGAAAGCTTAGAAACTGCTATGGCATCCTTAAGTTCATCACAAAACCTTTCTAATGAAGGGAAAGAGGTGCGAACAATCTTTTCAACATAATGCAAAAATGTCATAGTATTTTTTTCATCCTTAGTAAATGCTAATCGTTGAAGAGTTCCTAGGCGGAAACCGTTGGCTTGTTTTGAAGAATCATTCATATAGTTTCCAACAGCCAAAATAATCTCAAGGACACTCTTGAAATTTTCGGATGAATGAATGCTTTCACAAGCTGCGTCAACGGCTCTAAGTTTCTAAATCAACTAGTTAGCTAAAAAAAAAACAAAATATTAAAAAAAAAACTTACAGAAACCAGATCATTATAATCACGACGATAAGTAGTGACAATTAGTAATGCACGCATTCTTGACTTCCAGTAGTGCTGAAGATTATAGCATAGCTCCAAATAAATATGATCTGCACGTGCAAGTTCCGAAGGATCCTTTTCAGGCTTATTAGGCTGCTTGCTATTTTCTCTGGTCCAATCAGTACTATACGGCTGAAAGTTTCGAGCAAGATTGTTTGTAACGTCCATCTCTTTTTTAGACAAAAACTCCAAAACATTTGTATACTGTAACACATCAGGATCACATCTTAAAATTTTAGAGACAAGTTCATCCACAGCTAAAGTGGAAAACATATGCAAGTTGATTCCGAATTGTTGGGAGACATCCCTAGTTAAGAAGGAAATCTTTTGATCTTCCTTTTTCTTCTTTCCAGCTAATCTCTTGGCTTCTCTAGCTGCAAAAATGCGTTCAACTTCATCGAAAACACCTTTATTATAGAGGTCATTAATAAGTGACCCTTCAATTGTGACTGATGCCCAAACAGTATGATCAACCTTTTCAATTTTCTCCCAATGCATCTGTTTAAGCTTGCGTTTAGGTCTATAGTTTCCAATAAATGTTTCTTTGGAAGAGATAGATGGCTTTGTAACAGGTCCCACTTTTGTACCAGAAGGCATTGGAAGAGGAGGAGCTGGAGGGGCAGGAGGTGGTGGAACTCCTGAAGGAAGAGGTGGTGGTGGAGGTGGAGGTGGAGGAGGAGGTGGTGGTGGAGGTGGAGCAGAGGAAACACCAGGAAGAGGTGGTGGGGGAGGGGGTGGAGGAGGAGGAGGAGGTGGTGGTGGTGGAGGTGGTGGAGGAGGAGGAGGAGGAGAAGATATTGGTGACAGTGTGTCTAAATTCTTTTGAACAGAAGAAGTCATAATTGCTGCAAGAAGTCCCTGTGGCATTTGAGCGACAGAAACAGGTTCTGGCTCATGTATTTCACCAGAATCATCATCTGAAGATTCATAATCTAATTCTTCTTCCTCTTCAATGTCGCTTTCACGAGGTTTCCGACTTAGTCTTCTAGATTTTCTGTGTTCCTTAATATCTAAAACCTCATGTTCCTCATCCCCATCAATGTCCTCTTCCTCTTCTATTGCAATATGGTTCATAGAATCTGTTATTGTTATGGTGGATGACGGTTCATCCTCATAAGAAGCACTGTGAGGTAAATCCAGCACAGGGACATTAATATTATCCTCTTCACTTTGTGCAGGTAGACCCAGTGGTTGAACACTTTCCTTGGACGAAACTACTGGTACTTCTGGATTTTCTGGTAAAATGACATTGGGTTTCTCAATATGAGATGTGCTGGCAACTCTTCTGCCAAGCTTTTTGCTTTTCAATGCAGAAGGAGAAAGTAAAGATGTTGATCTGTGAACTTTAGCAGTAAGTTCACCCAAAAATGGAAGACTGTGACGGGAATGGGAAGATGAAACATGTGCAGGGGGTTGAGCAGGAGTTGAGAGAGGAGCCTTAAATTTTTCATCAGAAGGCTTCTTTTCAGATTCAGTATCAGAGCTTGTGTGAGATGAAGTTCGGTCACTATTGAGCGAATTAGTCTTACTGCTATCTGTACTCATATTTCCTGAACTGAAGTCATTGAAAGACGAAGCAAAGCTATGTGATTCCTTTTGAAGTTCATCGAGACGCTTCATACGAAGCTGGCGTTGTTCATAAAGATCTGCCTTGGTAGTTTGTACATTACTAACAAACTCTGGGGCATCATTTTGCGGAGGCAGGGGTATAGATTGATTATCATGATTACTGTCAAAATTGAATGTTTCAAGCTCTCTAGCTTCAAGCTGCAAGGTCTCCATCCGATCACGAAGCTGTCGAAGTTTAGGACTCGGTTCAATTTCTGAAGCCTTACTTTCCATCTTGAGATCAATTTTCTTTCGAGCAAGCTGGGCCTCTAGCTTTCGAGCCATTTTTTCGCGGTCAATAATTCCTCGAGAGTTGGTGTCTTGGGCTTGATTCATGGCACCAGACTCCTTTAACATAATGTATAATTCACGAATTTCAAGCTCCCTGTTTTGGAGCTCCGTATAATGACTTTTCTTGAGTTCTTCGAGTTCTTCACGAAGAGATTCAGTTGTTCTTCTTTGCAAATTCAACAACTGGTTTGCCTCTTCTAACTCACGTTCAAGCTTTTCAACATACCCTTTAGAGCCAATGTTGAGTTGTTCACGCATAGAATCGCGCTCAGCACATGCCTCTGCAGCGACACGCCGATACTCTTTGGCTTCATTAAGAGCACGTTTAGCCTGATCATCGGTTTGCAGACGATCAAGAATGGATTGAACAGAAAAATGAAGAGCATTGTTTAAATTGGCATCAGGGTTTACATGATTCATAACAACGTTCGACAATATGGCATCAACAAGTTGAAACATTCTGGCACCTTCATCCGATGGATCTTCACGAACTAAAAGAAAATGCTGCATAGCCGAAACGAAGTAACCCTCCGCCGAAGTCTCCTTGACCCTAGACCATATTTCACTGACAATATCGGTAGGATTGTCCATATCTTTTATGTCTTCTTCTCGTTCAACATTTAGTAAATCTTCATAATCCAAAGCCGCCGATTCATCATATTTCTGAATCTGCTCATTTATATTATCATGATTAAATTGTAGCATTTTCGCAGCAATCCGAGGTAAACCGCATGCTTTTAACTGAGAGCGAATGTGAATCCGAACTTTCAATTCTGGTGATCCATTGACAATTACATTGACAAGAAACAGGGTAGTTAAGGAATATTCCATTAAGAGATTTTCCATTCCAACACCACCAGTTCTAAGTTCATCACTTGCACCAACAAGAGAACCCATTCTGCCACGACCATCAAGAGTCTCTTCAATACCCCGCATCCAAGACTCGAATCGACCTATATCTCCTGTTTGTACCTTAATTGTATCAAAAGCAGACAGGACTTGATGATGACCAACAGGCTCTTGCCAATGGGCCAAAAAAGTTAAAACATCAGTCACTAACTTTCTAGTCATCAACCGGGGAGAATTCAAAGATCCAACAAGAGCTGGAACGGTTTTTGCTGTTTGAAGTGCTAGATCAGCACCTTCTTTAAAATTTACCACTGCCTTAATGCATTTGACAATATCGTATTCTCTTTCCAAAGTGGCTTCAGACTTAGTTTCCCGGTGGTTAATTTGAGTGAGAACAGTAGCAAGGGCAACTTGACCTTGAGCATCCAAAAAACTTCGAACCCAGTCAACGCGCTCAGTACGTAGTGAAACCCATAAGTTACCCAAGTGACGTTGGGTAATAGTATTGTCCATGATTTTACGAACATACCATTCAGGGGTATAGTTATCTTTAGACTGTTGACCGCGCCGTTTTTGGTCTTGCACATCTGAAAGTTTGTCTTGATGAATAAGGACCCATTTCTTAGCTGGATCATAGGCCATCATTTGATCAATGACATTCCTAGGAAGACTCTTAAAATCACGTTTATTCTATAATATAATAATATATTAGTAATCGTAAAACTTTCTCAAAAACTAACATACCATTAACTCGATAAACATTTGTTCAATTTCAGCATCATCTTTGGGTTTCTGAATAACTACTTGATCCATTTTCTTAGATGATATTGATGCTGTTTCGTCTAGCATTGATATCACCGATGATCGGATTGTTGCAGCAGAAGAATTTTGACCAGAAGATGAGCGTGAGTTTGGGTGACGAGAATGTGAATGTGAATGTGAATGTGAATTATCATGATGGGAAGAATGAAATGTTCGAATAGAAGAAACGGGTGAAATGGGTGAATATGTATTATTGGTGGCGTTAGACGCTATGGGCTGAATCGAAGAGTAAGGTGAAGCATTTGATGATTTGTGGCTTCCAGAGCTACTACTTCTAGATGGAGAATGTGAAACTAGAGTTGTTGGTGTTGCCGGTGGCAAAGGTTGAGAATTATTGCATGGGTTGGCATATGGGTTATAGTGTGTTTGTGAGGCTTGTGCTGCAGCCATCTCAGTAGAGTGTGGATCTACATGTGCATTATTATATTGTGAATGAGTTCGAGGGGCCGTATTACTGTGATGCCGTTTAGGCAAAGCAGGTATAGGATTACTGATGGTTGCTTGAGGAATCAAAGATGAAGTTGATGAGCCTTCTCTTTTCAGATCTACTCCATGAGATATAATCGGATGAGAAAAGTTTGAACTTGAACCCGAACTTGAACTTGTTAAGTTAATACCTCGAGATTTGCTGCTGCTACTGCTACTACTACCACTGGCGCCTTGCTGTGATGAAGACTTATGTTTTGCCATTCTTGGAGAAGGTAGAGAAGAGTGCGGAAGAGTGGTGGTTAAAAATTATCGATTCAGTACTAAGGCTTGAGTGGATGTTATTGCTTCATATAAAACTAGGGGGTAAAGTGGAATAAAAAAACTAGAGGGGAAAATTGATCGGTTGCAATTATTTTAAAGGTGCATAATGAGAAATAACGAACTTTTACAACTAATTGATTGCACTATGATAATTCCCCTCAAGTGTTATTATTAAAAAACAGGATGATTTTATTGTGTATTGAAAAAAAAAAAAATTGATAAAAACTATAGACCACAGGTGTTAGTACAACAGCTGAAATTGAAAATCAAAACTTCATGAACAGTGTATGAAGTGGTTGAAAAATTTATCCAGCCATGCCAAACAGATATTATTATAAATGCATGGCTTGAGGGGATTAGTGATTCTCAGTAAAAGGGAATAAAATTAAAAGCAAAAGTAAAAGTAAAAACTATGCTAAACTCAAGTGATGCAAAGGCTTTTTACTTATTTTCTATTTCTATAATAGTATACGTACCTCAAATTAAGGCAAGAACAAGTAAAAAAATACAAGGTTCAAATATTAATAAATATGTATGAAATATAAAACAAAAAAAAGAAAAAGAGAAAGAGAAAAAATGACCTATGAAAAATGACGGTCAAAATGCTGATTTGATTGAAGACTCAGGAGTTTGTGTGAACTTTGGTGGGATAGTGTGATTTTGGAGGAGTCGGGATGAAAACAATATGAGAAAAAAAGCAATAAGGAAAATTGATTGTAACATGTGTGTTACAGTAATATTACATTTCGGAGGTACCGCTAAGTATTTACTTTGTTAAGGCTAAAATCCGAATTGACGCCGCTGGCTGATGACCACCAAAAATGATAAGACCACTGTATTTCACTAAAATGCCTGGTAATAAAATACTTTGTGAGCAAAACTTGGTACCATAGGTTCTCTACCAGTATTTCTGCCAGGAATATATTTTTTTATTTTACAAAGCCTGACAGTTCTTTGAGCTCGGCCAATTACCACCAGTATTAACGAGAGCCAGCAATAATTGCTTTATTGTCTCTAAAGAGTAACGAAATAGAATTTATTTTATTTTTTTTTTTTTGAAAGCAATTTCATTTGCACTAACACCTTTAAAGGTGTTCATTTCAATTTGAAATCCTAATCGAAATTGAATCTTAACCTGAATTCAAAAAAAAAGAAGACGATGAATGAGGATTTTCAATCCATATTTTCAGGCGTTAAATGAACTAAAAAATGTACTTTCTACATACAAAATATTTCTTAAAATTGCTTAAAGAACAAAACTTTTATCATTTAAATGATGTAATTTGTTACATATATAAGAATTTCGATGATTGACATGGTCATCCATGCTTTTTGAGAATTTTTGTAGTCTATTGAAATTCTTTTCCTTCCTCTAAACATTGATATGTTTATGCAATAGTACTTCTCATTGCCCAGAATTATAAATTTAATATAAATTTAATATTGTTATCCATAAAAATAAACATACAATAGCCACTTTTTTTGTGTGTAGCCTCTGATAGGCCAACCCTCATAGGATATGCGCGGGATAGGAGAGACTAAGGGCTTCATCTCTGGGGGAATTTTGTTTTCAAAGTAAAAGCCAAACAAATATTACAAGGACGTAAGCAACAATCTTTATCAGACCTTCTAAAATGATTGTAATTTATCGTATTAAGCTTATTTTATCTATACTTTCATTTCTAAAAAAATGCCTATTAAAGTTAAGTGTTGATTTTCAAACAAAATATGTTTAAATCAATACTTTTAGAACCAACGGGTGATAAAAATTATGAATGCGATACTGTGGAATTTCCTCCTGAAGATTGCTTCTTCTTTGAATTATTTTTGGGCTTATTGCTTGGTGTAGACATCTTCTTATGCTTGCGAGTGTCATTACGGTTAAGCTTGGTCGGATCACGGGTACCTTTTCCACCTTCCCAGAAACCTGTTTCTTTTGTTTGAAATTCATACCGACAATAAAAACAGACGTTAGAAATGTTTTGCTCTCGAGAACAATGGCCACAAATAATTCTCGTGGCATGTTCGTTAGGATGATCTTGATCAGCATCATGACATTTACCACAAGGATAAACCTTTCCACAGCAAGAAAAACGATACCACCGTTTCGATTTTCGATAGTGAGAGCATGAACCATCATTAGGTAATGGAGAGCCACTAACAATTCCAAGTTTCTGCTTTCCTTCATCACTTCTTTTGATAACTCGAACACCTTCTAAAACCTTTGAAGAAAGTACATCTTCCGAAACTTTTTCAAACTGAATATCATCAAGCTGCAAAATCAATCTAATATGACAAGAGCGACAGTTCATGGTGGCTTTCTTTGATTTCTCAATTCGTCTAAAAGGACTATCATTAAGAGGTGTTGCACAATTTTCGCATGTAGGAATAAAGGTACTGGCAAGCATGTCAAAAGGTGTGCATCCGGAAAACTCCAAGTAACCAGCAACAGGTGGTTGAGAAAAATTTCCATTTAAATGAATAAGATTTTTCCGAAAACATACCGCTAATGTAGCCTTACATTTTGAGCATTCCTCAGCGATCGGTTTAGAATCACGTCCATAAGGACCAGAAGTAACATTAAGAAAATCATTTTGAGAGCTGCATCTATCACATTTGACAACCATGTTGACAAACTGTGATTCTAAAATTGCAATATTTTTCATCGAAAGCCCTGGAAGAAGTAGTGCGACGCCACGAGGTACCAAATTCGGCACTTCTTTCAAATCATCTAATGGTATTTCCATATTCGGTTCAAATTCTTCCCCTTCTTCAATTATTTCATCGGTGTTATTGATAGCGATATTGTCAGAGATTTTAATCGTGTTTTCAGGGATAGTGTTAATTTGGGCGGAAGTAGGATTTAAACCCATAAGAATTCTGCGTGCTTTATCTTGAACTTCGGAAAGTTTCAAGGAATTAAGATCCAACTTTTCAATTTTTTCTTCATTCTCCTTGAGCTCGGGTATATAATTTTCCTTATTTTGGATAACATCATCCAAGTACTCTAAGTAATCTTCTCTAATTAGTTTCCCGAGTCTGGAGATTAAAAAGTTAACATGTGTCAGCAATGTCCAGTCCGTGTGTCTTTCTGCATTTCTGTTAAAATTTCTTTCGACTGTTAATGTAGGAAACTTATTGGAATTATTTTCAGTCTCAGATCCACAAGAGCTGGTAATTATAATAGAGCAGGGTTCCAAATTATAAGCTTGTGGAACTTGTAACATAAAATTAAAAGTATTGGAAAATTCATGAGGGAGTAGACTGGAAAATAGTTCTGGATCTGGTGCATGTGACGGTTGCAATATGATATTATAAATGGATTCACGTTCATCAGTGCTCATCATACTAATAACATCAGGACCCAGACGATGAATTAACTGAGCAACTTGAGTACTTCGTGCCTGTTTGATTTCAGGAGGAACAATAATCGTTTTTTTTACAAAAGTTTCAGGAGCAGCTGAATATGATTCACTTACTTCTTTTTCTGGCTCTTGTATTGAAGAAGCTTTTGAACTGGCAGAACCTGGCTTAGATTTATATTTGACAATTTTAATAGTCTGTCGTTTTTCTTGCTTTAAAAAAAACTCAAGTTTTTTATCTAGCTCGTTTATCAAATCCAGTAAAGTTTTTTTGCCCAAGCTAGATCTTGCCATATCTCGAAATCCAAGATCAACGTTCACAGAAAATCCTTTAGGAATGTCGGAATTTGTGACTGTGATGAGAGGAGGATCTCTTGGATAGCTGATCGGAACAAATAAGTCGAATTCAAGGTTACTAATATCAAAGGGAAAATCAGGGTCGGATGGTCGCAAAACCATCGAAAATTTTGAGGAGTCTAGTTCATCTTCAATTATATTAGGAAATCCTTTTTTCAGTTGCTCTAATTCATTGGAACGTGGGCTATGATTTTTAGGGTTTTTTCTTTGTGGTTTCTGAACAACACGAGAAGGATCGGCTCTATTAAATCGCTGGGTTACTCGAGTTTGATTGTTACGTGAACTTTCTGGCAATGATCTAGTTTCGTCGTTAGAAATATTGTTCATCTGTTCAGGATTTTTGGGCTTTCGAGTTCGATGGCGGCGGCGCTGCTTATTATGACTTTGCTGCGATGGCTCTTGAGAAGATTCACCTTGTGAGGCAGAAGCAAGAGATTGACTATTCTCCATAGTATTAATGTCACAAAATTATAAATTTTTATAGATATCTGGTATATTTCAAAATTATTCAAAGATTATGTCTTCCTTATATACAGTAATGAAATCTTCTAAAGCTTGTGTGTGTGAAAACCAAATTGATGACAGGTTCTGAATCATTTCCACTCATTGTGCCAGAAAAATTATAAAATATTAACCACGTGACACTTAAAAATTTTAAAAGGTAGTTTGCGGCTCGTAATAATTTGATAATAGATTATTTCCACCCACTATGCTTACAAAAATGTTACTTAGCGCTATGGAATTCAGTCAGTTCAAGACAAAAGGATTCTTTTTCCCAATATGGGGTTTCCATTAATATCATAAATTAAAAACATTTCAAAGTTAGTTAAATTTTAAAGATAATTCATCTAATTGCTCTTCCCTCAAATTTTTTTTTTTTTTGAACTGTTTAATTATTACAGAATCAAGTGGTACTTAAGCTGGATACAGGGTTGATGTTCCATTTTTGCTACGTTTTTAAGTATTCAATTCAAACACAATTCAAATCGTCTGTCAACTTGGCTAACCAAAAATGAATAGCTGAAGGAAACTAAACCAGCTAAAAATTATTTAATTATTTAAAGACAAAATGATTTCAAAAAAAAAAACAAAAAAAAAACAAATAAAATTAAAGATGGACTACGACAAACATTTAAAAAGCTCAAAAAATATTCTATTAACTATAAATGGGAATTTGATTCATTGAAATTTAATATAGTGGATTGAGGTTGGTAATATCTAGAAATTTCTAGATATATATTTATTGTCTATTGACCAATATTATTAAAAATCGAAATGCAATCTGAAAATAAAAAAATAATATTAAAATTAAACGTTGATAAGACAAATTCTATAGTGAGACCAAAGATTACAGGAGTAGAATGAAAGTATAGGAGTGTAATAAAAAAATGAGAAAAAAGAGACACGATTGTCGGTCAAAAACAATGCGGAACAAATCGATGATGAATGCAATGTGTTTAATATGATTATGTTAGGCCTACAGCCAAACCCACAATCAAGCCCGCAATGGCAGCTACAAATAGTATAATAGCTAAAACCAAAGCAATAATTTTTGTCCGTTTAGAGACTTTGCCAATAGCTTTGTCAAAAACTCCACATGCTAAAAGCAGCCAAAATAATGGAAACAGTGCAAAAGCAAACAAAAGAAACCATTCTAGCATGGGTGGACATAAAACATTTCCATATTCATCAATGACTTCATTTTTTTCGCCAAATTTTTCCGAGCGCTTTTCTGTTATGACATTAGCAGCTCGCGCCGTCGCAGCAAGATTAGCATCGTCTTCATTAGAAAGATTAATTCCAGAAAATGTATGTCGACTCAAATCAAAGTCTCTAGAATTCTTTCGAAGCATGGCAGGCTGAGGTCGTGGAATAGGCGCATCTGGGGGTGCAATGGTAGGAGGCAAATTAGGGAGAATGGCGCTACTAGCTGCATCCTGAACTGCAAAAACAGGGACAGGTGATACTTTAGTTGTCACAATCATCTCCTCTGGCTCTGTAACATTGACGCTCCCCATAACGGTATTTTCGTAATTTTCAAAATCTTCATGAATATCATCTGCCGTGGACACTAAAGATTGACGAAGTGAAGAATTTGATGGATGAGACCGTAGCATTGATTGCATTAAATTTTGTGTGTTCAACAAATAACTGGATAAACTGGAAGTTGATGATTGAGAATGTTGGCTTGACTTGCTGAATCGTTGAGAATTTCGCGAGCTTCGTGAGTTTCGCGAAGTACGGGAATGCCGTGAAATGGCAGAGTGCTGGGAGTAACGAGAATTTTTAGAACTTGCTCGTGATTCTCTAGTTGGAGTTTCAAAATTATTTCCGCTTCCGTTATTTTTGTTAAAAATGGTATTGTATGTATCTGTGTTATTATTGATGTCAACATTGCTGATGGTATTGAGAGCAAAGGTCGGGCTTACTGACTTATTCGGAGAGCTATTGCGTGCCATAGGTGGTGAACTAGGAAACTCAATATTACGAGGCGAGTTGCGTAGTGAATTCACACCTAATTTATCATTAGAGTGCTTTCTAATAACGTGTCTATTAATATTAGGCAAAGACTTAGACCTAGACTGGTCTTGGTAAAAATCGTCAACATCTTTCCGTTCCATGAGAGAGACTAATGAACTATCATTGAAACGCACGAACTTTAAGCTACTAGAAGAATTAGCGTTCCCGCTTCCAGGTTTTGTTGGAGAAGGAGGAGAATTGCTAAGATTGTTTGCTGGTGTATTGGTATCCAGCTTGGTGTTGAACAACAAGTTATTGCTTGGGTATGTAAATGGGTTTTGTAGAGCAGTTGCAGCAAAAAAGGCTTGGGGGGTGGAAGAAGAAAAAATCGCGGCGTCATCTAAAAAAAAATTATTGTTTATTTTTTTTGCAGTGTTTGAGTTGTATGTGGTAGTATTGTTGTTTATTATCTGTAAAGGGAAAGAGTTTTCTTCAAGCTCTGTGCTATTTGGGTCCGAAGTTGTTACAAAAGCTGAAATCGGTTGGTAAAGAAATTTAGCTTTTTCTGCTGTGTCGGGTGAGGAAGTAGCAGAAAGTTTTCCAGGCATTTGAGAGTTTCGGTAGGGAAACTTAGAAAAAGAGTCTATGTTTGGGGAAGAATAAACAGGGACTTGGACAACAGAGCTTTTCAGATTACCAGAACCGGGTGTAGTCTCAGATTGTGTAGCATCTGGAGAAAAATTCATGCCATCTTTATTGTAAATATCATTTTCAATGTTACTACCAGGACTAGAAGGATCATTTTCATACAAGGAATCGCTTTTGGGTGAAACAGTATCTGAAAAAGAGGAGCGAGATCTATAGACATGGTGCATATTTTTGCGAGCAGGATGAACAATTGCCTGGGGTATTGTATCGCTATAACATGAAGTTTCTGACAACAAGGAACTTCGAACGGGCCTAAAAGATTCACTCTCACCCTTTAAAGATTCTTTTGGTATTGGGGGGCAAGACACACTTGGTGGTAAATTTGGAGCATGAGTCTTATTGTTGATGATCTCCTCGTTAAATTTAAAGTTGGGATTATGAGGCAAGTCCGAGTTTAATCTTTCAGTCTTTTCATGGTCTGGAGAGGCTTCCTCAAAGTTATTAACTAGAACAGAATTTTGATCCTGCATTTTTAAATGTGGGGAATCTTGGACGTATCGGCGAGATCGAATTGAATAAGGAGAGTGACCAGATAAGTTACTATCATTAAAATCAAAATCAAAATCAAATTCTGAAGGTGAACCTGAAATTGATGTTAAATTTGCATTTGTAGAAGAAAAACTAGTTGAGTTACTGAGGGTTGAATTCAAGGCATTACTTGTATTAGAATCCGAGGCAACCAGCGTCTGATTCAAATATCCAGAAGATAATGATTTAGCTACTGATTTACTTGAGGCGCTCAATGGTATTGACGTGAAAGCCGTTTTTTCATCTGAGAGAGACTTTTGGTGAATTTGCCAAGGTGAACGTGTATTATCAAAATTGTCATTAAATACAAAATCCTGGCTGTTGCTTGATGCTATTTTTGAATGTTTTGGAGTAAAATGTGACCCAAGTTTTTTCGCATCGTAAAAATCAGTATGGTGGAGTGTTGGTGAAGATGATTTTACCTTTCGTACCGATTGAGGTGTATGCAACAGCGATTCCTCGGGTTTAGTTGATTTCGGTGACGGCACATTAGCAATAGAAGGATCAACACTATTTGGTTGGCTAATAATTTCTGAAAAAGCTGAGTTAGTTGAATTTCCAGCTGCAAGTTTTAAATCAGACGAACTTTTATGCAAATGAAAATCCGGTAGAGATTTTAAAGAAAAATCAAAAGAATTATTGGATTCAATAGTATTAGGTAAGATACTACCATCGGTAGTGCTTTGGCTGCTGAGAGAACATGAATCTATATCAGCACTAGATGAACTAAACTGAGTAACTGTTGTTCCATTACTTTTCTGAGTCGGGCGATCCGATACCTCTGATTCAACTTGTTGCGTATTCTGTAAAAGATGACTTGGAAGAAGAGTTTGTCTGCGATCGTCTTGTGTACTGGTAGAGAACCGGGGTTCAGAGTTTTGACTTAATTTAACTGGATTGGGAGAGTTATCATTAGTAGAAAAAGAGTCTTTTTTTGAAGTTGCTGCTATAGCCGGAATTTCATGGTCAGTAACTGTACTGATTGATAATGCACGACTGTGACGGCTGAAATCTGGTTCTAAATCATCTTCTGCAGCACTTTCATAGGCTGAAAAAGAGAAGGCATAACTGGCAGTACTTGCAACAGAAGCTCTGGATAAAGGAAGTTGATTTGAGTGTGCTTGAAACCGAGACTGTGGTTCGATGTTTTGTGGCGGAGAGTTAGTGAAAACTTCGTTCTCATTGCTATGGTTAGAGCCCTCTTCAGCAGAATAAAAAGAATCAGCTGAAGACGTGATATCTGTTCCTATTGACACGTATGACGGAGAAGGAGCATGATGTGAATAGCGATAGATATTGCTATCGTTGCTGGCGCTAGTATCCATAATCAGGTTGTGATTGAAAATGCTGAGTTTTCAAAAGTCTCATGAAGAGGCAAGAAAAAGTTTTAACAGAAAAAAAGGGGATAAAAAAAAAAGACGCGTCGAAAGTTTGAATATCAAACTAGTGACTAGTCAAGACCGTGTATGGAAAAGGGTGATATGAAAAAAAATTCTTGAAAATAAGGAGCTTAGATATCTTATGAAGATAATTCTAAAAAAAATTAGAACCAAACCTTTACCTGAAGGTTGTATCCAAACTTGTCATTAAAAAAGAAAAAAATGTGAAATGTAAAATTTGAATGAGTGCCTTTTTTCTGCGGACAATTATTTTGTAAACAAAAATGTAGATGTATGCATTAGGCCTAACTAGGACGGCTGAACCGGGCTCAGCTATTCAACAGTGACTTTCACAATGCAACAACATGATATATAGAAAAGCACTAAAACGCCGACATTCACTAACCAAAGCTGTTATTTTCATTTGTTTTCTCAAAAAAGATTGTATTATGTATGCTATATCTGCAATATGATGACGATGATACACGCTGACGCGTAATAAATGCAGCCTCATGTTCAACCCCTGTGTTATGATTTTTGAAAAGGCTGAGTGATGCTTTGACCCTGATCGATAACATGATAGATGATCGAGTGAAGTATTGGTAACCGTTTTATAGGTCTGGTACAAATAGAGTTCATTATAATGAACTCTGAATCACCATGAGATGCCTTCGTTATGAGTTAAACATCAACCTCCTGTCATTCCGACAATTTTGATCTGTCTCAGTTACTGAACAGGGCTTTGTTTTGAAATCAAATCAACTCCTCTCATTATTTATAATTTTATATTTAAACTATGAAAAATAAATTTATTATTATCATCTTTATTTAAGTATTCCTATTAAACAATTAAAAAGTATTACTGATTTAATACAGATAATAACTATAAGCTTGTAAGCTGCCAAATAACAAAATGCTTAAGAAAGAAATTGAATACTTGTCAATATATCAATGTTCTTAAGTTATGCTAAGATGCTATCATTTTATTCACATGTACCGAAACCTAAGATGGAGTAACAAAAATAAGGGCAAAAGCATACCAAATTGTTATGTGTTTTAGTATTCTAGGCTGAATAGTAGGGTGTCTGCGCTAGTTAAATTAGACTGGAATGAAGAACCTGAAAAGTGGAGCATTCTTTCCTATTTGAGATAATAGACTTTTGCTGCATTCCAATGAAGTCAACATAATAGTTTTTTTAAGGACAAAATAATACCGTCCATACCCTTAATTGATTGAAAAAATCCTTCTACGAATATTATTTTCTTTTCATTAAACGGCTTTAATAAAAAATAAAAAATAAAAAATAAAAAATAAAAAAGCATTCTTTCGTTAAGATCAGATTTCAAATTTCCAAGGTCAACAATCAAAGGATCAAAGACAAATTTTCTTTATATATATGTGAATGTGATTATGTAATTTATATAGTGAGGCAGACGCATACAGCAAATATTTGTTACACGAATGACTTTATTGTAATAAACATCTTACAAAGAACGTTTATGTAGATTCACCAAAAACTCTAGTTTTCAACTGTCCAGACATAGAATAGAACATTGTATATTTAATAGGATTAATTAAGCATATCTTAAGCCATTTTTCTCAACTATCGCATTTATTTTATTGTTATTCTTGTTCTGATTTAAACTCAAATGGTCAAACTAAACGTCGGAGTTCTTCAACTTAATCCCAGGATAGGAAGTGTAAAGGCAAATATTGAACAGGCAAATACTATACTAGCCAGTCATGGATATCTTACTCCATTAACAAATATAACAAATGGTGTAAAATCGCATGTGCCACGAAGTAAACTCGATCTTTTAATTCTTCCTGAGCTCGCATTTACTGGCTACAACTTTAAGTCACCTCTAGAAATCAAACCGTATCTAGAACCTACCACATCTGGTGTATCAACGGAATGGGCTAAGCAAACTTCACGCGCATTAGGTTGTCATGTTCTTGTCGGATATCCAGAAAAATATTTCAAAAAAGTTCAATCAATACACGAGACATCTTTCCCCACAAATATAACATCAAAAATATCAAACAAATTGAGCGGTAATGAATTAACACCAACCCTAAATGATGACCATGATTACACTGTTTATAATTCAGCAGTAATGGTTTCACCAACAGGATCTGTACTGTTCAATTATAGAAAGTCATTTTTGTATGATGCTGATGAAACATGGGGCTGCTCTGAGTCTCCTACCATGAAAAATGGACCCGATAGTCCTGACGTTTTTCCTTTAACCGGTATCATTATGATTGATCAAAAAAATGAGACCGGTAGCACGGTTGATCAATTAAATAATAGAGAAAGTTTACCAAAAATACCCCTTAAAGTCCAGGTGGGCATTTGCATGGATCTGAACCCTTATAAATTTCAATCTCCATTTTCAAATTTTGAATTTGCGCATGCTGCTATACACAATGATGCTTCTCTTATTTTGTGCCCAATGGCCTGGCTACACAGTAAGTCGCCAGACATTCCTAAACAAAGTGAATTTGACGGTACCCCAGAAGCTTACGATAAACAACGAAAAGAGAAGCTTCATTCTATTGAAAACAATTTCAATAACGACCCCAGTTCAGCAGATATGAGCAATGTTAATTACTGGATACATCGCATGTCGCCTTTGTTTCGCGATGAGTACTTAAGTTCTCGAGAAAAAACAACGTACAAGCATAAAAAAATTCTAATGGCTACATGTAATAGATCGGGAATTGAAGATTATACGGCTTATGCAGGATCTAGTAGCATATATGTGTTCAACGAAGACAAAAAGATTGGTTATTATGGATCACTGGGCCAGGGTGAAGAATCTTTAATGGTTTGTGAAGTTGAAGTGGATGAATAACAAAACTCAACTCATTAACTAAGAAAATATAGCGATTTTTAATGAATTATGATAAAAATTATTTGTTTTTACTGTAGATTATATACAGTCATTGGAATTTAATCTCAAAACTTGAAGTCGAGAGAAAGACGATGAATGAAGATTTTCAATCCATATTGTCAAGAATTAAATGAACTAAAAGACGTACTATCTACATATAATATATTTCTTAGAATTGCTTGAAGATCAACGATATAATTTGTTATTTATAAAAATTAAGATTGAAGATGATTCTCAAGACTATCCATGCTTTTTCAGAATATTTGCAATGTTTGTTGAAATTCTTCTCCTTACTCTACACATCGATATGTTTATGCAATGGTACTTCTCATTGCTCAGCATAAATTTAATAGTTATCAATAAAATAAACATTACAATAGTCACTTTTTTAGGTGTAGCCTTTGATAGGAAAACCCTAATAGGAGACGTTCAAGGTTGGTGAGTCTGAGAGCTTCATCTCCAAAGGCACAGATCTTTAACAGTGACATAAAGCCCTTCATTTTTGATAGCATAAGCTGCAACAACGTATTGAAGTTTTATCGCTTTTGCAAGATAAGTATTGTTGTCAATAATTACCGGCTCAAAAAGTTAAAGCTAAATACAAGCTATTTTTTATGAAAAGGATCAGAATTGCCCTTGTTGATTTCAGTGGCTATTAAATCTTTGTAAATTGAGGCCCTTAGCAAAATCTCAATCGACTCTAAATGTTTGAAAAATATGCGGTTGGAACGCGTCTTGAAATAAATGTATAAAAAAACTTGTTTTAAAGTAAAGCTGTAATAAGAGGCTTTAAATGACTAAATTTCTTTAACAGTACTTTACAAGATTTTAAAAAACCCAAAAATCGTTTCTGGCAAGGCAGCATAAAACGTTGTAAGTGATCTTGTAGATCGATTGTTGAGCAGTGTGGTATGTTCCGTACGCGTACTCTTTTTTATCCCCATAAAGAGTTTTTTTTATCCTCACCACCACCAAAAATTTTCATATTTTTAGCCTCAGTCACACCTCTCCTTTCTCCCACATGTGGGCCTTTAAAAGAACAGCACAATATTTGAAATAATCATAAAGAGTCCAATTGGTGATATTGGGTTTCATTAGTTTTTATTATTATTTAATTTTTATCTTTCAAATACTTGAGATTTTTCATATTATATTTTAAAATGGATAAATCACTTGACGAAATCATTTCTGACAGAGTACGTGAATTTGACTGAAATTATTTCGCATGTCTTTAGCTAACCAGAGAACTTTTTTCTTCTAGTACCAAAGTTCACGGGGCAGATATCGTGGAAATAACAGACGAGGCAACTACGGCCGACACGTTCGAGGAGGAGGAATCTCAAAAGTATGTGATTCTGCAAATTAATTTTTTTTTTTTTTTTTTTTTTTTTTTTTTCAAATTCGTTATATTTTACACGTAGGCAGCTTTTTGCAGCCACAACCTTTAAATTTTGAAGAAATTTCCATTCATTATAATCACAAAAACTGTTAACTGACATTTGAATTTTTTTTTTTAATTTTGATTTGTTTTAGAGACCTTACAATTCTCGTTCAAATTTTAGAGAGAATGGCCCGTATCAAAGACCGCATCCGTATGTGATTATTCGTTTCAAAAAAATACAAACTCTAACCCTTATTGAACAGACATCCAGATCTTGCAAATACAATTAAAATCAGTAACTTACATTATGAGCTTTCTGAAGATGATATTTATGTATGTAAAATATGTTTTACTGACATGTGAAAATAATAGTAACTAATTTGTTTCTAGGAACTATTAACAAGAGTAGGCTCTGTTCGAAAAGTGAACTTGCAATACGACCGCTCTGGCCGATCTGATGGTGTTGCTTACGCAAATTTTCAATATGCTACAGATGCTGAAGAGGCAGTTCGCCAATTTGACGGGAAAAAGGCAGCAGGTATTGAAATTTCAGTCAAACTGCTTGACGAAAGCTCTCAATTGAGAAACAGACTTTCATTTAATAATAACGATAATCAAGATAACAATCGTGATCTTATTGGCGATTCTTTTGATAATTCTAATGAAAATAATGATTTTGAGAGAACAAATCAAGACGGTTCTGGTAGTACATTTCGACAATATAACAGATATAATATTCGGGGTGGATATAATAATGGGCACAGAAAACCCCATGGTTACAACCCTAGATACGATGGAGGCCGTGGAGGGAAAAGGTTTACTGCTGGAGCTAACTCAATAAGACAGCCTCGCAAAACTTTAGAAGAGCTTGACAATGAGCTGGATAGTTACATGAATGGCGGCGCTGATGATATTAAGATTGAACCCCCTGCCGTTGATAATAGTGCTGATGCTATCAATCTTAAGACGGAAAGTAATTAATCTACTACATATTAATAATAAAAAGAATATTCTTTTTTATGTATACTTGTCTGTTGGATTTCAACCGTACTTTTAAATTAATTAATTCTAACTTATAATTTAATTTTTTGCATGGGCTTTAGAAAGTCATGTTCAAATCAATTGCTTGATGTCGCTCAAAACAACCGTTAATCTTTCCTCATCAACCGGTAGGTCTTTAAACCTCTCTAAAGCCTCAGCTACCATAGATTTTCCAGCAGAACCACAATCAACGAGCAATGTTCCAGTAGCCAATAATAATCGGTAACGAGACTCGGAATCAATCAGTACTGGAAACAATTCAACACAAACCTTAAGAAGAGCGTTGGATGACATAACAGATCCCCCGTGCTTCCAACTCAGAACAGCATAATTGTATATTAATGATGAAATTGCGAGATTTCGCGGCTCTGGCTTGGGGTCTGGCAAGGCACCCAACTCTTTGACAATATCAAAAATATTGTCACGGGTGCTGGGACTTTCAATCAATTTAGTAGCATTGGTGTTTGGACTAGAAAAAAGATTCACTAACCCACGAAGAGCAAGAAGGCAGTGCTTTGGGGCATCTACATCAAGTGAAGAAAGTAAACTTTGCAAAAGCACAACAGGCGGAAATGTACGCAAAGAAGGGATAATAATGCGTAACACATCTAGCAATGGCAGGATATCAGCTGGTACCCATGATTGTAATCCTTTAGTAACGATTTTGAAAATTGATGAAGAAGATTCTTCAGAAAGAAGATTTGGAGCTAAATTTTGCTCAATAAAAGAAATTTCAGCTTCAGTGAGTTGCTTGTCCACCTTTTGTTTTGAATTGTTGGTTTTGATAGCCTTTATGATAGGTGCCGCTTTGAATGAAGATAACTGAACAAATGATTTGACTGGAATAACTACAAGATTTTTTTCATTTGTAGCTGTGGATGTAGGTGAAGATTTAGAGGCAGATTTAGAATATGATTGCTGTGAAGCGTGTTGGTTTGATGAAGTGGAATTTTCTATTCCTGGAACGTATCGTGTACCGTAAGGATCTTGAGCTGGTGCCTGGTTAGTTAAATCGACGCCTTCTGTGTTTTTAATTAAGAAATTCGCCACGTTGTCTAAATAGGACATTGGGAGCTCATTTTGCTCGAGAAACCTTCTAGCGGCATCATAAGGGTTTTCAGTGACATTGTAGGGAAGCTTAAGAGCAGGTTCACCATCTTTAATATCGACATCGAAAACATAGTCATATTCAACGCCATTGTACAATTTCTTGGATGTAGAACCGGCAGACCCAACAACTTCTCCAATTTTAATCCATTCATTTGCACTCCATTGATATGCCTCGACGGTATTAATTTCCGTACGAATCATTTTTACTTCGCCTTCATTTTTACCAGGATTTAAAAGACCTTCTTTCCCTTCTAATTTTTCTTTATTAACAGAACCGACTTGATCTTTTCCAATTCCAGATGAAGCAACAAGATCTTGGAAATGCTTAATTTCATCATCTGGAGCATATCTTGATGGTTCTCGCGTAAAGATACGGATAGTGCCATCGCTTCCACCTACTGCTATGTCACCATTCTCTGAGTTGACAGCTACTGACCAAGCAGAAACATAAGGGAGGGTGACAACCTGGACGGTTTCCCCGTTTCTCCAAACACGGAAAGATCTATCTTCGCCACTACTGACAATCTCTCCAGTAGCAGGAATAGTTGCAATAGAATAAATAAAACTAGTATGTCCATAGAGCTCTTCAAGTGGAATATTTGAATTAATATCCCAGATTCTAATTGAAGCGTCATTACTGCAAGATGCAAAAGAAGTACTTGTAATAATAGTAAGACCTCTTACGGCATCAGTATGACCCTTAAAAACCTTCTTGGCTTTCCCATTTTCCCATAATCGGATAGTCTTGTCAGCAGAGCCGGTCAAAACTAGTGATTCTGAAAGTATCTTTACAGCCCAAACAGCTTGTGAATGTCCTTCAAGAGTATAAAGCAACTTCCCGTCTTTCCATACACGAGCAGTTTGATCCCAGCTTCCACTCACGACTAGCCCATAGTTAGAATCTAAAGCACAGACATTAGAAGAGTGGCCCAAAAGATAATAAAATGGTTCAAGGATTTCTTCATTGGAATCATCGGGAAAAGGTTCGACAGGAATACATGCGTAAATTGAAGAAGACTGATCACCTGCAATAGCGAGAGCTAAGTTATAGTGGCAAAAATAAAAGTCAATGCCAAAAAGTTAGACAAGAAAGAATAATATGCAAAATAAAAAATTTCAAATTATAGGATACATACGTGTTTCTTTATCATTAAGCCATGTTACTGAGTTTACATAAACAGAGCCTGTATGAAGTTGTTTAAAACTCCAAGTTCCTGATTGATTGGAGCGATTCCAGAGTTTAACAGAGCCATCCCGCGAGGCAGAAACAATTGTGGATGAATTAGGGAAAGAAACAGCTTTAACATCACTTTCATGACCCAAAAGAGTTGAAGAAAGTGTGTATCTTGGAATGGAATCGTTTGCCATTTTAGTTATTGTTATTGTTATATATTTGTCAGTGAATGTTTTATTAATTGAAAAATCTAAAGGTGTAAGGAACAGTTATCGCCACTTAATGCTAAGAAAAATACAGATATGTTGCTAGTGGGATAGTTACCCTCCTCTAACACATAAACTTATAAGCTTACATAAGTTTCATTAAACGATCTTTAATTTTTCTCATGTAATTGTGCTTATCGTAGATTAAACTATGAAAATTTCAGCAATGTTTATCAAAGAAGTTATCAAAGAAGTTATCAAAAGTTTTTTTTTTCAAGTAAATATAATTTGGCAGTCTTTTGTTGGTAATTATAAAGTATTCGTTATTATTTATTTTATTCAAGCTTCTGTAAATATTTGTTTAAAAGTTTAATAATTTCATTAATAGTATTAACAAATAATTGATTATTATATATTTATAGATATATAGAAATTAATTAATTAATATTCTAATTGTTAAGGTAATATAATGTAAGGGTTTCTAAAATTTCCTTATATTAAAAGTTATATATAATTTTTTCAACTTGAAATAATATAAACAAACAAACCCAAGAGCAGGTAATTACTTGTTTAAGCCGCATGAAATTAACAATACATAAACGTATAAAATTATAAACACAATAAAATGTTACGCGTAACAATAATAATTGGGAGGGTCAAAGAATGTTTTTTTTTTTTTCTGATGATGCAAGTAATATTTAATAAACCTCACAAGAAACATGAAGTTTCAGAACAGGAAAATTCTGGGGTTAATTAAAGAACAAAAATATATAAAAATACAAGACCAGAAATATTTAAATGTTTGTTCTTCTATTTATATGTATAATAATAATAATTATACCTTTATAAGCATGCGTATGCAATAATATCACTTCAAAAGAGATACGCCTCCGAAATAACACAAGACAAGACAAGATAAAAAAAAAAAAAAAAAAAAGCCCAAAACACAAGTAAGGATACCCTAACCCAGTTGTACCCAAAAATAAAAAATAAAAAAAAAATAAATTAATGTTGCCACCACGAAAACTAGGCACAAAGTTTTTAAGAAATTTCTTTCTTTTCCCTGTATTCTATTCTATTCTATTCTATTCACCTGCTGTTTCTTCGTGCTTTCACCAACGCTCATTTCTTTAACCATATTTCACTCCTTTCATAGAAATGGCGCCTTCGCTCTCTGTTGTTGTTGCTGATGGCGCGTACTATTTCAAAGATTCCAGCAAACCTGGTACTTTGAAAATCTCTAATACTGAAATAGATGTTGTTGGTATGCTGCTACTTCCCCCCCCCCTAGTCTTAGTAAACATTATGCAGCCCTAACACCAATTTTATTAGACTCGACTTTTTTCAACACTGTTAAAGGAACGGTTCGAACGATTGTAGCCATTCTTGGAATTATTCGCCTTCGCTTAGGTATGTTGATTATTTTAAATTTGTTTTATTTTTTATTTTTATTTTTATTTTTATTTTTTTTTTTATTCTTAATTTTTTTTTTTTTGAAAAATTATTTTGATATATTCGTGCTTTAAAAGTAAATTGTTAGCTAACATGTCTATAAAATAAAAATAAACAGGACGATACATTGTTGTTGCAACTGAAGCTGAAAGTACAGGCTCTCTTCAAGGCCACCCAGTTTATCGCATTACTTCCTATGACATACTTCCTATTGTACAGTATGCCAATGTCAAGGACCGCTCAGAGGATACCTACTTGAAACTTTTAGCCAATCATTTGGAATCAGCCTCTCTTTACTTTTCCCCTTCTTGGGATCTCACCAACTCGTACCAACGTCAATCTGGCCCCGCAGAACAATTGTGGCAACTTTCCGATGTAAGATTTTTTTGGAATAGATACGCTTCATTGGACCTCATTGATGCTGCGGCCCGTCAGCCTCTTGTAGGTAGTTTTATTACGCCCACTATTTACGGCTATGCTCAATTCAAAGAAACTACTATTCTTGGCCATCCGGTTTCATTTGGTTTAATCACCCGTCGCAGTACATTTCGTGCAGGTACCCGCTATTTCCGCCGTGGCATTGATGATGACGGTAATGTCGCAAACTTTAATGAAACGGAACAAATTATCATGGTTCCTACACAAGGCGACAGCGACACTGAGATGCAGGTCTTCTCATACCTCCAAACTAGAGGTTCTGTCCCTGTTTACTGGGCCGAAGTGAACAACCTCAAATATGCTCCCAAACTTTCTGTTGGCTCCAGTCCATTGGAATCTGCTCGCAAGCACTTTGATCAACAAAAGAAGTTATATGGAAAGAATTACCTTGTTAATCTTGTTAACCAAAAGGGTAGAGAACTTGCTGTTAAAGCTGCCTACGAAAATCTTGTTCATGCACTTAACGACCCTGACCTTGACTACGTTTACTTTGATTTTCATCATGAATGCAGCCGCATGCGTTATGACAGAGTTCAAATTTTAATTGACACCCTTTTGAAGGACGGCATGGACAAACAAGGCTGGTACGAGGCCAAAATTGGACGCGAAAAAAGTAGCGTTAATAGAGTGCAAAAGAGCGTTGTCCGTACTAACTGTATGGACTGCTTGGATCGTACTAATGTCGTTCAAAGCCAGCTTGGTCGTTGGGTGTTGCAAAAACAACTCGAGACTGCTGGATTACTCAAACCTGGTCAAAAGTGGGAATCCGATGCTGCTTTCGAGTACATTTACCGAAACATTTGGGCCGATAATGCTGACGCTGTGTCTACTTCTTACAGTGGCACAGGTGCGCTTAAGACGGATATCACTAGACAAGGAAAGCGCACCAAAATGGGCGCGCTCATGGATTTTAAAAACTCAGTTACTCGCTATGTAAAGAATAACTTTTTGGATGGTGCGCGACAAGACTCTTTTGACTTGTTTTTGGGTAATCATCTTCCATTTGAGACAGTTGATCCCCCCTTTTACGATTCACGTCCCATATCTTACCAGATTGCACCCTATGTTCTCTGGGGCTCGTTGGTTATGGCCGTTGCTGCTACATTTTTCCCCAAGGAAGATGCACCGTGGTATGTCAACCGACTGTTCCAATTCTTTTGGGTTGGAATGGTTGTATACTCAGCCAACTTCATTATTTCTAATGGCCTTCAATATGTGCGCTGGCCTAAGTTGACCAATCCTGGATTTCTCCAGGAGGTCGAAATTGTTAAAAATGGCAAGACTATTGGTTATATCGTGACAGAATCCGATAAGGACGAGTTCAACAGTAAGAACCAGTGATTTATCTTGTGATAAATAATTAGCATTAAGATAATTTCCTTCCCAGATTTGAAATTTCTTAAAAAATTAACCTTTAATTTTTTTATTTTTTTTTTTTTTGAACTAACTAATAATGTGCACAAATTCATATTTCATGGATATTTTTATCCCATTTTCAAACTAATAATACAAAAAAAGTCTAAAATTTACAAAGTAAGAATAAAAGGAAATGGTCAATTTTTCAACTGCTGAAATTGCAAATTCTTTTGTCATATCTACACTATGCTCCTAATCCCTTTTTAATGTCTTTTTACTCTTGCTGTAAGATGAAGATGAAGCCGATCCATCAGAATACACTCCAAGAATAAAAGCCAGACGCATGACAACTAAATCAATTGCCATTTTAATTGAATCTCTTGCCAACTCAACTTTGGAGCCAGCAACCTCGTGCCAGGAAATAGGCACCTCAAGCACTGGTATCAGATTACGCATGGCAATGATGAGAATCTCCACATCAAATATCCAACCTTCGGTATGCATATAAGGAAAAATAGATAGTGCTGCCGATCTAGTAAACATCTTGAATCCGCATTGTGTGTCGCCAATTGTCCGAATTCCAAAAATAAAGACCAAGGCATGTAGACCGTACATCAAGAAGTTACGAATAAACGAACGATTCACTACGGCATCAGTCTTAACCATATGTGCACGAGAACCTATAGCGACAACAGGGTACTGCCATGCTGTATTTTCTGTAGATAACAAATCCGAGGCATTTGTGTTATTTAGTACTTTCTTGCTGATGCTAGTGAGAAGTCTTCGAATGTCGTCGGATTTAGAAGCCCCATCAGCATCAGCAAAAATAGCATACTTTCCCCGGAAATGCATCATACCATGGGCAACTGCGCCACCTTTACCACGATTCTTTTCAAGCTTGACAACTCGCAGAGTTCCAGGAGGAAGGTATAACTTCCCAGAAGTGTGTTGTTCTGCTGCCCACTTGACAGCATATTCTGCTGTTCCATCGGACGATCCATCATCAACAAGTAGGAGTTCCCACTTTGGAGTAGTGCTTTTGGTAGTTGTTTGGGTATTATTTTGATTATCTGTAGTAGTTGGGTAAAGGAGGTTGAGAACGGGAATAGCATCTTCTAGTAGTAAATGAAGTCTTTCTGTTTCATTGTAACAGGGAACAATCAGAGACAATTCAATTATGTCATTTTCCAAGGCTATAGACTTGGACCTTGATTTTTCCAATAACGATGAGAGAATGGAGCTGCTTTTATTTCCAGATTTGAAATTGGCCTTAACCTCAGTTTCAGTCAGGTACTCCCAAGTTTGATGAAGTGGCAAGGGATCAGATACCGAACCGGCTTCGGTATTTGTAATGTATGTATGTTCTGAAGGAAATGCTTTTCTTGGAGTATGTTTGAAAATCTGAACAACTGTGTAGATCTATATTAATTTCGTTAATAATCGAAACTTGAAATTAAGGGGGGGGGGAAGACATTTATATCTGGCTGCTGTGTCTCAAACAATAACTTTCTCAATATCATTTAATAACTTACTAATAAATAAGGCAAGAATACAAATACACCAATACCAATAAAAACCATCAATATGATGCTCCAGGAAGTCGGAGAGGTGTTAGGTCCTGAATAAAGCGGGATGGAGGGACTATCTGCCGCTGAAGAAAAAGAAGCTCCTGGGCTCTCGCTATGATTTAGGTCCATAGCTGTGGATTTGAAAAAAAAATTAGAAAAAAATAAGAAAATTAGAAAAAAATTAGGAAAAAATGAAGCTAAATAAATTCGGATAAATCAAATAAGAATGTAATTTGAATATCTGTTCACCACGACGGAAATGATGGCAGATATTTAGAAACACACGAAATACTTTAAAAACCATAAAAAAAAAAAAAAGGAAAAGTATTAACTTCACAGGAGGAGAGCATTTTTTACGTGGTCTTAGCATGCACACCCTAATTTTAAATTTCTTTTCCCTTAAAATGCAACAACACATAAGTCGCTTATACGAATGTTGCATTTTAGGTTATTCATACTGTTGTCTAGAGGTACGGTTCTTTTGACTGACAAATTCAGTAAGAACAGGGGGCCAAGCTTTTGATCTTCCGTAAACACATGAAAGTTTTATGTTGAAACGAAGACTTCAAATTGAGAACTAGATAAGAAGACAATAATAAAAAGAAAAAAGATTTTATATAACACTGATAAAAGAAAAAAATTAAACTCGTAAGAGCTCTTTAATAAAATCTTTGGTGCTAGATGCCTTCATTAGGGCCTCACCAACCAAAATGGCACTGACCCCCTCTTTGTAGTACTTTCTAACATCGGCATTGCCCGAAATTCCAGAAAGAGCTGCAAGAACTGTACCCTCAGGAACCAGACTAACAAGTGAAGAGGTGGTGTTGAGATCCACAGAAAAGGAATGCAGGTCACGATTGTTGACACCAATAAGCTTGGAACCGATTGCAAGGGCACGCTTCATTTCTGGTGCACTATTGACTTCGACGAGGGGTTCCATACCAAGAGAGACAGAGTAGTCATATAAACGTTGTAATAGAGCATCATCAAGCATCTTTACGATAAGCAGAACTGTATCGGCACCAGCGAGGCGGGCTTCAAGAATTTGATACTCATCAAAAATGAATTCTTTACGCAAGACAGCAGGTCTGTTGGGTACAGAGTCAATGACCTTACGAACGTCTCGGAGGTCATCAATGTCGCCCTTGAACCAATGAGGTTCTGTGAGAATAGAGATGGCACTTGCACCAGCCTCAGCGTAAATAAGAGCTTGAGAAGCAGCATGAGCTTGTAAATCAATAGGACCCTTTGACGGAGATGCACGTTTGATCTCTGCCATAAGAGCTGGGGTAGACTGCTTCAAGCGAGCAACAACATCTTTGATCTGTGGAGGTGCCAGACCCAGAGCATAAGATTTTTTGAGATCCTCAAATGATTTTCCAGGAGTCGACTTAAGCTTTTCAACATCTTTCTTTCGTTGATCAAAAATTTGATCAAGAATGCTTTTTGATTTTGTGCTAGTAAGAGTAGAGTTTAAACCGCTGGCAGCAGCGGTGCTCGAGGAGGTATGATTTTTGCTCTTGAACTCAGCATCCTTTTCCCAAGTACCACCTTGGATGTTTAAAAAGTTTCGAACCATGAGATGACCTTCTTCAGTTAAAATAGACTCAGGATGGAATTGTACACCTTCCACTGTATACTTTTTGTGTCGTACACCCATAATCACACCACTATCGGTGCGGGCAGTGACCTCAAGATCCTCGGGTAATGTGGGCTGAGTACCAGCAAGAGAGTGGTATCTGGTAACAGAAATATCCTGGGATACACCGTCAAAAATGCCTTTGGCATCGTGCTTGACAGTCGAAGTTTTACCATGGACAATCTCTCCGGCATACTCGACTGAGCCACCAAAAACAGAGTAAATGCACTGTTGACCCATACAAACACCAATAACAGGAATTTTTCCAGCAAAGTGCTCAATACATTGACGAGAAATACCAGAGTCATGCAAAGGATGGCCGGGACCTGGAGAAATGACAATGCGGTCGGGATTCAGAGCTTCAATCTCAGGAATAGTGATCTTATCATTGCGATAAACTTGAACCTGAGCACCTTCCTGACATAAGTATTCGTAAAGATTCCAAGTAAAAGAATCATAGTTGTCGATCATCAACACATTTGGTTTTGTAGTAGTCATTTTGCAGGTTGTCAAGAAAATAGAAAGTAGAGAATGAAATGCGGATGTGATATTTAAACCTGTATTAAGAAATGGAAAGATCGATTTATAAAGTGCCGCAGCTTTGTTGATTCATATAATTTGAGAAGGTGGAGAAACTTGGATGTAAATCTTTTTTTTCTATATTAAGATCTTTTTTTCCAATAAATCAAAGCTTGAAAGTTCCAGTTTTTTAGGTGACTCTTCGTCTGGAAATTTTTTAAGTTGTGGAGTCCAGTGATATACAGGGTATAGGGTTTCATGATGAAAAAAAAAAAAAAGCAAAACGCCACCAGAACGCGTAGAACGCGTCTCCTAGCAATATTGTTTGTTTATTTGCCATTAGTCGATCAACATAAAAGTGTTTTTTTTACTTTGTACATACTAAACCTTTTTTATTCAGACAATTGAATTTAATATCACTATAATAATGTCCTCTTCCGAAAATACTCCTCGAATTACAGCGGCTACTCGTCAGGCTTTTAAGCTGAGTACAGTAAGAATTGTCGGCAAGCTAGAAAATGTCATCAGTTCTAATAAAGGTCAGTTTGAAGCTGACGGATTGTTTCAAGGAACATTACCTGATTTAGATGTAAGTTTTTATATATCTAATACCAATAACTTCATGGCAACTTTATTTACTAACAATTTGAAGCGAGTTAACTGGAGAGTTGGATCATGTTATGAGCTGATAGGGCAAGTGCAGAATGATTTAGAAATTAAGGTGCTGTCAGCTATCGACATGGGGACCAACCCTGCAATCATACCGATTTTTAATGAACTAGCAGCAGTGTCGCACAGGTTTCCTGAAGTATTTCAAGATTAAAAGTCTTTTTATTGATTTTATTTAGTTTATTTAGTTTATTACGAATTAGTATAGTTTAATGACATGTTACGAAAAACAAAGATACATTTAAGAATAATTTTAAACCGTTATTTTATTATCATTTATCGTCATAAGAATTATAGGATTTTTTTGACAGCTCGGTTCATTGCATCATTACCTATAATTGCGGCAGTCAAATTTGCAGCCGCTGTAGTCGTTATTAATCCATCACTTTCATAAAATTCTTCTTGGCCAGATTCTTCAGGAAGAACTTTTGATTGAACAATATGGTCTTTAGGAATACTGCGACCAGCGCCATTGCCATTACCACTGCTGCTACTGCCATTACTTGGTTCATTCTCATAGGTAGCCGTACTATTACTAACATTACTGTCCCCTTCGACAAAATCTTGAGGCAAATCAAAGCTGCTGGTAATAACTTTTTGAAGCGATCCCATCTTAAGAACACGAGAAAGTTGATCTGTTTTCAAGAAAGCAGAAGTAAGTTGTGTTGCATGGGTCGTCATATCTAGGTCACTGTGGCCAAGGTAAACAACTTCTTCGCCAGTCATGGTGGAGATTTGACCTACAGCTTTAACTTCTTTGAGCTGTTTGCGCAGCACTTCTTCTGGAGACGATGTCATAATATATTTTATTTTTTAAAAAAATAGTATATAAATGTGATTTTATGTTGCAGTAGATATTCCGAAGTAATCATCACCACTGACACCAACGATAGACTATAATGGGTGGCTGAGGCAACAAGTTTTCTAAAAATCATTTAAACATACTACAAATAAAAATAAATCATGTGACATTTTATTTACCCGGTAAACATGTAAAGTTACCAGTTTTTGAATAGCTTACCGATATTTGCATGATTACAATTACCAAATCCTGATTTGCATTTCAGATTTTAAAAAAGCATCAGCCAATATTCCACAAACTGAACCATTGTTAAATCTTCTATAAAAGGACTTGAACTGCATTCTGGCATAAATATAAACATTTCGTTTGGGATAACAGCGGAAACTAAACTAATTAGTTGTAGTAATACCAGGTGATGATGCTTTGTACCGAGATACAAAAAAGTGGTCTTTGAGATTTTTTTGTCTACGCCTACTTTTTTCCTGGTTTTCCCCTTTCTAAATTTTTTTTTAATAATCTCAAACACCGAATTCTTCTTTTTCTTATTTTTTTTATTTTATATTTCTTTGAAACTCAAATTTAAGAAATCAATTTGCCAAACTGAAGTTTTTGTTTTCTTTCACTGCAAATTTTATAATTAGTTTGATATCACCTCCCTTCGATAGCCTATCTAGCCCCTTAAGTGCTACTTTCGGCCCACAAGCGCATTCCGTCTAACCTATTCCCGGTCACTCCACTTAAATCCCGACAGGTGGTCTGAACATTTCTTGTTTCTTAACCACTTCCAGCAATAAATTCTCTACAAATGTCGTCTCCGACAGTATCTTATATGGCCGACCTATATCGTCTGATGGCGCGGCATGAACATGCTCATCTTGATGAGGGCCAACATGCCACTGCAGATCCGCTCGATGCTATTATGTGGATTCATATTTTCCTCATGATGTTTACTTTCGGTATTCTTTTCCCAGTAGGCCTTGTTCTTGGTCTTACTCGTAATCGCTGGCATGTTCCTGTCCAGACCTTAGGAGGTATCTTAACTATTGTAGGTATTATTCTTGGTCATTCTCATAAAGGTCGCCAATTCGAGAGCAATAATATTCACGCCAAATTTTCTTCCTGGATTCTTATCGCAGCATTTGCGCAAGTAATTTTTGGAATATATCTCAAACTCCATCTCACTCGTGGTATCCTCGGTCGCATCAGATCAGTTATTGTTAAAATCCATTACACCATTGCAATCATTCTCCCAATCTTTTCTTGGATTCAAATCTGTTTTGGTGTGATTGTTATTCAAGACTTTTGCCATGCCGACCATCTTGGACAGTGCTTGGCTCATGGAATTATGGGCTCATCTTTCATTGCTTATGGCTACATTTTAACCATCATGCTTTATTTTGGTGATCGAGCCCTCTCAAACAGAAACAAAAGCCAAGAGTTTTATGACAGTTTAATTATCACTCTCTGGGGTATTGTAAACACCTTCACCGAGCATCGCTGGGGACAGAACTGGAGTCACGGAGATTATCAACATACCTCCATGGGTATTATTTGGTGGTGTGCTGGAATGGTAGGCATTGCTCTTTCTAAGAATTGGAAGACTGGTGAACCAAAACGTACTTTTATTCCCGCTCTCGTGCTTATTTTTACTGGCTGGGCCATGAGTGAGCACGCCCAGCATCTAATGATTTCTACCAAAGTTCATGCCTTTTTTGGATACGCTCTCATGGGTGCTGGATTTTGCCGTATCATTGAAATCTCGTTTCTTCTTAAGGACAAGCCTTCAGACTCGAAATCCATTAAGGCATTCCAATACCTGCCACCTTTTCTTCTTGTCGAATCAGGAATTTGCTTTTGCGGTGCTAATGAGGAGCAACTGGCTCTTCTTAATGAAATAGGTATTGATCACTCTTCATATCTTCTTGTTTTGTCTTCATGTGCCTTTCTCATTTTCTTTTTGATCCTTTGTTTGATTATTCTTTATGTCAAGCTAGCTCAAGATGGTGACACTGCAACAAACTCCCCATCATTTGGCGAAGGTTACTCTAATTCCTGGAAGGTTGTCCCCTCATCCGATCCAAATGCAAATATTGAAATGGATTCTCTTTTTGATTCAGAAGCTTCAAATTCAAACACCATAACAGGAAACAATGAAAATCATTCATCATCGATGCCTTTAACAAGCGCTCCTGTTCGAAATGACTCTAACGTTGTATTGGATTACGATTACGATGATGACGTCGAAAGTTTACGAAATATTAATTAAAATTCTCTGGCTACATTTAATACAAAATACACATTTTCATGTGTTATTTTTAACTATTCTGAACGTGTATTATTTAATTAGTCTTGTATAAAATAAAATCATAATATTGTTGGAATGGAACTTGAAAACTTCATGCTGTATATAATTAAAGCCTTATAAGGTTTTAAATCGAAGCTGTTTCGGTCTGAGCATGTCTACCATTGTGAATTGTATGGAATTTCTGTTGACAAAGACTTCAACGAAGTCAGAGACATCTTAATCAAGTATCTGGCTTCCTCTACCTCAACAGAAGGATAGCACAGATGCTGATGTTATATAATTCTATACCCCTTGAATAAAAACAAACAAACTCTACCTCAACACATTAAACCTAGGAGTGCGTCCATGCTCCCTTAAAAAATCAATGCCATTTTATGCTACTCAGGGCACGAAATGGAACATTTTTATGAACGGTGAAAATACTCAAATATTATTATAGAAATATACAAACAAATAAACTAACTAACTGACTTTTAAATATTTTTTTTTATTTTTATTTTTTTTCTGTTTAACTCCAAAGACTTTCGTAAAGTGGTTTCTGCTTGCCTAAAACAAGTCGGTCACCAATATACTTTTCTTCTTCAAATTGAATCTCAGTAGGATAAACCAAATTAAATGAACCGGTACCAAGAGACATAGATTGGCCCAAAATGATGCACTCAGATACACCTTCAATCTTATCTGTTTTCATGTAAAATCCTGCATCGAATAAGTGATCAGTTGTCTTCTCAAACGATGCTAACTGCAACACACTATCCCTCATCTTGCTAAGACCAAATCGGGTAATACCAAGAACCTCGCCCTTAAATGTCATCATATCACCCAAGAGCTGGATATGACGAGGATCCACGGACATACCGTGACTACCCATGGTATAATTAATTTCATCAACAATACTGGTTCTAGCAGCTTCAATACCCAAAACCTGGTACATCTCTAACACGTGGTTAGTAACTGTCCTTTTACCAATAACACCATCAACAGTCATAACATGCTTCAAGCCATAGCCTTCAACAAGAAGTTCGGTTTTGTTATCTTTTTCGCGAATATTAATGACGGCACGAGAAATCTCAGGATATCCCTTAACAGCAACATCAGGGAGTGCCCGGCGTAATAATTGCGCACGGAAAAATGTTTCACTGTCAGTGCCAATCATAGAAGTACTAGAAGCAACAGTCCAGGCTAATGCTTTGGCCTTGGCAGCAGCGCTAGTAGTAGAAATATCACGAATAGCGACATTGATAACATCAGGGCCATTAGAGGTGACATCAGCAGAAGTCAGCTTAAGTTTAGGTGCCTTGGCAATCGCCTTGCAAATATCATCAATTGAAAGTTCTAACTGTAGTCGTTCAATCGTCTTCCAATCAATTTTGACTCGGATGTAGGCTCGATGAGATTCATAGACATCATCAATATATCTGATAACGTCTGATAAATATGTCTTTTCAATACGACCTTTCACAACACGTGCAGCACGCTCGTCTTCATCATTGACAAGGTATGCGGTAATGATAGGAGTACTAATGACCTTCGCGGCGTTAATAATTTCTTTAATACGAGGAACACCAAGGGTAACGTTCATCGAAGCAACACCAGCAAAGTGGAAAGTCTTCAAAGTCATCTGAGTACCAGGCTCACCAATAGATTGAGCGCCAATAGCCCCAACTGCAGTACCTGGCTCGACTTTAGAGCGTTCGTATCGTTTAAGGCACTGTCCAAGAAATTCGCGAACACATTTTTCAGAAATCTTGCAGAGTTGATCAACAGTCTTCGTTTTATGAGACTCAACAAATTCATCAAAATCTATGTTGGCATATTCACCAAATGGAGCATTCAACAATGGCTGCATATTGCGACGTTTGCGAACCTCACTTAGTTCTTTGGCTTTAGATTTGATATAATCAAGGACAGAGTCGTAAAACTCTCGCTGAGGATCATATTCATCCGTGTAATTAAGATTATCCTCATCTTTAGTTCCTGAGACCAGTCGTCCCAAATTATCTCTTCTAGCAAGGTGCTTTTTAAGAGGTGTAATGATAGATGTAGCAAGTTCCACAACTTGGTAAGGAAGTAATCCAGGATCTGCAAGATTAAATGTAACATTATTGCAATGCATCCAAGTACGAGCAAAGTTTACTGGTTTAGCATCACCTTCCATTTCGAATGGATCAAGACCATCACCACCATATTGGAATTGAATGATGCTGTTGCTCGATGTTCTCACAGTAGAATCGTATTTGCAAGATAGATCCTCAAGTGACTTCATAAGACGACGAGACATGTAACCAGTCTCAGCAGTTTTAACTGCGGTATCAACCAAACCTTCTCTACCAGAAATAGCGTGGAACAAAAATTCAGGAGGATTGAGACCTGAAAAGAAAGAGTTTCTAACGAAACCTTTAGAAGGAGGAGTTTTAGAAAATTTGGGGAAATGTGGTAATGTACGGTCTTGAAAACCATTGGGAACACGAGAACCTGCAATAATCTGCTGTCCGACAGCAGCAACCATTTGAGAGACATTCACAGTAGAACCTTTAGAACCACATGAAGCCATGATAAGGGGAGCATTTGATTTCTCCAGTTCATTAATGCATACATCACCAACTTCTTCACGAACCTTAGACAAGATACCACCAATCTTAGCCTCCAAAGTCTGCTCTTCGTTACAACCAGGCTGAGTTTCCAGCTTACCTTCTTTAAGCAATTCAATAAGATCATCACACTTCTTGTAAGCAATCTCAATAAGTCTATCCTTTTCCTTATTAAGCTCTTTACCTGGTGTAACATCATTAATACCAATTGAGAAACCCCTGTTACCCAGATATCTGGCACAAAGTTTTGCCATGCGGTTCATAGCACCAACAGCTTCATCGGGGCCATAGTCACGAAGGATGGTGTAAAAGACCTGCGCCTTTTTACCATCACCAAGGGTACTCTTGTCCATATGACCAGCGAGAACTTGACTTCCTCGAATGACAAGATAGCCATCATTGGGCGACATTTCGTTGGGCTGACCCTTTGCAGGTGGCACAAAGGTTTTATTCTTAGCATCCAAATTAATGATAACGTTTGATTCCTTGTTGGGTCTAATAAGCAAGCTAAATAATTGTTTGCCGGTCCAAAGCTTAACTGGTTTCACAATAGCTGGCGGAGGAATATCGAAATGAATATCTGCATCAGACATCATAGCACACATTTCTGTAAAAGAGGCCCGATCAAAGAATGAGTCCTTTTTCGATATAAGATAAGACGCTGTAATGAAATCCTGGGTCGCAGCAATAATTGGTTCACCACTTTTGGGAGTAATCAAATTGTATTTGACTCCCATAAGGTTAAGTGCTTCAGTACGAGCTTCTTCAGTTTGAGGAACATGCAAATTCATTTCATCACCATCAAAATCGGCACCAAATGGTGTACAAGTACATTCATTAAGTCTGAATGTTCTCCAAGGCTTGATCTTAGCTTTGTGCGCCAAAATAGAAAGTCTGTGGAGGGATGGTTGACGATTGAACAATACAACATCATCATCTTCAAGATGGCGTTCGACTACATCGCCAATCGCCAAATTCGCAGCAATATCGGCGAGACGACCATATCGCAAACTTCTTTTCATTTCTTCATTCTTTTTGATGACATAATTAGCTCCTGGATAATTTAGAGAGCCGTTAGTAACAAGAGCGCGCATTTTATCCATATTGTACTCTGTAACACGTTCGGGGTATGTTAGAATCTTGGCCACCCGATCAGGGACTGCTACTTGACCAATATTCAAATTAGGATCAGGTGAAATGACAGTACGACCAGAAAAGTCAACACGTTTGCCGCACAAGTTACCTCTAAAACGACCTTGTTTACCCTTGAGACGTTGGCAGAGTCCACGCACGCTCTTTACTTGCATGCCAGGCCAAGAGGGCATATCTCCGTTAATGTAAAGAGCAATGGAGTATTGTAAATAGTCCCAGTGGCGCATTAGATTTCCGACTGTCATTCCTGAATCCAAGCCTGCACGAATGATTGAATTTGTGAATGCAATTTCGGCAAGCTGGGTTGTTAGATCATCTTCATTACTGGCACCATCCTGTTGAACAGAAGGTCTAATGCAAACTGGTGGTGCGGGAACGTAACGCCATAAAAACATTTCAGGTCTACCCTTGGTGGAGTCCATTCCAAGAAGCTCACAATCCGCAGGTGAAATCTTCTCAAATAAATGAAGTACCTTAAGAGGATTAAGATCGTCCATTGCACGCTTTGCATATTTGTCAACTTCTGGGCTGACCTTCTTGACTTCGTCAAAAGAAGCCTCAAAGTCTGATTTTTCTTCTGATCCTTTTTTTGAGACCCAACGAAATTTATCGTGAATCATGCGCAATGCACCAACCTTTTTTACAACGCCATTTATTGAATTACACTTGAGACATCTTCGTTGTTTTTTTGATTGTTCAATGACCTTTTTTAAAATCTGCATACGCCGCAAGTTGTCAATGCCGGGGCGACGTAGTTCATTTAAATACTTACGACGAGTAGGTTCATCTATGAGAATGGCGGAGCAATCCTGTTAAATGTTAGATAAATATCGTATGACCCAACAAATCAAAGATAGACTTACTTTACAAATTGACTGAAGAATCGATATAACTGATTTGAAATAGCCCACATGAAAACAGGGAAGAGCAAGTTTGATCAAACCAAAATGGCCTTGACAGTTAGCAAGTTTTCCATGGCAAGTAGTGCATTCTTGAAAGTTGCTTGAAACACCAAGTCTTGCATCAAGGGGACCATGTTCATGAGGTGTTCTGCCTTTGGAGATATCGTAAAGATTACGGGAAGAGACTTCGATTTCAGACTGTTTAAGAATATCTTGAGGACTCAGTGCACAAAACTCTAAGCCGGCGATTCGACGTGGAGGATCGTTAATAACTACTTCTTTCATTTTGCTGAAAAAAGATTGTTATCGAGTAGATCTCTTTATAAGAACGTCAAGACTTGGATGGCAAGTTTTAATTTTTTTTAAAAAAAAACGTGTTTCGTGAAAACCAAGTTAAAGAAAAAAAAAATTGGAACAAGGGTTTACGAATATTAAAAAAAATTTTGGAAGGTTAGGGTTTGTGGTTTATATTTTTTTTTTTTTTTTTTTTTTTTTTTTTTTGTGATTAAAGGTTGTTAGTGGGTGAAAAATTAACTCTGGGTCATGCTCAAACCTTCCGTCTTTTTGTCTAGAAAGAAATTCTGTCTCTATTCTTTTTTACCTTTTTGTTATTTGTTCGTTTTTTACATTAGGGAGCGCCAGCAAACTTCAACCACACAACCACTTCAGGTTCATTTTCTTCCTTCATTCTTTAGATTGGGTAATATATACTTGGTCTTAAATTTGTTTCAGCTCTATCTTTCTTTCTTTTTTGTGTAGTTTGCGGTTTCAACAACTCCCTCACTTAAAACCAATAAAAAAATGCTCAGATTACCCCGGTGTATAACGGCTGGTTCTATCAGACCTACTTTATTAAGAACTAATGGCCATGCTCGGTTGCAATCTGGTCTTGCAGCTGCTGCCGCTAGAATTCCAGTTTTGGAAGAAAAGATTGATCCTGTTCTTTCTAGTGCTATTCGCTCTGCCTCTAAAATCGTTCAGACAAAAGTGCCTATTGAAGACCCGTTTTCTATCGTTTCCAAAGAAATGTCTACCTTGGCTAAAAATATTGGTAAACTTATCGGCTCTGGTCACCCTACACTCAACAAGGTTGCCATTTACTACTTTCAATCAGAAGGAAAACATATTCGGCCTTTGATTGTTCTGCTCCTTTCCAAAGCTTTATCTGAAATTCCCGCTTCTGAGCGTACTAGAGGATCTCGAGACGAGCTCGATGTCAAATCCAACACACCTGAATTCTCCGAAAAAAACGGAGTCGATGACTCTCTCAGTCCTTTACAAATTCTTCATGGAATAAATCCTAATGTTGTTCTTAATCCTCTCAGTCGACCCATGGACAAATTTCCTTCTGAAACTGAAGGTATATTACCAAAGCAACGTCGTCTTGCTGAAATTGTGGAAATGATTCACACAGCCTCTCTTCTTCATGACGATGTCATTGACAACTCAGCTACAAGAAGAGGTAATCCAAGTGGAAATATTGCTTTTGGCAATAAAATGGCTATTCTTGCCGGCGACTTTTTGCTTGGTCGTGCTTCTGTCGCCATTGCTCGTTTACGCAATGCCGAAGTCATTGAGCTTCTTTCTACCACAATTGCAAATTTGGTAGAAGGTGAGTTCATGCAGCTCAAAAATACCGTTATGGACGGCCCTGACGCCAACCGTGCTTGTTTCGAGTACTATCTTCACAAGACATATCTTAAGACTGCCAGTTTAATGTCTAAGTCTTGCCGTGCGACTGCTGTTCTCTCTGGTGTCAATGACGATGTTGTTGAGGCATGCTACCAGTTTGGTCGCAATTTAGGTCTCTGCTTCCAAATTGTCGATGACATGCTTGATTACACTGTCTCTGAAGCCAAGTTTGGCAAACCTGTAGGAGCTGATCTTAAACTAGGTTTGGCTACTGCCCCCGTTCTTTACGCATGGGAGAAGTACCCTGAACTTGGTAAGATGATTCAGCGTCAGTTCAATGAGCCTGGTGATGTTGAGCGTGCTCGCGAGCTCGTTGCAAAAGCTGGTGGTCTTGAAAAGACTAGAGAACTTGCTGTTCAGCATGCAGAAGAAGCTATTCGACAACTTATGATCCTCCCGGAATCACCTTCACGTAATGCACTCATCAATCTGACTAATGCTATGCTTAACAGAAAGCATTAGACTCATTTTTTATTTTTATTTTGGTTTTTATGTCACGGTGGTATTAGGGAGGTTTTCAAGTAAAGAAGAAAAGAAAAGAAAAGTGAAGGGAAGGGAATTCCAGGTGTGTTTTATATATGAAAAAAAAAAAAAAAAATGGAGATGGAGATGGAATTCGTTGGTTGGATTTTGTGAAAAAAATCTTAGAAATAAAAAATTCATCTGTACATAATATGTTAAACTGAATGAAAAATTTAATTTTTCAAAGAAAAAAGCTGAGAATTAAAAAAAATTCATTTGTAGATGATATGTTGAACTGAATGATTGTTCAATTAATTTGATCCGAAGGTTAGGTGTAAAAAATTTTGCCGAGGTTTCCCCTAAATAATAAATAAATACAATTAAATATATCTATCTGCATTACAACAACTTCAACAACCATTTCATTCCAATGACTACACCATTATTCATCCAACGTCCTATTCTTCCTATCAAATCTACGATTTCAAGAAATGGTCTTTCTTTGCGTATTATGACCTACAACGTGAGTTTTTTTTTGAAAGATATTTTCTTAGTATTAATTTAAATTTTAGGCTTTGGCACAATGTTTAGTACGAAGAGATTTGTTCCCAGAAAATGGTAAGATTGATATTGCCCAATGAGACATATACCTTGGAAAAGGTTCTAACAAGTTTTTTTTAGGGAATGGCGTTAAATGGAAATTCCGTGGTCCTGCTTTAGAGTCTGAACTTATGATCTACAAACCCGATATTTTATTTCTACAGGAGATTGATCTTGCTAAATACAAAACATTTTGGGTTCCTATTTGTGTCAAACTTGGACTTGAATCACACTTTTCAACCTACCCCGGTAAACATCATGGCCTTGTCGTTGCTTACAGCAAAAAACATTTTATTCTTAAAGAAAAGAATGAGTTTTTTTACGATGGACTGCCTACGTCTGCTAATGGATCTAGCCTGCTTGTGCCTATGAACTCTCTTGAGACTAAAAACTCTGGTATAGTTCTTGCACTTGAAGTCAACAAGCAAAACAATTCTGACCAAAGCTCATTAAATGATAAAGCTTTTGATACAGTCAATGAAGGAATTGTAATTGCTACAACACACTTATATTGGCATCCGTTTGGTTCATTTGTTCGAGCTATTCAATGTGGCCAGTTGATTGATAAAGTTATCAAGTTTTCAACTCGCGAAACATCAAATTACTCTCAATGGCCAATATTTATTGGAGGTGATTTTAATAGCTCTCCAGACGACTTGCCGTATCAATTTTTAATTACTCAGCCACACTCTCCGTCAGACATAAATAAAACCACAAGAGACATTGCTGTTAAAAGCTTGCTGTATCTTTACAATAAGTATGGAGCTGAAAAAGAACAACAAGAGCCAGAAACATTTAAGAGGGAAGAAATGGTGCAAGCTGTTGACGATGAAGGTGTGGTTACTGCTCTTGATCCCGAATACATTGACAAATGTATTGCTTCAATTTTACCTTTTTACTGGACCGAAAATTCCGACAGAACACCAGTGAAGTATCGAGCTGAAAGTTTATACGGAGAACATTACCGCAAAGTTGATCCCGAAAATAGCAAAACTCATAACCCAGACTTCCACGAGCCTGAGTTTTCAAATTGGGCACATACTTGGCAAGGTTTGTTAGACTACTTGTTTTTGCTAGAAAATGTAGAGGCCTGTGAAGGTGATCCAAAGAAAAGAGTGCTAGTTAAAGAGCTTCTTAAGATGCCTACAGGAAGTGAGATCGGCGAAGCTGGGCAGCCCCGAGTTGGCGAGTATCCTAGTGATCACTTGTGTTTGATGGCGACTGTGGAAATTTAAGCTTGCGATTCTCTAAGTTAGATATTGTTTTGATTGTGTGTAATTATGTACCATCCGGAAGTTGCATATCCACTGTGCTGCGCATTGCCTAAGAAGCAGTCCTAACATTCTAAGTGTCTGGCTTCCTCCAAGTAGTACTACTAGTGTTTATTTCAAAACACAGGTGTTAAAGAAGCCCGCCATTTATGGTACATTTAGCAGCCCTACGGTATTAGCATCCGAATCACATTATTAAATTGTCTAAAAAACAAATATTTTTTTTCTTTGCCTTATCTTATGGCATTGTATATAGAAATTCAAGTTAGTTTTTAAAGAAAAATGAGCGAAGAAGAGGATCTAGTACCATTTAACTCTAAGGATGACACGCGTCCCCCCTCTCTAAGAACTATAAATTCTAATAATAATCGAGGGCTAAATTCTCAAAGCAGCTATATTTCTGATCCAACAAATTTCCAGCAGGGGCCTCTAGGTTCACGAACTATTCCTGAACCATCAGGAATATACAATGGCACAAATTTTGAAAATTCCCAATCTACTTTCTATAGTGCAAGAGATTTGGATACATCACTAGAAGAGCCAAGAAACCCAGCATCTACAAGTAATTACTCATTCCACTCAGTTCTAGAAACAACATCTGAAGATAGAGAAGGTGAAACTAGTCAATCCAGTTTAGGTGTTCAAGCAAACCGAGATGCATCAAATTTAAATTTTCAAGAAACATCCTCACGTTTGTCTTCAGCAGGGCCTAGTAGTAGTAGCAGCGGAGTTAGTACTAGTGTAGGTTCTGATGGCGCCAACTCTGAGAGTAGTATCAGACAGATTGAATTTCCGCATGCCCCACGAGAAGAAACAATAACAGAAGAAGTTGAAGGCCATATTACTTCAAATGATGATAATGATGATAATGATGATAATGATGATAATGATGATAATGATGATAATGATGATAATGATGATAATGATGATAATGATGATAATGATGATAATGATGATAATGATGATAATGATGATAATGATGATAATGATGATAATGATGATAATGATGATAATGATGATAATGATGATAATGATGATAATGATGATAATGATGATAATGATGATAATGATGATAATGATGATAATGATGATAATGATGATAATGATGATAATGATGATAATGATGATAATGATGATAATGATGATAATGATGATAATGATGATAATGATGATAATGATGATATCAGCAATAATGGAAATGATACCAGCATAGAAGCCGAAGCTGCAGAAGGCCTGGGTAGTAATAGGAATAAAGATGACTACGAAAACGAGCTTGAGTTTCCAAAGGTTTTGCATAGTGAGTCTAGAGATACAACCGGAAGCCAAGGAAAATTTTCTCAAATTCAAATGAAACGGCCTTTAAGTCTACGGTCAATAGATCACTGGAGAAAAAAAAGTATAATTAACAGACTTAACAAGAGGATTATTAAAGGGGATGTTGGAGGAGAACATTCAACTTCAAAATCTACTACCCCGGAGTTGATATCAGCTTCAAAAGACGAGGGGAAAACTATAGTTACTGTTGAAACAAGGCCAAAATGGGAAGTCAGAGATGGCACAGGAAAACAGCATTACTCGAGGATGAACCCAAAACTATTATTGTCACGCGTAACAGGAAACGCACATGGCTTAGATGTTTACAAAGATGTAAAGGGGCATAATAATATTGAACTGAACAATATTGAGGATCAATCATTGCTGGGGAAAGTGGGACATAGCAATCTAACAACGAATATCAATAATGATCAATGTGTCCAAGCTAATCATAGTGGTGATGAAAGCGATAATGACGGAAGTCAGCGAAATAACAACGGTAGTTCACCTAATGTGTACTTTTTAAGAGAAGAAGATCACGCATCTCAAAACAGTAACGTTGGAATGAGGCATGGCCTACCTGCTTCATCGCGACGACCATCGTTAACTACTTTTTTTAATAATTACATGGAATCAGAGAATATTCCTGGTTTCGTGGGGTTAGCTGCTGTGGCATTGGCTGAAATTCCGTCACCATCAAATTTGTTAGACCGAAAAAGGCAGTTGAAGAAAGACGAAGAAGCTATACTAGAAGCAACAGCATCTCATACATATGAACCAACACCAGCTGCAGAAGTGCAGTTTGAACCTGAGCACACATATAGGGAAATCCAAAAACGACGGCTAAAAATTTTTGGGTATCTTTTACAAGAATATACCAGGTTAGGAATCCGGTATATACTGACCCCTAAGGGATTCATTGTGACAATCTACTTTATGCTGATAGTTGCTTTTGGAGGGATGCTGTTTTTGTTGTTATGCAATGCTGCACCTGCTATGAGCAGAGAATGGGGGCCTGATAATAAAGAGCATTCACCCCGACAGATATGGATAGAGATTGACTCGCAAGTAATCAATGCTCTGTTTTGTGTAACCGGTCTAGGGCTTTTTCCCAAGCGAATTCGAGACTTATATATGTACATGGTGGGGACATACCGGAAGGATAGTTATTGTCGGCGCAAGATTCTAAGGACGCACAGCAGCTGGTTTTTGAGTGAATATAGTGCTGAGTGGAAGCTGCTCACAGTAGTGCTTTTGTACATTTTGAACAGCGTATTTCAGGTGCTATTATGTGTAGCCATGTGGAGATACAACAGGTTTAACCGGCCACCATGGGTCACAGGGGTTCTGATCGCTGCCTCTTTTTCATGTGTTATTGTTGCAGGTATTATTACGTTTCTAGAGGCGAAACGAGTCAGAACTCTTGGAGTGATTTCACAAAATAAAAATTAGAAAAGTTATTTTCATTTCCAAGTGAATTACCAAATGTATGTTTAAATTTTTGTTTAAAAAAATTAATATAATAGTATATATATTCCTTATAGTGCGTAATGATATGCCAAGCTTACTGTTGACATTTTGACTTTAAGAAAAAAAAAATTGTGGGGAAAAAGAAGGAGAAAGTGGAATCCTCGAAGAAAAGATTTTAGTCAAAGCTTTTGCCTCCTTCCTTGGTAAAAAAAAAAAAAAAAAAAAAAAAAAAAAAACCAATTCTGTATTTATGAGAGCTAACACGTAGTCTGATGGCCCATTTGAACAGATAGTTATTATCTTGTTAAACAACTCAAAACAATTAAAGAACGAAAAAAAAACGGATAAACTTGGATGGGTGGGCAATTTTTTATTTGATCACGTTTTTTCCTTTTTCCTTTTTTTTTTTTTTTTTTTTTTTTTCAACAAGAGTAGAATCACTCCAATATTTTGTCATGTTGTTGTTGACCAACAAGTATTAAAAAGTTTAGGACCATTCATAATAACTATTCAAGACAAGATATATTTTCTTTAGCAAGTAAAATTGCCAAATTTTAATTTAACCTTACCTCTCTTTTTTTTTATTAACTATTTTATTTTATTTTATTTTATTTTATTTTTTCAATCTAATTAGAATACCTCCATAATATAACTATACACTTTTCATCAGCGAAATAAACAAATTTGATTTAATTATCTCCACCAGACTGCGGTTATTACGATAATAATAAACTTCTAAATTCCGTGTTTTATAACAATTTTTTTTTTCTTCCCCCTTTTAAATCATAAATCATGAACTGTCCTACAAAAGATACCTCCAAGTCTTATATTTCAGGTTATAACCAAAATCCATCTCCTTTGGACAACGATCTTATCACAAACAAACAACTCAACTCAAGCCCTTCACATTCGAATCAGAAGTCCAAGTCTGCAAATCCTTTAATAGATCCCTCGATGTCTTCAGATCCGTCATCTTCTTTTTCAAATTCTTTGACTCGCCCAGATTCCAGAGATCAACTTGGAACTGCAACTGCTGTTGGACTAGAAACGCCAAATAGCAGAAAGGAGCCCCCCTCCTCTAATATTTCCGCATCCTCTAGTACTAACAGCACCACCGCAACTCAGCCAATTTCGATTGCTAAAAGTCTTTCCCAAGAAACTACACCCCTTCGCACTTCTCCTTCAAATAGAATTACACCTTTTGGTGGATTGGATTCTAATGGCCGTCCTTCAACTTCCTCTTCATCAGATAACGAAAATCCGTTTGACGACCCAACTTCTGAGCCACATACCCAACAACACTTTTCTACTTTATTTAATTCAGCCAATGCACAAAACAATACTAGTCCGTTTCTCAGTGATTATATTTCTTCTTCTCCAGGACCTTCTTCCAGAAATCCGGAGTCTTTTTTTTCAGGAGTGTCTCAGAGGTTCCGCTCTATTTTCAACGGTAACAGAGGTTTCGTGCCTTTAAGCAATAACATGGTTAATAATCACCGACCGCGCCCTATCCACACATCACCAATTTCTTCTCAAATTGAACAAATCGGCCGAATTTTTTTTAAATATCTTAAATTCGTTGGCCCAAGTATTATTCTCTCAGTGGCCTACATGGACCCAGGTAACTATGTGACTGCAGTTTCCGCTGGTGCCATGTATAAGTACAAACTTTTATTCGTCATTTTGATCTCCAACATCTTTGCAGTTTTCCTTCAAGCATTGTGTATTAAACTAGGCTCAGTTACAGGACTTGATCTGGCTCAAAATTGTCGTGAACACCTTCCTCGTGGACTTAACATCACTATTTATATTATGGCCGAAATAGCTATTATTGCAACTGACTTGGCTGAAGTGGTTGGCACAGCCATTTCACTCGACATTCTCTTCGGTATTCCGCTAGCTGTAGGTGTTTGCTTAACCATCATTGATGTTCTCATCATTTTAATGGCTTATCGCCCTAATGGTGAGATGAAAATCGTTCGTTATTTCGAGTATCTTGTTTCGGCTCTGGTATTTTTCACTGTCATCTGTTTTGCCATTGAGCTCGGTAATATTGGTCCCATAAGCCCTAGCGAGGTATTTCGCGGCTTTTTGCCCTCAGGTGTGCTTTTCGAAACACAAGGGTTGTATTTATCATGTGGTATCCTTGGTGCTACTGTCATGCCGCATTCTCTTTACCTAGGCTCCGGATTAGTTCAACCCCGTTTGCGAGACTTTGACAAAAAACATGGTTACTTCAAGGAAGAAGAGGAAGAAAATGATGAAATTGCTATCTCTAAATACAAACCTTCGATTCATGCAATCAACTATGGTATGAAGTATTCTATTGCTGAACTCATAATTTCTTTGTCAACTGTTGCCATTTTTGTCAATTCCTCAATTTTGATTGTCGCTGGTGCTACTCTTGCCAACACTCCTGAAGCTATTGATGCCGATTTATACTCTATTTACGACATGCTCAAAACTTTACTTTCACCGGCTGCAGGTACTGTATTTGCATTGGCATTGTTGTTTTCTGGTCAATCAGCAGGTATCGTGTGCACTCTTGCTGGTCAGATGGTTGCTGAAGGATTCATTGCATGGACAGTCAAACCTTGGATCCGTAGACTCATCACACGATCCATCGCTGTCATACCATGTTTGGTACTTTCAATATTTGTTGGACGTAAAGGCTTGGCAGATGTTCTTACGGCTTCGCAAGTTGTACTTTCGTTGCTTTTGCCATTTGTTTCTGCACCACTTATCTTCTTTACTGCAAAGAAGTCGATCATGCGAGTTCCATTGCTCCCAAGTGGTGTTAGTGACCAACCCCTGCAGCATACCAACTCCTACAGTGCAGTGAGTCGCCATCCACCTGCTTCTGAAATTGTGGAGTCTAGTGCACTTGAACCATCTTCTCGGTCCTTTGCATCCCTCTCGCCATCGCAGACATTGACCGATTCTCATAATAACGACATCGCGCCATTGACACTTTTAGAAGATGACAGCGATGAGGTTGGCTACCAAGATATTATTATTGCAACAACGCGCCGCATTAGTGAGGACCACCAGCGCCGCCAGCGCCAAAGTATGAGTTTTGAGCGTACTAGACCTAGCACTAGCATAGATATTCCTCATCGCGTGTCTGAAGAAAGGGAGGATCAGGAGATTGAAGATGACGACATGTCCAGTATCATGATACCGGCATATAAAGATATGAGCAACAGCATGCTCACTAATGTTACTGCTGTAGTAATTCTGACTTTGATTACTGGACTCAACTTTTTTCTAATTGTTTCGGCTGCGCTCGGAGCAGATGTACATTTTTGAAAATTAATAGAGGACATTGTATTTATTATAATAATATTATTCTTTTGTGCGATTATATGTGTTTTTGTCGAAGGAAATCTTAATCGCACACTAAATTTGCGGTACCTGCCTAAATACTGCGAAAATAAACTTTGGAAGATAAAATTATGTAATAAAAAAAGACTTTTCCATTCTGGAAAAAAAAAAGTTTTTTACGAAACATATTTCTTAATCTTTTTTTTCCCTTTTTCTTTTTCTTTTCCTTTTTTTTTTTTTAATCTTTTTTTTGCCTTCAAAGAAATTTCATTTTTTTTCATTTTTTAGCTTTATCCTATATCTTACATATAACAATTATGCCACCAGAAGAAACAACCCCTCTTCAGCAAGACTCATCTTATGGGACTTCTAATTTCGGAAGCACGACATCTACAGTCAATTCGCCCTTAGGAAAAATCCGGAACTCAACCCCAGAAATTAGAAGTAGTAGTACCAACAATAATACCAACATCAATACCGACAACAATAGCTCGAGAACAGAAAATCTATTCTCTACTGGAGGATTAAAAATATTCAAAGAATACCATGATAAAGGCTTTTCAACATTCCGTGCCAAATCGCACGCCCGTTCTTTTATCCGCATGATTTTCAAATACTTCAAGTTTGTGGGCCCAAGTATTATCTTATCAGTTGCTTATATGGATCCCGGTAACTATGTGACGGCAGTTTCCGCAGGTGCCCTATACCAATACAAGCTTCTTTTCACTATTTTTATGTCAAACCTTTTCGCAGTTTTCTTACAGGCTCTTTGCATCAAGCTCGGTACTGTTACTGGCCTGGACCTGGCTGAGTGCTGCCGTGAACACTTCCCCCGTTGGATCACACTTTCTATTTACGTCATGGCTGAATTTGCCATTGTGGCTACTGATTTGGCTGAGGTTGTAGGTATGGCCATCGCTTTGGACATTCTGTTTGGCATTCCTTTGACTTTTGGCGTTTGCTTGACAGTTTTGGATGTGCTCATTATCTTGTTTGCCTACAAGCCTAAAGGAGATATGAAGTACGTGAGATACTTTGAGTACCTTGTCTCCTCACTTGTTTTTATGACTGTTATTTGCTTTGTGATTGAACTGTGGAATATCGGTCCTGTTAATAAGGGTGATATCTTTAAGGGTTTCTTACCTTCATCTCAGCTTCTTGAAACTAAAGGGCTCTATTTGTCATGCGGTATTGTTGGTGCTACTGTTATGCCGCATTCCCTGTATTTGGGGTCCGGGCTTGTTCAGCCTCGCCTAAGAGATTTTGACAAGAAACATGGCTACTTTAACGATGAAGAAACCTCGAGTGAAGAAGAAGTTTATAAACCTTCTATTCATGCTATTAACTACAGTCTTAAATATTCTATTGTTGAACTTGTAATTTCTCTCTCAAGTGTTGCTATATTTGTTAACTCTGCGATTCTTATTGTTGCAGGTGACGTTCTTTCTGGAACTCCTGATGCTGCTGATGCTGATCTTTATTCCATTTATGATATGTTGAGAACACTTTTGTCCCCTATTGCAGGAACTGTTTTTGCTTTGGCTATGCTCTTTTCTGGCCAGTCTTCGGGTATTGTTTGCACACTGGCAGGCCAGATGGTTGCAGAGGGCTTCATTCACTGGACTGTGCAACCATGGGTCCGACGTCTTATTACACGTTCCCTGGCTATTGTACCATGTTTGTTTGTTGCTATGTTTGTTGGCCGTAAGGGTTTGGCAGATGTTTTGACTGGATCTCAGGTTGTGCTTTCACTTTTGTTGCCATTTGTTTCTGCTCCACTCATTTACTTTACAGCACAAAAATCCATTATGAGTGTGCCTATCACACCACGCCTTTACAGATCGTCAGATGGAACTCTCTCTACACACAAGCCCACAGAAACTTCTAATGATGATTATACAGAAGCTAATAACTCTAACGCTGACTCCACGGCACAAACACCTCTGTTAGCAGAGTCATCGGATGGAGAGCCACAAACTGATAGCGAACCTTACGACGATATCATTATTGCCACGACACGGCGGATAGAAGATGAGAACCCAGATAATTTAACAGAACAGCACATTGGTTCTCGAACAACAGTTCCCGTTACTGAGGATTCCGAGAGTGTGACAGCGGAAACTCTGAGTTACAAAGATATGAGCAATAGCACACTGACAAATGTTGTTGCCATTATTGTGCTGTCTCTCATTTCCGGTCTTAATTTCTTCCTCATTATTTCTGCTGCAATGGGTGCTGATGTAAATTTTTAGACCATCCAATTATATACATTTAATTTAAAATTTTTTTTAAAATTTTTTTTTTAACGAAAATAAACTATGAAGATAACTGGTGATATATCTCTGAAATGATGGCAATCAACATGCAAGTTAAAAGCTTAGTTAAACGCGATGGGGAGATTTTCTTGTACAGGCGTTAACCTAACCCTGATGCAGATTTTGAATTTTTATTTTTGCAATTTTTTTTTTTTTTTCTTTCAAGAAATTTCACAAACAAGTCTGTACACCAACGTCGACAACTATATAATAATGCCAAAGATACGTACTGTTCGAAGTAAGAAGCCACCTGCTGGGTTTGACGAAATTGAAGATACATTACTTGACTTTGAAGTCCGACTGAAAGACGGTAAGTACTTTTTTTTTAATCGTTTGGTTGTTTTTATATCATTATCATTATCATCATCATCATCATCATCATTATTATTATTATTATTATTATTATTATTATTATTATTTTGCCACGTTTGACGCGTCTTTTCCATACCATGATCATGACTTTTTTTTTATTTTTTTTATAAAATTATGATAGACAGTTCTAATAATTGTTTTAACAGAGCACTAATCTGCAAACAAATTTATATATATATATAATTTTTTTTAAATAGCCGAGTCTAAATCCAAGAAAGCCACTGCTGGACAATCTGTTTCCTTGTCAGAAGGCTTGTGGCCCATTTACCAATTACACCATCAACGAAGCCGTTACATTTACGATCTCTACTACACCAAGGATAGAGCCATTTCATCTGAGCTCTACTCATGGCTGCTGAAAAATAGATATGCTGATGCCCAGCTTATAGCGAAATGGAAGAAGCAAGGCTACGAGCATTTGTGTTGCCTGCGATGTATTCAGGGGAAAGATAATGTGCATGGGACAACATGCATTTGCCGAGTCCCCAAGGCCCAACTGACTAAACGCATAGAACAGGAAGAGGCTAAGGAAAGTGAAGATGATGATGAGGGCGAAGACAAGAAGAAGAAAAAGAAGAAAAAGAACAAGGAAAGTGTCAAGAGTATACAATGCGTAACGTGCGGGTGCAGAGGATGTGCATCTACTGATTAGCGAGATAAAAAAATAATCTTTACTATAAAGCATATATTTAAAAGAAAACAAAGTAATAATACAAAAATTAGAATTAAACAGAAATAAAGGATTAGTTAAGTTGCCAATGGCAGGTCAAATAAGAATAAAGCAAACCCAGAAATGTTATCCCAGTAATAAACAATTAAGACAAAAAAAAAATCAATAGTGATTAAAAAGTTAATAATAGTCCGGTCGACCGTTGCCGCTTCTACCACGGCGGTGCTGCGGGGAAAAAACGCTACTTTGGGTCTTGATGGGAGAATCATAGTGCAAAAATCTCTCAGCGTCAAAGTATGGAGATTGGAATTTGGCAGTGGTTGGAGATTGGAACTGACGGAGTGACATGTGTACTCCTGCAAGAGAAGATGCGGTAGGGGCCGACAAGGTGGGTGCATTTGCAGATCCAGATGAAGTGACAGCACTATCTTCTTGAACCAAAGGATCGTCTGAGACTTCAGGAACAGAGGAGGGAGCTGTCAACGATGTGCGTGATACTGCATTGGCAAGGGCAGCGGCAGCAGCAACAACAGCATCACATGAAGATGCTGCAGATGATGATCCATGACGACGTGCGGCCGCAACAGAAGAAATCATCTTTTTGCGCTCAGAGACTTCCATATTCTTGTATGCGGCATGCTTGCTGCCGTCATTTCCAATGACATCACCAGTACCGTTACCACCTTCTTCTTCTTCTTCTTCTTCGTCCTCGGTGCTGTCGTCATCATCAATCAACGATACGACAGAAGCATCAGCTGTTCCATCAGAAGAAGTACCAGCAGCGACATCTTTGATAGAAACATTGCCTTCAGATGTGCTAGAAATTGAAGAAAGTTTTGAGGCAGGCTTAGGTGTCGAAGTGGTGGAAATGTTTGACAATTTACTTCCAACTGGCTGAGTAGGAAGTGCTGGCGATGCAGAGGCACGTCTCCCTGCAGCATGAGAAGTGTTAGTATCCAAATGGTTGTTAGTTGAATATGTCATAGATTTTGAGGTAGAAGCTTTGGCAGCGTCTTTAACCTCGACAGCACGCTTGACTACTTGACAAATATCAACACCGAAAACAGGTTCAGAAGATTCTCCTACAAACTCATAACTAACCCCGCCATATCCCAGATAGTCACGTCTTTTAGCAGCACGCTTTTCAGGTGAGCCAAAGCATGCTCTTGAGATAATGTCATCCTCTTCTCTATTAAGCAACCGAGCGCGTGATGGGGACGAACGAATGGGCGAATATGGATAGATATCTTCAAATTCATGCGAAATTGGTGAATTGAAACCAAAAGAACGCTTGAAAGGAGATGGAGAAAACAACTTTCCATTGTACAAGTGGGCATGCGGAACCAATGAGTTAGAAATAGGAATATGATGGGTGCCGGATGCTAATAGATTGGGGGTCCCAGCAGTCTTGTGGGTTTCATTATCCTCAGTAACAGTAAGAGTGATGGCAGGGCCAAGTCCACTGCGGCTTGGTGTGCTAGTAGATTTGCTAGGGTTTCCGCTGATGGTGTTGTTACCAGTGACGCCATTGACGGTGGAAAGTAGCAAATCCGAGCTTTTTGTTTTGGGAGACTCGAATTGTCCATAAGCCAAAGGAGTCATGCAGAGTCCTGTGGCGTCATCAGAAGAAGCAAAGGGTAGCCAAGAGGTTGGTGGAGCCAAAATGCTAGGAATACGATCGACATCCAATGTTCCAACAGAGTTATGATGGAGCATAGTGGGGAGCGCACTACTGTGGGACACACTGCGAGCATTATTAAGACGCCGACGTTTCAAGTCAGTCTCGCTGCTAGGACTCGATACATCCAGGAGAGAAGATGAATTTGGAGCTGTGACATCAATTGCACCAATGGAGCGCTTGCGCGTGGGGGAATCCAGGTCTAAAATAGGCTTCCCATATGTTTGCAAGCCAATTGCAGTTTTTGAGCGTCGGATGGGCGAATAAAAGTCGTCGGAATATGGAAGGGGGTTGTTATTAATAGACTTGAGTTCATCTGCTATCAAAGACGATGAAATATTGCTGGAATCCTCGGAAGAACTTTCAGGTGAAACCTGTTTCGGTTGTTGCTGTTGTTCATTGAGGTTTTGGGAAAGGTTAAATTGAATCTTTGGAATTTGGGCGGCATGAGCCTGAGAAGGTTTGGAAGGCACGGCTAGAGAAGTAGTAGCGGTGCCCGCAACAGCAACAGCAGCAGCAGAGGCAATAGTGCTATGAAGAGAAGGGGTTTGAGTAATAGCAAGGGTAGGACCAGCTGACTTTGATCGAGGAGGAGGAGGAGGGTGTTGATGGGGTTGTTGTTGAATCTGTTGGCGCTGCTTCTGTTGTTGTTGTTGTTGCAAATTCTGTTGCTTAATTGAACTAACAGCAACAACCGCAGGTGTTGGGTTAGTAAAATTTGAATAAAGTGCTCGACCAGCATTGGAAGAGGATGAAGAAAAAGAAGAAGAAGAAGCAGCAGCAGTAGAGGAAGTGCTTGTGTTTTTGGAAATCAATGAAGACTGCGAAGACAAAACAGAATTTGGTCGCTTAACTGTTCTACCCTTAATAAACTGGAACTCACAGCCAGGCTCTACAAGCCAGTAGTTACCTTTCCCTGGATCACCCTTTGGCCGTTCTTGTTTTCGAAAAGCCTTGTTTAAACTTAGATTGTGACGGATAGAATTTTGCCAGCCACTTTTGCTTTTGCTGTACCAAGCGAACGTATCGTTAATCCACTTATAGATTTGAGACAGTGTCAGTTTGCGTTCTGGCGAGCGAAGAATGGCCATTCCAATGAGTGTTGCATAGGAATATGGAGGCTTAGACCCATCGTCAACAATAGGTGGCATGTCGTTAGGCGATGGGATTTCTTGTTCTTGAGAAAGAGAGATGTGTTGTGGATGGGAGATATGTCGAGCAGACAAAGGATGCTGATGAGATTTTGAAACTGGGCCTGGGGCTTTCATAGCTAAGGAAGTAGCAGCTTCTGTGGGTTTTGCAGAAGAACTTCGAAGATTATAATGGTGTTGAGTTTGTCGCTGCTGTTGCTGTTGGAATTGAATGGTATATGCTGGGTTGGAGTAATGATGAAGATTAGGATCAAAAACAGCAGACATCTGAGTAACTGCAGGCCCCTGGCAAGAAACAGAACCTAAGCCGGTGCCAGCACCGGAAAGGGATGCAGAAGTTGGGACAGTGGCCATGATTGAACCAGAAGAGTGATTTATGGTAGAAACTAGATTATGACCAATGATCTGAGGAGTGATAGATGTTGGATAAATATTGTTTGGGGCTGAGAAGGCATTCTCTTTGTTGCTTACATCAGTATTAGAAGAGGAAGGGTTGGTGTTTGGGGGGAACTTTGAGCCAAGGGTTGGGACCGAATGCGAATAGGCAAAGCCATGGTGAAGCATTTCGTCGGTAGAAGAAGATGATGAAGAGGAGGAAGAAGAGACGCTTTCAGAAAATGGTGAAGCACTGGAAGGTGAATCTTTATTTTCGAGAGAAGTACAGTCAATGACAAAGGAAGAAGAGGAAGAAGAAGAAGAGGAAGAAGAAGAGGAAGAAGAAGAGGAAGAAGAAGAGGAAGAAGAAGAGGAAGAAGAAGAGGAAGAGGAAGAAGAAGAGGAAGAGGAAGAAGTAGAAGTAGAAGTACTCGAAGCAGAAAGAATCTGTGGAGAGGTCGAAGATGCACGTGATGATGGTTGTGTATTTTGAGGTTGCGACGCCGAGTAGGCAATGTGAGACGATGCTGCGGTCGTAGTTTGGGAGGGATTGGTTTCAGGTTTTGAGCTTGGTGCTGGGGCGGCGGCAGATGAAACCGAGGCCTCTGGGGTGCTATTTTTTGACGCGAGGGGGGATCTCAAATTTAATTTGAGTGTCAGAGGTTGTTGCTGGCTTGCTGCTGCTGCTGCTGCTGCTGCTGCTGTTGTTGTTGTTGTTGCTGCTGCCGCTGCCGCTGCCGCTGCTGATGCTATTGCTGTAGACGCTAAAGTGGATTTGATAGGACCAGCAGTGGCTGTAGAACCCGTGTGTTTTGGCTTTGAGACAGGTGCACCGATGTTGTTACTGACTTTATTTGAATGAGCATTAGACGCTGACCGGGTCATTATGGGGTTGATTCGAGTGCTTGAATTAGAGGAAACTGAACTGGTGGTGTTATTTTTGGTGGTGCTGCTTGCTGGAATATCTGTTGCACGATGGGATGCAGTAGTTGCGATTTGTCTTTTCATGGAGATACCCGAAGAGCCTAAGGACTCTGGATTGGTGTTAATTGGAGGTTTTATGGTAGAAGAAGAAGAAGAGGCTCCAGAGGAAGTCATGTTGGAAGTGCCTGAACTTGAAGAGTTACAGGGAGTTGCCACCGAGCAGGTGGGTGGAGGAGTGTACTGGGAGAGTGTGAAAGAAAGGGGTGTTGTGACAAAGTGGTGAGATGAGGCTGAGAGCTTGCTATCCGGGGTGAGTCCAGGTGTATGGGGTCCGTGTTTGGAGACCGAGGAGGCTATTGACAGCCCCGAGGAAGACGAGAGAGGTGTGGCTAGAGTGCTAGTCTGTGCTGGAGGAGATGAAGAGGGTGGTGGGGGAAGGTGAACGGAAGTCAAGGACTTTAGGAGGTTTGAGTTGAGTGATGTGGGAAGTGAAGACTGTTGATGCTGTGTATAGGAGGATGCTGGGATATTGGTAGCAATAGTAGTATTTATATTATTTATAATATTAGTAGTAGTAATATTAGTCAAGGCCTTTGGAGAAGACGGAGATGGAGACGCAGCTGCAGAAGGCATTGAACAGGAGAATCAAGTAGGCTTAAACAAGAATAGGTAGCGAAAAGAGAGTAGAAAAACGAAAGGCTGGGAATTGGGTTGATTTAGATGGCTTTTTTTTTTATTTTTTTTTTGGCTGGATCAAAGGCAATAATCTGGCATAATAGGGGTGCAAGTGTTTAAACTTAAGTTGAAGAGTAGGAGTTGATGGAAGAGTTGATGAGACAAGGTTAGAAAGAAGAAACAGAGTTAATAGGAAATACTGGGAAAAAAAAAAAAAAAGAAGAAGAAGAAGAAGAAGAAGAAGAAGAAGAAGAAGAAGAAGAAGAAGAAGAAAAGAAAGAAGAAAGAGAAAGAGAATGAGAATGAGAAAAAAAAAAGAAGCGAGAAAAGGGGATTTTGGGGAATGGAATAGGGACCTTTCTTTTTTAGGGTGATACATGTAGTATATATATAATACCGCCTAGAATATTAAAAAAAATATATCTACTATGGATAATCAACCTCCTATACTATATACTGTTAAGCTTATATACTATATATATAATCAAATTCTGAGTGGAAATCTACATACCTTAAGGCTTTCTTTGTGCCAAAGTAATTAATTACTATATAATTTCTACGCCAAAAATAAAGATAAAATTTTTTTTTCTTATTATAATTACTTCTCCTGTGAACTTGTAGGGCTGGACTTGGTTTCCAAAAGACTTATTTTTTTCATCAATTTCTATGGATTCCAAGCGTTGTCGAGGTTTTTTTTTTTTTTTTTTTTTTCATATTCTTAGTCGGATCTCAGCCAGCCAGCCAGCCAGCCGGTTTTAAAGAAAAGGGGTCAAAAGAGATAGACGAAGACTTTAAAAGTGGATGGTGAAGCTTCTTTTATTTTATTTTCTCTCTCTCTCTCCCTAGCTTTCTTTCCCAAATTATACTGAATAGGAGACCCTTGAGTGTTGCAACACTAGCATAGACGAAAAAAAAAAAAAAAATTATTTCATCTTCGATGGTGATCACTTTTTATATTTTTATTAGTATTATATAGTCTATTATAATACTAAAATGAAATAGAATAAATCAAATCAAATCAAATCAAATCAAATCAAATCAAATCAAATCAAATGAGCTCGCGTAGCTTTAACTGCCACGTATAAATATTAAAGAAATATATATTTTTTTAAACCAAAAAAAAAAAAAAAAAAAAAACATTCTCTGTTTTATAACCGCCAGACAATACATTCAAAAGAATGTTTGGAGAAGAAAAATGTCATTTTATGAGTTATTCCTCGGCAGATTCTTCAATAGTGAACAAGATTTTATCTTGTAAATCTATATAGAATATACATTTTATATGCTATTAAAAAAAAAAAAAAGCTTCAATCTATTGAAATCATTAATATTTTTCTTTCTTTCTTTTGCCTTTAAAACGTCAATATATATATATATATATAAAAGATCGTGTTTTTCCCCTTAATTTTAATTATATATTTCCTCTTTGGGATTACACGTGATTTTACTTACTTAAAAAAACGGTTATAACCAAAAAAGGAAATATCACGTGAATGAATCTGCATTCCATGCAAATGTGCAAGGCTTCAAACGCGCCTACATTCTACACGAACATTCCAAGGGGAAAAAAAAATTATCCCTTAGTGGCCTGCATATATAATATATTAATACACCTAACAAAAACTTAAAAAAAAAAATAAGGTTTTACTATTAAATAAATTTTATCAAGAATCAAGAAAGGCAGATGATAGTTATTTTGTAAGGTGATTGTTAAATATTCTGGTTTTCTTATAAGAAGAAAAAAGTTGAATTTTAGAGAAATCTTTGTTGATAAAAGATCCCATTCAAATCACAACAGTAGACACAATCACAGAGACAGCTTGGCTTTTACTGTCCCGTAACTAGTGTAAATCTTGCTAGCTAACAGTACACTATTGTACTCTTCATTCGTCCTAAAAGAGTATCGTCTCCATCAATTAGTACTTAAGGGAAAAATGCTAGGAAAGATTTATAGTGTGAACAAACGTGCCATAAAAATTTTATTTATCTCTCTGTTTCTGCTAATACCAACTAATTCTTGGGTTTCGTATGGCAGTAGTACTGTATTGTCGTAGTTAGCTGTTTGATGATTTGATAATGATCGTCTGTCACTTTGTTGGTTATTTTTTTTTATATAGTGCTTAGAACATTTTTTTTAGGCTTTCTAACAGAATGCATCTTTGCAATCTTGTTTTTTTGTTTTCATTATTTAAGGATTATTCTTTGCAATCTTGTTCTTCAGTTTCATGATTTTTGTCTCTGGAAAGCGAAACATGAATAAAATATGTCTCCATCTGGTAAGTAGCTTTCCAAGACGTGCTTACTTCCAGTATCAAGAACTATGATATTTTTTCATTTACCACTTTTCACCTCCTTCTTACAGTTTATTAGAATTAAGAGTTGGAATATCTTTATAAGTCTATCGTAGTGCAACTTGACGGCATGTTTTATTTCGATCGATGACATCTCTTTTGACTGTTTTTTTTTCTTATCTTAAACTCCGTTTTATTTGTAACACCCGGAAATATGGATGAAGTCATCACCTTTGTTGAATTTAAAGTGCAAATGCTTTGAACTCAATAGACTGACTGGATTGTCTCTTTTTTCTATGAAAACCAACTTAAAACTCCTTTATGTTTTTTTTTTCTCGTTAAATTAGTGAAGGCATTCTTGAAGTTCTTGTGAATTCCCTTCCCAGCTGACCGTCTTATTTCTTTTGATACATCAATACCATAGCTTTCAAGTTGAGCTTTTCATTATTTTTATCAATTTAGGTTAAGATACAGATAAGGTTTATCCACAAATTCCGAAAACCTAAAACTTAAAATAATAAAGAAATATTGTAGTTTTTTTGAAATTCTATCTTTTTTATTATTTGTTTCCTCAAATAAATGAAAAAAAATTCACTGTCTCAATATTTAGATATGTGAACTCATTCATCTTGTTTTTTTTTTGTCAAATAAAACCAATTTTCCATATTTTCATTTTTTTCCGTACCAGGTTTTGCAAACGAGAGTCTTGGATTGACAATAGTACCGCCCATTTTGTCTAACTTAATCTAAAACAAAATTTTGCACATCAAAACAGGAATTCAAACCGGTAGGTTAAAATACCTTCGGACCCTTACCATTAATTGATGATTCAAATAACGGTTCTGTCGTTAATCCAATTGAAACAACCGTTTTTTTTCTTCCACTTTGTTTACAGATCAGAATCAAACCTCATATTTCTAAATTGAGATCAAAGCTTACCATTTCCAGAAATACAATTTAAAAATAGATATTGAATCAATAGAATATTTAAAAAAATTGAATTAATGATGAAAAATAAAGGAACGATTTAAGCCATTAAAAATGATTTGATAAAAGAAAACATTAAAAAACAAACACTCATGATTAAAGAACAAAGAAACAAAATAATTGAATTCAAATCTGTATTTTTTTTTATAATATAACGAAGATATAAAAATATAATTTAAATGACTTGATTTTTTTTATATAAGACTGGTGAATATCTGGGAAATTTCAATTTTTTTTTTTTTTTTTAATTCAAATACACCTTTGTTTCTACTCAACTATTTCTTAACTCAACTTTTCGTTTCTCTGAATTTTTCTCTGAATTTTTCTCTGAATTTTTCTTTTTCTTTATTTATTTACTTATTTATTTTTATCAATTTAAAATGAAGTTTTCTCAACTCTCTATTGCTCTTTTTGCCTCTTACGCTATGGCTGCTCCTCTAGCTGAAGCTGATGCCAATCCTGAAGCACTTGCCAATCCTGAAGCTATTGCTGAGGCTCACGCAAATGCTGATGCCAACCCTGGAAAGAAGTTTAAGAAGCTTATTTATGGTTGCAATGTTTGCAATAAAGGTACCAATGTAATTCCTTCTATTGTTCCTACCACTGCAGTCACCGTTACTACTTTTTTCACCACTGCTACCCCCACCTTTACTACTGTTACTGGAACTACTCTTTTCACTTCAACCTCAACCTCTGCTGGTTCTTCTTCTACTAGTACCGTCCCTACTGCTACAGTGACCACTGCTACTACTACACCCGTTTCTACAGCCAGTGCCACCACAGCTTCAAGTGCTGCAACCACGTCTTCTAGTAGCTCTACCACCACCACCAATGGTGGAACCACTACTACAAACAATATTTCCAATTCTTCCAATAATGTTTCTAATAACACTTCTAACAATGTTTCCAACAACACCAACAACAACAGCAACAACAACGCTAACAACAATAACAACAACAACGCCAACACCAATAACAATGCAAACACTAACCAAAATGCCAACACTAATGTTAACCAGAATGTTAACTACCAGGAAAACTTCAACACTTCTTTTAATGTTGTAACAGTTTACATCCTTCCCAGTGGTGTTCTTTCTCTCACTCAGGTTGCTGGCTCCGTTCCTTTCAGCTACATCATCAGCAACGGTTCTTTAATCGCTGCCTCACCTGGCTTCAGCTCTGGAGTTGTTGTTATCAACAGCGATGGATCTCTTGGGGTTGTCCGTGGTGGTTCTTCCTCTGGTTCTTGGGTTTCTGAGGGCGGTTATATTACTCCTGGCGGTCGTACTATCTATGCTTGCCCTGATTCCACAGGTGCTTACACTCTTTACTGCGAATCTGCATGCCCAGGTGGAAAAGTCGTTGCATTCACCCCAGATGGTACTTGCGGTATCAAGAAGCATTAATTGTCTAAGTTAATAGTTAATTAGCTGGCTAATTATTTATTGTAACTTTCAATTTTTTCCTATTCTTTATTTATTTCTAATTCAATACCTTAATATTTTCTTTATCAATATCAATATCAATATATGACTATATAGCCAAACAACTAATTTTATAATTTTTTATTTAAATATATCTACAAAATCTAATATTTTTTTATTTCTATCTTTTTTTTTTTAATATTATTCTAAAACCTTATGGAATTAAGAGTTAAACTTGATTGAAATGCCACCAATTTTTTCAAAATGATCAGCCGTACCATATATTTCATTTTTCTCTGGTCAAGGTTTGAGACGGTTGTAATACATTGCAAAAAGAAATAGTAAGTTATTTACTATTTCTTTTTTTTGGAAAAATTGGCCTTAATATTAATGAAATTCCTAAGAATATAGGCGATTATCAATTTTAAAATAAATAAATAAATTTTTTAATAAAAAAATAAGGCTCTTTCCAGAATTTAATTTATTCGCAAAATAACTATTTAAGAATAAATGTATTGAAAAAGATGAATAAGACAAAGCCGTTGAAGAAAATAGATTCAAATCTAAGATTTTAATCACACAATATATTGAGACCGTTTCATTCCGTTTTTTATTTTTTTTATTTTATTGAATCAGAGTTAGCTATTGATAGTTCAATAATATTTTAAAACTTTAAAAGACTGCCGAAAAAGATCTGTTCCTCTATTGTCTATTAAACGTTTAACTAAATTTAGTCAACCTAAATCTCAAAAATGTTTTTATTTCATAAACTTTATTCATAAACATTGATTTTTAAAGTAGCTTGTTTTGAGATATGTTTGCCAGTATTTAAAAAATTTTTGCAAAAAGAAATCATGATTGAACACTTCATCTCCATGAGCTAACGGTCCAACAATTTAGTTTGATGGTTTCATTAAAAGAAATTCAATTTTTTTTTCTCAAAAGATAGGTTTATAAATGCTGTTAAATTCCCACTTTTTTAAAAATTTTGTTTTTTTCATCAACAGTTTTCAAAACTAATTTACTAATTTTCAAACCTAATTTTAAATTTAATTTCCACTTTAACCTATTATTTCTATATCGCAATCGATAAAAAACATATTAAAAAAACTTTAATCTAAAAATGAAGTTCTCTCAAGTAGCCATTATTCTTTTTGCCGCTTACTCTTTGGCTGCACCAGCTGCTGAAGCTAATCCTGAAGCTGTTGCTTATGCTGAAGCCAATGCTGAAGCTGAAGCTGAAGCCTTCGCTGATCCTGGAAAAAAAAAGAAACTTCGCAAGCTTATGGCCGGTAGCTGCAACACCTGCTCCAAGGTGATTCCTGTTACTACAGGAACCACTTCAACTACTACTGGAAATACTACTGGTGGATCTGGTGGTGCCGGTGGATCTGGCGGTACCGGAGGCACTGGTGGAAACACTGGTGGAAACACTGGTGGAAACACTGGTGGAAACACTGGTGGAAACACTGGTGGAAACACGGGTGGAAACACGGGTGGAAATACTGGCGAATCTACTACAACCAATACTTCTAATACCAACAATGTTTCCAATAACACCAGCAACAATATTAACAATGCTACTAACCGCAACACTAATACCAATGGTAATACTAACAACAATAACAATGCCAACACCAACAATAATGACAACACCAATCAAAATGCTAATACCAATATCAATCAAAATGCTAATTATCAGGCAAACTTTAATATTTCGTTTAATGTCGTTACTGTTTATATTCTTCCTGGAGGAACTCTTTCTCTAACCCAAGTTTCTGGTGCTGTTCCCTTTAGCTATATTATTAATAATGGCTCTTTACTTGCCGCTTCTCCCGGATTCAGTTCTGGTGTTGTTGTTATTAACAGTGACGGATCTCTTCAAGTTGTTCAGGGTGGTTCTTCTTCTGGAACGTGGTCTTCTGAAGGTGGGTATATTACCCCAGGTGGACGCACCATTTACGCTTGTCCTGATGCTACCGGTGCTTACACTCTTTATTGTGATACTGCTTGCCCTGGTGGAAAGATTGTTGCTTTTACTTCAGACGGCACTTGCGGCGTTAAAAAATAATTTATTTGGCTGATTTTTTTATCTATTTATTTAACAATACCTATATACTTCAACAATAGTTTAGTTTTAGATTGAATAAATATTCTAATCACTAATCACTAAATTTAGTGTTCATTTGAAATTGTAAAATAAGAAATTGTCTAAATCTAATTTTTGGGAGTTTCAGTAACTTCTTTTTTGTACATCAAACAATTCTTACCTTGTAATGTAAACAAATAGTAAAAATAATCTTTGACATGACCTCTTTGAATAAATGCAAATAAACAGATAAAATAATGATTTTCCAAATTAATTCAAATTAATTTGAAATGATTAAAAAAATATACTTTAAAAACCATGCTCGAAATTATTTGAAACGCTTTTCCTACATACTGGAAGCTGAAAAAATTAAAAAATTCCTAGAATTGGCTAAAATTTTGAAATTTACTTTACTCCTTTAACAGGAAAAAATTGTAACCTATTTTAATTTTTTATTTTCATTTAATACTATAATTTTCTTTTAAAAGTCAATAAGCCTTATGACCAATAAGGTTATTGGATCAAGCTTTTAAGGTTCAGTTAAACTTCACTCATATTTTTTTCAAAAAAATAAAATAAAAAAAATAAAAAAAGTTAAAGAGTGATATTTAGAAAGTGAATTTAAAAATAAATCTACAATTTTTTTTCTTATAACCAAAATCTCATAATCCAATGTTTTTGCCCTTGTTTTAATTAACAGATTAGGTTTTAAATACGTGAGACTTTTATGGCAATTGTCATCAAAAGTGTCATCAAAATGTTTTACAATAATGAGTATCTACTTAAATTAATGTGTATAAATGGGAAAAGTTGAACATCTTTAAAATCCAATATTTCAAAACATTTTCATAAAAAAAATGATTTTAGAAAACTTAATAATAAGATATATCTTATTTATATATATAAATATTAAATATATTGAAACAGTTTCAATATAATGTCGCTAATTACTCACTCAGATCTAATTATATTTTATAATATTCAGTTATAAATGCTTTAACAAAAATTAATTAGATAATAATTTTTTTTTTAAAATATATCTTAGATTTAATTGACCATATTGAACCTTTTGTAAAGTTTAAAAATTATCATTTCAAATAACCCTTTTTGCTTAATATATGAATCATATATTTCAAAAACAGTATTGGATTTTAAATTTCTATTTTAAGGAGTACTCCATTTACATAAAAAATATAACAAAGCAATATTGTTTATGATTTGATTTATTTTCTAACATTTTAAAAAATCTCAAATGTAAATATTTTTAAGATAGATAAAAGAAAAAATAGGATTTTACTCACCAAAAAATAGATTTCATTAGTCAATAACTCTGGAGTCAACATTGCAAACTGAAAGCCATAAATATTGTATTCGTTTTCAAATTTATATAAAGGTATTTTATTTAAAACATTTTTTTTATGGAAATTTGTTTTAAATAATTCCAAAAGTAACTAACAAAACTTCTTGAATAGTTTTAATTTTTGTTTTTTTAATTCTCTTTTAAGTTCCCATTGGTGTTACACTGCATATATATTAATCACAATGAAATTCTCTAAGACTGCTATTTTTCTTTTTGCAACTTACTCATTTGCAGCTCCGGTAACTGAGGCTAACTCTGGAAATGGGGGTTATGACTCGAAATCCAAGTGTTCTACCTGTGTAAAAGTAATTCCCGGAGTTATTTCAGGTATGATTGGTGGTGGCACTGGGGGAACTATTGGAACTGGAGCCACTGGTGGGGCTATCACTGGAACAACTACTGGCGGAACCACTTCAGGCGGAACCACTTCTGGTGGAACCGCTTCTGGTGGAACTACTTTGGGCCAAAATACAGTAAATAATGTGTCAAACATTACTAACAAAGTTTCCAATACTAATACATCTAATAACAGTGCCAATAACACTAATAATAATACAAACGGAAATACCAACAAAAATGCCAACAACAACAATAACGACAACAAGAACAATAATTCCAATGAAAACCAGAACAACAACACTAACCAAAATGCTAACTACCAAGTTAACTTTTCTGCTAATTTTAATGTTGTGACCATTTATATTCTCCCTAATGGTATCCTTTCACTCACACCTGCTAATGGTTCTGTTCCGTTTAGCTACATTATTAATGGGAACTCATTGATCACAGCATCCCCTGGGTTTAGTTCTGGAACAGTAGTTGTAAACAGTGATGGTTCTCTTCAAATTGTACAAAGTGGATCCTCTTTTAATAATTGGATTTCTGAAGGTGGATATATTACTCCGGGTGGACGCACCATTTATGCTTGCCCAGATTCTACTGGAGCTTACACTTTATACTGTGACAACGTTTGTCCTGGTGGAAAAATTGTTGCCTTCACTTCAGATGGCACTTGCGGTCTTCAAAAATGATTGCTTTTCAAAAACCTATTGTTTGATCTAATCAAATTTTGAAATAACTTTTTGAATACTACAACGATGTCATATTTTTATTATAATTACCTTTGTCGAATATCCTATATATAGGATATATATCTTTATTAATATATTGATAAATTAAATTAAATACATTATTTATCAATGAGTTTAAGAATTATATGGTAACGAAAAATTTAACAAATTAAATGATTAATCTATAATTATAAATCACCTGTTGGAAATCTCGGCTCGAAGTTTTTTGTATGGTGCTAAGGTATGTGGGGAAAATCAAATAGACCAAAATTTGCTGTGATCTGTCTTTGGTCAACAATTTTTTTTGCCCATAGAAGCGGGCGGTCTGTAGAGGTTATCCTTTGGAAACTGGGAATTGAACCGACAACCCGGCTGGTTTAAATTTTTTGAACGCAACCGTTACCTTTTCGTAATAATTCCTTATAAGAAGTAGACGAGAGTAGTACCAGTAATGGTTTCTCTATCTTTATCAAAAGATAGAATATAACAATTACTTACTTCTCTCTTCGCGGTATTACAAAAGGAAGCTGGTATTATGACACAAAAAGATATTCGTTTACACCTGAATACTAGCAAAAACAACCCTATTAATGGTCATTTGTTAGCATTGATTGAGAAATCTCCAATTGCAAAGCTAACCACGCTTTACATTTTGGCGAGAGATGATAGAGACCTAATGATTAAGAAGGTTGAAAAGCGAAAATGCAAGAAGGTTGAACCTTTTACACTGAAGCAACAACAAAATCAGACGATTCGAATTTCAAAGAAACAAGCAATGGAAGAATGGCAAGAAGTGTATCTTTTATTATAAATATGTATATTTTAAATCCATGTTTTTTACACATTTTTATTTAAAGAACTAAACCTATTATATTTATGGACTACAGGAATCTTTCAATTCTATTCCAACATATCTTATTTCACCCTGAATATGTGCATTTCCAAATTTACACCTTCGTTTGAATAGTGTTTCTAAGTCATATCATTTCCATACTTAGTACCACACGAGAAATTCTTTCAATCATTAAAAACAGAAAAATTTTAAGCATAAACTGTAGACCAAATCCAATCAAATATAATAAATATATGTAGATTTCTACAGCAGGCCCTATTAATAACAGAAAAATATTTAAATTTCAGTGAGTTACTAGAAAATGTTAAATAGTGTAGACACAAGGAAGACATAAATTATGTAAATTATTAAAAAAATTAGAAATTTCTAACGTACATTAACATATGTTTAAAGATAATTATGTTTCTAATTTTAAAGTGGAAAACCCTTAACCTAATAAAATTATTTCAGTTTAAAAATATTAAGGTTATTATGTAATGATGACATTATCATATAATTTTGTTTAACCTCGGTCCAGCTAATTTTTAAAATGAAATTAACCATGCTTTACAATTAAACAATTAATTATAATTATAATTATCTGTATATCATCAAAGACAACTGACTGAAATAGATTATAATCTATCTAATTAGAAACTTTTCAGCTGAATTTCATAAATATAAAAAATTCGATTATTTTCAATACAAAGGGACTATTTTGAATTGTTTTCAAATTTGAAAAAAAATTGTGTTCGAAATCCTTCTTTACTTTTTATTATGATTTCCTTCTCCCCTTCTCTAACCCCCCACATTTTGGAATTTGCGAAACACCGAGGGTTATTATTTCTCCACATAAGATATCCCCACAAATATCCAACTTGACATAAGAATATTCCTATATATACTTTATAAATTTCTTTAATTTTATATACATAGCTACAGTTTTATCTTTCTTTAAATTCATCCTTTTTATATTCACTTTGAACACTTATTAATAATGGTCGAAATCACTTATGAAGTCAAGGGCAAAACAGCTGTCATAACACTTAACATTCCACAATTGTATAATGCTCTTAGTGGAGCTGAATATCGTCGCTTGGAACAGTTAGTTTTACTTGCAGCTCAAAATCCCGATACTATTGTTACTCTTATTCAAGGAACAGGTAAATTTTTTTCTGCTGGTGCCAACTTAGGTTCCGGCTCTGGCTCTAAAAAAGAGGATACCATTGAACTTAAGCAAATAGATGATCCGTCTGATCCTGCAGAATATGAGAATCAAAAAGTTCGAACTGCTTATGCATATAGCTTTGGTACCCGCAATTTGACAATCACTGAAAGCTTTTACAATCATCCTAAGGTTCTTGTTGTTGCCCTTAATGGACCAGTTATTGGTTTAACATCTTCACTTGTTGCAATGGCTGATTTTATTTATGCCCGAGATACTGCTTGGCTTTTAACGCCTTTTTCCAACATTGGACTGGCACCTGAAGGTGCCGCATCGTTTTCTCTTGCCTACCGTCTAGGTCATTCTAAGGCAAGCGAACTTCTTCTTTCTTCGACACCAATTGATGCAAATGAACTTTATCGACTGGGATTCGTAAACAAATTATATTCTTCTGAGGAATATACAACAGAAAGCTTTAATGAAACAATTCAAAAGCTGATTCAAGAAAAGTTTTACCATCTTCATCCAGAGTCTCTCATTATTACTAAAGAACTAATGAGAAAGTCAACAGCGAAAAACTACGCTGAAGCCAATGCTCTTGAAGTTGTCGCTGGTACAGATCAGTTCACTAAAGGCGTCCCGCAAAAAAGATTCGCTGCACTTGCTAAGCGTGAGCTTAAACACAAACTTTAAGAATCAAATTTATATTTTTAACAGAATAAACTTTTAAATTTATGTGATGCATATATTTTTATCTTTTAGGCGAACTTTTTGTAGAATCTGGAGCTAAAACAGATTGCAATGAAGGAACATGAATAGTTTCGTCAAAGCTTACATCTTCAGCTAAAGGCACGAGCACTGGAACTGAGTATTCAATACCTTCATCTTTCCTTTTAATTGACGTAGTTTGAGTTTTATCATCTTTTTTGGTATTAGCAATTCCGACTAAAACAGCAAATGCTACAAAAACGACTGCTGCTAAACCTCGGCGAGTTGTTTGCCACCTTAATGCTTCAATTTCAGATTTCAAATCTGAAATAATTTCTATTGCAATTTTGTTATTTAATTCTTGAATTTCTAGAAGTGTTGAACTTTCCTCTTCTTTTTTTGCATTTTTCCGGTCATTAATATCTAGATCCACGACACTTTTTAAAGTTGTCATGCTTTCATTCATTTCTTGTTGAGCGATTTCAACATCTCTTTGTAATCTAGCTAAATTAGACCCATAATCAGTACCCTGCATTTCTCTCATTTTTTGGACTTCTGTTTTTAATTCAGAACAAGCAGCTTGAAATAAATAGGCTTCATTTTCAATACCACTTTTCGCCACACTATCTTCTTTGCATTCTGAAAGTCGTTCAAAAAGCATTCCACGAATTGCTCGCATTATTACATCTGATTGTCCTTCAGTAAAACCGGAATATCTTAAAGAAGCGTATATTTTAAAAGTATCAAAATAATGTGTTTGGCCAGGGCTAGATGGTTCGTCATCAGGAGTTGAACTATTAGTTAAAACTAAATCAACATCTTTCACATCTTCAGAAGAATTGTATTCGGTTTCCTTAATATCGTCGGAAACATTAGTAAAGTCATTGTTTATACTAGCATTTTTAAAATCATCTAGAGCTTCATTTTTGGTTTCTAAAATATCCTTAGTAGAACCTGATTCTAAATCTTGGGCTTCCAAATTATTTGTAATACCTTGGGAATTGAAAGGCTCTGTCTTAATTTTTTCTTCAAAAAAGCCATCTGCAACTGGCTGAAAATTACTACCAATATCACTTTTTTTTTGTTTATTTTTATCTCCATTAGCATCAGTAGTAAACAGCCTTGGTAGTATTGTTACAGTTAAAAATTTACCTGAAATCGAACTATTAAAATTAGATTTTTTAAATGAATTTGTAGATCTATTCAGTAATATGGGTGAATTCTTTGATTCACCAAGAAGACAGGGACTGCGTGAAATTGTGTTAAGAGATCGAAAACAAGGCTGATAAATAAGATCCAATTTTCTGAGTTTGAAAAAAAATTGAGAATAATACATTTTTTTTAAAAGAAAGTATAAAGATATCCTTAACGATATCGATTATGATATTTCCAATTTGAAATTATAATTCGAGGTAACTTGGAAAGGAACGTTTTCGACTAAGCATGTATAATTCAAAATCAAATGGTCAATGTGTAGAAAACAATTATTACAGTCATGCTTTTTTTTTTTTGAAATGTAACTTAGTTACATTTCAAAGTTAAACTATCTAGATAAAAAATTAGTGATTAGTAATAAATGTATAAACTATCGACAACAGATTCACTGTTACCACATTTTCACTTAAATAACACTTTCATTTATATATTAACTAAGCTCACAAATTTCTCTTTTCCTTTTAATTTTATTATAATCATTATTTTCATCGGGAATATTTTTTTTTAATATTTTCATTTTTTTTGGGAAACTTCTTTGAGATTTTTCTTCACCGGTATGATTCATCGTTTTATTGTTCTTTTTATATGTTAACGTCTATGGTAGGGATAGCTAGAATATTCAAAAAAAAAAAAAACCTGTACAGATATATTGAAACATTTTACAGGATTTAAATTTTTGAATTATTTTTTACCGGCTTTTTCTTGATTTTTAATTTATTTGTTGAAGGCTAGCTGTTGTTACAATGAGCTACGCTAACAATTACTTTCGTCAAATTTCAAGTGCCAAACAACCAAGCAATTATGGTGATCTATAAATAAGTCAAAGATATATCAGAATGTGAGAGTTTTGGATATCTTAATGATTATATACAATTGAAAAATTATTTTCAATATTAACATATTTTAGAATCGAGTACAGAATGGGAGGGTAACGCACCAGCTCAAACCAGAAATGCTGTTAACACGCCTGGAAATCTTGGAAGTGGCACGACAACTAATTCGACTACTTCTTACTCTTCTTCATCCGGGTTAAACTCCCGAAATACGGCAAGTAGTCGTAACACAAATAATAGTTATCCATCTATCCTGTCGGCAGAACATAGTGATGTTACTAATATTAGTAGAAATTCAAATTTACACAGCAGCGGTATTTCTAGCTCGGGAATGAGTAATGATAAAGACACTAGTTTACATTATTCCCAAACTGAAAATAATAGCGGAAGTGTTTCTAGCAATTCTGGTAACGTGAAAAGTGACTATAATGACAAAAGTGTCTCGGGTTATGGATCTACAGTATATACACAGGATGCAATTTCTGCGACTTCTGAGGAAAAAGACTATCAATTTTCTGAATCAGAAGCGTATACACCCTCTTATGGATTTCAGACACCATACTTTGATACTCGCAACGCACAGTCTGCAATGAATGCTGACGGTACTCCAATTTTTGTTTCTACCAAAGGATTTAATGCACAGGACAAACCTGAGTATGGAATTAATTGGAATGAATGGAGTTATCCTGCATGGCACAATGTCACTGGCCCCAGAGGTCCGGTTTCTATAGACCGTATTGCTGAAATTTTTGGTTGTTTTCGACAGAAATTTGGCTTTCAAAAAGATAATATGTTCAATATGTTTGACCATTTAATGACTCAATTAGATTCTCGAGCATCTAGAATGGGTTGTGACTTGTCTCTAATCACTTTACATGCTGATTATATTGGTGGAATAAATGCTAACTATCGTCGTTGGTATTTAGCTAGTCAAATGGATATGCACGATGAGGTCGGTTGGGATAATATAGACCAATATGGGCGTGTCAGTGAACAGAAGAAGCAGAAAATCATCGAAAATTTACTTGAAAATCAGAAACAAAACAAAGAATCTAAAAACAACGATGATTCATCTATTAATTATTTGAAAAAACATAAAACACCAACTCTTGACGATAATTTAGACTTTGGTCTTGCAAACGCAGAGTATCGCTGGAAACAACGTATGCTTCGTCTCACAAATGATGAGCGTATTTCTCAAATTGTTTTATATCTTCTTTGCTGGGGAGAAGCAAACCAAGTTAGATTCATGCCTGAATGTTTGTGCTTTATTTATAAAAGTTGTTGGGACTATTGGAAATATGGGTCTAATAATCAAGATTTAGAAGATGCCAAAGAAGGGCATTTCTTAGACGCTGTTATCACACCTTTATATCGTTTTTGTCGTGACCAAGTATATGAGCGTGTTGACGATGGAGGATTTGTTCATAAAGAACGGGACCATCACAAGATCATTGGCTACGATGACATGAATCAGCTTTTTTGGTATAGAGAAGGACTTCTTCGTCTTCAGACACCTGAAAAACGCCGGCTGATGGATATTCCTAAAGAAGAGCGTTACCATGCATTAAAAGGGATTCAATGGAATAAAGCATTTTACAAAACGTATACCGAAAACAGGACCTGGTGGCATATTTGCGTCAATTTTCATCGTATTTGGATTATTCATCTATCTGTATTTTGGTTTTACACAGCATTTAATTCACCGACACTTTATACTGAAGGCTACGAATACATGATAAACAATCAACCCCCTGCTCATATTCGTTGGTCCATTGTTGCATTAGGTGGTGCTATTGGACCGTTGATAAATATTTTTGCTATTATTGGTGAACTAAAATTTGTCCCTCGAAAATATTCTGGGTCTCGTCCAATCGCTTCTCGAATTTTATTTTTATTAGCATGTTTATGCCTCTTAGTGGCGCCCACGGTGTACAATTTCTTTTTTACTTCCAGAGAAGATGAAGATGACGTTGGTCTCGTCTTTGCCGCCATTCAGATGACTTGTGCTATTATATCTACATTGTTTTTTTCATTTATTCCTTTATCATATATGTTTGGGGAATATACTACTCATTCTGGAACTGAGAGGAGGTATTTAGCTACTCATTTTTTTGCTGTATACTTTCCAAATTTGATGAAGAATGACCGGATGATTTCCGTGGGAATGTGGATTGGGGTTTTTGTTGCGAAGTTTACGGAATCTTATTTTTTTTTGACCCTGTCACTTCGTGACCCAGTTCGTGAACTATCTGTGGTTGACTTAGAAGGATGTGTTGGTGACACTTATTTAGGAACTTTTTTATGTCGTCGACAAACATATGTTCTTCTTATATTAATGTACGTTACTGATTTGATCCTGTTTTTTTTGGATACATATTTGTGGTACATTATTTTCAACACATTATTTTCGGTTTTTAGGTCTTTTTACCTTGGAAGCTCAATTTGGACACCTTGGAAAAATATCTATTCTCGCCTGCCTAAACGTATTTATGAAAAAATACTTTACGTTCATGAACGAAGTTCTTTTAAATATAAACCTAAGCATTATGTGGCCCAAGTCTGGAATTCGATTATTGCTGGAATGTATTCGGAACACCTTTTGCCTGCTGAATCTGTTCATTTACTTTTATATCGTAATGAAGTCTCGGATAATGGCGAACAATCCTTAAATGAACCTCGGTTTTTCGTTTCCCGCGAAGAAAATTCTAGTCGTACGCCTTATTTTGAGCCTCAAACCGAAGCAGAAAGAAGAATATCATTTTTTGCGCAATCGCTTTGTACCCCGATTGGTAAGGCCTGTCCTGTTGACGCTATGCCAACTTTTACTGTTTTGATTCCTCATTATGGAGAAAAAATAATGTTGACTCTACGTGAAATTATACGTGAAGATAATCCATTCACGAAAGTTACTTTGCTAGAATATTTAAAACAACTGCAACCATCTGAATGGGAACATTTTGTTCGTGATAGTAAAGGAATCGCCAAACATCGCAACGATATTGGTGGCACTGTTTGCAGTCGATCAAGAAGCGCTCAAAGTACCGATACCACTACCGCAGATGAAGAGGATGATGGTCCCGAGTCTAAATACAGTGATGTTCCCTTTTATTGTGTTGGTTTTAAGCAATGTACACCTGAGTTCACTCTTCGTACCCGCATTTGGGCTTCTCTTCGAACACAAACTTTGTATCGTACTATATCTGGTTTTATGAATTATTCCCGTGCAATAAGATTATTGTACAGCGTTGAACAATTTAGCGGCCTCCCTGAAAATGTAAATCAGGACAAATCTATTGACTTTGAACTTGACTTGCAAGCCAGAAGAAAATTCCATTTGATTGCAGCAGTACAACGACTTTCTAAATTTAACGATGAGGAAAATCACGCAAAAGAATTATTACTTCATGCTTATCCAGATATGAAGATTGCTTACCTTATTGAAGAACCTTCCCCTATTCCAGGTGAAGAACCGATTTTTTATTCAGCTCTTATTGATGGTTCTTGTCAGGTCCTCCAAGATGGGTCACGAAAACCTCGTTACAAGATAAGACTTTCAGGAAACCCTATACTTGGTGATGGTAAAAGTGACAACCAAAATCATGCGATCATATTTTATCGAGGCGAATACATACAACTTGTTGATGCAAATCAAGATCATTACCTTGAAGAGTGTATTAAAATAAGAAGTGTTTTAGCAGAATTTGAAGAAATGAAAGCTCCTAAGCATCCTTATGGTCAACCAAGTGGACCTCCAAGGGATACAGGCTCTCGACCCAGGCCTAGCCCTCGCGCACCTGTTGCAATTATTGGGGCTCGTGAATATATATTTTCAGAAAATATAGGCGTTTTAGGAGACGTTGCGGCTGGCAAGGAGCAAACTTTCGGTACCCTTTTTGCTCGAACGTTGGCTAAGATTGGAGGAAAACTCCATTATGGACACCCCGACTTTTTAAATGGTATTTTTATGACAACTAGAGGTGGTGTATCCAAAGCCCAGAAAGGTCTTCATTTAAATGAAGATATTTACGCTGGAATGAATGCAGTTATGCGCGGCGGGCAAATCAAACATTGCGAATATATGCAATGTGGAAAAGGTCGAGACATGGGCTTTGGATCTATTCTTAATTTTACCACAAAGATCGGTGCTGGAATGGGAGAACAAATGCTTTCTCGAGAGTATTTTTATCTTGGAACTCATTTAACATTGGACAGGTTTTTGTCTTTTTACTATGCTCATCCTGGTTTCCACATTAACAATATGTTTATCAGCATCTCGTTATCTTTATTTTTATATGTTTGTATTAACATGTCTGTGCTGGTGCGTGATTCTACGATTTGTGAGTACGATCGTCACGCCCCTATAACAAATTTACATCATCCATTGGGCTGTAATAATCTCATCCCAGTAATTGAATGGCTTGAAAGATGTGTATTGTCAATATTTGTCGTTTTCTTTATTTCATTTTTTCCGTTATTTGTTCAGGAAATGACTGAACGAGGTATTTGGCGATCTTTGACACGTTTAAGTCGTCACTTTGCTTCATTATCCCCTTTGTTTGAAATTTTTGTTTGTCAAATCTACGCTCAGTCACTAGTTCATGATCTCGCTGTTGGGGGTGCAAAATATATATCAACAGGAAGAGGATTCGCCACTACAAGAATATCATTTTCACTTCTTTATACTCGTTTTGCTCAGCAATCAATTTATTTTGGTGCCTTTTCACTTATGGTTCTTTTGTTTACAAGCTTTACAATGTGGCGAATTTGTCTATTGTGGTTTTGGCTCACTTCGGTTGCACTTACTTTTGCTCCTTATATATATAACCCTCATCAATTTTCTTTCTATGAGTTTTTCTTGGACTATCGAGAACTTATTCATTGGTTTTTTAGGGGAAATACAAAATGGCATAAATCCTCTTGGGTCGGATACACAAGACGTCTTCGTACAAGTCTTACTGGGTTTAAAAAGCTTCCTTCCATTGGAGAAGCTTCTGAGGCTGATGCAAAAGATGTTAAGAGGCCTTTATTTTTTAACTTGTTAATATCTAAAGTCATAGGCCCTTTAATGGCCATGGTTTTCACTGTGATTCCCTACTTATTTTCAAATTCTCAAAATGATATTAGAGGGGTTCGCCCAACCAACTCTTTGTTAAGATTAGGTATTTGTGCTTTCGGTCCAGTTCTGGTAAATACTGTAATACTGTTGATTCAATTTGTTTTATCATGTACAGCGGGTCCTCTCTTATCTCTTTGCTGTAAAAATACTGCATCAACTATTGCTACAATCATACATGTTATTTGTGTGGTCATACACCTTATTTTTTTCAACATTATGGTTTTTATGGAAAATTGGGATTTTACTCGAGGACTATTAGGGTTTCTTGCGGGGATCTCTGTTCAAATATTTGTCTTTAAGCTTTTGACAGTTTTGTTTCTTTCAAGAGAGTTTAAACATGACCATAGTAACAGAGTTTGGTGGTCAGGAAAATGGCTAAAAGCTGATCTAGGATGGCACATTATTACCCAACCTTTGAGAGAATTATTGTGCAAAATTATGGAAATGTCACATTTTACTATGGACTTTACGCTTTGTCATTTTATTTTGTTTTTGCAAATACCCATCATTATTATTCCCTACATTGATAGATGGCACACTCTCATGCTTTTTTGGCTTCTCCCTAGCAGACAAATTCGTCGTCCTCTTTTTTCTTCTCAACAAAAGGTCATTAGATCTCGTATTGTCACCCGGTATTCAATAATCTTCTTCTTGGTACTTCTACTATATATTTCTCTTCTCCTGGGACCATCTATCTCTTATAAATATATTCCATTTAATTTGGAAAAAATGGCTGATTCCCTTATACCAGGAATTATTCAACCAACCGGACCTGAATATGGAAGCCTGGGTATAAGAATAAGTTAAAAAAACAAAAAAGCAATACTGTAGCAAGCTTTGTATTTTTACTAAATAAAAATAATTGTTGAGTTTTAAAGTCTTTTTACTAATAATTATGCTGATTAGCTTAATTAATTAAGTGTTGATGTTCATGTGTAACTAATTAGTTAATTAAAATTATAATTGAATTAGTGTTTTAAAATTTATAATAAAATAATAAATGTTTCTAGGGCACTTACTTTATAAATTATAAAATGCTAGTGACGCTTATCAATTAATCAATTAATTAATTGTTGCTTGGAACTAAATTTTTGATTTAAATTTCCTAAAATATTGATGACAGAATGTTGCGCTTTGCATACTTTTATGTCAGTTTTTGATAAACGTCTTATTCTATTCGTCCACCAATGTTTCAGGCTTTGACGCACTTTATTTAAACCTCGTGACCTCCAGTCGTCCACTCCACCTTTTTTAAAAAAATCTCACCACAGCCTATAAATTCACTAACGCCAGAGGTATCTGTGTTATTTCATTATGAAATTATCATTAACGAAAAGAAACTGGCTTTTTGAGCCTTCATTCATTGTATTTCTAAAATATTCGTCATCTGCAAATATTCTCTGCACAAGACTGGAAAATACTAAAAAGTCTAGCTTTACAAAGATTCAATTACGCTCTTTCCATTTTTCAAATCACAAACTAAAAAATCCATACTATTTCTATGATCGTATGTAGATTTATAAATAACATTAAAATTATATATGATTTGATTTATGAAAAAAAATTCTAACTTCTAACTACTAATTTTTTTTAGTGGCTGCAAAGCAACCTCGTCAGTCATTCGATCCTTCTCTTACCTCATTTAACAATGAGCATTTATCAAATGTAGAACGTGCCAGTAAGTAAAATATTGCTAAAAATTAAGTTTTGAATTTTTCTAATATTTATTAGTGCTTGTTTTCGGTGTAAAGGGGTCTCGTGATGCTTCTCGTCAGGATTCCTTAAAATATGCCCGATCTGTGGCTGGTGTTAAAGTGCCGGGACGTCCAGAAGAGCCTACCAACTGTTGTATGTCTGGATGCATTGATTGTGTGTGGGAAATGTATAAAGAAGATATAAAAGATTGGAAATCCAAAAAAAAAGAGGCCCGAGCTGCTTTAATGGCAAGACCAGATATAAAATGGCCAGAAGAACTTCTTGGTCCGGAACCAAAGAATCGAACAACAGAACAAAAAGAAACCAAACAAGATACTACAGTCACTCCTTTCCCAAGTGATTCTTGCGTTGATGATGGATTTGAAAGTTTTGATGATGATTATGAGGATGATCTTAATGTCAGTATAAAACAGTTTTTGAAAGTTGAAGAACTTATTCGTAAAAAAAAAAGAGCTGCAAAAATTGCTGCTAATTCTACAACAGTCAAGCCCTCTCAAAATATAAGTCTGTAACAGGAATTATAATTTATAATTTTAGATTCTTATGAAATTTTTATCAAGTCAACTCAAAATTCTTAGTAATGAAAAGGCTACGAATAAAACATCAAGATTTTTGTCCAAAAGTAAATAATGAATATTGTTTTTTATGGCTAGCACCAAAATAGAACTTGGTATCTTTTTGAATGCATCAAGCTTTTATTTTTTTGGTTTAACACCCAGTTCTGCTAGCGTATTTAAAGTTACTGGTCCTAACTTTCCAATATGAGCTCCAATTCCAGGTCCAAATCTGGCTGGTTTTCTTTGGCAAGATGTCCCAAATTCTTCTAATTCAGATGACTTTCGAAATCGAGAGTTAGTTTGGATGTTTTGACCGATTGATGTATTATCAATATCTTGGCTTTGTGTTGAACCTGAAGAATGTTGAGATCTTGGAGTTTTCTTAGGAACTGGAATTTTATATGATTTATCTGCAGAGGATGGCAAAACATAGGACCAGTTATTGTCATCTAAAAGTTTTAAAAAAGCTTTAAGGGCTGAAGCTGTTTCTAAAGTTTTTCGGGACCCAATAATAATTAATTTGGATTTTGCACGCGTAAAAGCAACATTTAAGCGGCGCCAATCTTGAAGAAGATCGCCGATTTGATTTTGAGAATTAGAGCGCACTAACGATATGATGACACAGTCTTTGTCTTTACCTTGAAATTGATCAGCGGTCAATCTTTCCACTTTTTTGCGATGTTTTAACATTGAGTTTATGAGTCTAAGTTGAGACTTATAAACTGAAATAACACCCAAATTAGATTCGGAAACGCCGCTGGCACAGAAAGCTTCAACTATCATATAAACTAACGTTGCTTCCATTTTGTTCTGAAGTAATTCATCTTTGTTTGTTTCGGCAGAATTTGGTATATTATGAGTATCCAAAAATAAAACTTTACGATTTTCATCTAAGACCCAAGAAAGCCAATCATTTTGTGAAGATAAGTTTTTTGATTTCCAATGATCTATACCATTTTCCAAAGGTATAGGTAAATATTGAAAAGCCGCTTTTTTAGATCCGCATTTAAGACGCCCCTCATAAATGAGACTATTAGATAACACCATTATTTCTTTGCACATTCGATATTGATGCTCAAGGTTTACAACCGATTGCGGGTACTTATCATTCAAATATTTGAACAAACTAATATCAAGACCTCCATCTAGGGCTTCGGAGTTTTTGACAAGAGGCGATAATTGATAATGATCTCCAACAAGAACGAATTTTGTTGCAAGCATCAAAGGTCCTATGCAAACAGGAAGAGTCACTTGTGATGCTTCGTCAATAATGCAGTAGTCAAAGCTACGCTTAGAAAAAACCCAATGTCTGATACCCAAACAAGTAGATGCAACTACCCTCGGGCTCATATAAAGACGTTCAATATCTCCTTTTTCCTTAATATTTCCAGGAACAAATTTTCTAACATCACGATGAACACTAGAAAGTCGACCTATTCTTAAGATATCATATCCGCTATCTTTGATCTTCAGCAAAATATTGTCAACAGCTGAGTTTGTGTAGGAAGCTAATAAAACAGACTTGCCGAGGTTGACTAATGTATCAATAAGAGCTGCAATAGTTGTTGTTTTCCCAGTACCAGGCATTCCCAAAATCAAAGTGCAAGGATCTGATTTAATTACTCGATCAATTGCTTTAAGCTGATCTAAGTTAAAACCTACACGTCCTTCTTTCAACCCTGGTATTGTATATGAGGGAAACATAGGCGTAAAAGAAGGGGCTTCGTTGTGTAAAATGAGTTTTCGTAATTTAGAATCATCATCTTTTTGCAAAACAAGTTCAATAATATTACGCCTGGCAAGTGCTAATGACGAAGTGAATTCGTCTAAATCAATCCTCAGTTTCCGTTTAGAAAAGTTGGTTAATGAACATCCATTGTTAACTGAAAATGGTTGACGATGAGCTGAATTAAAGTCTTTGTTCAATGGTGTATCTGTATCCCATGGACTAATTATTGGTGAGCTAAAATGAATTTGGATTTGAGATGGAGTTCCTCCATAAAATATTCCACGAGTTATAACAGCATTTGTTTCTTCATCAGTAATAAATACTGATTCACCGATACTAATAAAAGACTCGTCAATATTAAATGGTCCATCATGAGATGAGAAACGTTCAAAATTATAAACATATCCACCAGATGAAACTAAATTTTGAAGTTTAACATGAGCAAAGCATCTATAAAATGTCAGAAAAAAAAAAAAAAAAAAAAAAAAAAAAACTTACCTTCCAAGATCTTCACGATCAGAACTAATCATTGTCCACAACTCTTTTGAATGTCCTTCCATTTCTCCTTCTTCTTTAGCCAATAACCTATCCCATTTTAAAAAGAATTCGCGCTCTGGAAGACCAATTGACTTTATTAAGCTTTGATAAGACTCTTCAAACAAATCTCCAAAATCCTTGGCTGTTTGATTTTCTACAACATTGTTGTACAAAACACAAGAGTTGAAATATTCACAATTGGAACAATAGGTATCCTTATGATCTGTAGGTTCAGGTAAAGATTGTAATTTGTTTTTCATAGAAGTTGCTAGTTTGTTTCTCGCAATTATAACGTCACGAAGTTCATTGGAAATACAAGGTACTTGGTAAGTTTCCGCAGTTTCTGTGTAGATCAATATACCCCGAACTTCTCCCGAAAAAAAATTGTATTTTTCATCAATAAGAAGATTGTAAAGAGAAATTTGGGCGAAGTGGCTGGCATCCATACGACGACCTGTTTTAATTTCTATTGGGACAAATCGTTCAATAGGTAATGAGTTTGGTTTAAAATCAAAACTGTTTTTATTTGTAAAAGCAGTTGTAATATTTGCCACTGCATCTATGGTACCCTTGATCCCATAAGTAGGTGCCATTATGCTTTCCTCAACATCTATTACTTGACGAATAGCCAATTTTTCAAAATTATTATCCCCATGGACATGCGTCTTAGAATTTGGATTCAAAGAGTCTTTCATATATTTGAGCCCCCATTGTAAAATAACAGGAATCTTTTCTTTCATATAATTTACAGCTGCTTCTTTATTAATATCACAAAGAAAAAGACTCTCTAGATGTGAATCAACTATCTCATCAACTTTTTTAAAGGTGTAGCTCTCTTCAAAAGAATTATCTATCATGCAAGACTGAATAAGTTGATGGATCATATTGCCGTAAACCATTGGTGGTGATGGTTTTCCATCGGGAAGTCTAACTCTACTTTGTAGTACTACCTTTCTAATACATGAAAAAGACTGGGCCACAGCTGTTGCAATAACAAGTACATCGGGACAAGCAATGAAGATATTGTTTTCTCGATCCACAATTATTTCCCTTTCAAATTTATCAAGATTGTTGATATAAGTTTTATTGTTGTTAGCGCTGTCTAAGCTATTTGAAATATCAATAGACCCAGTATTTTTGGGGCTATAAGTATTGCACTGATTGTAACGATGTCTAGGTTTTATAATAACATGAACGATGTCATTTACTGAGGGAGGGCATTCAGTCCATTGATCTCTTAAAATGATTTTGGTCCGTTTTTCATATTGATCAATTGCAATTATATCATACTGATGATGGTTAGCAGATGTTGGTGTTTCAGTTATTGAAAATACATAGTATCGAAGAAGATTGGGGTTTTTTAATAAGGACTTTATTGCTGGTGGAGGTTGGGTTGGTACTCTGCCACGAGTTTTAGGTATGTTTCGAATGTCTAAAAAAGAAGACGATAAATATTTTTTATCAAAAGGTGTGTGTTCAATTGATTGAGCAAGTGAGTTAGCAGTATCTCGTTCATCTACTACTGATCGAGTGTTTGATATTGTATTTTCGTTTTTTTTAGCAATGGGCGATGAGTCAAAAAAACCTTGTAATTCCTTCATAGTTTCTTCGTCAAAATCTTTATCAAAATCTTCATCGAAATCTTCATCGAAATCCTTGTCAAAATTTTCCGGCTTACTATTTTCTTTCTGGGTAGAAATAGAATCAATATGTTTCAAGGGATTTGTTTGACGCTCTTCATTAATCATCTGTGGATATTTGCATTCAACAGTAGTAACACTTTGAGAAGGTATGATCTCAGATAATGTTACTGCTTTTACAGGTTTAGAAAGGCTAGTAAAAGCTTCATTAATAAGATCATCATCAATGTCATTATCCCAATCAGAATTGGAATCTAAATTAGAAATCTGTTTATCATTTTTATTGAGCTCAGGGGAAGTCGATGTAATTTTCATTGATAAACTTTGATTTTTAGCAGAATTAGTAGAATCGTCTTCGTTTTTAGCTATAACAAAAATGGGTTTGGTTGAATCACCTTCATTAAAATCATTAAATTCATTAAATTCATTATTAGTGGTTAATGCTAGAATAGATCTTTGGATGGTTCTCTCATCTGTAATTTCTGAGTTTGAATTATTAGAAGGGGCGCTTTTTGTAAAAAAAGTTTGTAGATCCTTTCTAGGAACCTCCATATGCTTTAAATTAAGTGATTCCATTTGTTTTTGTTTGGGTAAATCAACTTTTACTTCAGCTAACGATATTGAATTCACTAAAACGGGCAAATTCGAAGCCATTAAATCCTTAGTTTCTTCATTATTTGTATTAGAATTACTCAATAATAATTTAACATCATTATATTCGGTGTTATTAACAATTTTGTTCGCCAGATTAAGTATTTCAGCATGCGCCCCAGATTTTGGATCATCAATATGTTCAGATGATTTACTGCGCCTTAGCCCAATTCTAGATTTAATAAGAGGTGGGGAAAAATTTTTTATCAAATTATCATTCGTCTTGCAAAATATTGGAGATAGCTCTAAAGATTCGGGGTTTAAAACAGGAATTTGGGAGTGATATGTCTTCATAGAATCAAGCTCGTTAGCATCACTGTTTCGATTTAACCCAATATCTCTTCGCAAATAGTCTGGAGAGCACATTAATGTTTTAGAAAATGCTTCGACTGGTTTAGTCGGTGAGAAAAACTCTGGGGCGTCAGATTTAGATCTTCCAGCCTTTTGAAAGCTAGTTGATGTTCCTTTTAATTTATCTGGATCTGTGACATTTAAACCAAATGAAAATGTTTCTTCATTTAACTTTTTATTGGAATTTATAGGAATGGTATTTTTTTTCAAAGTATTCTGAGGGCAAGTTGCTGGGGGTATACAGTTCAAAAAATTATCATTATCTTTGGCTTCATTTTGAAAGTTAGATCCAATATTTGTATTAGTATTGTTTGACGATAAATGATAATTAAATTTTGCTCTTAATTCTGAGTCGGGATCAAGACGTTTGGAAATATCCAGGCTACCCGTAACAGTAATATTTGTATTTGAAGAAATAGCGCTCTTATTACATTCTAAGGCACAGGGTTCATTTGTTTTTTTATAATCATTTTCAAGAACTATTTTTGGCAATTGACTTTTTTTGTTCATGTCCTGAGTTGATTCGTTTAAATTCTTTAATGTATCTTCAGACGATAAGCGAGTTATACCCCAAGATATCCCAAATAAAGATTTAGATTTTCCTTGTACGTTTGAACCACCTAAAACCAGCTTTCTATCTGGAGAAACATTGAACATCGACTCATTTTCGTTTTCAGAAACGCATTTACCTTCAATTATATTTGAACAGTCATTGCTTTCATGATTCGATATTTTAGCACGCTTTGTTGACCGAACAATATCAATTTCCGAATTTAGAATTGGTCCCTTTCGAAAACGTGAATTATCTTCTAAAAAATAATCGACATTATCATTGTGAACTGCTTCTGACAAGCTTAAACTATCTTTGAGGAAATGCTTTTCTTCTTTATAAGTATCGACAGAATTCAAATTTGTAGCTTTTTGGGATGACAAAACTGTCGACGTTGATCTGTTCGCTAAACTATTTTTAGGTATAGGAGCTTTTATACTGTCACTTTTTTTATTTTTATTTTTACTTTTACTTTTACTTTTCCTGAAGCTACCATCGATATTTTGAAGCAAATTAGTTGATTCGCATCCCAATGACTGTGATGTGTTTACCTTTTTTTTGTGGCTTTTTGACGGCCGTTTTCTCGACCCTTTTGATGATTTTGGAGGCATAAAGTGGTCTCAAATAGTTCCTTCAAATCACAAATCTAACCAACTTTTATGCTTAGCAATAAGTATAATTATTTTCATGTAGATTAATATGATATATATTTCCTCATACCAATTAACCGAATAATAAATTTGATGGCTTGTAAAATTACTGTATAAAAAACTCTTGAATCGCGCAGCAAAGCGAGTTGTAAATAAATTGAATTTTATTGAATTTTATTGAATTTTATTGAAATTTATTGAAATTTATTGAGTTTTATTCATTTATTAAGATATGTGTTAAGTGGGATTAATTCATGATATTTCTGAGTTTCTCAATAAAGCTTTGAACAGATATGGCAATCAAATTTAACTTGATATAGGCGGCATGGTCAAAAAACTTTAATATTAATCAGGTTTAGGGTAAAAATATGAAAGCCACTGCTTAAGTAATTTTAATAAATTATGTATATACATTGTAATGACTATAAGATTGACGTAATTATGTTAGTTGTAAATACGGTGTTAATTGAATTAAATTAAATAATATATTCTAAAAAAATGTTTAGTTTAATGTAATGATTAAATAAACAGCAAATAGGCATGTATACCAGATTTTTAAAAAATTTAGAACTTTACATTTTCAAAAAAAAGTTGTAATGTTATAAATACTTAAATAATTGATAGCTTAAAAAAAAGGATTTCTCTCAAGAAATTCTGATTCTGATTCGGATTCTGAATTTCCTAATGATTCGTTAAGTTTTTTTACACCTTCTGTACGGCATTTTGGGCATGAATTGCGGCCAGTAGTAAGCCACTGATCCACACAAACGCGATGAAATGCATGACCACAGAGTTCGAGTTTACGGCATTCTTCATTTTTCTCAAAATCACTTAAACAAATTAAGCAACGACTTTCAACTTCTTTCATGACTTCTTGATCAAGTCCCTCCTCACCAACTTTAAATAGCCCGCCTGCATTTTTTAACTCTTCTTCTGTAGCCACAGGCGGCTTTACCTGTCCTAAAAGAGCTTCAAAATCCAACAAATCTTCATAAGAGGCATCTTCAGAAAGAATATTTGGTCTTAGTAATACAGGATGGTTTTCTGGATACGTGCCGCCAAAAACGTAAACCATCCAAGACTGTCTAGTTGGAATATTGCTATCAGAAGATGAAGATGAAGATGAAGATGAAGATGAAGATGAAGATGAAGATGAAGATGAAGATGAAGATGTTTCTATATGTGGATTTTCTGTGGCTGTTTCAGTTTCTGTATCGATTGAAATTGTTGGTGTTATTGTTGGTCCTGCCCTTGTTGTAAACCTAGGAGCTGTCTCTTGAGTTGATGTGGATGTAAATGAAGATGTGTAAGAATTTATAGGTTGTGTTTGTGAATCTAAAGGTGAGGAGGACCGAATACTAGTGTCAATTGAATTTCTTTCAAGAAATGAAAATCGTCGGTTATTATTGCCGGAATTAATTTCACCAAGAGAATTTCCAGGACTTCCAGTCAAAGATTCCCTATGACCATCATTTAATATAGAGGGTCTCGGTGTTTCAATTCTTTGATTTTGAGACAAAGAACTAGTTGAATTGCTAGCTGGTTGTGTTGATGTGCTTGAAAATAATTGAGAAGATCGATTATCGTTAGTGGTCCGAACTGAAGCATCTCTTTGAGTAGAATTCCGATGGGTATTCTGGTCAGCCGATCTCACACCAACAATAAGAACCGGAACCATATTAACTCCATTTTCAGTTCGAGGTTCGTTAGGGCTGAATTGAAATATTCTAACGAAATTCATTGCACGTCTTGGATTGGTGTTATGAAGAGTGTTTGAAAGCTCTGTAGCCAGCAAACCACTGCGGAGCTCACTTAAAAAGTTTTCAAAGGATGTATCACTTCTTGAAGAGTTACTTGCTGAGGAATTAAGCGTTTGATTAGATGTGTTCGTCGATATACTACTATTATTTTCCATAGATTCCTCACGATTTAAAACTGAGTTTTCTGATGATCCATTATTTGAACTTTCAGTAGCATCTTCAACATTTGAATTGTTACCTAATGTTGAAAAACTGTTGTTCATACGATGAAGTGAATTGGTTCTTATACCCTGTTCAGACATAAACGAAGAAGCTGTAGCTGTAGCAGCAATCACTAAAAGACGAGCTAAAACAGATACCTGATTCTCAACCGCAATATTACGATTAGTTCTGTTTGATCTATTAGTGGAAGCTAAGTCATTATCATGGTTGTCAGTCGATGTATTTAAATTATTTTCTTGTGAAGAAGTCGATCTTATAGTAGATAAATTTTCAGTTGGCATAGTGGAAGGGAAAAATCTGGAATGTCTTTGTTGAGTTTCCAAAGAAAAAGGGGAAGAAACAAGTTCTGACGACCTACTTTCAGAGGCAGCAATAAGAGTTTCAGCAGCAGTGCGTCGAGTTGCGTTCAATGATTCAAAATTGTTTCCATTATTAGAATTCATAGACTCTATACTACTAGATGTTTGATTTTGATTTGTCAAGGTAGTATTTCTACTGCGAAAAGGGTTTAATCCATGATTAAGTTGTTGAGTAGAAGACAAATTACCATTATTAGAATTTCGATCAATGGTGTTAGCTGTTTGAGAGCTCGACGAAGAACCAGGCCTAGAAAGCGGTCTTCCAAGAAGAAGATCACGAAAACGACTGCCAGCATTAGAAAGTGTGCGGCTTCTCGATGTCGATGTATCAAGAGATGTTGTTAAAGGAGTAGTAGAACTCAGAGAAGATCTATCAACAAGCGAAGAAACTGGAGAATTAGAGGCAGATGAAGAGGTATAAGTAAAATTTTCTATGTTACGAGTCGTCTCAAAATTAGGCAAAATGGAGTTTAGTCCACGGCTTTCTTGTGAACCAACCGCAGAAGTTGATTGAGGATTTTCATCTTTATTTATGTTTCCGGTGTCATTGAGACATTCGGAATTATTGGTTTCTAATTCACTTTTGCTTTGCGATGCATTACTTTGGTATTCCGCATCAATATTATCTGAAGTTTCAGGGCTTGCAGAGTTTCCAGATCCCCCTCCATTAAGCATGGACCTCATATGGGATAAAGTAGATCGTAAGTTAGAAGATTGAAACCGGGAACGTTTTTTAGTTGCTTCATTAGAAGAACTAGAAGAGTCTTCAGAGTTGGTTCTACGTCGCCTTTTTAAGCTCTCAGTTGATGATGATGAAGAGGATGAAACGCTCATAGCTGAATCTATAATAATTGCTTCGGATCTAGCCGGTTCACCTGATAATTGTCTTTCGAAAGAAGGCGTACCAGAAGTATTCGAAATAGGTAAACGAGATCTAATGTTATTAAAAAGAGCCCTTGTCCTAGATTCATGCAAATGTGATGAAATATTTGGTATGATTTCTGTGTCAAGGGTCGAATCAGATAAGACAGTGGTGGCCATGTTACTATTATTGTTAGTCTGAGTAACAGGAAAACCTGTAGATACAGTAGAAGTCAAGGAATAATGCGGATTTAAAGGCATGTCTTGAAAATTTTGTTCCGGGGTTTCAGTTTCTTCTTCGATACCCTGTCTGGAGCTTCTAGAGTTAGGCCTTGGGCCAAGGGGAGTGTTTTGGTGATCACTCATTTCTACAGAATGATGAGCAAGGACTCGTAATGATTATGATATAACGTATCTTACTAGACTACTTATAAATTTAAGAGTCTAAATTAGTTTGAATTAGTTTAAATAATTCAAAAAACTTCAATAAATACTAATGCTTTTATTAAAGTGAAAAGAAGTAACAAAATGAAAAAATGTATAAAAAAATAAATTCGGTTGACTTAAAAGTTATGAGATAAAGAGGGGGGAAAGAGAAAAGAGGCAAAAAGGTGTAAATTTAACAAATAACAAAATAGATGGAATAATGCCATTTCACGTAACTTGTGACAACAAACTATTGCATACATTTTTTGTAGGCATATGATAACATGGCATTTAGGGTATTGGGATTTATTATTAGTTAAATTACAAAAAAATGTCATATAAATTATCTAGTATACTACTTAATAGGCTTATGCTCTATCTTTATGATTATCCGTGAAATTTAAATTAATATACGAAGTTCTTTAATTTAAAGAAAAATAACAAATGCTGATAAAGTATTTCATTTAAAGAAACAAAAGGAATCTGATCAAGATATTTATTGAACCTTCAAAAAAAAAAAACACACAACTCTCAGTTCAACATGTCTATATCAACTACTGCTGCTTCCTTACCACCTACAGAGACTCATCAACAAATTAAATGTCAGTATAAAATCGGAAATATTCTTGGAAAGGGGACTTATTCTGTTGTACGAGAAGCAGTTCATGTAGCATCTGGGCAGTATGTGTTTTTTGAGGTAATATTTTTGTCTACTAACATAAACTAGATGTTACGCTGCAAAGATTATTAGTAAACGTCTTATGAAAGGACGTGAACACATGGTACGGAATGAGGTTATTGTTCTTAAACGTATTTCTCAAGGTCATAAAAACATTCTTACTCTAGTAGATTACTTTGAGACCTCAAATAATCTTTACCTCATCACAGATGTTGCTCGAGGCGATGAGCTTTTTGATAGAATATACAATAAAGGTTCTTTTTATGAATCTGATGCAGTGAAAATTATAAGATCTATTGTTTCTGGCGTCGCTTACCTTCACTCCCATGGTATTGTCCATCGCGATTTAAAGCCAGAAAACCTTTTGTTTCGAACCATGGATGAAGATTCAGATTTACTGATTGCTGATTTTGGACTAAGTAGGATAATCGATGAGGAACAATTTCGAATGCTTACAACGACTTGTGGAACACCTGCATACATGGCGCCCGAAATTTTTAAAAAATCTGGACATGGAAAACAGGTCGATGTTTGGGCTATAGGTGTTATTACTTATTTTCTACTATGTGGCTATACGCCATTTGATAGAGACACAAGTGCCGAAGAAATGCAGGCGATCCTTTCATGTGATTATTCATTTGAGCCGGAAGAGTACTGGACAGAAGTTTCCGATGAAGCTAGAGATTTTATTTCTAAATGTCTTCAAATTGACGTATCAAAACGAATCACTGCCGAAGAATGTCTAAACCATCCTTTTCTAAACACCAAAAGGTTTAACACAAATATATTTGACAATTCGAATTCTTCATTAAACAGCAAAGGAGTTGCTTTTCTAAACGATCCTTGCACTAAAGGCTTCAGTGAGATTGATGAAACATGTCAAGAAAAAGCAGATTTACCATTTGAGCTAACCAAACCTAAGAAAAGAGAGACAGACCTTTTACCCACAGTCAAGTCTAATCTAAATCTACGACGAACGACTACTACACCAACTGGATCCCTTGATATTCCGGCCCCTGACTCGAATTCTATTAGCAGTATTTCGTCAAAACCTCTACCAATAAAGCTAAATGCAGCCCAAACCATGGATGGTGCTTTCAGCCAAAGCCCAGAAGTTATCAATAACTTATTTCAATCTTTAAAGAACCAAAATTGAGATGTCACGGGATGCCCCTAGTGGTTAGGGTTATGTATTCAAGTGGCAATAACCTAAAACAAAGAAGTATCATGATACGATCATCGCAACCATCAGCACAATATTACAAGATATTACCCAAGAGAAACCAAGTCTATCCTAAGATCAAGGGTAAGAGCTAAGCTGATGAAAACAGGAAACTAAACATATATTTAGAGTATTACCTTTATTCAATAACTATTATTTATATCTATTTCTAAGTCTATTTTTAATATGATGGGTATAATTTATGTGATTAATTGATATTTAAATTGGTTCTTTTGTCATTTGTAACATCTTTAACATGCTTTGCGTCTCAAATTTTTGACCTAATATATTTTACTTAAGTAAAGCTTTAAGTTAAATAATATTAATGTATTTTTGCATCATGATGCATTGATCAATGGGTTGTTTGTTTATAATATTTTTAAGGAATAATTCTGAGTAACCCTTGCCCATCATAGTATCTGTGCGGCTTTTATTACATTTTTCTTTTTAATACTATTCTTTCCTGTGATTCAATGTAATACTTATTTATTCATGCAAAACATATCAAGTTTAAATTATATCTTAGATAATCTTAGATAATAATATGTAACTTACTACTTATTACTACTTATTACTACTTATTCCTACTAGTAGTTATAATAAGTGTACTTATTACTATTTAATAGTAGTATTAATAATAACTACTAATACTACCACAAATAAAGAACTTAGTTCTTTATTATATTTATTTTCTATTTTTTAAGTCCCTTTTTTTATTCCTTATATTTTTTTTTTTGTATTGATTTATTTCTTTTACTTTTTGAAAATAGATTTTTAATAAATTTTCTTTTTTTTGTTTTGCTGTGAATTAAAATACTTTTTTTTTCCGACAATTATTTTTAAACCTTTGTACTTTCATACGAAACCTTTGTTAATTTACACATTTTATCATTGTTTTTTTCTCACTACAACTATGGCAGGCACATCTGCTGTTCCCAGACCCCCTCGCACCTCACGAGCATGTGAGGGGTGTAGAAGACGAAAAATCAAGGTATGGCTTGAAAACATTTGACTACCATTAGTTGTATAGATAGCTCTTATTGATACTATCTGGGACATCAACGTATCTGAGCAATGAAACAGAATTATTTTAGTAACTCTTCTTTAGTGTTCCGGAGGGGTCATATGTGATGGATGTGTGAAATTCAAGGAAACCTGCATCTATAGAAAACATTACCGGGCACAGAAGGGCTATCCGATTAAAATGTCAGTATAATACTGCTAAAATAATTGAAACTTGTCATTATTAACGAACAATTTAGAGTCTGTAATCCAATTGATAGAATCAAAAGACGTAGAAGTCTGAATGATGATATTAAGGGGTCACATTTTAAGCCACCTAACTCACAAATTTCTAATCTACCAGAGCAATCTATTCCAATGCAGCAGAAACTTCCTGAACAAACTGCGTTAGATCAGAAATCTGGTGCATATGAGTTTCGATTACCGTCTTCTTCGTCAACATTAATGCAAAAACATGCTACACCCCTCAGTGGCTCTAATTTACCGATTTCTAATCATGCACTTGGTTTACAATCTATGTCAACTACGTCTATTTCTCATAAGCCACCCCAATCTTCTACGGCATCTTCAATAAAAATCACAAACCCAATTGTTTTTACCCCACCCATTATTTCCAATGCAACGCCATCCTCTATTTCCGGTATAAGGAATTCTAATTCTACTCTTGGCTTTCAGTTGCAGCCAACTCATCAACAATCTGATGTTTATAAAGAGTCAAATATACATCACACAAACTATATTGAACAACAAAAATCTCATTCTAGTTCAACATGTTCTCTGTCGCACCCCTCTATTACCTCAACTTTCCCATCCGAGCAGCATGATAGTCCGTTTGTTACATCTTCGTGTTCAAATAACCATATTTCATATAGATCTGATAACAATCCGGTTCAGTTATCAAGCATTAAATCACCACCCTCTAATGGGAAATTACCCCAAATTCAAAATCCATCTCAAACTTCTCTTACTAATACTACATCATTTGCTCAGCAGCCAACCTATTTTCAGCAGCAACATCAACAATATCAAAGTTTAGTGCCAAATCCTTTAATTGCTTTTGATAATATTCAAAAACCTCCCCCACTTCCACTATCAAATAATTCAGCCCCTACTAACTTGACTGCTTCCATTAAAAATTTGACTTATGCAAGTACAAGCCCTTCTATTATTAAAGTTTTTGGATATATAAAACCTGTAATATCTCTTATCATTGAAAAATGTCCTGGTTACTCTGATGCTATCAAACTAAAAGAACTCCTTGACCAATCAGATTCATATATCTCTTTCTTAAGAGCCCAAAAAAAAAACAAAGGCTCTAGAAGAATGAATTCAACTAAAAGTCGGCTCTCAGTTTCTTCTTTTGTTTCGGGTGAAGAAAAAAAGGGATTTTCGGAGTCTTTAGAGGTCTTATATCCGAACTTAGTTACTTACAATTTGGCTCAAGATAGCATCCATCCATCTTTTATTCCTTCCAGTTCAAATGTTACTGAGGAACAAATGCTGCAATGTGTTGGTTGCTACTTTTTGGCTTATCATTCTATATATCCTATTTTTGAACCCAATTATTGGTACAAATTTGCCAAGAAGATTTGGCGAAATATGGAATACGGTGTTGGTAATAGGTGGGGTTTATTGCCTAATCATTCTCAATTAGAAGGGATTGAAGTTGCTATTATTTATATATTAGTTGCTCTTGGTTCGCAGGAATGTTCAAGAAACACAATTTTTTCTGGAATATCGTCTCTAGATTGGGCTAGATGCTATTTTACTAGGGCGATGGATATTATGGGCAACAACCTTGATGAATTTCCTTCTAGTGTTCGACTAGCCCAGTTTTCTGTTGTTGCTTCATTATTTGAGTCTATATCTTTACACGAAAAAAAGGCGGCGTTGTTAGTTTCCTTTTCATTAAAAACATGTGAACGCCTTAATCTTCGAGTCTCAGGAACGGCTTTGAATGAGTTAGAAAAGCGTAAGGCCGATCCAGATTATGATTTGAAAACTCCGATGAATCCGGCCTTAAAATACCCGCCAAATATTGATCTATTTGATGGTCATAGAGTTTTCATTGTTTGTTATTTATGGGCACGCTTAATTGGCGGGTTGCAAGAAAATTTTATGCCGCATAATTTTGTTAACTTTTCAGGCTCTCCAGACCTCAATAACTCTGCATTTGAAAGCATAGGATTCAATAATGTTGAAGCTCTTAGAAAAAGAGTAGATATTCAAGACCTTTTGAACCAAGTCATTGATTACGCTACATCCATGTATTTTGTCGAAGATCCGATAAATTCTGTGGGAAAAATTGAACAGACAATAAAGGAAGTATTTTCTTTGGCCGATCCTAATATTGATGGTGATGCAATGGATATTGATTTAAATCAATATAACTTATCTATTCATTTCAACTTTGCGAGCGGCCATGGTGGCCTAAGTCCCACTAGTGCAGCTCGTTTGGTTGAATCAAGCTCATCAGCAGTATCTAAAGAGGATATGAAATATTCAGTTCAATTGTTTACCAATGAACAGCTTGCACAAAAAACAAAGCGTTGGTTTCGCACCCATTTCGTCGCGCTTTATAAATTCACTCGTATGCTTTTATATCGTCCCTTCCCTATTGCTAGCTTGCTGTTTCAGGATGAAAAATACGCGTCTGTTATTAGTCCTGTTCTGCTTGATTTTTTTAGTTCTGGATCTATGAACCTTTTTAATATCATTTCTGAGGTTTATACTGAAATGATATACCCAAAAATTCGCCGTCACCGAGAAAGAAAAAACTTAATATCTCCTTTAAACAGAGAAAACTGTTTTCCTATAGATAAGAAGGATGAAACAGAAGAGGAGGATTTTGGAATGTTTGATATATGCATTTCAAACATTGCTTCTGAGTTATCAGTTGCAATTTTTTTGTTTTTTGGACTTAGTAAGCCATCTAAACGATCTCAAAACTCTAACGAAAACATTAAAAAGACCAGTGAGTCTGAAAAAATTCGAGAAAGCGCTATTAAGTCATTTGTTGGATGCATTGAATTTATGATTTCTGAGCAAGAGGAAATTGATCTTCATAATATGAAGGCTAATGATGTTTGTAGCACTTATGGAATTTCCCAGGATACTTCTCAAATATCGCCACCACTTCTTTCTTCACGTCAAATAACTACATCTTCTCTTTCTACATCATTGAACAAGACGTTTTCTTCGACTTCAATATCTTCTGCTACATCATCATCTACTGCCCTTGGACATGGGGAGGTAAATCTGATTCCTTCACCACTGACGGAACTTATGTATTTGCTTTCAAAAATGATCCAGAATAGTACATTTTTAGATCTTCTTGCAAGTGAAATGTCTGATTTTGATTATTTGAAAATTGCGAAATGGTTACTTTCGAAACAACCTTCCCCAGCTCCACCAACCCCTAAATCCTCATTACATTCACCTACACATGCTACAGTTTCTGGTGTTGATATTTCTTTAAAAACTTTAAATCCTTACCCCGAAATTAAGCAAGATTCTATTACTACAAGTGGTACTTTTTCTGAATCGCGAAATTTATCGCAGCAATTAGCTTCTCATCCAATAGCTGCATATTCTGTTAACCCATCGATTATCTGTGGAAATTTAGGCTCTGTTGTGTCAAAATCCAGCGAAATAAGCTCAAACAATAGTTCATCTATTAGTAGTCTTCTTAGCAACTATCCTTCTGAAAATTCTGGCTTTTCTGCACAGCAATCTGTTTCACCCGAGTTGCCTCAAACAGATGATCTTAACGAGGAGTCCAAATCTCTAAGAAGCTCAATATCATCATTGCTTTCTGCAAAATCTCGAAAAGAGAAGAAGAGACAAAAGGATAAAGCTAAAGGAACATATACTGAAAATGAATTGAAGCGGGAAAAAAACTATGGAAATTTTGACAACTTCAATAAACCCGATTCTTTTTCTTCAAAATCTATTGAAGGGGGATCAAATCAGTCTCGTTTCTCCATAACAAATCTTATCCATAAAGACATTCCGATTTCAATGACTTCTGTTTCTACGGTTTCTCATGTGAACGAAGCACTTGATCACTCAAATAATCAGACTAGATTTGCTAAATCCACTGCATTCCCAACAAGCGAAAGAGAAGGTATCACTCCACAATTGTCAACAGATTCTTCATCCAGTGGTCACTTTTCGAATGGAAGTAGTAGTGGAACAGATTCTTATTTCAACAATTCTGGAGGTAAACACCAAAAGCGATCTAAATTTTATGGAAATCCTAACTCCTCTGATCACTCTGATTTATCTACACCGAAAACTGATCAAGAACAAAGAGACAAGTCGGAAAACGATGACGAACAAAGTGGTTTTATTGTTCATAAAGAAGAAGATGAAGACGATTTTCGTTTGTTATGGAAAAAAATTGTTCAACTTTTTGTATGAGATGCTTTTGATTTAATTTTTGTATTTTATTTATCACTATTTGAGGCAAACTGATTTAATTCAAATGAGACTATACATGCTTATATAGAAATATATTCTTCTAAATATTTATTTTTTTTCTATAAAATCACCCCGAAACTCGTTGACGCTTATCTCCATTCTGATTTTGTTCAGAAGCGGATAGAGAGGAGCTACGGGTATTACCCTCTTTAAAAATTTTAGATATATTTTCTGGATTGCTGGGATTTACATTTACACTATTGATTGATCCTCCACTACTCGGTGTTATTTGATCTACAGGTCGTTTATGTCCATTGATGTGCGTGTTGTGATTTTTTGTACCACCATTACTTTCAGATTGATTTTGACAATAGGAAGTATTGGGGTTATTGAAAGCAGGTTTGCTATAAGGGGAATTTTTAGGCTTACCAAAGGGACGTTGATTGGTACGAGGGCTGCCAAATGATTTTAATGGTGACCCAGATAAGATTTGATCTTGAGGTATAGCTGTATGGGAATTTGTCATGTTTGATGATTTGTTTATCTGAACATTTGGTATTTGAGGGCTGCCAGTATTTCCTCTGGAGTTCAAGTTCTGTAAGTTTTTTGCAGTTCCAGTGTGATTTCTAAATTTATTGCTATTGTCTTTAACAATATTTGCCACTTCGCTTCGAAGAATAGGGACTGATTTATTGTGTGGAAGAGTTCGGCGCATATTCGGAGATATATATGAGGGATCAAAATGGGAATCAGTTGGAACTTCAGAATTTTCTTGGATAAGGGTGGCCACTGAGGCTTTAAAAAACCCTACAAAGTCTCCTGAGTTAGGAGTCTCTGGTTGTTGCTGATCTTGATTGTTTTTATTTAAATAATCTCCCATATGCATATATGAATTGTTTGTAGACTGCGATGGTGTTTTCAGTTCTAAAGGCGTTGGCGTAGATGATTTTGACGAAGAATTACATGACTTTGCTGAAAGTTGTTGAGCAGAAGTATTTTGAAAAGTCTGTGATGTATTTAGCTCTTCTTTGCTCAAATTTTTGGTCTGTTTGTGCTCGGAAATTTCATCCGCAGCAAAAATTTCAACATCAGAAAAATCATCATCCCAACCATTAAAATCGCCATCATCAATGAGAGCATATATAGAATCGGGACCCAGTACAGGCCTGTCATCCATAGTAGTGGCGGTAACAGTAGCGGATCTAGGTTCTAAGCGACTTCCAGCATCTTCTTGTTTGATTAAACGTTTTTTTTGAACCTTATCCTCGGCGTATTGTTGGACTTGAATTTCATTAGTTTTATTAACATTAACAGAGGAAGATCGTGATAAATTTTGCGAAAATGAATTCGGTCTGTTTTCTTTAGATGAAATAGAAGACGGAAGATTAGTTGTTTTATTTGGTGGCGCTAACGGTCCTTGCGTAACTGGTCCATGAGGTCCTAAAGAAGAAGAACGAAAATCATAATCTCGAACAAGATTTTCTTTGTTGATAATGTTAGGCTTTGAGCTGATTTTTCTTAATTGTTTACAATACACGTTATCGTATAAACAATTTCCTAAAGAGTTTCCATATTTTCGTAATGCACGTTTCATTCCATCAGTAGTGGCCTCTTTTTTAGTTTTATAAAATGCCATAGATTTTGTTCTAGCATTGTCAATATGACCAAAGCCAACATCCTCATGAAACGTTCCATCTCGTAAATGTATCCGAACTGTTGCTGTTACGCCCATAGATATTCTTTTGTCTTTTTCATCACAAAAATCAACATTTATATTTCGAATTTCTGAAGACCATCCGTTGAAACCAAATATATCATTGGCGAGATTTATTAACTTCCAGCCTTCAATGTAGGCAACTTGGCTACCACCAGGAGCGGGACGATAAGAAACAAACTCTGGGCCTAAACACTGAGTTAATCGTCCTTGAATTAGCGTGGCCTCTTCATATGGCCATTCTTTAGCGAAGTTGTTGTCTAAACTGCTTCCGGAATTTAAAAAAGAATTGTTGTAGAATTTTTGAGATTCACCTTTAGAATCTGAATGGTGATCTCCAGGGTTCGGCATGTTTGAAGTTTTTAGATGATAGATATTGGAAAATACAGCAGGGTTGTCTTTAAATTAGGTATCCAAAACGATTACGTAATAACTTCAAGTAATTGACCGATTAAACAGCAAATATGAAATTTTTTTATCAAATATTTAGAAATTAGTAAAATATAAGAGAACAGTTTTGGAAATGATGGAAATAAAAATCCAGTTGTATTGGAATTAACCTTTGCAAAGTTAGAAGAGGGGGCAGTTCTGATCTGACGCGACTACTAACCCATTTAAAATACTATTGTTAATATTTGATTGGTCGGTAACAATGCGAAAAAACCACGAAATTAATAAATTATGCAATTATGTGATAATGTAATTATGTAATAATGTTTCATGTCAAAAAAAAGTGGCAAATATACCCAAAATTATGCTACTTACATTTAGGATCCATAGAAATATTTAGCAATTAACAATTAACAATTAACAATTAACAATTAACAATTAACAATTAACAATTAACAATTAACAATTAACAATTAACAATTAACAATTAACATCTCAAAACAACAGTCTATTATATAATCCTATTACTGTAGATAAAAACCAAAGCTTGAGTTATCACTCCATAATTATGAATGTATCCCCTTGCTATTCCTTAATACAAGTTACCGTATTTTTGTGCTATTGTATCTGTTACAGAAAGTAACTATTAATTACTTAAAGCAATAACTGGATACCACGATTCTACAACCCTAACGGTAAGTCAAACACCGGATGGTTAGGGTTTCCCGTACCTAATCCCGCATATGTTTGAAGGACTAAAAGATCAGTTACTAATTGGCCCGATTGTTTTTATGAAAAAGAGTTCCTTAAAATTATAAGCAACTTATTAAAGTACTTAGAGTATTTTGTGACATTTGATATATAATTTTTTCACTACCAGTTGTTTTTTTATTTTCAATATTATTCATTTAGATAAAAATTTATTTAGAATACGTTAATAATGACACTTTTAAACGATTCTACAATCTCTGACGATGAAAATCCCTTTGAATCAAGGGGAATTTCTAATGACTTTAACGTACCTGATGATCTGGCGAGCACACCGCAGCCTCCCCCAGAGCTTCGAAATGAACAAACAAAAGAAAGATATGAATTTCTTCGTCAAAATGCTCATAAAGCAAGGGTTTTTTATGAAGCAGACAAAACCTTCGACCAAGAAGATAGAGTCACCTTACTTAAAGCGTTCCGAACACAAATGTATTCTCAGTACATTGGCTCATTTGCTGGGTTGGCGTTTGGTATTTCTCTTCCTAAGTTTGTTTGCAAAGCAATGGGTAAACCCTATAAGCCTTCATACTCTACACTTACAGCTCTTGTAACTGTAGTCGCCGGCTACTCAATTGCCGAACGTATGGCTTACAGCTATAATATTAACAAATTCCAGGGAAATAGAAAATATACACAGATTTTTGAATCTGTTAATGGATTTCCTCCCGTTCTTGGTTATTCATATTACCAAGAGACTGTAAGAAGACCTGATTCTTCTTTTCCTGATCCTTCAAAGTTTGATTGGAACAGATACCCGTCATTTCCATTAGTTTTAACCAGTTACAATTGGTATCGAAAAGATATTAAAGGGATCAATGAATCAGCCGTTGCCGCACCCTATCGACGGCCTGGAGCCACATCTAACGTTCCACATACGAAATATGAGAGTGATAGAACTGGCGATTCGACGAAGGTAAATCCTTCGGGCTTTGATTTATCGTCAGACTCTCAAGTTGATGAGGCTAATAAGGCCCCTTCTGCTTGGGATAGAATTAGAGCACAAAATGCTGGAAAACCATTTGAGTGGGAGCCTCAACATCAACAGCATGTTCCTCATTCAGAATCTCAATCTTCAGCCAATTTTAATCCTTCTGATCCAGCAGATTCTGGCAACAATGATGTCAACAACGAGCAGGAATTCTTCAATGACCCTTATGTTGACAAAGAAACAAATGAGGGGTTAAAATGAAATTTGTCAAAAGTATTACAATACTCATAAGTAAATTTAACCATGATTTTTAATAAATAGTATGTTGTGTTATTTATACAGTTAAGAATAAAATGTTAATGCTATGCAAATACAATTATTAAATTTATTGTTTTAATTTCATGTTTTTATCATTACCAAACCCTAGAAAAAAAAAAACTATACTTCAAAATTCAACTTGTATTTTATTAAAATTTGGATAATAGGTTAATCAAAAAAAGTATATTCATCCTTTTCAATAACTCCTTGTTGCCTTAAATCATCAATGAGATTTTTAGCATCTTTTTTTTCTTTATCGGTAAACTTAAATTTAGCATCAGACAAGATCTCAAGAAAACTAAGGGTTCTTTCACGAATTGTAGGGTGAGCTTCCTTGTTTAAATTTTTATCTATCAGAGTAGGTAGTATGTTTGCTTCTTTGAAATGCTGATGTTGCTTGTAAACAGGCTCTATCGTTATTAAAACTCTTAGAAGACTGAATGCACGTATTCTAACTTTTTCATTCGTTTCAGCTTGAATCAAAATTTTAGTGACTGCCTTCCAACCATCTTCTAACAAAAAAACATCATATGCTTCTTCGTTGTGACCAATCTCGCTGGCTAGTGCATAAATAGCCTTAACAGCAACTTCAACATCCTTCCCATTGGTATTGTCACCAGACGCTAAGCTTAAAAGTTTTGGCAGAGCCTCTAAAGGGCGAGAATCCAAACAATTCTTTTGAGATTTAGGGTTATTCTGAACTGCAGTTCCAATAACCCAACATGCCATCTTTTGAAAATCTTTGTCTGGGTGATCTAAAAGACCAATAAGACTTTGCCAAAGTTTAAGAGGTTCCAGATTATTAGCATTGTCTAAACTTTCAACAAGCATTTCAAGATCATCAAACGCAACCATCCGATCATCTTTTGAAATACTTTTGTCCAAAACTTTTTGCATTGATTCCTTCATCAGTTGTGCTTCATCTTTTCCTCCGAATAGTTGATTAAGAAGTTCTGGATCAGGTTGCTTAGTATCTTTGCTACCATCGTTTGAAGCAGCTTCTAAAGACCATTTTAGTAACTTTTCCATTGTGGTTAATTATTAAGCTTAAATTTAATTAGCTATGTGTTGATGTTTGAATTCGATCTTTTGTGAATTTAATATGGCTTAGAGGTATTTTTGTGGATTAATGCTAACATATATATATTTTTTGACTTACTTCAAGCAATCTTGAATATGAAAATTCTGGGGGGTTCGAGAAAAAAAAAATAAATATTAGTAACAAATTACATAAACAAAAAAAATAAATGTTGAAAAACTCCAATATTTATTAAACTCATAACATTTTTATCAATATTGATAATATAATATTAATATTATTACAATAATTATTTAACCATACTGAACTATTTTAATTAAGCGCGCTTGAACTGTGCTAGCACAGTTCTTTAATTATTTAAATATATTCACGTAATAGTAGTACCCCTATTATGTAATATTCTATTCTTATAATATATTCACAAGTTTTATAAGAAAAGCTAGTTTAAATATTTTTGTGGGAGGTTAGATCGTGAACACCAGTGTAAATGTACTCAAGCAAAAAGTCTAAATTTAAGCCCACTTCTTTCAGCTGCATTGCTTGATCTTTTGTTGCCTCAATACATATTCTGTATATGTCGGAGTCAGAAGAGACCCCGTAAAGCTGGCGAGCAAAAAACACTATATAGAGTTCAACTTCATTTTTAGCCCATTCAACTAACATACTGGACGCTTCACTAGAAGGAAAACAACTGTGGTAAATTTCAGCTGTTGTACGAATCATCCTAAAATGAATAGTCACAACTTGAGAAATAAATGCTGGAATATCCCCTTGAAAAGACACAGATTTTATTCTTTTTAAAATAATCTGCCTTCTGCTCTTCAAAAATGTTTTTTTTGCGGGTTCACCTTGGTTAAGCTTTATTAATAACAATATCTGAGTTTTTGTTTCACCCGAACTTAAGTAATCTTGAGAAATATTACTCAAAAGAATTTCAGAGACTTCTTTCGAACGCTGTTCTAATTTTAGTTTCAAAATGTGGGCTCTCAATGTTTTTATATCAATAGATGGAGGGGTTTGATTTCCAGGAAACGTAGATGATATTGATGGTCGTTGGGAAGAGCTTTTGGCATTTATACTTTCTCCAACCAGAGATGCAGTAGCTGTTGCCTGAGCAGCAGACATGGCAGGTGAAGAAACTTCAAGAATATTTTCAATTTCTTGTAGATTAGTATCTATTATTGTAACAGCTTCGTTAAACATTCTGTGTGCAATTTTAACGTCAAGATCGTTTATGAGTGTATCAATGTCTCTTAGAACGCGAGTTTTTTCAGCAATGTCCATTGATACACTTCTTTTATGGCCCCTTTTATCAGAGTCGGAAGATGTAACTGTTTGACTGTATAATGAATCCCGTTTTCTAGATTTCTGTGATTCAGATGACATATTGTTACCAGTTTTATTGATATTATTCCCCTTCCGCAAATCTTTCTCTATTTTCATATAAGAGCTTAGAAATCGTTCTGCAACATTAGGATCATTGTGTTTGTAAACATAAACAGATCCATCTTTTTGTACAGCAAAACCACTAGGCGGAGAGTTTGGAGTTTGTTCAATGAACCTCAGGTCTTTGATTTGAATTTCAGACAGTGACCAACACTGATCAGCAATAAGAGATTGAGATTGCTGAACCGAAAGCATGTCCCCATTCCTAGTCCTTTTTTTTACTGCAATCAAAAGGTAGTCATTTAGCAGATAAACTTTAACAGGTTGCCAAGGTTTCCATGTTGCAGCATTTAGTTGATCCCATCCTATACTCTCCTCAACAACGTGTCTTCCAGCAATTGGAGGCAAATATTTTTGAGCGCCTTCAACTGTTCTTAATAGCCCACTCAGATCTTGTGCCCACATTGATTCTAAAACTAATACACTATTCCGATTATTTTGTTTTGCCGTGGTAGCTAAGCTCGCAACACGAGGATTCATGGGATTTAAAATATTAGTTGTAGAGCCGTTTGACAATGAAGAGAGACTTCCCTTTCCATTTCCGATGCTACTTCTGTTCAAAGAATCTGAGTTACTCAATGCCATCGTAGTTTCGGCATCCTGTTTCATAGCAGTAGTTGCAACATGTACATCGTTTATAAGCTTACGTAAGACTTGAAGCTCAGAGCTCAATACAGATATCTGGGAACCGACAGCGAGAAAGGTTTTGTAATTTCCGTAAACCATATTTTTTCGATCGATTGCTACTTGATCTTGTAAGCGAATAAGTTTTTCTGTAAATTCAGAAATCTCGACATCAGTTGCACTTGCAAGCTGAGCTGAAATAAAAGACTTTGGATTGAAGTTCGGATTTCGAAGCGCCACTATTTGACTGTCTAACTGATGTGCACCTGAGAAATTTAAATCTTGATAGTGATCAGGGCCAGATTCAACTGTTATCTGTCCTGATACAGAACCCTCTAAAGAAGATTTCTGAGTTCCATAAGTTGTTGCTGATGATTTAATATGTACAGGCTCATTTAAGGTTGAGGAAACTGCTTGGCTCGAGTTTGATGCTTTTCTTTGAGATTTAAACCCGGGTATTGGAGAAACCTCTTTAAGTCCTAAACCAGTAGAAAATTGGCCATATTTACCTTGAGGAACTTGAGGAATATCCCCTAGTTGTAAATTATCAAATGTATGAATATCATTATTTTCTAAAGGTAAAGGAGGTACTTGTCCCTGCTGAATATAATTAGTGGGGAAACGCGTGGACAGCCTACTTCTAACGAGATTTCCAATCTAGCAAAAACATATGTAAGTATAAGTATTAAGACAAGCAAAAAATATATTTTTGAAACAGACCTTTTCTTTATCTTTTTGTTGGACTGAAGGAAGTTCAGAAGAGTTAGGGCCTAATAGAACATCGTAATTGGAATTTTTAGATTTGGTAGCGAGCTGCTGCAACCCATTTTGAGGAGGCAAAAGTGTTTGCCTATGCCTTCGCAACGATTGTTGAGGTGTATCAGACATCTTAAGCAAATAAGCAAACAAATAGATGGCTAGAAAAAGTTACCTGGAGGTTTTGAAGAGGTTGTCGAAAAGTCTTCGAAATAGGGAATGTAAGACTAACAAAATTGAGTGAATTTGGCATTGATTCGGAATAGAACAAATGAAACTAACATAAGGGTTTATATTCCAGGGTGTTTTTTTAAATAACCCTAACCCTAACCCAGCATTAATTTTTTTTAACCAATGCCATTTGGTAACTTATGTTTTTATGATCATAAATCGATATTTGAACATTTTTTTACTCACCACAGTTCTTTTTCACACTAATAAAAAATGTCAGTTACAAGTGATGAGCTAAACTACTTGATATGGAGATATTTACAGGAATCTGGTCACGAGTTATCCACATTTGCACTTCAGCGTGAAACCAAAGCTCATCTTTTAGATGCTCAATATTCTAAGCATATTTCTATAGGGGCTCTTGTTAGCATTGTTCAGAAGGGTATTCAGTATATGGAAGTAGAGGCTTCAATCAGAGATAATGGGGAGCAAACTTCTGAGGATAAGCCTTTTACGCTTTTTGGAGCTTTACATGCTGATGACCAAGAACCTAAAGCTTGTGAAATTAACAAATCTTTAATGACTGATAATGATTTAAAAACAAATGGGTCAGTACATACAACCAAGGATCAAAATAGATATTTCCCGTCTGGCATAGAGAGCTTTGAAAAAGAACTTCAGAACACCACGAAAAACTCTGAGATTTTGACAAACACTCATATATTATGTGAGGACATGATGGATATTGATGAAGCAGATGAAATCAAATCTTCAGATAAGGCAGAAGCGACAGTAAACCATTCAAACATAAATTCCGACCCAAATAACCAAGAACAAGAACTAAAATCAAATTTGCAAGATGCCAAAATTCAAGTTCAATCAATAACTCTTCCAAATACAATTTGTGACTTGTGCTCTATATACCATACAGGTCCTTCAGAAGCTGCCCAATGGTCCCCTACATCACCCTCGTCTTTAATTATAGCTCAATCTGATTCATCTGCCACTATTTTCACTTTTCCCAGCTTTTATAGCGATAAAAATCCCGATTCGTCTTCCTTAATTGAGCCTTCACATATTTTAAAATTAACACACTCAGTTACTGATTTCGTTAATGAGAAAGAAGTAACTGCAGTATCTTGGAATTCAACTGGGACTCTATGTGCTACAGCTACTTTTGATGGTCAAATGCGCCTATGGACTTCTAGTGGAAAGTTGCGACATAATCTAATATTACACCGTGCACCGGTACTTGTTATTAAATGGAACGAATCAAATACATTACTGTTATCTGTTGATTGTACAAATACCGTAGTGGTCTGGGATGCATATAGTGGTGATGTTCGTCAGACTTTTCAACACAATATCAACACCTCACCTACTATTTACACTCAAACACACATTTCTTATTCAAAAGATTTAACTAATGGGGGAAATTATTCATCTCAAGAGCCTGCGCAATCTCAATCTCAATCTCAATCTCTAACACAACAACCACAACCACAACCACCACATCAAGAACAAAAACAAAAACAACAACTACAACAAGATCAAGATCAAGATCAATATCAAGAACAAGAAAAACAACAAGAACAACAAGAACAACAAGAACAACAAGAACAACAAGAACAACAAGAACAACAAGAACAACAAGAACAACAAGAACAACAAGAACAACAAGAACAACAAGAACAACAAGAACAACAAGAACAACAAGAACAACAAGAACAACAAGAACAACAAGAACAACAAGAACAACCACAACAATCACAACAATCACAACAATCACAACAATCACAACAATCACAACAGTCTCCACAACAATCACAACAGTCTCCACAACAATCACAACAGTCTCCACAACAATCACAACAATCACAACAGTCTCCACAACAATCACAACAGTCTCCACAACAGTCTCCACAACAGTCTCCACAAAAATCGCCACAACAGTCTCCACAAAAATCGCCACAAAAATCACCACAAAAATCGCCACAACAATCCCCACCTCAGTCTCCATCACAGCCTCCACCACATTTTCCACCACAGTCTCCACCACAGTCTCCACAAAACTCTCCACAACAACAACAACAACAACAACAACAACAACAACAACAACAACAACAACAGCAATCGCAATCGCAATCAAACCAGCTCCAAATAACTAATAATGTATCAATTGGAACTGATGCCGATTGGATAGATCCTTTAACTTACGCAACAACAGGTGAAAATGCTACTATTATTATCTACAAAATTAGTGAACGTGGTCCTCTTCTTAAATTTAGAGGACACACTCAAGGAATAAATAGTCTTCAATTTGATTCTAAAACTCAACTTTTGGCATCCGGATCTGACGATCATACCATTAAAATTTGGAGTGGAAAATCTTCAAATTCTATAATAACTTTGAGCGGCCATCTTAGTTCGGTTATTGTTGTTAGATGGCTTACTCCAACAGGCGTTGTTTCAACTTTAGATCCAAATGCTTTTGGAGGTGCACGACTAGCATCTGCGTCATTAGATGGAACGATTCGTATATGGGATCCTAGTAAAGGTGTTTGTTTAGCAGTTTTATCACTCCACGAGGGTCCGATTTTTGCTTGTGAAGTAAGTTCAAACGGAAAACTTATTGCTTCTGGTGGCTTAGATGGTGTTTTAATTATATGGGATGTATCTACTATTACAGAGATAGAGCAGTCTGCAATCCTAGCTTCTCAGGAGCCTCAAAAGAAGCTTAGCGATTTTTCTGGAGCAATTCATGCTGTTGCTCGATATGAATTAGGGATTGTTAATAAAATGCCTATTTCTGTGGATTCGGATAATGTTGAAGAAACAATTAAGCTATTAACTGAAAATTTCCCGATAATAACTCAAGAAGGTCAGAAAAATTCACCGATTCTTTCTGATTCCATACCCCCTATTTATACGGAAGGCACCGACCATGGCCAAGAACAAAATCTGGAACAAGAGAAAGATCAACAAGATACAACATTAAATTCTATCCTGTTGCCTTTATCAGCACCAAATAAAATTAATGAAGAGGAGGAAAAACCGGAGGAACAATATGCGGATCCAAATTCTCTAACCCAAGATCATATAAATTCAATTTCATGGAGTTGCGACTCAAAAAATATCTGTGTTTGTTATGGTGAACGATCAGTCATAGTTGATACAAGTCAGATAATAAAATAGGTAAACACTTCTTAATTGTTATAAAAAAATATTTAAAACATATATATGTAAATATTTAGGTTTTAAAAGAATTGAAAAAAATAAAATACAAGAATTACATTAAGGTACGTACCTTAGTAGTATACTAAGCTTATAAACTAGTTTAAATATCATGTGTAAGGGATTTCTTTTCCTTAAGTTCCTCAAGCTTCTTAATGATATCTTCAAGCTGATAAGGAATACCTCTTTGTTGCTTGCTAGTGTCGTCACGGTTGCGAACATTAACAGATTGACTCTTCTCTTCCTCGTCACCAACAATGAAAATAAAATTATATTGTTGTAGCTGACCAGTACGAACCTTCTTTTGAAGAGTGTTGGGACCAAGATCAGTATCAGCAAAAAAGCCAGCATCCCATAAAGTGTCACGAACCTTTTGAGCATAGTCGTTAAACTTGACACCAACAGGAATGACAAGAACTTGACGTGGAGAAAGCCAGAAAGGCCATTTTCCAAAGAAATGTTCGGTCAAAATGCCGATCATCCTCTCAAAGGATCCATAAATCGCACGATGAATCATCACAGGATTAACGTATCTTCCATCAACATCAGTTTCCTTGGAGTCAGTACCATCTGCAGCTCGGTATTCCAGTTCAAATCGTCGAGGTAGTTGAAAATCAAGTTGAATGGTAGCACACTGGTGCCAACGCTTAAGAGCATCAGAAATCATGATGTCGATCTTAGGGCCATAGAAAGCACCATCACCAGGATTAATCTCCCATTTTCTACCAAAAGAATTAAGAGCATTGGTAAGCTTGGCTTCAGCATCGTTCCAAGTTTCGATATCACCGACATATTTTTCGGGGCGAGTAGAAAGCTCCATCTTGAATTCAAAACCAAATATACCATATACTTTTTGAAGGAAATCAAAAACACCAATAATTTCAGTCTCAATCTGATCTTGTCTGCAAAAGATATGGGCATCATCCTGCTGGAATCTTCTAACACGAGTCAAGCCCGAGAGAGCACCAGAAAATTCATTTCGATGAATGACACCAAAATCAGCAACTCTCCAAGGAAGCTCTCTATAGCTTCGTTCTCTAGCCTTAAACATAAGACAATGTCCAGGACAGTTCATGGGCTTAAGGCCAAATGTATCCTTTTCAACTTCCATGGTGAACATGTTTTCCTTATAGTTTTCCCAATGACCAGAAGTCATCCAAAGTTTGGAGTTATACATGTTTGGAGTAATGACTTCTTCATAACCTCTAACACGGTATTCATCTCTAAGAAAAGCATTTAAGGTGTTATAAATACGAGCACCATGAGGCAGCCAAAAGCATGAACCAGGACTCATTTCATGAAACATAAAAAGTTCTTGTTCTTTACCAATTTTTCGGTGATCACGTTTAGCAGCCTCTTCAAGGAACTTAAGGTGAGCGTCCATAAGCTTCTTATCTGGAAAAGAAACACCATAAATTCTTTGGAGAGAATCGTTTTCCGCATCACCTAAGAAATATGAAGCAGAGTTCTTAAGAAGCTTAAAGGATTTGATACGACCCGTATGAGGAACATGAGGGCCTCTGCACAAATCGATAAGAGGTCCGCATCGGTAAACAGTAGTAGATGTACCGTCGGGAACCTTAGAAGCAATGAGGGCCTGCTTGTACTTATTATAAGAAAACATCTTAAGGAGATCTTCTTTTGAAACAACAAGGCGCTCAAATTTTTGCTTTTCTTTAATTGCAGATTTGGCCCAAGTTTCAATAGAAGGGAATTCAGAAGAAGCAACAGCTCTTTTACCCTCCTCAATGCTCATGTCATAAAAGAAACCATCATCAGTTGGAGGGCCAAAACACAGATGAGCGCCGTAAAAGTTTTCACATGCTTCTCCCAAAACATGAGCAGAAGAATGCCAAAAGACTTTTTTAGCCTCATCGTTATCAAAATCAAGAAGCTCCAAAGTAGCATCGCCTTCAAAAGGACGTTCAAGATCCCAAAGTTCACCATTAACCTTAGAAATAAAAACACGATCCAATAGAGATTTACTGATGTCTTTAGCAATCTGAAAAGGAGTAGTTTCCCAAGAAGTTCCATCAATGAGTTTGCCATCATTAAGTGTAATTTTAATGGGAACTTTTTCTTTAGCAGCAAGAGCTTCATCAGACTTTTTCTTTAGTTCTTCAAAAAACTTAAGTCTCTCATCAAGAAATTGGGCCTTGGGAGTTTTGTCATTATTGCCTTTCTATATGTACCATACAGGGATGTCAATTAAATGTACTATACAACTTTTAACATTTTAACGTACGATTTGGGTTTTCTCAACCTTTTTGGCCAGATCAGCAACAACAGGTTCGTGAGTTGGAGGACACATTTTTTTTTGCTGGAAGAAAAAAATAAATGGCTTTCAAAGATATTATGTTAAAAATTGAAAATCCCAATTTTCAAAAACAGGAGCTTGTAAAAAGGAAAAAAAAAAAAAAAAAAAAAAAAAAAGAGGTTAAAATTTAGGTGAGTGACTCTTTTCAAAGGGGAAACGATCCAACTTGGCTTGTTACAACACACATTTGGCCCTTGATTCAAAACAAACCTTGTATAAATCACAAAATTATTATTACATAACAATGAGTAATACATTACCTAAGTAACATTAATTTATTTAACTGTTAATTTTTAAGGCATTTCCAATTTTTTCTTTTTTTTTTTTTTAGTTTTAAAATTGTCGGTTTACTTTTCTGTAAAAAATCGGTTTAATCACATTTAGTAACATGACTTCAAGTGTTGAGAATACTGATAGTACTGTGCATGGAGCTTTTTCTAAAGATTCTGAAATCATTTTTGTCGAACCCTATGATGACATGTAAGTAATGAAATATTTTTTTTTATAAATTTCAAATTAACATGGGTTTAGAAATAACGTTGATTCATTTGAAAGACCCTCTATATTTGACAAGTCAGATTCTGAAGATCTTAAGATCACTACTTTATCACCAAAAAAAATTGAAAGTGGTCAGATATCTAGCGCATTTAACCGTTATTATACACGCTATGAAAGTGATAGTGATGATATAAATGAACTTAAAGATCGAAAACAAGATAACGAAACAAACTTGAAAGAAAGTACGGATCAATTAATTTTAAATTTTGATGATTCCAATGAAGAAAAAAAAGAGACTACTCAACAAACAGCACCTACTTTTGATGAAGTGAAGGATGATGCAGATGAAGGAGCATTGGTAGCTTCGGTATGTTCAAAAATTAAATACTAAAAAAACTAAAATTTTTAACACAATTAAGAGAGGAGAAGGCCGCTATTTTGGATTTGATACTGATTCGTCTCCTATAATTTGTAAAAAATGTGGAGGCAAGGGTCATATTGCTGCCAAATGTGATGTTATTTTAGTGAGTAATAATATATTAATACCATTTAAAGGTTTCTAACTTTAAATAGTGTGAAAATTGTGGGGCCAAAAATGAGCACAGTTCAAGGGATTGCCCAAAGACTAAAAGATGTTCACGATGTGGCCAGCTTGGTCATATTAGAAAAGATTGTACTGGAAAGGCTATTTCAATTTTTTGCAAAAAATGTAATTCAAGAATCCATACCACAGAACATTGCCCGTCGATTTGGAGATCTTATATTATAAATAAGAAAGCAAAGGTCCAATACCCTAAACTAATTTGTTGTTACAACTGTGGTAGTTGTGGCCATTATGGTGATAATTGTGTTGAACCTCGTCGAGTGGAACTGAGATTCTGCGAAGATTCTGCTTTTAATGGGATTTTGTTACCTTTTCAATTCAAAGAGAAATATAACCGTGAAATATCCAGATTAAAAAGGGATCGCGAGGTTGCTAGAAATAGAGCTCTTGATGATTCTATATCACGAAAAGACCGCAGAGCAATGAATCGTGAGCGAGAAAAAAGTTTAAAGAGAGTCAACAGTGGCAATAGTTTAAATAACAATTACCGGGAAAGCAGAGGGTTTAGAAATGATAGATATGGAGGAAGAAATGGAAATGATTCAAGAGATTTTGACAGAAGAGATAGTTATAAAGATAACAGATATAGGCGTGACGATGATTTTTATGGATTCAAACGTTATAATAGAAATTAACCAAATGATACCAATATTTCTCATGATTTCTATTTTATTTTATTTGTTTATGCTAACTTTTTTGTTTACAGGGGCATATAAAACTAAACCAAGAATAAACATAATTTAATATCGTGCAGTTACAAATATAATGCACGATATCAATTTCCATTATAGAAAAAAATATTAAGACAATAGAAACAATTGGTATATATACCTCATTTCTTTCATAAAAATTAAGAAAAAATTGTTACCCAAAAATTTTAATATCACAGGAATGCGTCAAGTAATATTACTGTTAACATTTATTTTTTCAGTTAAAGCTATTCCACTTTTACAAAGTGGTTCAAACATTGGACCACCGTTTTCTCAAGGCTTTTTAAATATTTCCTCAACCTTAATAAATTTAAGTTCAGTAGAATCTTATTTTGGATCAATTTCAAAGATTTCTGAAAAGATTTCTGAGTCTCACCCATTGGTTTCTTTTTTGGGAGGAGATACTATATCCGGAATTGCTACTGCTGATGGTGTAGAGTCATTCAAAGGAATACCTTTTGCCGAGCCCCCTATAGACGATCTCAGATTTCGGCATCCAAAACCTTATAATAAAAGTTTAGATGGATTTCAAGCTCATAACTTTAGTAAGAGTTGCGTCAATATTACTCCCTTTGGATTTTTTAGTCTTTCACGAAAAAACGTGGATAATTCAAACCCTCATTTTAAAAAAATTGTCGAAAAAACAATTTTTAAGAAATACGAGATGAGTGAAGATTGTTTAAAACTGAATATATACCGACCAGCTGGCACGATGCCTTTTGCAAAGCTACCAGTGATGGTTTGGTTTCATGGCGGCGCATTTCAGTTTGGCAGTTCTAATTTTTATCCCGGAAATAAGTTTATAGTAGACAGCATTAAAATGAGACAACCAATTATATTTGTGACATTTAATTATCGTGTTGGTCCTTGGGGGTTTTTAGGAGGTAAAGCAGTCAATGAAGAAGGCTCTTCTAATGCTGGGCTGTATGACCAGAGGCTTGCATTAAAATGGGTATCAGATCATGTTACGGCTTTTGGTGGTGATAATAACAAAATCACATTAATTGGCGAATCAGCAGGTGCAATAAGTATTGCTCATCATATGGTATCACATGAAGGTGATATTTCCTATAAAGGAAAATATTTATTTCATGCAGCTATTCTTCAAAGTGGAGGACCATGGAGTTTTGATTCAGTAACTTCTTCTAAACCCGAGATATTGTTCCAAAAGTTTTCCCGTCATTGTGGCTGTTTTTCCTATTCATCTAAAAAAACACTGAAATGCTTGCGAACTAAAACAGTTGAAGACTTGCAAAACGCACAAAGACTTGATCATGATTTAAAAAACGTTTTTATTGCTGACTCTTCGGATTCTCTTTTTGGCTGGAGTCCTCGTTTTGATGAAAATTTGATTACTGATAATCCTGCAAAGTTAATCCAACAAAGCAAGTTTGCTAAAGTCCCTTATATTATTGGTACACAGGAAGATGAAGGAACAGCTCTTACTTTTTTGTTTGATCTTAAGTCTACAACTCAAGTTAATTCTTATATGACTAAACTTTTTACTAATACCAGCGAGGAAGATATTGATAAGATAATTAAGATGTACCCTGAAAAACTAACCCCTAGTACCAGATATGGAAATATAAATCGATACTTTAGAATTTGGAAACAAATTAATGAGCTATTTCCTGGTTATTTGCGGTTTTCCGAAATGATAGGCGATTTTATTTTTCATGTTCCTCGAAGAATTCTTTTAGAAAATACTCCTGAAAGCACTTTAAAATATTCTTTTCAATCAAAATATCTTCATAAAATCATGCCAATTTTAGGTACAGCTCATTCCAGCGAACTTTTTTGGCAATTTCATAGGGACTCTTATCCAGCTCCAGTTTATCGCCGATACTTTATATCTTTTGCTAATCATTTTGATCCCAATATTAACACTGGACTTTTACATTGGGATCAATATACTTCAAAGAATAAAGAAACGTTGGTCATTAATATGAGAAAGCCAACTATGGGAAGAGATGAATTTGATAGAGATAATAACTTAAACTACCTTGTTAATCACCCGGAGTTAATAATGGTTTAATACATGAAAAAATAGATAACTAAATCTAGTTTATTTATTTATTTTAAAAATAGGGGTTCGTTACGCTCACATCTAGATAGGCGTAAACTACATAGTTTTCTATTAATTTTGGAGGGTTTACCCTAATGTACAGTATGTATGATTCAAAAAAAGAGAAAAAAAGAACCGGGTTACGGATAAGGATACGATTACATAAAGTGAATATGGAAGTTTAGTCAGAAGAGATCAGGATTCGTTCTGAAATGTAATATAGAGACAAGTTATACCACTGCTACTATAATTTGCAATTAAGTATTTACCTGTGCTACTGCTATTCGTAAGTGCAATATTCGAATGATGTTTGCATTGGTATTGACATTTTTTTTTAAAAAATGGTAGCTCGCTACGCTCACATCTAGGCTCTGTTTCCATGATTTTTTTTTGGGGTTACCCTAAAAAATGTGCAGTTTATACAGGTTGAAAAGAAGTGAAAAAAACGAATGGGGAAAAGATTAGTCATCTTTCAGTCAGAAAGTAATATATATATATTTTTTTTTTGTGAAATGTAATATAGGGATATAGAGATATCCAAATACAACTGTTATGATAATTATCAATTTAATCCTTTGTACTCATAAAATTTGGTTATTGAGCCCTTCCATATACTCCAGTTTAACCCATACTTTTTCTGAAGGCAAGTTGAAAAATTGGTTGGGTGGGTTTGGGACTAACAATATATCTCCTTTTCAGTACACCAATAAGACATCATAGTTATAACTATTTAAAAAAATATTAGTGTTAATAATAATGCTATTTTTTTAACACTTGAACAAAAAGAAAGAAAGAAAGAAAGAAACAAACAAACAAACAAACTAACAATTAGAAGAGCGGGGTTCTAACATCCGTTTCATTGATGTCAACCTTTTAAAGTTTATTTTGTAACTATTATTTATTTTGTTAGCAATTACTTTCGCATATCAAAAATTATAAATTTTCAGGATAGCTTAAAAAATATTATAATATAATAATAAAGAAGGAAGATTATTTACCTTCTGAGTTTTTTCCATTTTTTAATAACCAAATATTTTTCCATCTTATATTGATTAAAACAATTTTTATTTCTAAAATATAACATAATAAGTTTAGCTAAAGAAAAAAAAATGTCTAACACGCTCCCTACTCTTCGCTGGGGAATTATTGGAGCTGGTTCAATTTCTGGAAAATTTGTTGGTGATTTGGAAATTGATCGTTCTAGCTATGCTAAAGCTAACCATCAAATTGTAGCCGTCGGCTCTTCAAGTGTTGAAAAAGCGGAACAGTTCATTTTCAAAAATCTTAGAAAGAATAGCCCAAAAGCCTATGGATCTTATTCAGAGCTTTTCAAAGATCCCAACGTTGACATCGTTTACATCGGGACACCACATCCTTTTCATAAGCAACCCGCCTTAGATGCTATCAATGCAGGCAAACATGTTCTTTGTGAAAAACCTATGACTCTTAATTATAAAGATGCAAAAGATTTGATTGATGCAGCTACTAAAAAAAAGGTTTTTCTAATGGAAGCTGTATGGACAAGATTTTTTCCTATTGTTGAAACATTTAAAGACCTTGTTCATAATAAAAAGATTGTTGGTGATATTCATAGGGCATTTATTGATTTTGCTATTAAGGATTTTGATGAGCTTCCTTCTAATCACAGACTCAAGGATATTAACCTTGGTGGTGGTGCTTTACTCGATATCGGTATATATTCTATTACTTGGGCTCGTCTTGGTCTTGACCCTAATGTGGGAAAAAAAGCACTGAAATTAAATGTCGTATCAAGTAGTGTTATGGATGCGGGAGTCGATGCCATTAGTTCTGCCATAATTACATATCCTGAAATTAAAGCACAGGCAATATTGTCCTCATCTTTTTGGGGAAATACTTCCAGAGAGATTATTCGACTTGAAGGAAAGCTTGGCAAAATCACTGTTTTTGGAAAATATGCCAGTTGCCCTACTAAAATTAAAATCACATTTGATGATTCTGAAAAAGAGGATATTACAATTGAACCTCCAAAAGATGGTTTTGGATATCATTATGAAGCAGACGCAGTGGCTTTAGATATTGCTAATGGTAAGTTGGAAGATGATATTATGCCTTTGGATGAAACTCTTCTCATTTTCAAAATCATGGATAAGATTAGAGAACAATGTGGATTAGTTTATCCTCAAGAAAAGTAAACAAATTACATAATTGAACATTAGTTTCATATTTCAAATTTCATATTTCATATTTCATATTTTAAATTTCATATTTCAAATTTCATATTTCAAATTTCATATTTCATATTTCATATTAAAAGTATAAAAAATTAAACAACAGAAAGAAACTCATCTACAGTTTTCACATCTCCCTTTAATAATAACAGCCTTAAAAACATTGTAAATTGATTCATCATTTCATCAAATTGGCGACCATATTTAGAGATCTTATTCTCCAATTCAAACGGTGTTATCATTATAACATTACGAGCAGCATTAACAGGTGACATATTAAGCGATGACTTTTCTTCGTAACTGCATTTAATTTTATCCATCTCAACACGAAAATGCTCGCAATCTTCAATAATTTCACGTTTCGACCTGGAATAGTCAAAATTCATTAACTTCATGAACAACATATACTTAGGCGTCGCTTCTAGTTCATCAAAAGGAACCCCATCGTTATCATGATTGACAAATTCCTTAATAGCTTCCATCCAATTCATAATTAAATATTTGCGTTCATTTGTAAGAGGTTGATAGGTGTTTTTTCTATCGTAAATTTCAGGTACCACCAATGTAATAAGAGATTCAACAAAAATATGCCAACATTCCATTAACAGCGACCTGAAAGCATACTCACTTAAGTTTCTAAGAAAGATCAAAAGATTTTGATCTAAGTATTCAAATAGAGGGGTGAGCAACAATTCATATTTGTTTTTTTGTTCTGAGTTCGTTTGAAAAGTATTCTGCTTATCAGTCCACTTTGAAAGATAATCAGAAACTGTATCATTCAATTTTACAGTGAAACCAAAAAAATTATCAATGGTAGTTGTCGAAATATAATACTTGATCGCTTTTGAAAATTTTGAAATAACAAGAGAAAATATCATTTCGTTGGCATTGTAAAGATGCTTAACGCATAGGTTGTATTGGTAAATAATGCTGTCAGAATTTTCAATGTTTAGTTCAATTTGAAGAAGTAATTTTCCATTTTCATTAAGATCATACCAACATTCAACTGGTGGTTTATTGAATAATAGTTTTGGGTCCAGATTAAGAGTAAATGATCCTCCACATATTTGGTCCATCATTATTTTATTTTCATCCCATACAACAAATTCCAGCTTCATATTTTCATATTCATTATGTTGATGAACCTCAAAAGTTTCATTCCAAACCGGTGTCAATGTTTTGTAAATTGTTTTTGTTTGAAAAATGGTATCTCCGCTCTTTCTGATGATAACATAAGGATCAGAAAGTCCATTTCTATCAACAGCTGGAAGGTCTTTAGCTTTAATAATTTTAATTTTAAAAGTAGCTAGTTTAGGCATATTGAAAAATGCAAAAGAATCAGAATCTTCTAAAAGTACTTGATTAATAGATTGATAGTCAATATCCAGTTGCTGAAACTGATAAAGAGCCCATTGAATATTATTCATTTTAATACATGTAGAATTTTGAAATGAATAAGGCTGGAAAATTTCTTCTTGAAGAGAAATGTTGCTAATTAGTTGCGATATCTTGTCTTGATAGCTTGAACTTTTTTGAGCCGGAGGTTCAGAATTAGACTCTTTTAAATCTTCTCGAACAGAAGAAATGAGGAAATCAGAATAGTTAATAAGGACTTCTGTTACAGTGTTAACAAAAATCAGATATATTTCGGCATTTGTGAAAGATGGATTCCAGATGTGATTTTCAATAAGAGTTAGTCTCAAGTTAAACAATTTGAAAGCATCATATAAGTTTTTGGTTATTTTCAAACTGTCATTCAAGTCATCATAGTTTTCAGTTATAAGAGATTTTAAAATTTTAGTTTTCAAATCAGTATTTATTTCTGAAGAAATTTTATTAATCAAGTTTTGAGATAGGGATTGAGAAAACTTTTCGAAAATAAGACTAGCTGAAAATAAGGGTTGAGTAGTTGACAAAGATTTTTGAGCTTTTTCATAGCAGTTAACAATGAAAGAAAATGAATCCAAAACTTCACGAATATCTTCCGATGTGAAAGGGATATTGGTTTCAAGTTCAATGTCTAATGGTATTTTTGGGGTAATATCATTAATAAGCCGAAAAAATGGTAAAAGATAAAGAAAAACAGTCATATCTCGAATATTAAACCCAACCAACGTTTCTTTAAGTTTGTATCGAAGGCTTTTTGTTGTATCTTGAACTGTTAAACATAGGCTTTTTAAATCCATCAATTGAAAATCAGATTGAGAATAAAATTGAGCCCGTTGCTCATCAAATTTCGACCCAACAAGGAAATCAATTTGCTCCTTAAATGCACTTTCACAGTTATCGGAAAATTCAAGCTCTTCGTATCCTTCAAATGAAGAAAATGGTTGAATGTAATCTTGAATGCTTTTACTGAGTTTTGAAAAAACAGTGATTGTTGTATCATAATTAACTATAGACAAATCTTCAATAGCCAGATTGGTCATATCATCCAAAATTTTGGACATAACTTGATAAGAAATGTCCTTTTCAAAATCATGCCATAAATTTGAACTTTCTTGAGTCCCCTCAAGATAAAGAGAAATAACATATGGAAAAATTTTATCAAGAAAAATTCTGTTAGAATAAAGCTCCCCTTTAAGCCTTTCACCTTCGCTCAAGAGAATGACACCTATAGTTACAGGTGATATTCTCCAAAAAATCTCCACAAAACTTAAAATTGTTTTCGCATTTCCCGAAAACTGAAAACTAGCATCGTTATCGGGATGTTTTTCTTTAAATAAATTGTATTCATATTCAATTAAATATAAGGCAATTTTTTTAAAGCTTTCAATAGGCTTCAATGGAATAAAAATATAGGATGAGAGTTCGTCAATAGAAGTTTGTGGTTCATCATTGAGATATGGTGCCTTTTCTTTTAAACTCTTTATATCGTTAGATATGTTGATATTTTCTTGTTTAATCCACTGTTTCTTTACATCTTCAGAAGAAAAATTTCCAAGAGAATAGACCGGATGAGTACCAAGCTGAAGATCATATTCACATTTTCTTAAATCATTAAGAGCTGCTGTATCAGTGGCAAGAGACACAAGTGATTTAGAAAGTAGGGGAATAACCTCCTGGGAAATGTCAAACAGTTCAATGATATATTTAAATATAGAATCGTTTTGAAAATCGACTGTATAATCATTATTCCGTTCAATTTTTTTTGTTGTATATTGTTTAATATGTTGACTTGTTGAAGAATTAGAGTGGGCTTGTAAAGTCTGAGTAGGTGATATTATTGATAAATTGCTTTTCGATGAAGATCCTATGTCATCAGTAGGGGGATTTGAAGAATACCAGTGAGTGCCATATCGTTTTTTTCTACTTTCAGAGATTGGTTTAACAATAGTTTTCTTGGGCTCTAATCGTGTATTTTTTTCAAGAGATTCAGAATAGTTTTTTAAATCTTTAATTAAAGCCGACTTTTTACTAAAAATTAAACCACGACTGCTTTTTTCAATGTAAAAAATAAGATAATTCACAAACTCATTTGTATGACGACTGATTTCATCAGAAATATTCTGATAAGAATTATTCCCCTGTGTTAGAAGAACTTCGTTAGCACAATGTATAAATAGTGTGATAATACCTTCGAGTCGTTTTTCCTTATCTAATTGTTTAATTTTTTCAGGTGTAAGATCATTGATAAATTTCTCTATCATATTTCGGGTCAAAGGGTCCGAAAAAATTTTAGTTGTTGTATAATCTCTTACAACTTTAATCTTTAAATTTTCAGTGAATTTAGAAAAAAGTATTCCCGAATCTGAACCGTCAGTTTTTACAAAAATGGATTTAAAATCAATTGACTTGTGAGATTTTGTGCTATGCTCAGAGGAAACGGAACTTTGTCTGCTATGTCGATGAAAAGAATGAGTTGAGGAAGTGGACGCCCTGCGATTACTAATGGAGGATGAAGATTGAGGGACGTTTAAAAAAGTTTGAGATGAAGGAATTTGTGGGGGTGTTGTGTTAACTGTAATAGTTTTAAGATTTTCAAGTTTACGTCGAACAATTGCTGATTTAATAAGGTAAATTCCAATATCAGATTCAGAATCAGAATCAGAATCAGAATCAACTGGTAATAATACCGATGTTGATGATTGGGAAATAGGAAGAGGGGGAGAAGGAGGGTTCTTGAATGAGTGTGAAGATGACTTTAACACTGGTAGGGGAGGTGGTGGTTCGGAAGGCTGAGGAATCTTTTGGCTGTTTAAGAGTAGGTTTTCCACAACTGACAGAGCAGGTGGCGCAGGTGGAGGGAGTGATGGTTCTGGCAAAAAATATTGCTGGTTCTGTTCATGTGTGAATGGTAAGCACTGTTGAGAGTTTTCATCTTTATGATTTATTTGATAATTTGTAGTGAAATTAGATACTTGTGGAATACTTATGTAGGGATGTTCCTGATAAAGAGATTTAGAGTGATTGGGATCAATTTCTTGCGGATTTAAAATTTCCTTAGGGTAATAATTTTTGTTGTTAACTTCATTATTTAAATCACTTCTTTGGTTGTATGGTATATAAATGTTAGAATTTTGTTGATCATAGTTCAAGGGATTATGGAAATATTGGTTTTGGGGCTCATAATGTTGCTCAAAGTTGTATTGTGAGTGGTTAGAAATGTTTTGATCTTGGAATTGATTGGCTAAAACTTGTTCTTCAATATAATTAGAATGTTGTTGAGAATTGTCATGAAAGTTATGTAAATTTTGATTAGAGGTGCTTTGACCCTCGTATTGAGGGAAAGACCTTTGATCTTCAGTAAAATAGGGAGTTTGCTGAGAACCAAAACCGTATTCGGGATTCATGATCAAATGGTTTTTATAATATATCTGTAGAGTTGATATTATATTTTAAAAGGGAGGGGTAAATGCTAGAGAAGAAATAAACAGACTTTGATAATTATCTTAACCTATTACCTTATATATATGCATGCAAATCAAAAACTAACAATAATTTATTAAACCTTTTAAGCGGCTAAATTTATCAATGCTTGTTTTATCGCACAGCCCCCAAAATATGCCAATATTTAATATAAATTTGGCTATACTGATATCCACATTGTAAATTTTATATATTTAAGTATCTATGGAGGTTATTTAAAAATATTTAGAAAAAAAATTCCCTTAAATGCCAAAAATTTTAACTAATTTAATTAAGAATATAAGAGTGGCATCAACAAGGACTCGCAGGCACCTAACAAATCCCAATAGGGATTATTTCCTCCTTAACGCTTTTACAAGAAATGATTCAAACCTTCCTGCAGCACTTCGAGGAGCCGGCGAGGCAGTTACTACAGTGGAAGTTGAGGATATTGAAAATAATTTTTTGACAGTTGAACTACTCAGCTATAATTTGCCTACATTTTCAGTTCAAATAACCTTCTCTCATAAAAAATAATGTCCATCAGCCTGATAGCTTTAAATTCAATATATTGTATATACAATATATTGAATTTTAAATAAGTATTAGATCTGCTACAACAACCCCAATTACTTTTTTCTATTTAATAGTCAACATTATGTACATAATATGGCCTATTCTAGGTAGGGGTATATTTAAACGTGTTAATTATAATTATTATAATTATGAAATAGAGTAATCACTTCATAATAACTAACTATATATAATATATAGTTATAAGCTCTTAGAGCATTAAACTAAGTTTAAAAGAGCCCCTTCATTTCTTAAGAAAATTTAAAAAATCAGATTTAAATATGATAAATTTATACGACATTTAAGTGGGCTCTTATCCTTTATTAATAATATTATATTATAGTATAGTATTAGTTAATAATTAATGTACTGCTAAATAACAACTCATAATCATCGTGTGTTCATTGTGCCATTTATATTTCTTTCGGTTGCGAAAGTACGAGACATACTGGAGATTTGTTGTAATCTTCGAGCAACAAATTCACATTCGCCCCGTAGTCTTAATATCCTCAAAATGATATTTTCTGTGCTAGTTGACTGACTCTCAGCTTCGGCAAAACGTGCTTGAGCTTCTTGCAATGCCCTTCGATTTCTGTGTGCCATTACTGTATTGCGACGAATAATTTCAGGGCCTAACCGCTTAGATCTGAGGTTTTGATAACTTTGAGATGATCTTTTTTCACACTCACTTTTCAAATCAGCCGTGCTCCAATCGTAAAAATTAGTTGCTGCAGCTAAAAACTCTTGTCTTTTTCTAGTTTTTAAAAGCTCAATAGGAATTCCATTACCGTTCCCATCATGATTGAAAAACTTTAGAAGATCATTGCTCCATAATAAAAGATTGTACTTTTCAGTTTGACTAAGAGCAGTTTGCGATGTTTTTTTATCAGAAAGAGAAGGCAAAAGTAGAAGCTCTAATGTCTCCAAAATAATCTCCCATGTTTGGATAATAACTTTTGTTTTTAATGTGGGTGTTAGATTAATAGCGAGAATTTCAAAGTTTTTATTAAGAAACTCATAAAGAGGAGCCAGTGCATTAGACACAACTTCATCATCATTTGTAGGCTTCGGTTTGGGTTTGCCTTTGAAAATGCTAGTAACAGAGTCAATTTTAAACCGGGGATTTGATAAACCACGAAGCCTTTCTAGAGAAAGAATATATTTAATGAATGACTGAAATTTGTCGACAATTTCACGGATCATATCAGTTTCAGCTCTCATAAGTTTTCTGTAACTTTTTCCAAAATAAAATCTGATGTCATCTCGTTCACTTTCCATTGATATACTAAGTAAAATCTGCCCCTGAGGTTTAAGATTAACCCAAATTTCTTGTGGTTCGAAATCTCTAAATCCAGAAGGATCGAGACTAATTGACGCTCTTCCGCAAAGACTATGATCGGTTATTGCGTTTTCATCCCATACAGTTAAAATCAAATCTTTCCTATGCGAGGTCGTAAATTCAAAAGTCTCATTCCAAACAGGGTTCAAATCTTCGTAAATGGTACGAGTTTTGGCAATTTGCTTTTGGTCCATGATAAGCGTCACATATGGATCACTTAATCCGTTGGTATCACAAGCCTTAAGTCCGGTTGCCTCAGAGATTTTAATAGAAAAAAAAAAGTTTCTGGAAGCTGGTTCTTGACGATTGAATCTAGCTAATAACGCTGCTTGTCGTTCAGAATCAACTGCCGCTTCAATTCCATCAAGTTCTTTGATAGACCGTTCAATGTCGTTTAATTTAATACAAGTTTCTTGTTTAAAATCAAAAGGTTTTACTTCCACCGTGCCATTAACTGCATTTCGTGCCTTAGCAAACCATTGTTCTTGTCGTGTCTTATAATGCTGTTTGACTAGTGCGTCGTCTTCAGTGATCAAATCTTTTTGAAAACTAGTGAATATTAGTTCAGTATATAAAACAATTCCAGCCGAAACGCCCTATTTTTTTAAGATATTGTTAAAAATGTCGAAAAAAGAAATAAGTAAATTAAATACTCACTTTAATTATTCGAGTGTAAAATCTAGCAAGCTGGATGTCGTTATTCCATCTAATGTCAGTGACAAATTTAACTGCACCATTAAAAGAAGAAAACACGTCTAAAACCGATGAGCTGGTTAAAGTTCCGTTTGCGGCATCTAGTGGCTCAAAATTGTCTTTATCAAAATTCAGCTTGACCCATTGTACCAAAACATCTGCAGAAGATTGAACGTGTTGAAAAACATAAGGCTCAAATTTTGACTCAATATCAAATGGAAATGGGGTATTATTTATAAGTTGTTGATATAAATATCGAATTTCTACCATTTTAATATATAAGCTCATCAAGTCCTGAAAAGCGAGATTTTGATTATCAGTTTCTTGAAGCTTAAAAATGTGTGATATCATAGGCTTCGCATCTTCAAGAAAAAAATTGAGCGTTATGGTAGTAGCAAGTCTTGATATATTAACATTTCCAAAAAGGGGAGTTTTGTAACGTTTTTGAAGAAGTTTAGCCCCAGAAATTATGACATCAGCCACTTGAGTCAAATGATAATAAGCAAAACTCTGATCTCTAGGGACCTTGTCAATTTCTTCAATGTATTTTATTTCAGCTATTGCTTGGACTTGATTCTCAGCCTTTTGAATCTGTTCGGGTGTAATCTCTATGGGTGGATAACCATCAAAATCAGAATTTGGAGTAATGAAGTTATCAATAAATTGAAGAAGAAAGTTGATTTCAGGTTTGGGTGTATCATAAATAAAGCTTAACTTTTCTATTAGAATTTCAACAATTTTGTTTTGTAATTGTTGCATGGTAAAATAAGAAAAATCTTTGTCATATTTTGTCCAGTCGCTCATGAGGGAAGACTCCATTTTTTCAGTCAAAGGAAATGCTTCATTGCAAAGATTATCCAATGTAAAAAAGTTATTTTCGTAATTCATGCAAGAAACAAAAAGAATTATTCGAGCACGAGTTGTTTGTGAGATTCTCCAAAAAGCTGCCGCTTTAGTAAGCAAGTCTTGAGATTCCATAGATAAAATCAATGTATTCTTAGTAATATATCGATCACGTTTAAAACACAAGTCGACTAAAAGCCTGTAATATGAACGTGGATCAGAAGGAGTAAGTTTGTAAGATATCTGGTTTCCATTTTGATCGGGATGAGAAGGAGGAATTCTGGAAAGAGATGGTTGCTTAGTTATAAATTTATCCAACATTTGATCAAGAGCTTGAAGTTCGTTAGTTTTCCAAGATTCATAGGCACTGATAGAATCGAAGTCAGAACGTTGATATGTAAAAGATGGATTATTTTTGAAAAGGTTATCTTTAGCGCCTCTGATTTCTGCAACAGCTGTCTCCAGCGTTGCTTCAGCCTTTAATGTGTGAATTGAATTAATAAGATCGGTTTCTTGTTTTCCAAATAAAGACATAAGAATGGGAGCTACAGATATATCTTTTATATCAAAAGAAGGGGCGGGAAATATAGGGACATCATTAATATTATTAGGTCCATTAGAATCAGAACCAATTCCGTTGTTAGTAGGTCCATTAGGGCGAAGTGTTGTGTTTCGTGAAAGAGAAACTTTATATCTTTCCAATAGAGAAATAAGACTACCATGAGATGAACTATACCCATTTGAATTTAATATTTGAACCAAAAGTTGACAAAATAAGCCAATGTAGTGATCGCCGTTGTTGGGTACATGAGTACCGGAATCAACTGTTTTTTTCAATTCTTTCTGTGATACACTGATGAATTTCATAAGGAGATCTTCTACTCTTCGAGATTTAGTGATTTCGCGCTTAGTTTCGTCATTAAATGAAGCGTAAAAAGAGAGAAAGATTCTTCGAGCAACTTCGTCATTCGCATATTCTCGTTTATTAAAAGCGATCTCTTTAAGTTTTGAATCCAAAAGTTCGCAAATATTTCTGGGAAGTGTGACTTTGGAATTAGAAAGCTCCGTTAAAGTTGAAATTCCACTTAAGTTTGTAGAGCTAGAAGCCCTTCGTGTATGGCCTCGAGAAGTTGATGATATTTCGGACTGTGATTGGGAAATAGGTCTCCAAAATCTTGGCTCTGTGCGATAGTTGAGAATTGCAAGCTTAACAATAAATGGGTAAAGCTCGCTAATTTTGATATTTAAATTAACAAATTGTTCCGGTGTAAAAGTCTTTGCTGAAGACACAGCACGCCTCGGAATCGTTCGGCGTGAAACAGACATTTTTTTCTTAAGAAATTCCTTAGTTATAAAAACATCTAATATATAACCTTGAAATTTGTTTGACGGATTAATAAAAAGATTGAGTCCGAAACTAATCAATCAGCCACAAAAGTGCCTTAAACTGCTTAACCCCAAACTTTTTTAAACTAAAATACTTCTAATATATTTCAGTAAAATAGATTTTAAAATTCAAAATTTTCTTTTGATTTAAAAAAAATAAAATTCTAGATCTTGAAGAAATGAATAGTTGCAAGAAATGTTTTGTTTGAAAAGACTGGAACGGTAATGCGACTGTACAGTTGTGAAAGAATGTTTCGTCTAATCAAAATAAAGATTATGTAACTTTGCAATAAAATTACATAATCTTTGGTTTCATAACACACAACACAAACTGTTTCACACATTTCTAGAAAATTTCAACTTGCGCCTGAAACAAACTATAGCTCATTAAGGTATTTAAGGATTTTAATGTCAAAGAATTTAAACTAATTTGATTATTGATTAATTGTAATTAATAAACACGTTGATTATTTATATAATAAACTGCTTATTAGAAACTTATGTCATGCTGACAAAACCGTTACTTTTTTTAGAAGCCATTGATTATTAACCTATGGAGTTTCTCAGTCGTTGGTGATCATACAATTTTTTTTTATTTTTTTATGTTAAATCACATGACTGATACGCACCACGTCAGATACGTGTAGCAACCTTGACAAAAACGCTAGTTCTGTCAACGGTCAAAGTCAAAATTATATTCCTCCTTTCCTCAATATCTTAACCATGCGAAGCTAAATTCATAAGGTACCTTTTTTTATTTTCTAAAAATATTTTTACATTAATGTCAATAAAAAAAAAGACTTTAGTCCCTATGAGGCGCATGTCAAAACGCATTGCTCAGCGAAGCTCTCAAAATGTTGAATCTTTGAAAAACAATGAAAACTTAGGAGATGGATTTTCAGGTATGTCAAACTCGTGGTTTATATGACTTGTGCTAAGATATTGTAGAAAATGAAGAAGTTAGTGATAATGTTGAAAAGCCTCTTACAAAAAGGCGAATAAGAACGAGATCATATCCAGAGGATTTGATTAATGATAATAGTATGCTTATATGCTTATATGCTTATGTGTTGCTGATCAGAATTGTTTACAGGTTATTAACTATAGAATGAAATAGAACAAGACCATTATAACAGTGACCTTGCAGGTGGGTTTATTAAGCCAACTTCCAGGACGAGAAAAGCTAAGCCTTCTTTATATAAGGCTTCAGTCTCAACAAGTAAAGTTAAATCAAAAGATAAAGAAATGTCAGTTTCTTCAAGAAAACCCCGAAGTTCCGTCCCAAATTCAATGCAATCACCAGCTTTTTTATCAGATAGTACTACTGCTAATACTACTCCTGAATATTCAGAAGGAAATGATATTCTTTCTATTCCCATGTCTAGCAAACAGGCTAAAGTAATTGCAAAATCACTTTCTAGCAAAAGAAAATATAGATCTTTAATTTCAAGTGAGAGCGATGACAAAGATTTCAGTGATAATGATGATAGTGATTTTAAGGGCTCCAGCGACAAAGATCCTGATTCAGGATCAGAATATGAAGATGACGATGTCAAAATCATTAAGACAAAAAAAACTGAACCAGATACAACTAGATCTTTTAATCGTCTCCGTTCATCTTCTAAGTCTAAAACTATTAGTGACAGTGAAAATGACGAATATGTTAAACCTAAATCCACTCGTAAAAGAGGATCTAAAGCAACTACTCAAAAAAAGAGAAACGTTCGAGATACTTGGAATGCTTCCTTATTTGCAAACCACCCGTACTTGCAAACTATATTTCAGGAGATGGAACGAGAGGTAGTGATCCAGCCTCTTGCCATTCCTCAACCTGAAGGAATGACAATAGAACTCTTGCCTTTCCAAAAAGAAGGCCTTCACTGGCTCATAGAGCAAGAACGTACTAGGTACAAAGGTGGGATTTTGGCTGACGAGATGGGAATGGGAAAAACAATTCAAACTATTGCATTATTTATGTCTGACAAAAAAGAAGAACGCATAGCTCCTAATCTCGTTCTTGCACCAGCAGTAGCTTTATTACAGTGGAAAAATGAAATTGAAGCACATAGCGGTGGAAAACTTTCTTCGCTTGTCTTTCATGGAAAAGGTACTAAAACTTCTCTTGAAGAAATATTAAAGTATGATGTTGTTTTAACTACCTACTCGCTGTTGGAATCTGTATTTCGTAAACAAGAATATGGATTCAAACGCAAGAATGGAGTTGTGAAAGAAAAAAGTATTGTTCATGGAATTGAATGGCATCGAATTGTCTTAGACGAAGCCCACAGTGTAAAGCAAAGGCACTCTAACACATCCAGGGCTGTATCACTTCTTCAGGCTAATAAAAGGCTTTGTCTTTCGGGTACACCTCTACAAAATCGAGTTGGTGAGCTGTATTCGTTAGTCAAGTTTCTTCAGGTTACCCCATTCTGCCAATACTTTTGCAGAAAATGCCCTTGTGCCAAATCCACTTGGGACTTTACTGGTAAATACTGCAATTCCTGCAACCATTTTTATGGTGTCCATCATAATTTCTTTAATTACTCACTTCTACATGATATCCAAAGACCTATGAGTGAAGATCATAAGGAAGCAATGAGCAAGCTCCGTCTTCTTTTGAAAAAAATTATGCTTAGAAGAACCAAAACAGAACGTGCTGATGACCTAGGTCTTCCACCACGGGTAGTTGAAATTCGTCGAGACTATTTCAACCCAGAGGAAAAAGATCTTTATGAAAGTATATATTCAGACAGTACACGAAAATTCAACACTTATGTTGCTCAAGGTGTTGTTCTGAATAACTATGCCAATATTTTTTCTCTTATTACTCGCATGCGTCAAATAGCTGATCATCCTGACCTTGTGCTTAAACGCCACATGACTGGAGCTGGTTTGATTCAGAATACTATTATTTGTAAACTTTGTGACGACCCAGCGGAAGAGCCAATCCAATCCAAATGTCATCATGATTTTTGCCGTTTATGTATTACAGAGTATTGTGAGAGTTGGTCAGGAGATCCAGATAAATTAGAATGTCCTGTTTGTCACGTAGGACTTTCAATCGATTTACTTGGTCCAGCTATTTCTGCACCAACAGAATTCGATCAACAAGTTAGTGTCAGCAAGAATTCTATTATCAATAGAATTAACATGTCTGGTGGCTGGAGAAGCTCTACCAAAATTGAAGCTTTAGTTGAGGAGCTTTACAAACTTCGAAGCAATAAACAAACAATCAAATCAATTGTGTTTTCGCAGTTTACAAGCATGTTGGATTTAGTTGAATGGCGACTTAATAAGGCCGGTTTTCAAACTGTAAAGCTTCAAGGTAGTATGTCACCTGCTCAGAGAGACGCCATTATTAAACATTTTATGACGACCCCTTCCGTCGAAGTTTTTCTTGTTTCTTTGAAGGCTGGTGGTGTAGCTTTAAACTTGTGTGAAGCGTCCCAAGTTTTTATTTTGGATCCTTGGTGGAACCCTAGTGTTGAGTGGCAAAGTGGTGACCGTGTGCACAGGATTGGCCAACATAGACCGGTAAAAATTACTCGATTAATTATTCAAGACAGTATTGAATCTCGTATTGTTGAGCTTCAAGAGAAAAAGGCTAGTATGATTAATGCTACTATTGATTACGATGATGCTGCTATGCAAAGATTAACAACAGCTGATGTTCAATTTTTATTTCAAATTTAATGTTGTCAGAATCCGGCCCACCATCAAGAGCGTTCCCCATGGCCCCCAACTTTTCTCTATTTTCCTTAATATCTGCACAATAAACTTATACCACAAATTATTTGAGACTCAGGGCATCAAATTTGCCGACTTCCTAGACGACGTCTCGATCTACTTTCAAACCTCTCTATTCAGATCCACTGCCCTTTTTAGCCAGATATTTAACACCTCCATTGAATGGGGAAACTCTGCACACAGATATACCTAGAAGAGAACTTATATTTCTATAGTTTTTATCAGTATCGCAAAAGATATTAATATTTAATACAATATAAAACTTATATAAGTTGTCTATATAGTATATACTATTTGCTTGGTTCTTTCTTTGGATAATCCGATTTTACCCTTCATACGATCAACCTATTAAAATTTATCCAAAATAATTCTAAAGAAATTATCAATAATAAATTGTATTTCTATTTTTCACATATTGTAGCAGTCGAATTAACATCTCAGGTTTGCCGAATACATTACCGAAGGAACCATGAATTAAAAAGACAAACAAGACATAGAAGTCAGACTCCCGCTAAGCGGAGTTACCTAATTTCAACGATCATACAGACCGTAAGACCTGAAAATCAACATAGATTTTGTTAGCCTCTGTGCTGCTGTTCGGATTTTCTTCACGATAAAAAATAATAGATTGAAGATAATATGTCTACAGACCTGGAAGGAATAAATTATGTAATTAGAAAATATGGATGACGCAATTTTACACAAAAATTACAAAAATTACAAATTTCTATTATGATAGAGTTTTCACCTCTTTATCGTAAATATGATATATAATTATATAATTACAGATGATAAAGATGCAGTGCTTATTCATCATGATTCAATATATAATTCAATCTTTTTGTAAATCGTTATTTTCATCTAGTTTTTTATATATTCCCTGCTTTAAAAATTAAGAACTTTTTATATACTTTCAATTTTTTTTTTTTTGATATATTTTACAGACAATGATAAGACAAGTGCTTTTAAGAAACTCTAATAACTTATCATCAAGTTATGGTTCTTTACCAGATAATGAGAGTGATCCTAGCGCTAACAAATATCTAGATCTATCTGTATCTCGTTCTCCGCCATATGCCACAAAAACGAAAAAGCAATCAGAAGATGAAAACGAAACCTACGTCTTACATATTGAGGCTGATAATTCTCAGGATGAAAACAATTCAGATGAAGAAAATTCAGATGAAGAAAATTCACCCTATGCTGAAGTCAGAGCTGCTGTTCCTATTACTGATGAAAACATAAAAATAAATCACTGGCGAACTTGGGTGCTCACCATAGGATTTGTCACAATGTTTTCAGGAATTAACCAATTTTTTTCATTGAGATACCCTACGTTGTCAATAGGATTTATAGTTGCCCAGCTTGTTTCCTTCCCTATTGGTAGTTTTTTACACATTTTTTTACCTGAATGGAATCCTTTTCCAAAATATTTACAACAAAAATACCCCAATTTCACTTCCTGGTTTGACCTTAACCCTGGTCCTTTTTCTATAAAAGAGCATGCCATAATTACAATTGCGGTATCTCTAACGTCATCTTCAGCCTATGCTATGGGCGTTTTATTAACTCAGACTAACTTCTATAAAAAAGAATATACCTTTTTTTACGAAATTATGTTAGTTGTTACAACCCAAATGTTAGGATATGGTCTTGCTGGGTTAACGAGACGATGGATTGTTTATCCTGCTGCTATGATTTGGCCAGAAACTTTAGTTTCAACAACTTTATTCACAACAATTCATGAAAATAGAACTAACAAACCGGCTAATGGGTGGTTTATTTCTCGCTATAGATTTTTTGCTTGTGCAACGGCACTTTCATTTATTTGGTTTTGGGTACCTGGTTTTCTCTTTACAGGACTTTCATATTTTTCTTTTATTTGTTGGATTTTCCCTCAAAATAAAATTGTAAATCAATTATTTGGTTTTAACACTGGTTTGGGAATAATTCCAATAACGTTTGACTGGACTCAAGTAACTCAAGCTGGTGGATCGCCTTTAGCCACTCCCTGGTGGGTCACTGCAAATATAATAGGTTCAGTTATATTTTTTTTTTGGATACTAGTTCCTATTCTTTATTACTCTAACACTTGGTACTCTAAATATCTTCCAATTCTCTCAGCTGCCACTTTTGATAATAAAGGAAAGGCTTATGATATTGGACGAATTTTGACAAATGAATTAAGTTTTGATGCAAAAGCCTACAAAGAATATTCTCCTTTATTAATTCCTTTTTCCTATATAATGTCATATGCTTTAAATTTTGCTGCGGTAGGTGCTATATTTGTACATAGCTTTCTTTACAATGGTAAGGATATTTATCATAAACTTCTCGATGCTTCCAATGGTGGTGAAGATATTCACAGAAAAATTATGAAGAAATATAAAGAAGTTCCTGATTTGTGGTATTTGATATTATTTTTTACGGTCGTGTCTTTTTCAGCTTATTTAATATTATCCTATGAGACTCAACTACCGCTATGGGGATTATTTTTATCTATCAGCATTGCTGCTGTAAATTTTATACCTCAAGGCTTAATGGAAGGTATAACAAATCAACATGTTGGTCTTAACATTATAACAGAACTTATTGCAGGTTATATTTTTCCTGGAAAGCCTTTTGCAAATTTAATGGTTAAAATATATGGTTTTATTCCAATGCGACATGGCCTTGATTTTTCTCGTGACTTAAAACTAGCTCAATATATGAAAGTGCCTCCTGTTTTATTATTCTGGATTCAAATTGTGTCCACATTAATAGCCGCATTAGTTAATGTAACTGTTCAAAGATGGATGAGACTTAATATAAAGGATCTTTGCAGTCCTCACCAAGAAAATGGCTTTACTTGTGCTGGTGGTCGAACAATGTTCAATGCCTCAATTATATGGGGGGTGGTTGGTCCTCATCGTATGTTTTCAAAAGGAGCAATGTACAGTCCGATAATGTGGTTTTTTTTAATTGGGGCTTTAGCCCCAATTTTTACATTTTATCTTCATAAGAGATGGCCACATAAATGGTTTGGAAATCTTAATGCTCCAGTTTTTTTCGCGGGACCAGGAAACATTCCACCTGCTACAGGTGCAAACTATGGAGCATTTGCTTTAGTGGGGTTGTTTTTCAATTTCATTATAAAAAAGAGGTGGGGGTCATGGTGGAAAAAGTACAACTATATTTTATCTGGGAGTATGGATACAGGTGTGGCTATAGCAACAATTGCTATTTTCATCACTGTTACTTATCCTGGGGGAAATATATCTTGGTGGGGAAATCGTGTTTGGAAGAACACATTGGATTACAAGTCCACTAGCTATTATTCCTTGAAAGATGGAGAAACATTCGGGCCCTCAAAATGGTAAACAGGTGTTAATGGTGCTATAATTGTAAGAAAAGCCGAATCAAAACCCTCTTGTTTTGATTCAAGTGGTAGTATCTCTTGGAATGAGATTATAAGGGTGTATTTTTCTAAATTTTTAACAACCATATCGCCAATACAAAATTTTGTTTACCTCAAATGATTCATGGGAAATCTAAATTAACAAAGAATTACTCAATCTAAAATGATAGAAGAAGTGAAAAAAGTATATCATGGAGCCGCGCTACTCGTTTGCACGAAAGCTGCGAATAAGAAAATATTGTAACTAATTGGAAGGTGGAGCGATATATGATGACCATATAAGAAGGATTTAGGTATTGTTTTTTTTTTTTCATTTTTAAAAGATTAGACAAATATTATCCCAAATCATAAAACCCTTACAAAAAAGTGCTCTAGTGAAATAGCTCCTTTCATCCCAAACAAACATAGTCTTCCCAGTCTAGCCATATCACTATAACCTGTATTGATTATATACTTAATGATTTTTAACTCTGTTTTTAAAAAAAATTAATTACAATAAAAACTGATTCACTTGTATATATATATATATATATATATATACATTTATTTTTATTTTGCCCATATTCATTTGTTCAATTAATTAAAAATTTATAAATCCATGTATGGTTTACACATCATGTTATAGTCCTCCTCTTCATCGTTTAATAGCCACACTGGACACACAAGATCACTGATTGGTACAGCTTGCGTACCTAATAAATAGTCGTCATTATTTTTAACAAACTCTTGGTTGTCAATATAATACACAAGAGTAGTAAGCCCTGTCAAATTGTTATGGCTACCAAAGTATTTCAGCTTGAACTGATAAGGCTTAATAACATTCTTATGAAATCTTCTCACAATTGCAAAAGTTTTAGGGAATCACTAAGGAATATTTTTCAATTTAACAATGTGTTCAATCCTAGCATGAAAAGATGACCCATCTGCCTCTTTAATACGCACAAAACTGACACTGGCCATCTAGAAAAAAGCGTATTTATAAATGTACTATTATGGATCTTTAATTAACAATACCTAAATGCTATGTATAATTTATTTTTGCAGGATAACTTTAGATGCATTTTTACAAACCTTTTTTAAATGAATACTGAGAAAGTGAACTCAACTGGAAAGGCTCAAGACCATAGAAGACCCGATTCATTATTTTTAAAATTTCTTTCTTGATTCCACTTTAACCCATATTTATATTCAACTGCATAGCTTATGAGTGACAAAAGGCATATTCCAGAAATAAGAGTCATTGAACCTCCAGTGCCAAGTTTTAAATCCATCCTATCAATGACAGCAAGACCAACTGCACATAATAAGCATCGCACTAAATTAACACAAGCTGATGCACTGGATGATTCTTGAGGGAATAAATCCACCATTAAAGTATTTGATATATTGACAAAAGTAACTCCGGTGATTGAAATAAAAAAAGTCATTATAATCGGCACAATCCAATGGACATGCTTTTCAATTGTCCATCCAAATATTATACAAGTGATTGCCATGATTGGTGAAAGATAAAATCCAGGTTTGATTCGCGTCTTAATAATATCAAAATGAAAAGGATCTGGTTTAGAATCGTTCCCATGATCCAATACCCACTGTTCTTTAAATTTTGCGGCACGTCTTTTGTAGTATAATGTCATGAGCCGGCCACCCCAGACCGAGCCAGCAACTGATCCTACTCCATTTGCTAAGTATGAAATGCCAAGTTGGATAGTTGTGAAATGGTATTCTTGAGTCAGAGAGGTTGACTGAATGGTTAATGCAACAAACCAAGCAGTGTAATGCAACCCAGAAGGAATAAGAACTAAAATCACATCTTTATTTAAAAATAGCTGGAATGTCCGTAAAATGGACGATTTCTTAGGTGGATTCAATAGACCTCTACCAGTAGCCACTGCTGTTTCATAGTTAATAAGTTGCTTTCCATGAAGAGCAACCATGACAGGAGAAAGATTTATTATTCGGTAAGGTCTGACAGATCCATTACCAACAAATGATCGGTTTGTTTCAGGAAGAACTAAAATAACAATCAATAATGCCACAGAAGCGCAGATAACTAGAAACCAAAAAATTGATCTCCAAACCCAAGTGGAGGCCAACCCAGCACCAATTAAAGGTCCAACAGCATTTCCTAAAAGTGTTAAGCCTCCAAATAAGCCCATAAAGGTTCCCCGATCTTTTCTTTGAGTGATGTCTCCGACAAGTCCAGCACCAATAGCTACAGCTGCAGCCATCCCAGCTGCTTGAAGACATCTAAACCCCAAAAGCATTCCATAAGATTTTGCCAGGGCCAAACCAATATTGGCACCAATATAAGTAATTAAACATAATGGGTATATTGGACGACGTCCAAACTTATCTGCCAAAGGTCCCCAAAAAGCTGGTGCTATTCCTTGGAATATAGAGTAGGTAACGATAGTTAAGTTAATTTTTTCAGTATCAACGTTAAAGTAGCTTTCAAGTTCAGTGAGAACAGGAAGATATATTGGAACGGATATAGCAGAAAACAAGGCAAGAAAAGATGCCAAAAGAGATAAAAAATATTTTTCTGGGACAGAAAAGATTGTAAAAGGTTCTTCATCGTCCACTACCTGATCCGTAACTTCTTTTTCGACAATGTCTTCTTCCGTAGTACCATATGGTTCATTATCCCGATTTTCAACTGTGTCATCTACGTTATTTTCTAATTTTTTCCATTTTTCTTTGGGATTTAAATCATCTTCGTTTTCCATTGTTGATCTTTAATGTAAAATAAGCTTAGATAGTGAATTATATTGCCGTATTATATTTTCCGAGTCATTTAGGTTTATATTAAAAGCTGGAAAAAAAGATTAAAATCAAGTACTCTTGTTTCATCTATTTTAAATAAAAATCCGTAGATATCAATATACATATATATATATATTTTTCTTTTCAAAGAAATATTTTTTTCTCATGAGTCAGACTGTTGGTGATTGCTATCAAGGACTAAAAGTAAAATCGCGGGGAATTTTTGCTATGTTTAAGTATTTTCAGCAAATTTTCTAAGATTGTCAGTGAGAGAAATTTTTTTATTTTTGGCTTTGCATTGGATGTATGCTGCCGTTTTATGCGATTTCTCCTCGGGGAAAAAGAATTAACATGCATGATAGAAATCCATGAGTGCTTATAATTATAAGCATTAATATATTAACAATGATTTAAGTAGTAAACTTAACTGCTAATATTGATTTTCAAATTAGTTTGTTAAGTCAAATAAACTATTCATTTTGCGTTTTTCTTAAATTTGTAATGAGTTAATTAATAAGTGGATAGTTTACACTCAAAAAAAAAAAAAAAATTCCCTTCATCATATGCATAGAAGAAGCAGGTGTCCCCCCCCCCCCCACTTAACATCCAGATTTAAGATCTAGACGTGAGAGCAACTTACCTCGTTTACAACCCCACAAGAAACCCTAGGGGAAAAAAAACAGTTAAATCATAGCCTCCCTAATAAGCAACCCAAACCAGATCATAGTTAGTTGCGATCAGTAACTGCCGGATGTGCCAAATTTCGTTGTTTTCCTTCAAATATTTTAACACTATCATAGAACATAATTATGCCTTAGACTAATAGAATTAGTAAGTACAATTACCGGAAAATTGTGTTGGTACACACCCACATCACCAAAAAATTTTTCTTCATCACATTACTTTCAAAACGGATTTCTTTACCAAATTTAATTTAATTAGTACGTAACTTGAGATATAGGTTCCTTATTCTTTAGAGAGAGATATATACTTGTTTAATATTTTTTTATGCCAGCTGTTTGCATCTACTACAGCTTGAAGTCTTCGGGGCATTGATAAGACTAGCTTATTTATGAGGTTCTAATGGAAATCCTCCCAGACTTCCACAGCTGCTTCACATAACTTTTTTAATGATTGATTATTCTTTGGTAATAGTAATAGTTCCGGAAATCTTTTACATGTCTTTTCTTTAAGCAGTTGCCATATATTCTCAATTGGATTAAGATCAGGTGAATAAGGCGGCCAGTCGACTAAAGTAACCCCATTCTGTCCGGCACACTCACCCAGCCAATTCTGAACTATTCGAGCATTATGGGTAGGTACGTTATCTTGAGCAAATATAGAACCTGGCCCTGCAATTTTTGGAAGTTGATCTTGGAGGCATTCCAGAATACAGCGGCTAGTAACACCTCCGCGAGCAGATTCAAGGTCTCCATGAAGCGGCCATAAAGATGATAGAGAAGAAAAGGATATAGCATCCCAAAACATCTGAGGAGGATGTGATGGCTTGCCCTTTGGCCGTGCATATGGAATATCTAATCGCTGTTCCTATTCTTTGTTAATAGATAAATAAATAGTAATGTAAATAAAACATACTTTTGGGCAAAACTCCCACCCCTGCTTTTCACCATTACCAAGAGCAATTGTAGACTCATCACTTAAAAATCAATGCTTTCAAAAGCTTTCTGGCTCATCTTTATACATTCTGGCAAAATTGAGGCGTTTTTCCGTTATCTGTGGAGTTAGTAATGGCCGTTGATGATGGATGCCTTCACGCTTGAGCCATTGTAAAATAGTACGTTCAGAGACATTTAAACCAAAGACAACAATAAGATCTTGTGCATTATTAAAAAAATTTTTCCTAGCAACTCTGAAATTTTTCCTTTTATCCCTATCAGATAGCTTTGGTGGTCGTCCTGACAGAGCACAACTGGAGAAATTTATTTAGTTGGGGTAGCGTCGAATGATGCCAAAAACAAATCCGAGCGACACTCCCTCCTCAAATGCGATACACAGCTGGGAAATTCCCTTTTAGTACTTCATATAAATTCTGGCTCTCTTAAGAAGACTGTTTTCAACCCTAGAAGTCACTGGAGTCATTGGTGTTGAGAAAATAGGAATTCAAGATGAAGTGGTTGTCGCGTTGAAAGTAAAAAATATGGTGCTGTAGCCAAAGTGGGGTTTGCACATCGTTACTTTAAGGGACCCCCCCCCCTGTATGTACTAAGAAGATGGTCATTATAAATTGCTTACTCATGAGTAGTTATAACTAAAATAACGATAATTGTTAATTTTTTTTAGAGTGTAATTGTATTACAAGGTAATACAGCGCTTCTTTTTAAGATATGAAGCAGCTGAAATCATAAGGTCGTGTATAGCAGCTCAATATATATAATGACCGCATTAACCCCCAGTTTTTTTTCCTGTTATAACAGTTGAAGTATAGAATATATTTCATCATCAAAGCTCAATTTTATATCTAGTCAGACCTAAAATGAATAGACCATATGCTGAACTATATAGACCAAACATCCATGGGCAACAATTGGAAATGGAAAGATATGGAATGGGTATAGTTGAAGATTCTAATGATATGTTTCCATTTTTGAATGATATCGGTTTAGTGAATAAAGAAATTTCTGAATATGAAAATATCATTGATAGGATTAACAATCTTCAAAAAAGAATACTTACTACAGTTCAACTGGAACAAATCGATGACTTAAATCACCAAATTACAAATCTTACCCTCAAAAATAACGATTTATCAAAATCTATAAAAGAGAAAATTCAAATTCTACTAAATACTGCACAAAACAATCCAAATAAATTGGCACAAGTACAAAGTATCAAAGTAGAGTTCAAAAAATCAGTTCAAAGATACCTAAAAGTAGAGGAATCTTATCGCAAAAAATATAGAGAAAACCTCAAACGCCAATTTTCAACAGCTTGTCCGGATGCCGATGAAAAAACAGTTGACAATGTAGCATCTGAAATGCTAGAAAATCGGTCTGGTGGCAGTCAAATGTTTGCACAGGCACTAGTAAAAAGAGCCGATCCTGCTCAAGCCCAAGCTGTGATGGCTGAAGTTCAAGTGCGCCATGAGAGCATTCTAAAACTTGCACAAACCATAGAAGAATTAGCACAATTATTTCAAGATCTAGAAAATATGGTTGCTGAACAGGACTCCAAAGTTTTAGTTGTTGAAAACAATGTTGAAATCGCTCAAAAAGATCTTGAATATGGAGTTGGGGATCTAGGAACTGCTGTCACAACTGCCAAAAAGATACGACGCAAAAAATGGAAACTTTTAGGATTATTTATTGCTATCATTTTAGTTTTTAGTGCAGCTGTGATAGGAGGTGTTTGTGGCTCGGGGAAATGTTCTTCTTCAAAATAAGTTTGATCAATTAAAAACATTTATTTAAACATTAAAAAACAAAACTTAGTTTTCAAAATATTCTTAAAAGTTACTTAACAAACTTATTAGTTGGTTTGTTTTTATTCAAAGAATACCAAAAATAAATCTTGATGCCAGCTTACGAAAAACATGGTGTCAATTGCTAAACCAACCTAGCATATTTTCACTTGTTTTCATTAACTATTTAATTTTATTCCTTAATCAATTAAAACAGAAATAATTTTTTTAATTTAGACTGTTTAAGAGTGTATACATGACCATCTCAGGAGAGATGTGTCTTTTTCAATTTCTTTTTTTGTTCTTCTTCCAACAAAGGGCATTCAACTACAATGTTTTTAACTGTTTTGAACTTGCTGAAATTGCCTGTGTAGTCCTCCTCTTTAATACTAAACTTTTGAACTAATGCTCCAAAGTTTCCATGGCTTGTGCGATCAACCATTAAGAAATGAAATAATACTCTTCAAATATGCAAATGTTGGCTAGAGATTAGACTTATGGCCAATTGCTGATGATATGGTGTTAGGGTTGGGGTTAAATTGTTATATCGATACATCGATAAACTGCGATAGAATTTTTATTTTTTTTTTTTTTTTGCACATCTATCAATTATCATAAATATCCCATTAAAAATATTTTCTTTCTAAGAATCAAAATGCTAACAAATACTTTACAATACGATTATAATGATCTTAAAATACTCACAAAAGCTTACAAAAACCAGGAAATCCAAATTTTCACCTTTTCTATGACGAAAAAAGATTGGGTCTGGAATGCTGGTGTAAGACTTTATAAATCCTTTTCCAAATTCAAAAAATTAAAACGATTAACAACCGGAATTCAGGTTTTTAATCTCTGTTACTCCATTACAATGTCTATATTGGGAGTAGCTGCCAACCTTCCAATTCAGCCTGATCTGGGATTGTCTTCATCCATTCTTTCGATTTCGGCCCATGTTTTCAATTTACATCTTGAAAATTCAATGAGTGATAACATTATGAGATTATGTAAAATTATGAAAAACTATGAGGCAATTAAACGAATCCAAACAGATGATAGCAAGGAACTTACATGGAAAAAAATTGAAGCTACTATTCCTTATCCAACGGAATTGTTTCAATAGCTTAGTTAAATATATATTAATTACTCAAAATTTACCCGTTTTAAAAGGTTTATATGAACATCATAGTATAATTAATTAAGTATAAACAAAAATATCAAACAATTAAATTGTTTTTTTAAAAAAACAGTTGACAATGTAGCATCTGAAATGCTAGAAAATCGGTCTGGTGGCAGTCAATTTTTAATTTAAAAGACTTTAGAAGTTTGTGTTGTTTGTGATAAAATACACGATAACTGGACTAGTCAAAGAATGATCATATTTACACTCATAAAGTAACTTTGGGAATGGCAATCCATTCTGGAGAAGTCACTGGTCTCCGAAACGCTGATTAACTTGGAGGAAAAAAAAAATATACACCAGATACTGTCAAATGCTTCCTTCTCTTTTCCCCATAAACAACACCCGATAAATTTATTCTCTTCTGCTGGAAAATTCATTTCAAGTCGTTAACGCCGTTTAGTCCCATCCCCAAATAGTCTGAAAAATTAATCCCCCCACACACACACTACTTTTTTTCTTTCAAACCTCGGAAATAGCAGCCGATAACCGTATTCTTGTTGATCTAATGGGCTGATCTCTTGGTTGGCGTCAGTGCATGTGAGATGTCGTAATATTGTCTACCTTTGGTGCAACATTGTACGGCTAAAGTATCTTGATGCGTTTTATTGCAAGTCCTTCCTTTCCCAAATTTTTTTTTAAAGATACTAACATAAATATGGCTTGACATCCGTTTAAAAAGAAAAAATATATATATACTCCTGAAAAAAATACTTCAAGAAAAAATATTTCAGAAAAAAAGGTTGAAAATTTCAAAATCTTTTGATTTATTAATCATTATAATAAAAATGTCTGCCTTCACCTCACTTCCAATCATTGATATTTCTCTTGCAGATAACCCAGAAACTAAGCCTAAGTTGCTCCAAGATCTGGAACATGCTTTGTTCCGCGTCGGCTTTCTGTACCTTATCAACCATGGCATTGAACAGGAGGCACGAGATATTCTTGAACTGGCACCCAAATCTTTTGAAGTCCCCCAAGCTGAAAAAGATGCTGTGGCAATGACCACCAACCCTCACTTTGTCGGCTACACCGCTTTAGGTATGGAGTACACTGCTCAGCATGTCGACATCAGAGAACAATACGATTTTGGCTCTGCTCGTGACCCTGACCCATTGTTCAGGGAAGACGATACAGTAGAACCCTGGCGCCGACTCAAAGGACCTTCTCCATATCTACCCGACTCTGTACTTCCAGGTTTTGAAAAAACCGTCACAACATATATTGCCGGTATGGAGCGTGTAGCTTCACGTTTACTGGATCTTATAGCTGAGTGTCTTAATCTGCCCCCTGAGACTTTCCACCAATTTGAGGCTGACATGAACCGTCTTAAGATTGTAAAGTACCCCCCTCCTAAAGCTGAAGAAATTGAAAAGGCTGGCGGCGCGTTTCTGCATGGAGGTAGTCAATTCCAGGGTGTTGGCCCTCACAAAGACTCATCGGGTATGTTTACTTTTGTGCTTCAGGATAATGTTGGTGGTCTCGAGGTCCTCAACCAAGCTGGTGAGTGGATCCCCGCAACGCCGCTCCAAGATTCTTTTGTTGTCAACATCGCTCAGGGATTCGAAGCCCTAACTGGAGGGCGGTGCGGCGCAACCACCCACCAAGTCATCTCACCCTCAGAAAATGTCACTCGTTACTCTATTCCTTATTTCCACTCAATCCGTCTGGATCTTACAAAACAAGATATTGATAACCAGCTTTCTTTTATTAAGGGTCGTATTCCAGAACCCTCAGATCTTAAGAAGCGTGCCGTGGATGTTCCTTCTGAGTTCATTCAACCTCAATACAAAACATTTGGCGATGCCCATCTCCGCAACAGAGTCGTCAGCCATAAAGACGTTGCGAAGATATGGTACCCCAAACAAGATGCAATTTATAACTCTGCGTAATTTCCCATTGTTTTTTATTTTTGCATCCTATGTATAGATTAGAAGATATATATTTGATTTTTGTTTTAAAAAAAAAAAAGTATTATTACACTGCTAAACCTGTTCCCCCGGCGTTCCAGCGATACATGCTCATTAGAATTCGTCGCCGATTTGTGGATACAATACGATCATTAACACTGACAGTTGTATATTTCATATCTCTAATTACGCCGTGAAGAAGAGATCGGTAATTAACTTGGTACTGAGTGCTCAGCGTCGCAATAGATACTTCATGTGCACGTACAAACAGCTCACACGCCTCAGCAACATCAGTTGAAGTATGCGTACCATATCGCTCGCTCATGCAGTACGGAATGAATCCGGCGTGCAGCAGCTGAATTCCAAAAAAAAATGGAATAAGTTGTAAGGTGGGATCTAGCCGCAAAATTTTTTCAACATGCTTTGAAGCCTCAATCGAATTCTGAAGACACCCAGTAAACCTAGTATCGTTTAAAAGCACATCAATATCGTCCAGAGTATCGGTTGGATCCCAATAACCTTCTAACAGAATATAGAGTACCTGTAGTACACATTGACAGTACTCCTTCCATGCAAGTAAATATGTATCTTGTGTCACTGTCATAGCAAAAAACTCTTCAAGTGAATACTGAAATGCCTTCAGCCTATGGCGGTAGTTTTCTCGCAAGCTTTTAAGCACAGATTCTCTGTGAAAAAATAGCGGACTTAATTCGAAAAAATGAATTTCAATGATTCCCCCAAGAAGTGTCATTAGAGGAAGATACATACCAAAAATCCCGCTCTCAATAACTGTACACTGCAACCCCCGACGTCGGTTACGATCCTCCTCGGGTGGAAAAAGCTGTGGGGGTCCACTTCGGTCTGATTTTTCTTCTGCGGAAGGAGCTGCCGATGTTGTAGTTCCGGAAGTGTTACCAGTGCTTGTTCTTCTTGTTTCACTAACATCTTCTCCACTATCAACACCACTTTGACCACTAGGATGTAGTTCATCTACTTCATAGTCCCAAATATCTTGAGAAATTGGGAAAAACAGTTCCAATGATTCAGAGTCTAAAATCATACAAGGTTTGTTGAAACAGAGTGCCAAATGGCGGTCGATCATAAATAAAGACCACCATGTACGTCGTCGTTCTTCCCGGGCTTCTTCCGGCAGTGTAGGTATTTCTTTGTTCAACTTGAGTTGACGAGCCAATGTTACAGCCATGTCCCACCATTTCATGGTTGATGGCTTAAAATCTGATGCCGACTCAACCACACCTATGTTGATAAATGCAAGTACATCATCCAAATCATACTCACGTGAATTTTCTTCTCGCATAGGCTGCAAATATACCATAACGCTGTCCAGCAGCTTTGAAATGAGCATGTTTTTGTATTCTGATCCAGATGTCATAATGGGGTGATTACTTGCGTGAGCTGACAAGTAAAGAATAGAGTACAAAAGTGCAGGTGAACACTTACGAGGATTCTCATCACACAAAATAGATGACTTGCGCAAAATAGGTGCTACAGAATAAACCGTATTGGTAAAGTAAATTTCTAAAAATTCTGATGTCAACACCAAAGGCATATAATCGATGTCTCTAATAATTGGATCCAAAACAGGATAAATATGTGCTTGAACCGGTGGTGGAGCTGGAGTATACTGAGACCCGAATGATATATCTGTACGATTGTGTGCTGAATTTTGATTACTAGAATTACCATCTGTTTCCCGGCTATCTTCTTTACTGTCATTTACTGTTTCATGAGAAATATCTATTTCATCTTCATTTTCCATCATTGATTGTGGCTGGGTTTGCTGTGGAGTCGAAATATGCTGTGACGCTGGTTGTCCTGATTGTGAGGGCTCTGCAGTTGAAGATAATTGTTGTTGCTGCTGTTGCTGTTGCTGTTGCTGTTGCTGTTGCTGTTGCTGTTGCTGTTGCTGTTGCTGTTGCTGTTGCTGTTGCTGTTGCTGTTGCTGTTGCTGTTGCTGTTGCTGTTGCTGTTGCTGTTGCTGTTGCTGTTGCTGTTGCTGCTGTTGTTGTTGCTGTTGCTGTTGCTGTTGCTGCTGTGGCTGTGGAAGATTAGGTGTAGACCGGTCAAAAATTGATATTAATTCAGTAGGAAATGGTGACTTGACAGATCCTAGCCACTGAGGACTGTTTACTGAAGAAGACTGGCTTGAGGGTATAGAAATTTGTGGTAGCGGCGTTGGAGCCAAAACATCTGGCTGGGAATTTGTATCATTGTTTGTAGGTGAACCGTCTAGATCAAGGGTAGCTGTGCTCTTTATTGAACTATTGGGTTTTCCAACACCTGAATCAACTGATGGTAAGATCCGAGATATTGTTGTTTTTAAAGAATTAGTAGTGTTGGTACTAGTTGTTGAGGCGGCAGAATCAGTTTCTGTTATTGTTGTTGGTGCTGTTGGTGTTGGTGTTGGTGTTGTTTGTGTGGGCATAGTAGATGCGGCTGTAGACGGAATTTTGTGATTTGCCGATGTAGCGAGATGACTCAATAGTTGAACATTGAAATTTAAAGGATTATGAATGGATGAATTTCCAAAATTTAAATTGCTAGCTTTTACTTCAGAGGGGATTATATTGGTACTGGGAACAGGACTAGGTATGTTGGAAGATGATGCTCCTGTTTTGGTGTTTTGATTGAGAATTTTTAAAAGATTAGTAGTACTATTTGTGCGGTTTTGGTTAAAGGAAGTCAATGTAGACGATGCTTGTAAAATATCTGTTTGCTGCTGTTGAGTTTGTTGAGTTTGTTGATTGTTTTGTTGTTGGCGGTGAGGATCTAACAAGTTTGAACTAGACATAGCTAGAGTAGATGCCAGTCCATTTTGTTGAGTAGGAGATGGCACCGAACTTTTCCCGCTTGATGAGGGATTAGTAGTAAGTTTCAAAAAGCTTTGAAGCTGAGGTAATATACTGGTAGTTTGTGCCAAATGTTGGTAGTTTGTAGGAGGTCCAGCAGCAGCAACTGAAATAGCTGGTATCGACTTTATGGCAGAGGGAACTGCTGCACCTGTTGCTACTTCTGTTGTTATTTCTGTTGCTGTGATTTGTGGAGACGAAGGTTTGCTTTGAGGTGGAGATGCTTGGCTCCAAAATGCTTCATCCTCATTAACAGTCTTCACTTCAAGTGTTTGTCTATCGCGTTTATCTTGAGAAGTTTTGGTATTATTTTCCCCTTGGATTTTAGGGTCTGTGGTATCTGATGCTTGTGATGCAGGTTGGGTCTTTTGTTGTTTGCGTGGGTGCTGGGGATACGAATCGCTACCTTTACCGCGTTTTTTAATTGTACGATTGTATTGACAGAGAATTCCTAAATCTAAACAGATGTTAAAAAAAAAAAAAAAAAAAAAACTTTTATCTAGTTACAAAAATATTATACTTACTCAAGCATCGATAGCATGGATTCTTTCCGTCACATTTGGTTCGCGCAACACTACACTTATCGCAAGCACGGGCGGTTCGTTTTCTTGCAGATGGCCCTGTCGATTGTAGCAGTTTATCAGCATCTGAATCTACTGTAAGCTCTTCTGCTTTCATATTCTTTAGTGGTGACTTTTGGTTTACTTCTTGTTTGTCTGTTTTATTATTAATGGGTGAAGCATCGTGGGTATGTGGAGAGTTCTCTTTTAAGCCAAAAGACGTTGAGACAAAGGATGAGTCAAGAGTAGGTCGGCCGGTCATGTTGATTAGATATGGAATTAAGAAAAATTGTTCTTTCCACAATCAATTGGGCATATTCCTGTCAAACAATTTGCAGAAATATAAATAGATTTATATACTTATATATAAAAAATGTTCAAGTTGAGCAAGAAAGAAAGCTTTGCTTATGGTGGTTGTGGGCAAGAGATCCAACAGAGAAAAGAAATTTTATTTTACCGCAATTTACCCGCTCGACGCAAAATAGTATGTCAAATACCCACGGATGGATATTTGGCGCTGGGTATTTTTTTTTTTTTTTGACACATTGTAATGCTATTCAGGCAGTTTCGGAAATACAAAGAAAACTTTCTAGTCACGTGTAGATTGCTTTTTTTTTTTTGTTATTTTGCTGTAGTAGGCATTACTGATTTCTTATCACGCATTTTATAGCGTAGTACACGTGAGATTCTCCTCCCAAATATAGGCCCACAATCCTGACTTATGAATCTGCCCACAAACCATCAACCCTTAATTATGGATAGACTCTCTGCACTCCCTGACGAACTTCTTTGGCTAATACTCCTGGCTCATCTGGATATATCAGACTGGCAAACCCTAGCTCTTGTGTCTCATCGTTTTCGTTCTCTTGTACAGGACCCACGACTTCATAAGTCCCGCAGGCTGCTAGCTGCACACTCTTTAGATGACGCACTTGCAAACAGACCATCTCCAGTTGACCTTTACCGTCGTAATGTCTTGCTCTCTCCAAATCGTCTTGCTCCAGGAGCTGAGCCCAACCGGACATATATGCTTTTGACACTGCCCAGGCGGCAATCACGCGACCGTCTTGCACGCGCACTTGCTAACCGGCCATCGCGTGAAGAGTTGTGTGCTCGCGGGCTGGTCCCGCCAGCAAGCAATATTGGTGTGTATGCCGCTCAGACTATTAAACGTTTAGAACGCCGGTCAGTTGAAAATCTGCTGGCTTCATTTTTAAATACCCGGGCATCATCCTCCATTGCTGTTATTGCTATTCAGCGCCGCACCAACGCAGAAAAAATAGAAGAGTTGGCTACAACTGATAGATCTGTGGGGCAATCATCATCCTTGAGTTTTAATGCACTCCGACGGCAAGCACTTGCTGAAAAGAATGGGTGCGAGTATTTTGTGCGAACAAGTGTAAGTGCTCTTGTTAGCATGTACTCCTTCACTGCGGCTCTGCTGGCAGCTCCGCCACCTCCTCGGGCTCCACCTCTTCCACCTAAACTTGCTAATCCAAACTGTAACCCAACTGAGCAAGACATAACTCAATCGAAATCAAGCAATTCAACTTTGACATCAGTTAGTGCAATTAAGCGCAAATTTGAATTATTGGCCCAACAATCGTACTCTGCACCACCTTGCCCTAAAACCCCACAACGATCTTTTGTGGAATGCCGCAAAAAGTACTTCTTGTCAAGTGATATAAGTTTGGTCAAGACTATTTCTCGCAGTGCATCTTCATCCTCGTTATCTTCTGAAACTAGTTCTGGAAGCTGTAGTCGTGCTCAGGGTCCCGTGGCTGCGCTGCGTCAGCACTTCATCTCCTTATCGTGCTAAATTCTTGAGTTTTCATCATTTTTTTATTCTTCCATTATTATTTCTATTAAAATATAAACACTTTATTCATCATCCTCCTTGGGCTTGGCCAGACCCAGCTCCTCAAGTAGAGCGTCAATTTCTACGGGTGTCCAAATCTTGTGGACAATCTTCTCAGGGTCATGAGAAGATTTTCCAAGTGTGGCAAATTCAATCTTTTCAGAAGAAAGAGTTGAGCTGTCCATAGTTTTCGACAAGACTTTGATTGCAAGATCAACAGCCTCCTTAAGTGACAAATCTTCCTTGTACTCTTGCTTAAGAACTGTTTGTGCAGTTGAATTGTTGTTTCCAATGGAAGCTGCCTTCCAACCCGAGTAATTGCCTGAGGGATTCGACATGAAAAGTTGATATCCATTGACCTCATCCCATCCGGCATAAAGGAACGACACACCGTATGGACGCAAACCTCCATGTTGCGTGTAAGCCTGCTTAGTATCCGAAAGCCGCCGCACCAATTGCTCACATGGCACATTTTCATTGTAAGTGCGCAAATAGGACTGCGCAAACTGTCGCGCATACTGAATAAGTATACTTGCATCGGAAGTGATACCAGCAACTGAGCACACCATATGACTGAATATAACTGTTAGAAAATAGAATGTCATGATGAATTTTAATAAAACTTACTCATTCAGAGTGTACATCTTTTCGGCAGAAATATCTTGCTCCAGCAGTTTGGAAGCCACCTTGTTTTCTGCAGCAAGAACAATTCCATCACGAGCAAGAATTCCAATAGCTGTACCTGCGTGGGAAATAGCTTCCTGGGCGTATTCAACCTGTTAAATAGAAAAGAGTGTTGGTTAGTCAATTGGGTGGCAAAAGAGATTTTGAATCAAAATTATCAGCGTACTTGATAAAGTCTACCTTCAGGAGAAAAAATAGTCGTACGACTGTCGTAACGTCTGCTACCCATTTTCGATTATAACTTGACTTTATAAAAGTTTCTTAGAAATGATTGTTGTGGTGTTGTAAGAAAGAAAAAAAACAGAGTGTCGATGAGTTGTGGTTAGAGAAAGAGATGGTGATGTAGGTTTGGTGGTTTGGCTACGATTTTTTTTTCTCCATTTATTGTGACAAAATTTCTCCTTGTAACAAAACATAATACCTGAGAGTCCCGATCACAGCATGAGTACCGACAACAATTTTAACAAAAACCGACCACTTCCGCCTGGATGGTCACAGCACCTGGCTCCTTCTGGTCATTACTACTATTATAACTCAGTTACTAAAAAATCCACATATACTTTTCCTGAGGCTGATGTTGAAATACCATCTGCTCTCCCTAAAGAGACTGCAACTCGTAGCAATCCACAAATCATCCTGCCTTCCAGTGTCAACAAGACATCTGAGGTCGATGAGGTACGAGCCACTAAAAAAAGACGTTCAGTACGGGCAAAACGCGATCGTCCAAGGCTTGTTGTTTCATTAGAACCCGAGAATGCGCGACCATGGGTGTTGGTGGTAACACGAAATGGGCGGCGGTACTTTTATAATCCTGAAACAGGGAAGGCACGCTGGGGAGCACCAAGCGTAGCAGTACAGGAAGCTTTTGATGATATTGAGACAGATGATTTATTGAAACTTATAGCATCTGCTCGAGGATTAAAATTAACCGAGAACAAAAAAAATATGGATCGGATTGAAACAGTACAGAAAAATGAAAATGGAAATGGCAGTGACAATGACAATGACAATGACAAAGGAAAAGACGAAGACGGAGATTCAGACGGAGATTCAGACGGAGATTCAGACGAAGAACAAGAAGAAGACCAAGACGGTGAGGAAGAATACGAATACGAATACGAATACGAATACGAACAAGAAGTAGAAGAGGAAGATGAGAATCCTTCAGAAGAAGCTCCAGATAATATATCGGAACCTTCGTCACCGGGAGAGGATTTAGCATGGATTTACAATGGTGATGAAAACCTAGATATTGAAGAAGATCAAGACTCTGCAGAAAACATAGCAGCTTTCCAAGCCATGTTAACTGAGCGAGGTGTCAACGCACTAGGTGCATGGGAAACAGAATACCCCAAGGTTGTTGAAGATGAAAGATACGACTTGCTAGAGTCCATGCAGGCGCGTCGCGAAGCCTACGAATCATGGGCCCGGGCAGAAGTAGCCCGCCGTCGACAACAAGAAAAACAAGCAGACGAAGAACCACAAGATTCTTCAAGTATAAAAGGCCATGATGAGCCTAAATCTATGGAGATTACAATTCCATCGTCAGACGCAACAGCTCAGTTTCTGGCATTTGTGCAAGCAAACTTTTCCAAGAAAAAGTGTCCTTATTATATTGATTTTAAACGCAAGTACCGGTCAGCACCTGAATTTGTACGTGCAGCTGCCAGACTTGGCGACAAAGACCGTGAAACATTATTTCGAAGCTTTGCAGTGGTAGCTAAAAAGAGCGATGAAGAACGTCAACAGGCCTTTGCAGAAGCTTTAGGCAAGTACAGTGCAAGTGAGTTACGCGATAAAACGCGACTTCCAAAAGCATTACTTCATGACCCCCGATTTTATGTAATCAAACCAGTGAAACAAAACGAAGAGTTTGATCGAGTCGTCAAATCTCTGTAACGAACGTAATTATTTTTTTTTCTTTTTTTTTTTTAAAAAAAAATTATAGAAAATATACAAAATTTCTTGATGTTGTTTTATATTATTTTTTTGAAGGGGTTTTTAATGCTTTATTCTATTTAAGCAGTTTCAGACATAAGTGGTTTGCTGGAAGATGTGGTGTAATGTGGCAGGTTAGAAGAGCCTTGGATTAGACTAAGAATATATCCACGGTTAACATAAATGGCATAAGAGACGCTGGCAACAAGACCCAAAATAATCAAAAAGGAAAAGAAGCCAGAAGTCGCTGAAGAGCCAGTAATCTGTGTGAGACCTGGGGCGCTGCAAAACTCTGCATAAGGATAGTTTTGATCAGCAAGAGGGAGAATATAAGAGCAAAAGAAAGCCCTCCACCAGTCGGCTGACTCCTGTCCAAAATAAACGGCATGGACATTAGAATTTCTCATAGAGATGACAGCATCCTCAGTCTCGTGAAAGTAGCGGCCGTCGCGAATAATGACAAAGATTTGAGCGTCGGGTCTGTGGTTCACAATGAGTTGACCAAGAAACATCTGCAAGTCAGTGTAAAAATTGTGGGGGGAAACACCCTTAAGAAGGTCATTGTCACCAACATCAACAACGACGAACTGAGGTTCTGTAGTCTCAAAGAGACGTTGGATACGGTTGAAGACGTGAAAGAAGGGCATTTCGTTGCGAGCATCGGCAGGCTTTGGATTACCGTCAAAGGGAGAAAGCCATTCGTACTGTTGAGCAAGACCACCGCGAGCCTTGTAGCAGTGAGAGGAAAAGCAGGTATCGTACTTGTGAATGTAAGTTTGACGCAGGCCGAGAGAGCGAGAAGCCGCATAAAGAGAAGTTTGATTAACAGAGGGATAAAAGTTAGAGGATTTATCTGCCACAAATTCAATGTGAGGGATGCGTCGCTGGTTGGCCACCCAGGAGGAGCCTTGACGAACAACGGTGTTTGTCATGGAAATACCCAAAATGTGCAGAGGGTTTTCTTCGTCTGACATGATTTCAACGACATGAGGGACAAGTTTTGCCGAGTTTTCAGCCTCCTCTTTAATAGAGGGGTCAGTAGGAGGTAAATCGATACGGACGTCAAAAACGGGGTTTTCTTCAGCATTGTATGGGGGGAGAGAGAGGACAAGCTGAGGAGATCCATCGACTGAAACAAGGAAACGCTGGTTTTTAATGACACCAGTATTGCGTGGAGGTCTAAGCTTGATAGAGCATTCGTCACCGTAAATAAGAACGTTGACAGAAGTTGCAGGCCATGAAGAGGCATAGAAAGTGTCTCTGTATCGGAGCCAACGGCCGTTAAATGAGAAAAGGCCCGGGTGAGACTTTGGTGTGATAAAGAGAGAGTCCTCGATAATGTACTCCTTGCCAAGGGGTGGAATAGGCTTATTGTCCTTGGTTTCTGCGGCGCCAGCGCCGACCGAGAAGACGGCCAGAATGGCTGCTAATAGCAATGGAATCAGGCCAACGAACTCTGGCTGGTGAGTTTGCCGTGGGCGGGGGTATGCAAGCATTGTGGGTATTTGCAAAGATGGGTTGTGGTGGGTTGGAGGATTAAAGGGGGGGAGGAAAAGAGGGAGGAGAGGAACAAAAGAAGATCATCAGGCAGATGCCCTAAGCGGAGGTTTGGAAAAGTACAGCGCGTCATGTATTTTCATTTCATTTAGAGGTAGGAAGTTTAGTTTTTGACAGGTGTAACAAACATGTTATTACATTATATATCTATTTGTTACTTAAGTTGTTATGTAATATATTACATTATTATTTGTTACATACTTCCCCGGTTCTATCAAGTTTTGTTACTACTTTTTTTCAATTTCATTTCATTTCATTTCATTTCATTTTGATACATTTCAATACACTTTCCTTATTTGCATATTTTTTTTTTTTTTTCCATAACCATCTCTTCTGGAAAAGATATGCAGAGGCCCGGCCGGGATGACAATTTCCAGAACTGGTTTTGGACCGGCCAGTTTCCCAGGTTTGACCTGCGTATCCAACAACCGTCGGAACGATTCTTCCCTCGCTAATTAGAAGCTGAGAAGGTCGCCTTTTTTTTTTTTTTATTTTTTATTTTTTATTATTTTTTTCTTTTCCTTCTTTTCCTTCTTTTTTGCCGTGGAAGCCTAGCCCAGCTTTTGTCCAGTGTTTATTTTACCAACTTGGTAGTACGGACCTAACCACTGGCTTATTTATATTTTACCAAATTTTTTTTTTATCACATCACTCATTGTTATTATAATATAATAACTATTTTTTTTTTTTGCTGCTCCGCAATTATGTCAAAGAGCAGCACTAGCTCTAGTAGCATCAACATCAATGTTAGTTTGTTTGGCGCTGACTCAGCTACAAATATTAGCATAGACAGAGAGGGTCACAAGATGGCGACAGTCAGTGTGTCTACAGCTGTCCCAGCGGTGTCGGCAGCGGCAGCAGCAGCAGCAGCTAACAAGGAATCAGGAAAACAGCAGCAAGAAAAGCGCACAAAACAACTAAATCAAGAAGAACATCAAGAAGAACATCAAGAACAAAGCCAGAATTTTCAACAACATCATGTTTCGGTTCCCGAAGAGTCAAAAATAAAGACCAAGACAGATCCCACTGAAGTATCCACCACTACCAAGTCCTCCTCCTCTCCAACCACTGTTCTTGAACAAATCATCATTCCACCTCGACCGCGAAAGCGGAGAACTAAGACCGGGTGTCTTACTTGTCGTCAGCGGTAAGTTTTGAAGCTTTAAAGTCAAACTGCATGGCTTTATTTCTTATTTAATGTTGAGCTTAAACTGATTTCATCCGGTTATTTTTTTTCCCTTTTTTTTTCCTTTTTTTTAATATTTTCAATTTAGACGTATCAAGTGCGACGAAGGAAAACCAGTTTGTCGAAACTGCATCAAGGCCCGGCGTGCTTGTGCTGGATATGGGCAAGTTCTGCCCTCTGAAAAGACATTTGTGACCGTCTCGCGGCCGGACCGCAAGACACGCTGGCAGTCGTCTAAAAAAGAGTGTTGTAATGAACTCGAGCATTCAAAAAAGAAGCACAAAGTGGCTCGGAATCAACCCGAAGGTCCATCAACGTCACATCTATCATCGTCACATAATATCAACTCAGTAGGTACTATGGTCGATGTTCAAACCCCGGAAGAGGCACCCTTTGAACCGAGACATTCTAAATCGGTTACACCAACCTCTCCGGTAACACATTTACCTCCTGGTTTACCCGTTCCACCAGTTTACAAAATTTCTCTGGTTCCGGAAAATATCACTCATAATACCTCCAAATGGACCGAACAGTGGGCCACTCAACTGACAGACCCTGAAATTCATCTTTTATTTCGACTTTATATTGAAAGTGTTGCTCATTATATTGACGGAGTTCCCCGTTACGACCACCCTACAGACTCAAGCAACTTCTTTTTTGATTTTTCAAAAACAAAGCCAGGTTCTTCATTTAACCTTTACGCAAAATGGAATAATCAATCATCCAGGTCTTTTAAACACCCGAGTGAAGAGGTCTTGGATCGTCGTGGGTTTGAAAATATCTGGAGCTATGATATTCCACTACTCTCCCAGTATTACCCACACGTTTTCTACTCCATGCTGGCCACATCAGCATTATACTATTCGAAAATTTGTCCCAATGAGTCTTCCAGTCACTTTGCATATCGTGCATTGGACCTTTATCAGCAAGGCGTTAGTGCCCTCCGTGAGGATCTATTATTACTAAGGCCGCCAGATAGCATAGCGGCTCTCGCTACTTGTTTTTTGCTCGCAACCTACGAGTCCATAGATGGAAATGTCAAGCGCTGGTCGCGTCACCTCTTGGGCGCACGAGACATTATTCGAGCTCTTGACGTTGGGGCGTTGGCTGCTAAGGCAGAGTCTGTTTTCATTCGCATGGAACAGACTAATAACTACAATAATTTTGGGTCAGAACCCATAAATCTGTCATCAGCAGAAATTATGGCTGTCCAAGTGGTTGATTTACTGTGGGCTTTTCAAGAAATGGAAATGGCGCAGAGCGCTGTGAGTAGTTGTCCGCCGGCGTTTCCGTTGGAATTTTATGAGCAGATCCCCCGCCGACGCGCTAGCAACCCACGCATCACCATAATAGACGACTTTTTTCGTTTGTTTGGGCGCGTATGTGCATTTGCGTCCAAGGATTCTGCGCGTAAGGAAACGCCCAAACTTAAGAGAATGAAGAGCGTGTCACCCTCAACTAATGCAGCTAATGAACTTGCAGATGCGGTGAGCGAATGGCTAGGCCTTCAACGCGATTTAAAAGCCTTTGAAAGTCGATACCAACGTTATTTAGAGCCACTGCCAATAGATTATAATTCATCTTCCTCGGCTTCTTTTGACTATTCGACTGGTAAGGTTCCCCTAGAAAATACACCGTTTGGACCTGCTCTCAAGTACCGAACAAGCTATGATGTTTACCTGGTCATCTACATAAATTTCATGTGGATCATGCTATCACGACACAATCCTACAATCCCAGAGTTTGGCTTTGCTGCTGTGAAACGTGCAGCAACGGATGCCGCCCCTTATGCTTTACGGTTACTTCGAAGCTTGCCCAGCTCTGAGCTTGCGCTGGAGTATGTTCCCAAGTGGACACCAGATGGCAAAACAGAAGGGTGGAGTGAGGAATTATTAAGACAATTACCTGCATACTCTGTATTTGGGCGGTTTGTGGACATGAATAATGGAGAACGAGAGTACTTTTTTGAAGGCCAGTTGCGTCGAATGTTTACAGACATGATGATGCCTGTATTTTTTGCAGCGGTGCAACTAGTAAACCCTAACCAACAAGCCGCAGTGATCAAGTGGCTTTCTGCCACAACCGAGCTCACACAAACATGGTCCTGTCATCAAATTGTCCGAGGTGTGAAATATGCGTGGAGAATGAATTCAAGTGATTTTGGTACTGTAGGTAATGATGATTTGGATAGTGAATCCAAGAACGCATACAGTAGCGAGGATGAAGATGATGATGAAAATGAAAATGAAGATGATATCTCAGATGAAATTCTTTGGGAAACAGTTCGCACTGCTTGTAGAGTTAAACAAGCCAAAGGGATTTTTTAAGAGATTAGTAAAAAGAAAGAAAAAAATAATAATTAATTACAACATTAAAATAATAATAATAAAAGAAAATTAAATATATATAATAATATTCATTTTAAAGCTTTTCTGCAACATGCGAGCGCAGCAACTTGATCATCTCCTCAGGGTCCTTAGCCTTATAAACGCTGGTACCGGCAACAATGACATTAGCGCCGGCTTCAGCAGCAACATCGATGGTATCAGCACCAAGACCACCATCGACCTCGACATTAAGCTTGGGGAATTGCTTACGCAGAGCGGCAACCTTGGTCATCATATCAGCCATGAATTTTTGGCCGCCAAAACCTGGCTCGACAGTCATAACAAGAGCAAGATCGATTTTGTCAGCATATGGGAGTAACTCATCGACACTAGTACCAGGTTTAATGGCAATACCAACAAGCATACCCTTTTCACGGATAGCCTCGATGGTAGCGATAACAGGGTCAGCTGCTGACGACGATTCGCCAAATGTGCTTGTGCGCGCAGCCTCAAGGTGGAAAGTGTACTGGTCAGCACCGGCGGCAGCCATATCGGGGACCCACTGAAGAGGATTCGAGACCATCATGTGGCAATCGAAGAAGGCAGAGCCCTTGGGTATATGAGCACGGAGGGCCTTGACGACGGGGGCTCCAAACGTCAGGTTGGGCACAAAGTGACCGTCCATAACGTCAATGTGGAGCCAGTCGGCAGTGCGGTCAAGCATTTTCTTAGAATCGGCAGCAAGATCGGCAAAGTCGCCGGAAAGAATGGAAGGAGCAATGACGGGGGCAAGAGTAGACATTGTAGTTTTGATCTGGTGATATGTAAACTGGAGAGTTAGTAAAAAGGGGAAGGATTATTGAAGAGATGAAGTGTATATTTAGGTGGAGATTAGAAGTAAAAAAGCTTAAAGAGAGTGTGTTGTCGGGTGGGTTGATCCGCGGAAGGAGGTAGAAGGAGAAGGAGGAGAGAGGAGGATATGATACAAAACCTGATGGTTTGTAAAGAAAAGTGACTTACAGGATTTTTTATATAGTTGTGAAATCGGAAAACTAGTAAATTTTTTTTTTTTTTTGGAAAACGAAAGAAACCTGGGGTTTTTCCAGAATATCTCGATGAAGAAAAAAAAAATTTTTTTTTTTTTTTTTAAAAAAAAGCGCTTGCCTATCCAAAAATGGGAAATGACGGTTGTGGCCGGGTATCCAACGGTTGAGACACGGGACATGGATTTTGTTCCTAAGTTTTAAAGTCCAAGTCTTATTTACTGCTATGTACATACATTAATTATTATTATAGTCATTCATTTATTGAGTTTCAGTTGCAAGAATTGTCCTGCCCCCCATTCAACTTGCACTCGCCGATGTGTCTGTAGTTGAACTTACTGTTGTTGCTGTTGTTACTGATCCTGATCCTGATCCTGATGTTCCACTTTTAGAGTCTGAAGAAAGTTTTTTCTGTTCACCATACTCTGGAATTTTACGCAAAGGCAGCGGCTTATCATCTTCGGGCAGTCCCAAGTTGCGCCATTCATCCTGTTCCATGAGGCCGTGGTTCATACGGCACTTGAGATACGACTTGGCCAGCAACCGACATCCATGTGCGTTTGTTCCATCAACAAGTTTGAGGCATCTTAAGTAGTCCTGCATAATGACACTGCATTCCTTGTCATGGTCGAGTGGGAAAGACCCGCGTTGCGGGGGGTTTGGGATCCATTTGGAAATTCCACCACCTACAATAAAGTTAGATCAAGAAACAAATGTTCAACAAATGTTTAACAAATGACATACCTGGTGCTCCTGAAGCCATTTTTTAAAATTGTTTTAAATATGTAGATTTGAGATATGTTGAGTTGATAGAGAAAGATTTGAGAATAGTTTAGTGGTGGTGGTGTGAAAAGCTGTTTTCCGGGATTTTCTTTTCTTTCGTTTTTACTTATTTTTTTTTTTTTCTTCTAAGCTTTCTAATATATGTAAGCTGATTTCCTTCGACTGCCAAACGCCGACTGCTCCCGAGGCCGCATTAAAAAAAGAAATCGAACCCTGGTTCGAACCCGGTTCTATTTTTATATTTTAAATAGGAAAGGTTTTTAATTGCACCCATTCTCTTATCTCGCACCCCTGCTGCAGCGTCACGATCGTTCGTAAGATGGCATCCCCCCCATCAGCGATAAGAAACCTCCCTATAAATACCGCTTTATTTCCAACATCCTTTGTTATCTTTTTTTTTTTTTCCTCTCTCTCTTTCTCTTTCTTTCATAATTTCTTTACATTCACTTTTAACCATTTTTTTATCATCCATTCCTTGCTCTTCCTTTTATATTTTTTTTTTTTTTTCAATTAAACTTTCCTCCTGTTAAATAATCTTATATATATGAAACTCTCTGCCAAATCTCTCACCGTGCTAGCCGCATCGGTCTCGGCTACTAACGCATTCAATCTTCTTGATATCCCCCAGAATCTTCTCGGAGCTGTCGACAACCTTGTTGCCTCCGGGTTTGCGATGACTCCAGTTAGTCCGCAACTTGCAGATGCTGCCCATGATCTTGGTATTAACCCCAAATGGCTTCCGGACTCAATCCGCAAGTATTGGAAAGATATGGCTTCTGATGTTGCTTCTTATAGTAAAAAGCCTCAATCAGCCTTTCGTCGCGTAAAGAAGGTTTTCCTTTCTGAGGAATCTAAAAAGCCCAAGGAACGTAAGAAGCAACGTGTTTCTCGTCGCACTGACTTTGACCTGCATGTCAAGTCTGAAAAGTTCCCAATGCACGCACTGCGTGTAAAGACCAATACTGCGGAATCGCTTGGACTTGACTCAGTCAAGCAATACACTGGGTATTTTGATGTTGATGGCCCAGAGGATGACTCGGGAAAGCACTTGTTTTTCTGGTTCTTTGAGTCGCGAAATGACCCTAAAACGGACCCTATTTTGGTATGGTTGAATGGTGGTCCAGGCTGCTCATCCTTGATGGGTATGCTTTATGAGTTGGGTCCTTCAAGCATTTTGACACCAGTTGAAAAGCCCGAGCTTAATCCTTACTCTTGGAATAATAACGCCAGTGTTATTTTCTTAGACCAACCTGCTGGAGTTGGTTTTTCATATTTTGACTCTGAAAATGTCCCTGTGTCTGATACGCGTGCTTCTGCCGTAGATGTCTACGCCTTTTTGTCATTATTTTTCCAACAGTTCCCTGAGTATAAGGATTTAGGTCTTAACATTGCTGGTGAATCGTATGCTGGCCACTACATTCCCGCAATTTCGACTGAGATTTTGAAACACACTGATAGAAATTTTGTTTTTAAGTCTGTTTTGATTGGTAATGGTTGGACTGATACCTATCACCAATCTGCTGGTTATGGACCCATGGCGTGTGGTAAGGGTGGTTACAAGCCTGTGTTGAGTGAAGAGCAATGTGCCAAGTTCAACCACACAGAAGCTAGATGCAGATGGCTTGATGGTTTGTGCTACAAGCGTCAAGACCGCTTAACGTGTGTCCCTGCAACCTATGTGTGTGACTCATTGCTTGATCCATACATTGACACTGGCTTGAATCCCTATGATATTCGCAAGCCATGTGTGGGTTCCCAGGATATGTGTTACGATGACATTGACTACTATGCCAACTACTTGAACAAGCCCAAGGTGCAAGCTGCCATTGGAGCTGAGGTTGAGAATTACGAAGGCTGCAGTGATCCTGTTTTTAACGCGTTTATTCACACTGGTGATGGCGGCAAGCCATTCCACTTTGATGTTGTGGAAGCACTTGCACAGGGTCTGGAAGTGCTTGTTTATGCTGGAGACAAGGATTACATTTGCAATTGGGTTGGCCAAGTTAAATGGCTTGATGCTCTAGAATGGCCTGGTGCTGATGAATGGGCTGCAGGTAAGTTTGCATCATGGGCAACTGTTGATGATGGTGAGGCTGCTGGTGAGTATAAGAAGGCTGGTAATTTGACTTTTGTTCGTGTTTATGATGCTGGACATATGGTGCCTTATGATCAGCCTAAGCATGCCTTGGACATGGTTATGCGCTGGCTACACGGTGGTCGCAGCTTTGCTTGATTTCAGTATAGGGAGGAACAAACAATTATAATAGTAATAAGTAATAAATCGTACATAATTTAGAATGATACAAGATAAACAATTTGTTTATTTATTTCAAGATTACAGTGGGGGCGGGGGAGAATTTGAGTAGATAATTGAGTGTAAATCTCCTTTTGTGAAAACCCGAATGCAAAGTTGAAATTCTGTTTTTTTTTTTTTTTTTTTATTTGATTTATTTGAATTATTTCATTTATTTCATTTATTTAATTTGAAAAAAAAAAATAAAAAAATAAAAAAAAAAAAGGAAAGAGGATCCCGGGTGGGACTTTTGTGTGATTAGGACCCGATATAAAACCTGTATAATAGTTTAATGGAAGTCCACTCAACTCAAGTGGAGACCCGAGTGAAAAAAAAAAAAAAAAAAAAAAAAGGAAATTTTATTTTTTTTATTTTTTTTATTTTTTTTATTTTTTTTTTTTTTTTTTTTTTTTTTATTTTTTTTATTTTTTTATTTTTTTTGGGCTGGTGTGATTTTTTTATTTTTTTTATTTTTTTAAAATTTCATTCTTTGTAATCAACAAAAATTAAAATAAAATAATGTGCGCCACAACACAACAAAGTTACTCACGTGACGTAACCCAACGGGCGAGGCTTTAGTAAACTTGCCGTGCGTAATTCCACGTGACATTTCGTCATTTTTTTAATTTTTTTATTTTTTTATTTTTTTTTTTCTTTCTTTCTTTCTTTCTTTCTTTCTTTCTTCCCTGATCAACATTGTTATTGACTCGGAGCTTTTTCATTAAAATAAAAAAAAAAAAAAATTTTTTTCAATATGGCGGGACACTGGCAAGTCCAAATTAATTTTTTTTTTTTTTTTTTTTTTTTTTAAAATAAGAAAATAAATTAAAATAAAAATAAAATAAAAATAAAATAAAAATAAAATAAAAAAAATTTTTCTATCAAAATGACGGAACCAAATGGTGCTATTTGTAATCCTTTAAAAGTAATATAAAAAGAACGAAGTTTTCCCCTAAGATCCAATTTTTTTTTTTTATCCTTTTTATTTCTCTTTCTATATATTTCTTTTAATCTATTTCGTTTTTTTTTTTTTTCTATTTTAAAAAAAAAAAATTTCTTATTTCATATATATAAACGTAATTATTACTTTGCCAATTTTTTGTTTCTTTCTCTCTCTTTTTCTCTTTCTCTTTCTCTTTCTCTTTCTCTTTCTCTTTCTCTTTCTCTTTCTCTTTCTCATATAACTTTTACTTGAAAATATAAAATGTCAATTCCTGCTCCTAATAACGGTACCCTGCGTCTGGGATCAAAGGCTCCTGATTTCACTTCTGACTCGTCTAATGGCCCTATCAACTTTTACGAATGGGCTGGTGATTCATGGGTGGTTTTATTTTCTCACCCTGATGATTTCACACCCGTCTGCACAACTGAACTCGGAGCCTTTGCACGTCTGCAACCCGAATTCACTAAACGTGGAGTCAAACTCATTGGTCTGTCAGCCAACGGTACTGAATCCCACAATGCCTGGATTCGTGACATTAATGAGCTGAGCAACACAAACTTGACTTTCCCCATTATTGCTGACCCAGAACGTAAAGTCGCCCAATTGTACGATATGATTGATTTCCAAGATGCAACCAATCTTGACGACAAGGGTGTCCAACTTACTATCCGTTCAGTCTTTATCATTGACCCTAAAAAGACTATTCGTCTTATTCTCTCCTACCCTGCCTCCACCGGTCGTAACACTGCTGAAGTCCTGCGTGTTGTTGATTCACTCCAGACAGGTGATAAGCACCGTGTTACTACCCCCATTAACTGGACTCCTGGTGAGGATGTTATTGTCCACCCTAGTGTTTCCAATGACGAGGCACAGACCATTTTCCCCAAATTCCGCATTGTCAAGCCTTACCTGCGCTTCACACCTTTGGATCTTAATGACTCTGATCCTAACTCGCGTTCTCCTAAGCTTTAAATGATGTTTGTGTTTTTTGTTCTTTTTTATGTAATGACTCTATGATTTTTAATAATAATAATAATAATAATAATAATAATAATAATAATAATAATAATAATAATTATTCTTTTAAATTTTTTTTTTAACTTGAACAAGAGTTTATATTTTCTATGATATCTATATATATATATATATAGTAGTTTTTTTGATTTTAAACAATGTTTTTTAATAATAATATTAATAGTCACGTTGGCTGGCGTTTTTATATGCCTAGTACCTTTCAAAAGTATAAATATATATTTCCAATTTATTGCTACAAAACCCTCTCAATTCAAACAAAGGATTGTTCAAACCTTGGGATTGGAATAAATAAACAAAAAAAAAAAAAAAATTCATAAATTCATTAACCATTTCTCATTAAAATCATCAAACAAATCATAAAGCTAAAACAAAGTATACAACATATATAAAAATAATAAAAAAAAAACTAATAGTAATAATAATAACATAACATCATAACACATTTAATTCAATTAAGCGAAAAGCCACGGTCAAGCACCTTAATGGCACGCAAGTCCTCACGCCAAATGCCTGCACTCCCAGATCGGTCCCAACCACTTTCCCGTACAAGACTGGGCAGTGAGGGCAGTGTAATGGGCCCGGTTCCTCCACTCAAGCTTCCAAGTGTGCTTGGCAGAATGGGCTTCTTAAGAGTCGTCGAAAAGGCTGCAGATGAATCGCAGTGTTGGGGGGAAACAACGGGAGAAACAACGCCCGAGCCAGGAGATCCATGAACAGAACCAGCAGATGCAAAGGCAGCAGAGCGAGGAGAAGAAAAGGAACTAGAGGTGGGTGGAGCTGGTGGAGGAGGGAAAGCTGCACCCACTGAAACCGCTGCCGCAAGATTGCGAGGAGAAGTCTTAGGCTTAGGACCCTTCTTAGATACGCGGGAAGCAGAGATCCGTGGACTCTTACCAATATGCTTAATAGAAGGAGATACAACACCAGCCCGAGGAGTGGGAGGTTGGCTAGCACAAACATCACCAGACGAAGACACAGAAGAAACAGGTGTCGAGCGGGGAGATGACAGCATAATTGGTGGAGCTGCAGGAACAGACTGCTGCTGATGCTGCTGATGCTGCTGCTGCTGCTGTGGTGGTGGTTGTTGTTGTTGTTGTTGTTGTTGTGATGGTGGTGGAAGTGGATGTGAATTATGAGGAGCCATGGGTGAGCCATGGTGAGAAGCAGAATGGTACATCATTGGAGCAACGTGAGGAGCAGAAGAACCTTGGATTGGCATGGCCGGAGCAGGCACCGGGCCTGGTGCAGGAGTGGACGCGGGTGCCGAGGCAGGAGAAGCCATGGGCGACATTTGTTGTGGTGGGGGGAGGGGGACTCCGTTGGCCAGTGGGGGGGGATAAGCTTGGGGATGGTGTGGGTGCGGCTGGTTTTGCGGCTGAGGACCCAACATGTATTGTGAAGCAACAGGAGGAGGAGGAGGAGGACCAGCAGGACCATGAGAATGGCCTGGCAATGGCTGGTAAGAACCAGGAGATCGCTGCTGAGAAGGACCAGAAGGACCATGAGTATAAGAATAATGAGGTGGGGGAGGTGGAGGAGAAGAAGCATCGTGTTGCTGTTGAGGATACGGGCTCTGTTGAGACATGGAAGGTTGGAGAGATTGAGGAGGAGGAGGAGGAGGAGGAGGGCCTTGAGTATGATGAGGGGCAGCGTGAGGGTACTGAAGATAAGGACCCGATGGTGGTTGGCCCTGTGGCATAACAGCAGATTGGCGCGGCTGCTCCTGAGTTGGAGGAGGAGTCATGTAGTATTGTTGTTGTTGTTGCTGATGCTGATGCTGATGCTGATGCTGCTGTTGTTGCTGCTGATGGGGAGGAGGAGGAGGAGGAGGCATGGACAAGTTTACCATTTGAGGAGGATATTGGCAAGGTCCTTGTTGATTAGCCATTGGGGGAGGGGGAATAGTATGCATTTGTTGAGGCGAGTAGCCATTGGAGGGATGATGGTGCATCTGCTGCGGCAGAAGAGGAACATTTTGTTGATGGGGTGTGACAGCATGACCTGGAACAGGTATGGATTGCTGCGAGTAATGTTGGGGAGGAGGAGGAGGTGGTGGTGGTGGTGGTGCAACAGCTCCATGGGGGTATGGTCCAGAAGGCATTTGCTGAACCGGGTGAGGAGGCTGTTGCTGTTGTTGTTGTTGTTGAGATGGTGGTGGTGGTGGAGGTGGTTGTTGTTGTTGTTGTTGTTGTTGTTGTACCTGCATAGGAGTCATAGCAGCAGCAGCAGCAGCAGCAGCAGCAGGCGCTTGATGGAGCTGTGGTGGAGGAGCATAGCCCATATGAGAAGGATGTTGAGGTTGATGTCGTGGTGGAATTTGTTGATGTTGTAGATGCGATTGGGGTGGCTGCTGCGGGTGTTGATGGATTGGCGCTGGTGGAGGAGGCTGCAAGTAATGAACTTGTTGTGGATGGGCTGGGTGAGCCGGTGGCGCAGGATGGGTGAGATGCGAGGGATGTTGTGGTGGAACAGGTGCATATGAAGGACGCGGAGGCATCAAGTGCATGGTAGGAGGAGCCTGGTGCATTGGAAGAGAGAGCATATGTGTTGGGCCCTCAATGGGTGTGTTGCTATCAGGATAAAGGCTTGGAGGAATGTGAATATCCTTAAGCTTTGGGTCGAGCGAAGGTTGCATGAGCTTGTTGGAGTTTGTATATGAGCGCGAGTAGTAAGAAATGAGATGAAGCTTGAGACCGTTTGTTGTTTGAATGGAGAAAGACTGCTTCATAAGGCCGTCAGGCTTGTAATGGAACCCATCAGATACAGAAGAAACCACGTTTGAATCCTCATCACCATTTTTATCATCTTCAAGGTCTTGAGAAGAGCCATCATTGCGCTTGCCCTCCATCTCGCGATATGTTAAAAATGAGCCCGAAACGCGAGATGCACTCCAAGATTTGCCATCAGTCCATCTTCGCATACCAGCTTCGCGTTCGTCCCAAACAAAGACAGAACCTGATGTGATTGCCTGGCGTTCCTTTTCAGAAAGCCGTCGCTGCACTCGAGGCAGGATTCCTAATCGACATGCTTCAAAGAGATAAATGGCGTCCAGCGGGGTGCGGACATGGCCAAAATAGGTTTCCATATTAGTGCCCATGTCTGTGTATATTTAGAGATACTGTAGAAAGAGTAGGTTGATGAAGATATATAAATTATTATATATTAATGTATTTTGTAAAAAAAAAAAAAAAAAAAACTAAAAAACTAAAAAGATAACTAAGAATAAGAGAAAAGATAGAATTATAAATTGAGAGTAATTAGGTAGGGCCAAAGGAAACTGCTAAAATCTTTTTTAAAAGGGGGGCACTGGGGAATCGGTGTATATTTATATTTAAAAAAAAAAGGTAATAAACTTAGCATATATTTTGGGGCAAAGCATGAAATCCTAGAGTTTAGCTATTTTGGGTAATAACTGTAAATTAATGTTTGGTTCTATAGCTATATATTATTATTATTATAAGGGGGGAGAAACCAATGCAGTGTAACTCGGGAAAAGCATAAAAAAAAAAAAAACAAAGTTGACGCAATAAAAATAGAAACTAAAATTAAAGTTTTTCTTAGGTGGCGCTAAGAGACATTTCTTTTTTAACTTTTTTATTTTTGGTTAAACGGTATTATTTAATCAACCTTAACATGACTTATAACACGCGCTTATGGCAGCTGGTTATGGCTACTCTGTAAACCCCCATTCCAATAACCTGGATTTAAGGTCATCGCAAGTAATCCGCTAGAAGCAACATTTCTCGGCATCCCATCTGTCATTACACCCAACAAAAAAAAAACACCTCGTTCTTTGCTGACTCTTACAATACAATAATATCTAAATACCGATATTTTAAATAACTTCGATGTTAAGGTCTTTCTGCCGCAATTTAGAAAAAAAAAATTTTTTTTACCTAGATCTACGGAAAAAGAAATACCTCGAATTAATCCACTGATACCTGCTACTTGCTACCTGCTACATGTTAATGCCTGCATTAACTAAGCGCTTAAAAGTTCCCCCAATCCTATAAGCATAATTTGAAAACGCAAAATCTGTGAAAACTTTTCCAGAACTAAAATTCATCCCAGAGTTTTTTTGTCTTTCTTTCTTTCTTTTGGTTATATTTATAATTCCCTCTTTTTCCTTTTGTCTGATCCCTTATGTAGGTTTGCTCAAACTCTTGCTCTTTCTGGAATAAGTTTTTTTTTTTTTAAGATCGATTATAAAAAAATAAAAGGTCAAAGCTATAAAAAATACTTTTTTCATTTAAACGGTTTGTGTGCGATGAATTAGGTACTTCACCCATTATACTACTGAAAAATATATTTATATATACACACGCAGGTTACTCAATAGACGTTTTTAAAAATACCTTTCTAAGCCTAAAAATCACACATCTTTTTCTTTTTGAAAAAAAATATGATTTCAAATGACAATATATTTTTTGTCTACATACTAAGGCACAGAAATAGTTTGCTCTAAGGTACTTTAACATTTTTACTAGCGTACTAGGCATGTATACAAATATATTTCTTTCATTAAAGCATTTTAGTAATAGAGTATAAAATATGGTGGTGGATTAATATTGTAAAGAAATCGCCTCGTAAAGCCTATCCACTGAAAGGATTTTGATTGTATACGCAACTTTTGAAATCAAAGAAAATAAAATGCTTAGTGTATATATTTGAAAGAAATTTTTTTTTTTTTTTTTTTTTTTTTTGACAGCGTAAACGAAGCTTCCATTCACTTGGATTTTGTTTCTTGTATAAGCTTAGTTGAGTATATAAACTATATCACACTGGCTATGCCAGATGAATGGATTCTACTTTTGAGATTTTGGTGGGATTTCTCTTAATTTTTATTTTTTTTTTATTTTTAACATGTTCTCAAAACCAATCTGAAAGATTATATAGCCAGGAATAAGTTGGTTGGTTTTCGGTGATAAGTCCATCAATCTCATCGTCATCGCGTATTTCCCTATCTTTTGGTAAACTCATATCAAAAATATTTTTATAAGAAAGAAAAAATTACCATTAATTACTTGTTTGAACCGTCCTTTCAAGCCCATCAATTAGGTTTTATATAATCTAATGGAAAACATGGTATTTTCCATTATGGTTACCAAATTTACCTAATCCTTCTATTCTAGATTCTCGAAAAAATTTAAAAAAAAAAATAAATGATTAAAAGCTAAACCAAAAAAAAAAAAAAAAAAAATTAAGCTTGAAAAAACGAAGTGTTTTTAATTCCAAGTGTCCAAAACTTTGTTATTCCCTCCTTTTTTTTTCCTTTGAAACTAATAACTTGTTTTATGATCTTAGTGTAGTGGGTCTGGGTGGGCCAAACAAGCACGGTATTCTCGAAAGAAAAGATAAATGCATCAAACCCACAAATCATGCGAAAACTAAAAAAAAAAAAAAGTTGAACAAGGAGAAGATAGAGAACGAATATTCATGCAAAATGCTTCCATAAGATATTTAAGAAAAAAAAAGGGGGAGCTTTTAAGGAAAGAACTAGTAAGGGTCAAAAAAAAAATTGTTAGATGTTGATGGGGAAAGAGTCTTTTAGTCACCAATTTGAGGTTTTAAGATATTAACACGATAATGTTCAGCTGGGTCTGTACATATCCACATTTGTTTGTAGTTTTAATTTCAAACAAACTGGAAGAATACAATTTTAGTATAATAAAATATATAATTTCTGATGAAATCAAATAATATAATTGATGATGGCTATAATAATAATATTATTTATTTATTATAATTTCATGATACGAAGAATAATATATAAAAAATAACCGAAAGTAGTTAAATTATCAATATCAGGCGGTCAGAATGGTATCGAGCTGCGTCCCAGAAATAAAAAAACATTTGGCAAGTTCAAGACTAAATTATAAAAGAAAAAAATGTTAAAATAATAATAATAATATAATAATAATAAAAAAAATAAAAAAAATAAAAAAGAAAGAGAGAGAAAAAAATGTAAATGTAGATAAAATTACCAAAAAAGGAATCTGCCACTATTCTAGCTCTTACATATATACTATTTCCTAGTGGCCATCAAATAGCGCTTGTTTCTGCTGCTGGCATTTTTTTGTCTAAGGTCGCGAGATTCATGTGAAGTACTAGCCGCTAATGCTGGTACATTCAGAGGTTAGCCAATGAATACATTGATGTTATAGATATAAATAGAGGTTATAACAAAGGCAGACTTCAACAAAAATTAAAATGGCTACATCAGCTGAACAAAAACACTGAAGAAAGATTAAGAATTTCAGTGAAATTTAATCATATTTCTATGTCTATTAATCTGCGTCTTTTTCTAAGTCACTCATAATATATGATATGAGATGTTGGATACGGAGTTAATAGAACTGAGAAATAAATATGCAAGCTTTACTGTTTGCTGATGTCTTGGAACCCTAACCTCGGTATATTGTGAGGTTAGGGCTCTGGCCTCTGTTGCAAAGCCTCCAGAGCATATGTTTGAATTTTGGGCGTGCGGCCGGTTTGTTTTATGCAACAGAGCAGCTAGTTGCACCTATAAAGTCGACTTATAGTAAGGTACTTTGGTCGAGGCGCTCAATTCTTCATGCTGATCAGCATACTGCTAATAATGTAGTAGTTAGTAATGTGGGGTCGAAGAAAGTGGGTGGATATTGAGAACCCATTGGCAAAAAAAAAAAACTATTATTTGAAAAAATTCCACTTCCAGGGAGGTGGGAAATGTTTGCTAGTATGTTAGCTATGTTAACAAATTCAAAAGCTACCAAATGAATACATTAAGGATAGAAAATAAACTGAAGTTATCAAAACCTGGCTACGGCTACGGCTAAAATGGATATGGCCATGTGAGCTAAAGGAATAAACTAAGGAGAAGATTAAAAAGTTCCTTGGAACCTTTTGGTATTGTTATGTTTATATTTGCGAATCTGTGTTGACTTTATTCCTTCTATGTAAAATTTCACTGTATGCTAGGTATAAGTCATGACCCTAACCGCGCCAAGGTTAGGGTTTCAGTGGCAAAGAGGACAACATGAGCACTAATAACACTAGATTATGATGCTGCACTCTCGGCAATGAAAGTAATATCCCAACAAGCTAAGCCTAACTTTTATTGATGTAGTTAATAATAATAGTATATTAAAATAGGCTTACGTATACTAAGTTTAACAACAGCACAGCTATTGACTAGCGATTTTATTTTGTTTTATTTTGTTTTATTTTATTTTATTTTAAATAATAACATTCCTAATTCAAACATAACAAAAGACGGGAAAAAAAATTTTACAAGTTTAAGATCATTTAACATAATAATAGTCCGATCATAAAAAACTTTTGTTTGGTTAACTGTAAAAGATTATCCACAAAAATTAACACTACCAATTTTCTTGGTTTTTTTCGGAATAAACTTAAATAAAAAGTGTGGTCACGGTCTAGAAAGTTGTTAGAAAAAGAAAAAATAAAATAAAATGAAATGAAATAATAAATGCATTTTTTTTTAACCTAATTTAACTTAATGTGACACTAAAACTAGTTTGTTTCCGATTCATGGTGGTGGTGAACAAGGCCAAAAAGTGCATTTGATCAAATGAGGAGTTACACTATTACTACGTGCCTGGCAGTAGCTTAATGCATTGAGAAATTACTCAAACGTAGTCGGTTGGTTTTCACGGTTAGAGTTGCTTTTATGTTTAGAGAATTATAAATAAAACCTCCAATATTTCTTGTTCAAAATTATTTAAATTTAAAAATATATATTTATAAAATAAAAAAATAGAATTTCGAAATAAAAATAAATCACAGGTTCAAATAAAATCGTCATAGATTTTTTTTTTTTTTTCGACTTCCTTGTGAGCGTCTTTATGTAGGTCATTTTTTCGATGTTGCTTTAGTTCCATTTATCTTTTTCATCAAGCTTAATGCTTATCCCAGCACTACTACGCCCTCATTTTCATAAATTATTTTACATAATATTCCCGGTCTTATTAACAAACACTAAAAAAAAATGGATTTGTTTTAAAATCACTCTGTTCTTTGGGCTTGAAAAAAGAAAAAAAATAATAATACTTTAGTAATTACCATTATTGAAAAATATGATTAATTAATAACAAACGACTTTAAATATTATTTCCAAGTATAATAGAAATTAGACTTTATGAAGTCATATTACTTGATTTATGGAACGTCATATATTACGTTTGTAAACGAATTAAACAACAACTTGTTTTTTTTTTTTTTAATTTTTCTAATAACGCCTTTCTATTATTGTTCTAACGATCACGACCTTGCCAGTTTATGACTTTAACAATTTCAAGTTTAACACGCGAGATCTACATCAAACTGTCTCATTAAAACATGGGCTCTTCAAAAAGTAAAAATAAAAATAAAATCAGAGCTGGTATTATGTAAGTCCAAGGGCTGATTAATACGGACATTTCTTTAAAGTTCCTTGTTTGCTTGTTTGTTTATTTAATTTTTTTATTTTTATATATATAATTATTTTCGCCACCAACACTGCCACCTTTTGTCATTATGAAAGTAAAATAGCTATCGTATATTCAACATACAATTGCCAACGTAACCACCATAACCACCACCTTTAATAATCAAAATCAACACGATCACAACAACCATTACACTTCTAACCATGGCCACTTCCATTTTCAACAACATTGTTTTCCCCTACATCACGCTTGGATTGGCAGAGCTCAAGGCTCATGTTTTCCCCATAATTCAAGAGGCTTTTCTAAGCGAAAATGCTAGCTTTCAGTCAGCTCTTTTCCTGATTGTTGTTTTGTTTCTTTCATGGCTTGTTCTGTTTAGCGCAATACGTGCTCTTTATCGCATTGCTGTTTCAATAGTACAAGTGGCCTTCTACGGTGCGATTCTAGCCTTCCTTGTGTGGATTTATTTTCGTGGCTTTGATAGCGCATACAAAGATATCGCAACCTTTGTCGGTTCGTATGATCAACAAACTAGTGGATGGGAAAACGCACTACAGGACTACACCAAGGCGCACTTTGCAAGGTCCGCGACAACAGTGCTCAATCACCAAACTATTGTTTATCCTGTGTATGCAGCAGCAACCTCTTCAGGCAAGCCGCCTATTTTTTAAAGGCAGGGGAGCATGAGGATTGTGTTAGGGAAATAATAAATCCATCTTTCCAACCATTCCAATCCAGGCAAACTATAAAAAAAAAAAAAAAACAATCCACTACACTTTTTTTCTTGCAATATTTTAATTTTTTGTATATAAAATCTTTACTACATTTACTACAACGCACTAAGAACAAAGTACAAAGCACAAAGCACAAAGCACAAAGTCATAGAATGCAACCATTTACAAAGTCATAAAATAAATAGCGCCATCTACTGCCCAAAGGGATCAGAGGATAAAATGGTATGTATAGATCTATGGTGCCTAAGTGGAAATGGAAGAAAAATGTATAAATTAAAAAAACAAACAATAAAATATAAAAAACAACTGACAAAAGAAAATAGAAGGGATTATGTCATAGGCAGATATCTATAATTATAAGTTTATGCATAAGGAATTAATTAAAAATTAAACATTGAACAATAATGTTTTGAAATAACAACAGATTGTTAATATTACAATTTGTTTTTTATTTTATTTTATTTATTTATTTATCTATTTATTTTTTTTGAAATGTCTAGGAACAGTGTGGAATGAATAATATAAACTTTTGATATTAAGATTTTGATTTTAAAGAAACTTTTTTGCTCAGTGACTTTTTTTTTTTTTATTTTGTTTTAGAGGATTGAATGTTAGGACCCTGATGAGTCAGCACCGTTGTTATGCTTATATATATACCTTTATTAGTTTTCTTTCTGGCTGGATAAAGAAATAAAATAAAATAAAATAAAATAAAATAAAAATAAAAATAAAAATAAAATAGTTAAGATCTTTATTTTGCCTCCTCACTCTCCTCTCCCCCCCCCTCCTCAAAAATTAAAAAAAAAAAAAAAAATCATGTCATTTTGGCATAAATATTATTTCATGTTGCTGTAATCAATCTTAAACTGCACTAGTTTTAGTTGATATGTAAAGCCACTGCGTACCTTTGCACACTTTAAAAAAAAAATAAGAAGGGTCTTTGTGAGAGACAAAGTCTTTAATGTCCCAAAATATTATGACCTGAGACTTACATATTGGCTAAACTGGCTGAGATTATCTTTGCTACCTACAATTAATTCTAATTATTATTATTTATTTTATTTTATTTTATTTTCTTTTCTTTTCTTTTATTTTCTTTTATTTTCTTTTTGAAGCAATCGGCCTTAATTTTTAAATTTTTTTTTAACAACCCTAAGCATCTAGACCTTTCCTTTTCAAGGATATTATAAGCTTATATTTAACAAAAAAAAAATAATAATAATAATAATAAAAGTTTTGGAAATAAAAAAGTTTTTTTTAATCTTTTTTTTTTTTTTTATATATTTTCTTTTAAAGTCTAAGGCGGTGTTTATTCCGTTTCATTTTATCATTTTATCATTTTATCATTTTTACCAAAGTAGTCAGGATTTATTATAATTATTAGCACTATTATTTTATTTTATTTTTTTTAAATTTTATTTAAAAAATTTTATTTTTCGCTCCCCCTTTACCAAAGATTTGCTTTGTAGTATTTTTTTTAAGATTGCGTCAAGACGTTGAGCTCGAAACTTTGAAGTGTTTGACAGAAACGTGATATATATAAATAATTAAATTATTATTTTTAACAACGTATTATTCAACAAAATATTGATTTTACACCGATTTATATCTTGTTTAAAATATTATTCATTTATTTATTTTATAAAAATATATATATATATTTTTTCATTTTTTCATTTTTTCATTTTTGCGGTTTTTTTATAAATTTTAACCTCTACACATTTAACACATTTTTTCAATTTCAATTTCAATTTAAAAAAAAAAAAAAAGTAGTAGTAGAACTTTATGTTAAATAAATACTGTTTAAATTTTGTTTTGTTTATTTAACATAATACCTTTTATTCTTCCTTCCCTTCTTCCTCACACTCCATACATGCTCTAAATTCATAAAAAAATATATATATCTATATACTATCTTATCCGCCTTGATGGGGTTTCCGTGGTCGCTGCGGTCGTGATAACCCGCTGTTACGTGGACCCTGAGAATCTTTCTTTTTTTTTTTTGTTTGTTTGTTTGATTTTTTATCAAAAATCTTTTTTTTTCTCGCTTCCTAAACACAAAACCATTGAGAAATTACAAGAGTTTATGTGTTGGCATCTATCGATTTTTCCCACTCAATCTCACGTGTCCATTTTCTTTAGGCTGCAATGCTTAAATTTTTATTTTCATTAAAGTTCTCAAAAATATATGTGGCTCTCTTTAATGTAATAACCGACATTTATAGCCTTTAATAACCGCCAAAAGCCTTAGTTTGGATTTTATTATCTTTAATACCGAGCACCTATTATGTGGCAACTACAGTATGTTTCTTGCCAAATCTGTATAGATCCCTTTCCTAAAGAGGAAACTATTGGAGGTAAAGCACCACAACAATGTGAAAAATTTTTTAAATTTTTTTTTTTAATAAATTTCCATTTATTTTTGACTTAGAAGTTCAACAGTGCAAGAAAATTTTTTTCAATTTTTTAAATATTCAAATTTTTTTTTTTTTTCTTTTTCTTTTTAAAAAAAACTAATTAATTTTGGTAATAACATTTTGAAAACTTCGTTACAAATAATTCTAATTATAATTAATGGAAAGTTTTGTTTCTGTTTTTGATTTTGTTTGTCTCTATTTTTATTTTGATCGTTAAAATACGTTTGAAATAAATTTAATGTAATTTAATATCCCAATTATGAGGGCTGTTTGCTGATATTAAAAAAAAATATTAATTATTAACAATACACTACCGTATATTTTTTCAATATTTTCATTTTTTTTTTAATTTTTTTTAATAAACATTTCATGGTAACAATTACTATCTTTTCTTAATTATTATTATAATAAGAAGCCAAACTTTCGACTCACATGATATATTATTAATAATACATCAATAAAAGCTGACAAATCATACTTTAAGCCTGCTTCTGTTACTAGAAAAAGGATTTAACAACTTGACTGAAATATCCAACAAATTCTTCAAACTCTGTTCAGAACAAAAACTGTTGCGCTGGTACTTTTTTTTTTTTTTTTTTTTTTTTTGATTCATCTAGGTTCAGGGGGGAGGGAGAGAGAGAGGGGATCAAATACTTACCATTCTTATGTTTTTTTTTTCTTCTTCTCCTTATTGCAGTTTCCCTCATATTTCGGAATCGGCATGTGAGTAGTCACGTTCACTCTTGCACCAACCAAGCGACCTTTGGGCTACAGGCATATTGGTCTGTGCGCTTGTACTGATATACTTGAGGCCTATGTCCAAGTTTGTAGTTTAGGCCAAATTCTCTAATGAAATGAAATGAAAAAAAAAAAAAAAATTAAAATAAAAATCATAGCACATATTAAATCTCATGCAATTACAAGATATAAAAGCAATAAAATAAAATAAAATAAAATAAAATAAAATAAAATAAAATAAAATACTAGAAACAAATGTTGAACTTGTTTAAACATTTTGTAAATTACAAATTATTTCTTAAAGCATACCGGATTTAATGCGCAAAGGTTCTTTAAATATTTTTTTTAAAAGAAAAGAAAAGAAAAAAAAAATTGAGGCAGATATTGGTATTACCCACCCATTACGAGGTGATTTCAATCAACTTTGTTTAGACTTAAGACTATAATATTAACGGTAATTATAAGACTTGTTGACCATTGTTTAGTTATAAATATACTATAATAAATACTTAATATATACCTAATATATACCTAATAATAATAAACAATATATTTTATTCCACAATTACCTTAAGGTGATATTCAATAACTTCTGGTTGTATATAAGAAAGGAATAAGCCTGAACTTGGAGTATTGCTCAGCTCATATTTTTTTAATTATCCTTATCCAAATATCCAAATATCCAAATATCCAAATACGGGATACCCAGAGTAGACTCAACTAATGGTTATCCTTTTAATACCAAGTATATTTTTAAATTTCATTTTTATTTGGAATGTCTGTTTTAACTGACAATTCCAATCAATCAATTGCTTTTTATTTTTTTTTTTAATCAAATATCTATAGGAAAAGAAAATCTTTTTGAAAAAAAAAAAAAAATCTTTTTAACTCCATCTCCATCTCCAAAATCAATCATCAATGTAGAAAAATTTTTTAAACTTGATGATATTTGCTGTAATATATTATAATAATTATAATAATTATAATAATTATAACAATAACAATTATAAAAATAATAAGATGGGTATTTTTTTTCCGGGATAATAGATATGAAATTTGGTAATATTGCTATTATTATTTAAAGTTCTAATGTGAATATTTTCCCAACTCACGGGTACTAAATCATGTGTTTTTTTTTCTTAAACCAAATCTTAACAAAAAAAAACTAAAATTAGAGTTTATATTAACAATCTTTTATTTTATATACATATTTTGTAATTCATTTTCTCCTTATTTTTTTTTTTTTTGTTTTTTTCAATTATTCTACCAGTTATTCATTTCTTCCTATTTTAACTTAATCGTTTTTCATGGATAGAAGATTTGGATCTATTTTCTGGTTATTCCTAAATCTGGATCCGGAATTGAGTTTAGCGGCATATCTTGGATTTGTCCCGACTTTAAATTTTTCATGGATAAGTAAGTAAAAAACAAACAAACAAACAAACAAATAGATAAATAAATAGATAAATAAATAGATAAATAAATAGATAAATAAATAGATAAATAAATAGATAAATAAATAGATAAATAAATAGATAAATAAATAGATAAATAGATAAATAAATAAGTAAATAAATAGATAAAAATTTGCCCATCATAATTTAAAGTCGTTCTTTTACTAACCCTTTTTTTTTTCTACATTATTTTCAATTATTGAAAATAAATAAGGGATTAAATTCCTAAGGCGTAGAAAATCGATTGTTTACCGCATCTAAAAAAATGGTATACGTAAAAAAAAATTATATCTTCTCCTTATAATAATTGGTGTTGTGATAATTGAAT